AGCCGGCCACTCCGACTCAGGCACGCTTTTACGACGAACGAGGATACTGTGACACCCTCCAGGACAAAGACAGCGCGCGACTGCTCGAAACTCGGTCCGCTCGGCAGGTGTCAAAACCATTAGGCTCAATATTGCAGGTCGAGCAGATAGCTCGCATTATTCAGCATGGTCCTTTCTGCAAGAACAAAGAAGCATTGATATCAACTGCTTAAGCGGTTGTGTTCGGCTCGTTCATGCGTGCTAACCGAGCTCACCGCTGTCGTCGCGAAGCTCGATGTCCAACCGACTAACTTAGCCAACAAAGAGGCATCTGTTGGTCTTCTAAACAACGCGTCATCTAAGTTAGCTCTGACTTATGGTTGCATGCACAACCGGGTTCCTGTGTTCACCGACAATCCGGACACGCGACACTGCCGAGAAGTCAACTGCTTCACCAGCATTCTACCCATGGGATAAACGATGACGTGTACCAATCCGAGCAGATCTTGCAAATGGTCTTCATTGCCTTGACAAGAAACAAACTAACAACCAACTCAATAGCGCTTTCCGCTTCGCAACAACGAAAGGAACGCAATTGCTCCACTACCTACTCTCAGCACCACCAACGGTGACATCTGTTTCAAATACTTTGCCGACCTCGAAGGTGCGTCTGTCAGCGCCGGAACTCTCCAGCAATCTAGCAGTATCATGGTCCCCTTGTGACTCGGCCATCTCCAATGGGTAGACTATCCTGCCAAATGACCGCATGGGAATGTTCGCTCTTACTCCAGTCTTGAGCAGCACCTCGACTGCTGCATAACTCCCTCCGGATATTGCTGCAAACAATGGTGTACTTTTGTTGAAACAGACAAGAGAATTGACCTTGGTAGTATCAGGTTCCGGCCTGGCACCTTCACGGATCAAAAGCTCAATGAGTGACGCATGTCCTGATGCATGTCCATAGTACGAAGCCAGGTAGAGAGCCGAACGTCCAAGTTCATCTTCCTCGTCAATGTTGGTTTTCCATTTTTGAAGAAACCTTGTCGTATGAAGTTCTCTGTAGCTTCGAGTAGACCAGCCTTAGCTAGCTTACGGAGAGTTGCGCCTGGTGACTGGCATAGCACGCTCTTGCTCATTGTTTTGTATAGCTGAGTTGCCCATACGATATGTTCCGGAACCGCTGGGCCCATGTAGAGCTCCATATATTGTGGTTCGACGAGGCCATAGGCTATATCAGAATTCATCATGAGGCGCATCTGGAGCAAGTTATCGAGAAACGTCTCGTCACGATTGAGCAGGTGCTGCACGAGATCCAAAGCTGTTGACGATGGGTTTACCGCTCCAGTGGAAGCAACGAGATGAGTATCGAAGTTATGGACGGCGTAGTAAGCAAATGCGCTGCCATCAATTTGCCGGTCAAGGTCTTTTCTGGGATCCAGATCTTTCATCAGAAGGCATACAAAGGTGATGCAGTCTGAAGCATTTTTGCGGTTCATGGCATCTGGATCAGACAAGATCTTCCAGGGATCACCGGTGTACCCTAAAGTCGCAAAGTTTTCTGAGAAGAACTGAAAGACTGATGAATGTATGAAAGTGATCTTCTCATCACCCCACCATGTCATCTTCTTCTTGGGTATGTGCACTAGGTTGCCACATGCACTCGAGACAAAGGTGATTGAGGGACCTTCAGCACATTCCTGATAGGATGTTGGAGGAATTGGATCAGCTAGCGGTAATGCCGCTTCAAGCTCAACCCAACGCATTTCTCTAGTGGCCGAAAGAATCCATCGGAAACATGCTATGGCAAGCGATCTCTGGTATGGGTCCTTGCGATTGATTCCCTCGAGGATACGACTATATGTTTCAGTCAGACCCATCGGCAATTTTTCCAGAGCTTTACTGATTTGTGTGTCGGTCTCGAGAGAACAGAGATGGTCAAGTTGCAGAACGACCCATAGGAACCTGAGAGAAATCGTTAGCCGTGTTGAATAAAATCAATTTATGGTGCGAAGATCTTCGGCTAGATAGTGTATGCGTGTGTCCCTGCACCGTATAATTGCAGTGATGACTTACATTCCATCAGCTCTGCGAATCAGAGTGGAAACCACCTTCTCGAACAAAACGTCATTCTGTACAAGAAGAGTCTGACTTTGCCTAAGACTTTCTGTCCTCTGGCGGATGAGGAAATTGATGTCCTTCGTTGTATCATCAGAATCGGTCGTCACCTGCAAGACTCCTTTGCGATCGAAGTATCGGGCGATATCGCTCTTCTTCCTGCTGGTCATGAAAATCTTCAAGACTGGCTGGCGGAAACGGAGATCGTTGAGAAGATCCAGCACAGATTTCCTTCCTGCGTCAGGGCATTCGTCGAGCCCATCAATGACGATAAGAGTCCTCGCGTAAGAAGCAATCAGCCTGAGAAAGTTGTCGCTTGTAGCAAACTCCTGAGGATCTCGATCTTCTCTTTTGCTCGTAGCAGCCACTCTGGGATATGCTCCTGCTGGCGGCACAGCTGCTTGAACAATGCTAGAATGAGAGAACTCGAGTCCTGGAAGGAAATATTACTGACAGTAAAATATGCAAAACAAACAACACTATCGGTATTGTGGCACATGTCTTGGAGATACTGGATGACTCGCGATGCGAGAATCGATTTTCCAGACCCAGCTATGCGTCAGATGTCAGCACGATCAATATGGGAGATCAGTCTTATCGCAAGCCATCTCACGATGCAAGTGCAAAAGTTTAAAGACGGAACACGTGCATCGAGATGTTCTGACTTACGTTTGCCTTGGCACCACAGCATTTGGGACGTCTGGGATGACAGCCATTGTTTGAACTCGTTTGTGCCAAAGAGCCAGCCGCACGTACCATGATGGCGGACTTCGAGCGATTTTGTCTTTTTGAGCTCAAAATTGTTGTTCGAAAGCCATCGATAAAATTCCTCCCTTTCCTTTGCTAAAACAAGTTAGCAGGTATGCATCGGTTTTGACACTCAGCTACAAAGAAAAGTCTTTCCATACGGAGATGGCTGAAAAAGATTGCTCGATATATGAATGATCTCAATGGACCTCTGATGAAGTGTTAAGAGCTTTGGGGACTCACTGCTGTTCACGAGTATCTCGGATACCCCTGAATGTAACAAGATATCGTTGTGACCTTGGAGAGAGTATTTGATTTCGCCGAACTCTGCTGCAAATGGCGTCCATTGAGAACGAAGGAATAGCTTGAACGAGGCGTAGTTCTTCGCCTTACCAGTCTCGTCGACGAACAATCTTCGAGCTGCGCTGTAGAACTTCAGTATATCGGCATATACATCGGCCAGCGCATTGCATATGTTGGGTAAATCGCATTTTTGGGCATATCTCGCTAGAGGGGCCAGGTATTTTGATAGTTGGTCGAGCATGTCTGATACCTTGTCGAAATACTCAAAGTAGCGTAGAGCAAGGTCGATAACCAATTTGGCGCCACCCAATGCGATCGACGCCGTCGATTCGGCCTGTAGGAAGATAGAAGCCCCACCGACTGAAAGCTGAAATACATTCAAGAAATTGGTTATCCTCTTTGTATACTTTCTAACCGAGGATTGCCGTGAGTGCTCTTTGTCGAGCTTACGGACCCTTTCCAGTAGGTCATCGAGGCCATCGTTGGAAGCTTGTATGAAAGCCATTCTATCTGCATCAGAAAGCTCTTGGATATGGCGATCTATCGCTTTCTTCAATGCCGGGTTGGACGTGTTTGTCGATGCAAGTACAAATGTGCCTTTGAAAACAACATCTCGGCGAATCTGAGAAGGCGAAGGATAAGAGCTTTGAACTGGTTGATGCTTGACATTGAGTCGAGTCTGGGAATCGCTTGCAAGGGAACGTGGAGTAGAGTGAGGCTTGGACTTCAAGTGACCTCGGAGATGTGGTTCGTCAGAGGAAGATGGCACCTTCTCTGACTTTGGGCGTGAGACCAATGCTTTCAGGCGGTGCATCGTGCGAGCTGGATATCGAAGAGATAACGGGAACCAGCATACTCGACAGAGACATGTCTTCTTATTCTCGTTCCAGGCGGTTCATCCATGGTGGAGGCTGACATCTTACCGCGCGCGTATATAAGACACCATGGACAGGAGTGGTAAGAATGCAATTTGCATCAGACAATCAAATGGACAAAATTTGTACGCGCCTAGTAAATGCACGAGTGCGGCACAATATCCATATTTCGAGCGGCTAGGAAGCGATAGCAATACCCTTGTGTGGAAGCGCTTGACTAACTTGCCAAATTTAGGGACGGTCACCAATATACGCTGTCGACTTATGTGTTATCTCTGCAATTGATAGGTCGTCCTCTGCAAGCAGTTCTGCATGTATCGGAGTATTCAGTCGGAGTGACTGTAGTTTGCTCGGATCAAACCTTGACGGAGCTGTATCGCATATCATCACTCCCGTCACCTGACCTGGCTTGATTTGCGGATCGAGTAAACAAGTTCCAAATTCCCTAAGCCAGTGCAATCAGACGGTGGAAGGAGGATGATGCAAGGATGCTTCGAGCACTCGAAGGACACATGGAGTCTCCTCTCGGTCGTTGTTGCGGGAGTGTTGCGGGTAACAGCGAGTCAGGATGCCGTGATGAGAAATACAGAGAAGAAGTCAGAAGCAGCACAACAGGTGTCCTCCAAATCTTGGCAAATAATGTCGAGGCTCTGGAGTGTGGGGAAGGAAGTTAGTGGAAGCTCCAGATGTCTCCTAACTTTGGAGTTGGTTCGAGTCCAGTCTCCTTTTGACTTTTGTCCCCTCTGGTCATCACACAAGACGTCCACTTTCCTGTGAGTCTTCTGCCTGCAGTGACTCGAGCAGTCTTCTAACACACGCACAGATTCTAATCCTGCCTCTCACACTCGGTTGAGCCGCTCGTCAGTAACGGTTTCAGCTGTAGGTGCATCCCCGTGCCCCTACCAACGCTCATCCCAGGCCACACTCTGACACGCACCTCGCAGCATCTTCGACGGTTTTCTTATCGGAACTGGTATCATCATGGCTTCTGAGGCCCCCACCCTCGCTGGCTCTTCTGCCGACAACCTGACGCCCGCCCAGCGTCTGGCCGAGAAGCACGACGACCACAAGCCCACAGTCGAGGAGGTCGTCGACGAGGAGGACATTGCCCACCCTCCTCCTTCTACTTCTGCCACCGCTTCGTCGTCGGCTGGTCCCTCGACTGCCGCCCCTACTCCCGCTCCCGAGGCCGCTCCTGCTCCTGCTCCCAAGAAGTCGTCGGTCCTCGACACTCAATCCGAGGAGCTGTTCCCCTCGCTCGGCGCCTCCAAGCCTCGCTCTTCTGCCGGTCCTTCGCCATGGTCTAAGAAGCCTGCCGCCGTCGCCAACGCCAACGGCCTCCACAATGGTCAGGTCGCCAACAACGCTCCTTCGCGCAGCTCCACTCCTGCCTCGAGCCTCGCTACTCCCGCTTCCACCGCTGGCTTCCGTGGCGTCTCTCTCCCTGGCCGTCATACCGAGGCCATCTCNTTTGCTCCATCTCAGCTCGCTCAGTCAAAGGACTTGAAGAAGCCCGTCTCCGAGATCCTCCGCGACATCAACAAGCGCTCCAAGGCCAAGGTTGAGATGGGCCAAGGTGCTGGTGGTTCCTACTCCTTCAGAGCCACCGGTTCCACTCCCAACGACGTCCGCGAGACTCTGAAGGAGGTCGCCCGTCAGCTTGGTTCTAGAGTAAGTTGCTGTTCCAAGCCAATGCACCTTCATGGTCGCTAACAACAAGCANNGCAAAGCGTCAAGGTGCCCGTCCCGCTTTCCGTCCGTCCTCACATCATCGGCCGTGGTGGCGCCAACATCACCGCTCTCAGCCAAAAGACTGGTGCCAAGATCCAGGTTCCTCGCCAGGACGACACTGATACCGCCGACGATGACGACTCTGCCACCATCGACGTCCTTATTGAGGGCGACGCTGTTGCTGCCGAGATGGCCCGTCAAGAGATTGAGAAGATTGTCAACGAGCGTACCTCTTCCATCAACCTCCGTCTGAAGGATATTCCTGCCGAGTTCTACCCTTTCCTTGCTGGTGCCCACAACTCGCGTGTTGGTGACCTTGAGAATGGTCGTGACTTGAAGGTCCAGATTCCTCACTACCACACTTGGGTCGAGCAGGCTCCTCCCGAGCCCGCTGCATACCGCCAGCCTCCCGCCTTCGTACCCCAGGCCAGCCTCCCTATCCAGATTTCTGGTGACCGCTTGGCTGCCAACGAAGCTCGCGCCCAGCTCGAACGCCAGGTGGAGCAGCTTAGACGCGAGCTTGTTTCAGAACAGGCCGCTATTGAGCGTGGTCGTCATCAGTTCATTGTTGGTGACAGAGGCACTTCTCTCCACGACTTCCTTGCCGAGACCGGATGTACCGTTGTGCTGCCTCCTGATGCCGAGAACGACGAGAACCTGACCATCGTTGGTCCTGCTGATAGACTCGACGACGGTTTGAACAAGGTCATGGAGCTTGCGGCCAGCATGTCCATGGCCAGCGTTGACATCTCTCGCTCTTTCCCCAACGCTCCTCTCGGTGCCCAGGCTCACGCTCGCAACGTTACCAAGTATCTCCAACAGAGACGCGCCATCCAGGACCTCGAGCGTTTGTACAATGCTCGCATTATCGCCAGCACTGCCCGCAACGGCCCCACTGCTTGGGAGGTTGCTTCCCGCGACGGCAAGAACACCATGAAGGCTCGCTCTGACATCATGAACCTCATCAGCGGTCATCCNCCTGCCCGTCTCAACCCCGTCCAGGTCCACCCCTTCTACCACCAGCACCTGCGCCAGTCAGCTGGTCCTCAGATCCGCGACCAGTTCGGTGTGCACATGGTTGTCCCTGAGGAATCCGACAGTGATGATGAGATCCTGCTCGTCTACGAGGGTCCTTCTTCCGCTGCCGATTACCAGCTGCCAAGACGTCAACCTGCTGCCAACGAGGCTCAAGACTTCGAGCGCGCCCTGAAGGAAGCTCAACAACACCTTTTGAGTCTCATCAGTGGACAGCAGGAGATCGTCTCCCGTGACGTTGACGCCCCTCCCAAGTTCCACGACAAGATCAGAAGACATGTTGATCGTGAGCAGTCGAACCTCCCCTCGGGTCAGATTCCCATCCAGGTCTTGTTCGGTGGACAAACTGCTCGCAAGGCTCCTGCTCAAGGTTTCTCTGTCCGTGGTCCCAGCGACCGTGCTGATGCACTTGTCGAAAGCCTTCTCGCTTTCATCGAGCAAGAGAAGCAGGACGAGCTTGAGCGCGGTTTCACTCTGACTTTTGACTTNCCCCAGAAGTTTGCCAACATCTTGATCGGAAAGAAGGGCGAGAACATCAGAAAGCTTCGTGAGGAGTTCGACGTCGACATTCAAGTCAACGATGGCAAGGTCGAACTCAAGGGTCCCCAAGCCAAGGCCAATGCTTGCAAGGCTCACATCCTTGCTCTTGGTAAGAAGCTCGAGGATGAAGCCACACACGTTATCAAGGTCAAGCCCCAGTACCACAAAGACCTGATTGGCACAAAGGGCAGCATGGTCAACCGTCTCCAAGACAGATACAACGTCAGAATCAACTTNCCTCGCTCAAACAACACCGAGGATGATGACGCAGCTGAGGGAGAGACTTCTCGCAAATCAAACCAGGCTCCCGATGAAGTCATCATCAAGGGTCCCAAGAGAGGTGCTGACGAGGCCAGAGAGGAACTTCTCAACCTCTTGCAGTACACCATGGACACTTCTCACACTGCCACTGTCTCTGTTCAGCAGAGCCAACTGCCTTCCTTGATTGGAACCGGCGGTCGTGAGCTCGATGCTCTCCGTCTCGCCACTGGCGCTCACGTCGACGTTCCCAATAGCCGCGAGGCGGCCGATGCTTCTGGACGCGTTGAGATCAAAATCAAGGGCTCAAAGAAGGCTGTCGAAGACGCCAAGAAACAGATCGAAGAAGCTGCCAAGGTCTTTGACTCGACTGTCACTCGCACGCTCGATGTTGAGAAGAAGCACCACCGCAACATCATCGGCGGTGGTGGTGCTAACATCCGTGACATTGTCATTAAGGCTGGTGGCCCTGACGATAGACAGAAGCTTGCCCGTATGGTGCGCTTCCCTCGCGCCGAGGCCGAAGGCAACACCATTCGTGTTGAGGCTAACCAGGCTATCGCTGACAAGATCATCGAGGCCATCCAAGCACAGGTTTCTGAGCTCGAGAGCCAGACAACTCAGATTATCGAGGTTTCTCCCGAGAAGCACCCTAAGCTGATTGGTCGTGGTGGCGACATCAGAAAGAAGATCGAGTCAGAGTTTGGTGTTCAGCTCGACATTCCGAAACAGTCTGTCACTGGTCCTGAGCGCTCGAAGGTCAAGCTAATGGGACGTGCCGAAAACATTGAAAAGGCCAAGGAACACATTGCAACTCTCACCAAGGATGCTGAGAGCACTGATATCCAGATCCCCCTCAAGTTCCACCACGCCATCGCCGACAACGGACAGTTCTTCCGCCGCCTTCGTAGCGACCTCAAGGTCTCGGTTGATCATAAGGGAGTGCGTCCTCCTCAGCGCCCTGAGGCACTCTCTACTCGTAAAGCTGGCTCTGGAATGCCTTTGATCACCGATGATGCTACCGGCGGCGCTTCTGACGACAACATCTCGTGGGTCGTGCACAGCCTTCACGAGAGCGCGCCTGAGGGTGAGATCACCTGGGCCTTGTCTGGAGCTTCTCCCGAGAGCCTCGAGAAGGCCAGCGCTCGCGTCAAGAAGGCCCTTGCCGACGCCGAGAAGCTGACCCACGCTGGTTTCCTTGTCCTTCCCGACCCCAGCTCTTACAGAAGAGTTGTTGGTCCTCAGGGCAGCACCATCAACGACATTCGCGCCAAGACTGGTACTAAGATCCAGGTCCCCAAGGCCCAGAGCGGCGATGAGGCCATTGAAATCACCGGTACCCAGGACGGTGTTGAGAACGCCAAGGAGATGATTCTCAACGCCATCCAGGGTTAAGAAGTCCAAGTGTAGGATATTTCTAGTGTTTTATGTTCGCATGGGTGCGTCGGAGTCATAGGGCATTTTGCAACAAAAATCGTCAGAGTGTACCATCTAGATGATGTGTTTTTGGATGGGTCCAAAATATCTCAAGAAGCTTAAATTTCGTATCTTTCTTTTTATCTTAACTTCTGCAAGATTTTGCAAAAGCCAAATGTACAGCGGCTGCTTTTGAAGGCGAGAATGATTTCAGACGCAATGATGTGAACAATGCTGGACACAAAGTCACCAAATCGTCACGATCAGTTCTCAGCTTACGCGATTCGCAGCAGTGAACTACTGCGAGGCAAGACCTACGCACGAGTTCTCTCGATCCGCTGCCACACATCTTCAGACTCTGGAACTTGGGTAAGAACGACCAACGTAAGACCTGCTCGACACTAAATAACGCACTTGTTCTCCGATACTGTCAGATTTCTTTTCTTGCTCCTCCTTTTCTGCCGATCTCACTCTCTTCTCTTATCAGCTCTGACTTTGACTTCAACCCCAACACCGGTAATCTACCTCTGCACGTGCCTCACATCATCCACTATGCCATCTAGAGGTGATGGCCTTCCGCAAGAGAGTTGTATTTGCCAGTAACAAAGCCCTGTCACCGGTGTAGATAGGTCTAAATGGACGCTGTCCCTAGCGCCTCTCTCCCTCGCACTTGATCCAACAACAATTCAACAATTCACAGGCAGGCCCAGCTAGAAGCCCAACCTTCCACCAACGCAAACCCAATGCCGGAAGAGAGTCTATGTCCTCGATATCCTGAAGTCATATACGCCGGAAGATCAACAGAATTGTTCGCCGAGAAACAGATCCAACAAAACTTCGCCGCGTCCAACTCCTACTTATCTGCGCTATCAATTATACGTATACTGACGTGTCTCGATCACGATCGCAATACAGACTCGGACCACGAAGCCGAACAAAGGATTGACCTCGACTTTCTGCAGAAGCTTTGCTGTCGGTCTTCCGGAAGCGGGAAAAAGTCGACAAAGAAAACAAGATACAAAGAGCTTCATGAGAAACAGAGGGCAGAACGTATAAAAGAACGCTCGTTGGTTTGCCAGCTTGTGAGAACATACAAAACATAACACGGTTTCTGAGGTTGACCGTATACTCGCTTTCTATCTGGGCAAGAGATCTCTTTGCAACAATGACAGAATCTGAAGCGAAACGACACTCGGAGCGGATCGCGGCACAGAAAGAGAAGGAAAAGAAGGGACAAGCGGAGAAGGAAATGCTGCAGAAGGAAATTGAGATGGCAGCGAAACAAGGTCTCCCCGAGGATGGATCTCTCATGTTCAAGAAGTTCACGTGGTATTCCGGACCCTTCAATATCGATCGCCAAGAAGTCTGGCAAAGAGAAGAAGATGTCAAGGTCGGTGTCTGGGCAACCAAAGCACACTGGAAACCGAAGAAGTTCTATCCTGGTCAGATCTTGAGGATCACACACACTTACCCCCACTCCAATCTTGAGGCAAAGTACAGCGCAGATCTTGGGGAGATCGCCATGACGGACATTGAGCCTGTAGGTCTGAAGATGCGCTGGGCCGTTGTATTGTGGACCAGCTCGTTCGGCATCTTTGTTCTACCGTAAGTTGAGACAGGTAGCGCAGAGCGAGTTATGTTGAGAGCTATGCTAACACCACCTTCTCTTTTCACAGAATGTTCAAGCTGCAGGGAAAAACATCCTTGAAAGATTTACCTGAGGAGCGCAAGAGAGAATATGTTGCCATGGCCACCGAAGGCACAATCCCGCCAGAGGATAAATGCACTCCATGGTATGGTCATCCCATCATCATGAACGTAAATCCAGACCTCAAGATGCCATTTTCTTCGCTCTGTTATGCCGATCTGAGTCGCCCAATGGCCATCACTATATGCGAGTATCTGGAGCAGGACCTAGGCTCCCTCGACGGAGACGAATATCTTCGACTACTCAGTCTCTTCAAGCTGAAAATTGACTCTTGGATATCCAAGTCTTTCGATATGTTCGAGACCGGCACGTCCTACGACGAGTCGAAACTTGTCCTTCCATATGCAATGCCTTTGCCCCGAGAAGCCTTTGACGACTTTGCGGACTGGAAAAAGAAAATGGCAAACAAAAATTTCCGGGACAGATTCACTCAAGGGCAGCAGACGACAGGCAATACAAAGATGTAAGGCCCAAATCTAAAAGTGTGAGTGGAGGTAGTAGCTCTAGGGTTGTCAAGAAATCTCGCGGTGGTGGTGGTGTTGGTCGAGGTGGTCGAGGTGGTAGAGGCAGGGGAGGCAGTGGAGGTCTCACGCACTGAGTCCCGGGCGACCTTGGAGTGTTACAGCAAGTCGAAAGAAACAAACCAAGCAATTGTTAATCATGACAGAGCAGACTATTTCCTTGTCTCTTTTGTCCACACATCCTCTCGATGTGCTCTTTTCCATGACTCCTTCGCCCGAAAAACTTTAGCCTGATGGCTCCTTCCCTTGTCATGTTTTGCTTGCTCGTAATTTTCTTCTTTATGACTTTCTATTCTTCAGCCGCAGCTTCCCTCAAATCCGCTGGTTTCTTCGATTCGTCACTTTGTTAGTTCTCCAACATCGTATAGATAGCTAATTCATTAAGGATCGTCACTAAAGATTGTATGCGCTCTGAGCAGTGCAAGCGGCTGTACACAGGCTTTCGTCCAAAGGACTAGAAGTAAACAATTCCGGACCTATACAAGTGTCATTTCCGTTGCCCGTGCATTGTTGGCACACTTCGCATGTGGTGGCTTACATCACGTGATTCTCTAGCGTGTAACATATATACTATCAGCACGCCCCATATGTTGTTGGTCTTCCACCTTTGATTTTAGTGAAGACTTTCAAACGTCGACACGATGGCAGAATCACAGAATGCTCGACAAGACGAAGACGGCCCTCCTTATCCAACATTCAAGGAGCGCAGAATTGAAAACAACAAAGCACCGATCTTCTCAGGAGCGTACGAACGTTTGATATGGCCAGTCCGAGGCGAGTTCCCATCCGCCATTTCGGTCATGCCAGAGCCTCACCGGAACACTGGCACCCCGCAACCATTGTTCAACTCAGAAACTGGAGAGTGGCATGAGATTGCCTCGCAATCAATCACAAATACCAAAGTCTCACACCTCGAAGCATCTCTTGCAAATCTGGACTCTTGGGACCGTAATTGGGAGCGGGTCCATATGGAACATGCTGACCCAGCGTACGACGAGTGCGAGTTTGTCACCTATGGCGATCTCGACAACGACGTGCGCCCTTTCGCGGAAGAACCGATGCGAGAGGACGGGACGTGGAGTTGGGACGAGTCCTCGGACACAGAGATTCTTGTTCACTGCTGCGGTGAAGACCGCCCACTGGGTAANAAAGGCCTTACACTCGAAGTGCACCCTTCGCCTGGCAACGATTTCGTTACGGTCAAGGACTACGTTNNAGCGGTAAGTGCTCGCATCAATGTAGTTATGAACGAATTCGATCTAACCCTGCGATGGAATATAGCGGTACACCCCTGGCTTATGAGCATGCAGGATGATATCCTCGCAGCAATGCGGACAGCAGAGCCTGGATACCCGGCTTCCACCGAGTGGAGGCTGAGCAATGCTTACTATGATGGCCCGAGGCATCAAATCATCCTTCCCGAACTTTGGGAATCGATGAACCGGCCGAACCAGAATACATGGTGAACAACCTTGAAAGCTTTTCGCATCTAAGCAATCTCATTTGCTGACGTTCTTGCTCGCGATTAGGGTCAGTTCTGTGATGGTTGATGGGACTACTTGATCATGAGATGAGTGGATTAGTCACTTTGCAAGGGAAAGAAGGTTCAATTAAACGACACAAGCCCCTCCAGGACCTGGTGGGACGGGAAAAGCTCTCGAGATTGTTGCAAACCCAAGGGTTCGCTGTATGTCCACCCGGTTCGGTGCTGAGGATGCACTCAAAATTCGAAACTTGGCATGGTATGCAAGATGGCCGATGTGATGAGCAATACAACCAGTAGGTAATTACGATAGACGCACGAATAAACGACAAACAACTCAAGTAAGCATTCAGGGCCGTCAAGACAACCATAATCCGCACCGATACAGGATCATGGAGCTCATGGCCTTTGCGTTGTCTAGACCAATATCTGTGAGATCAAGCTTTAGCCGTGGCAGAGGCACAGTACGAAGATCCATAGGCAATGACCGTCGAAGCGACGGCTGTGCCGCACGCGCCATTTGCGCAGTCCCTCAATCCATAGCCAAAGTTCACATTCTTGCACAGGCAAGCGGGATCAGGACTAGAGCAGCCCAGCGTCGAATACTGAGCTTTCATGTTGTTAAGGCACGTCTGGCCGCACGAGGGCAGTGCAGTCAAGCTCGTCGAAGTAGTGACGGTGTGTGTTGCGGATGCCGTCGAGCAGTATGAGTTGCCGTAAGCAATCACGGTGCTCGCCACAGCTGTGCCACAGGCAGCGTTTGCGCAGTCTCTCAGTCCATTACCGAAATTCGCATTCTTGCACAGGCAGTATGAATCCGAACTTGAGCAGCCCAGCGTTGAGTATTGAGCCTTCATGTTGTTGAAGCACGTCTGGCCGCACGAGGGCAATGCGGCGAAGCCCGTCGTGGTGGCAGTGTGTGTTGCAAACGCGGTCGAACAGTATGCGCTGCCGTAAGCGACCACGGTGCTCGCCACAGCTGTTCCACAAGCGCCGTTTGCGCAGTCCCTCAGTCCGTTACCAAAGTTGGGATTATTACACAAGCAGTATGAATCCCCACTTGGGCATCCCAGCGTTGAGTATTGAGCCTGCATGTTGTTGAAACAGGTCTGGCCACATGAAGGCAACGCCGAGGAAGCTGTAGTTTTCGGGGTGGACGTAGAGGTCGTCGGACTGCGTGTGGTGGTTGTTGGACTCTGTTTGGTGGTTTGCAGGCTGGACGAAGTGGTTACCGAGCTTCGTGAAGTGGTTTGCAGGCTGGACGTGGTGCTTGTCGAGCTTCGTGTGGTGGTTGGCAAATTTACCGGTACACTTGTCGTGCTCGGAGACGTACAGTTTCCGTACAAGGGTTGACTATCGAGTCATGTCAGCAGCTGTGATGCCTCAATTGCCTCTGCTTCGGATGTTGGAATGCGGAGCGCGTGGCGATCCATAGAGTTGACGCGCTCGCGAGGAGAATGCAGAACTCACCATCCTTGTCCACAGTCGGACGCATCTGAACCGCACATGCCATTCGAGTTGCAGCAATTGCCCCATATCACATTGCAAGTGTTGTGATTCGATGGACCACAGGTACCATCGGTTGTGTTCCCTCCCCACCATGAAGGAGTTCCCGCAGGTGCCCGGGGATGGTGCAATTTCCTGACTGACACACCGTAATTCCACAAAAGTCCGCGCCTGTGCCACATTTTCCAGCAGCGTTACAGCAGTCACCCCAAACTCCGGCGCACTGCTTGTTGCCGTTCTGAGTGCCGCACTGGCCAGTGGTGGAGAAGACAGAGTCTCCTGCACATGCGCCTTCGTAGCATGTCCCGTCTGCGCAGTCCGCCCTGCAGAGACAAAGTGTGTCAGCGTTCGTCAACAGTAACCATGTATGATGGTAAGAGTTGTGGTATGTGCGTCGAACAAACTCACGTCGAATTGCCACAAGTCCAAGTATTGGAGTTGCAGCACTGATACGCTGTACCCAAGCATGTGGCATTGCTGTGTAAGGGACCGCAGAGCCCATTGTTGGATCTGAGTGGCTCAATGACTGTTCCAACATATCGATCATCAGTTCCAAGATTGTGACTTGCCAAAGCAGAGAGATGTTCTTGACTTACAGCCAGCGACGCAATAGTCCGTGTTCGCCTTGATATTGCTGCAATCCAGGAGCACGGTAGGGTTCAATTTGAAGAATGTCGCAACGTCGATACCATAGTCTTGAGCCAATTCAGTGCAGGTGTAGTAGTTGATGTCCATGCCTTCCGTGTTGGCCGCGTATCGACAGTTGACCTGACCGACACCGATGTCCCCACTGGTGACCAGAGGGCTGATGATCACCGTAGGCAGAGGAGTCGCTGGATTGACCGGAGAGCTGGACAGGCCGGTGCTGGTACCAGTCGACGATGTCGAACGTAAAGATGTGGACGTCACGTCCCGTTTGAATTGTCCGGGTTGCCATGTCGAGGCCGCACAGTCATTCGAAGCGGCTGTGATGCTCGCCAAAGAGGAGAGAACAACCCAGAAGCCAAGGCCATTGACCATGGACAGTCCCGAAGTGAACCTCATGCTTGAGGCAGGAGCCTCAGGGTGGAGTAGAATGGCAGTAAGTGAAGCAAGCTCAGTAGCACGAGCTCGTCAAGAATCAGCGAACACCTACCATGGAAGACTTATATGACAGCCAGGCTGAGACCGGTGACAACCTCTGTTCTGTCACTCACTCTCCTCGCTTGTGTAGCCGAAGTGTATCTACTCACAGATGTTGGTTCAAAGGTCCCCAGCACGCCAATACCGTAGAAGCAACGACCATCTCTTGGCAGAGGATCAGTAGATACGACGGCTAGACCGAGAAGCGAGAGTAATCTGCACCATGGCGCAAGATGTTGGTCAGGTACATATGAGCAGATGCAGGGTGGAAGTGCGAAGTCACAAGGGACACTGTTAAGCGTGCGCCGAGGCGGTATGGTTGGCCCTTTTTGACACAAGTTGCACTACTCAGTGCGGCGGGGTAAATTCGTGGGGGTCTGTGCTTGCCAACCACGAGGCTTGACGAGGCTTGACGAGGCTTGACAAGGCTTCAACCTCACCTCCTGCTTCGTATAGTCAATTCAATCAATTCAGTCAATTTACCATGGTTTTTCGCAATTCAACTGACGGGTTTGAGCTTTGGAGAGGCGCCATCCGTGTTCTCAAGAGCTATGGCGCTTCGTGGGCTCAAGTTATATAACATCAACCCATTCCACGCGATGGCGCACAAAGGATTTACTCTAGATGGAAGAATAAGGCCTCCCGCAGACCGTGGTCATGAGATGGTGAGCGAGAAGGCTGCCTCAGCTCAATAAGCCTCCTTGCCCTCCTGCTTACAGCCTCTTCTCACAGATCGCTGTTAGCTTGTTACAGAGCTTGATCAGCGCAGGTCCATCCAAGTGCAAGACCACCAATCAGGACCGCGAACTTTTGCTTCTCGAGTGTCTCGAGCCCTTGTGCAGGAGGATCGGCCACTAAAAAAAAATTCTGGCGTGTTAAGATGTTGTAGTCAAATTAAGGTACTCCCGCCGTGAGACTACGCTAAGGGCCCAGGCGAGCGACCGGTGAAGACTCCTTCGATGACATGCAACACGAGAGCCGTTTCATCCACTTCGTTCGACTACGGCGTCTGATAGCATCACCGGACTGCAATGCAGCAAGAAGCAGGAATATTGAGGCATCCTGCAAGCACGCTCGGTGTCCACCAACAAAGCCCATCTCGCCATACCCTCATCCCGGCTCAAAGGAGGTAGTCATGGTAGTAACAAAACGTTTCTACGGTACCAGCCTTACAGCTGCCAGGAGTTGGTGGAGCGAGTTTCAATATTTCCTGCATCTGCATTTGCATTGACTATACATGACACACCCCATGCACCTGACACGCAGATGTTAACACATCAACATGGCTTTTACCAAGCTCCTTAACGAGGTCTTGATCGGCTTTTCGAAACCTTGACACGCAGACCGCGACAAATCTGGCTAGAGAGGAGCGATCAACGACAAACCATACCTCCGGAGGTAGCATCTGTTTCAGGGACAAGGTACTGGCGCTCCATGGAGCTATCACACTCGCAGCGTGATGAGCCCACATGTCCATGTTCGGGATAGCCAGTGGCCTACTGAGCTCCCTCTCTGAGTTCTTCCGAATACGAGATGGCGCTGATTGGCAGCTATGGCGAGATGACATGAAGGAAGTGACCTAGCTCCAACTCGCAGCAATATGAAATTAGCGAAATTGCCGGCCACACCAGTAGATCACGCTACTCCTTCGATAAGGTCTCTATTGCTGTTGGTATTCTGACCCAATCGCTGTCAGAGGTCTAGACAAGGCTGAAGCAGTCCATGCCCCGCTGCTTGTCCGCAAGCGATGGCGGGTGCTCAGGATATCAGCGCCGAGGAGGTAGTGGTACTACAGACATATATACTGCCCGTCACAGGTCTCTCCGACGTCTCTCGCTATCTATCCACATCGTCACGGGACTTCTCTGGTTACGTGCTTAGAATTGCTGAGCGAAGAGATGGAGCTCTTCACTCTAGTTCGCCTGGTGATCGCGTGCTGCTGTCTCTTCGCGAGTCAGGCCGCTGCCCAATTCCTTCAGGACTACATTGCCAACGCACAAGCAGGAACTTATTCATAGTGAGTCGTTCCATTCCACGCACGAAGAAAGCATAGTGGAAGAATTCTGTTGGCCCTCCTCTGCTGAGCTCCTACGACTAGCCACTCTTTGATGCCGCAGGATTGCTAATCTATACCATCCAGCACGCCTATTCCAGGTCATACGCCAAGGCCTGTCGTCAACCTTGGGACTGTAGTACCCTACCTGATTTACAATTGCCATTATATGCGAGATATCTGTGTCAACTATCAACAATTCGCGTTGACTGCGCGAGGCCAAGCACTTCATCCTCAAAGTGGACTACCCAATGATGTTTTCGGATATGACTTTGATACTGGCGACACCCAACCACGTTCGCATCAAGACTATCGACGAGATGCTTCATGTCCGACCTCTGGCGCCAGGAGATGGCTCACTAATCACCCTTGCCCGGAAACAGCCCAGTTCAATCCAATGCGGAACAATGGGCCGTGGTACACAACACTGCTTGATCCTCAAATAGGTGTTCCACTGCTCGGAAGAATCAAGAACTTGCTACAGCATCGATATGATGCCAATGGCAACATCGTGGAATACTCCAACATTAAGTATACCTGCGATGAATTTCCGCCAGCGACATGGTGAGTCACAGTGCGATCTGTGAAAAGGATACGGTCTAATATGATGTGTTCAGGGTGGAAGGCGGAAATGGCTGGAGCGGTAATCAGCCCGCCAACACACGATGTGCCGCACTTGCTTGTGAAGGACTACGTCTTCCTCTTTTGCCGGTCGTCAAGGCAGAACAGAATTGTAAGTTAGCAGTCATTACATCACTAGGCGTCCGCGAGCAGCCGATGCATGAAATAACGCTGCTAACCAGCATGCATGTTACAGGGCAAGGCCTATCGCACGGCGTGTTGCGAACCCAGATGGCAGCAGCTGCCGACACCATACACGGACAGGGCAATTGGGACAACCCAACTGGCCAGCGCGCCATTATCAATTTCCGGTTTGCCACCAATAACTTCGCAAACGGTATCGCGGCTCGCGTCTACGTCGTGGATGAGCAAGCCATTGGCACAGTGGTGCAGTCGAACACACCGATTTCTCAGGCGAAACGCGCAGTCGGCATGAATGGAACTCTTGCCGGGTCAGGCTTGACCGTCGAGCAGCTTGAAGCCTATGCACAGGCTGGCATGGCTCGGGAGATTCTGATTCACGAAAATTTGACGGTACGTTCACGCTTGAGCTCAAGCAACAACAAGATATCACGCTCGGAGGATTGTCTACCAGCGACAACAGAGAGTCTCCTGTATCATTGTATATAGAGGGCTGTGCTAATCCTTGCGTGCCCTAGGTCAGCGGAGAGGATGTAAACTTGATGGGACTAAACATGGCGTCGCTGCCTCTCACAGGCATTTCTGACTGGAACTTTGGAGATGCCGCCGCCTCGAGGAATGCAACCAATGACTATTCTCACAGCGAAAAGCTTCCGGTGCACCCGCAGGTTGTCCCACGAACAATTCCTTTCGAGAAGAGCAGGCCACTCATCAAACGAGCTTCACCCGATGACCTCGCAGCCGCTCGCAGCATCGTCAAACAAGCATTGGCCGAGTCAGACAAGCTCAACAGAGCACGTGTGGCGAATCCGCGCCGCAACAAGTACAGTCTAAGCTATGACAAGCAAATTAGTCCGCGTGGACTGTCTCCCAATGAAACTTTCCAACTTTCAGACTCAGCAACAGCACCACTTCTCGTAATCACCCCAGAGATTGCCACCGCTGCAGCCCTTGTGGCTGAGGCAGAGATCGGCGGTCATACATCGAATGTAACGAAACGTGCTGCGGCTGCGTCTGCAGGTACGTTCTGGATGCAGAGGTAAGTGGTTTTTCCATAGCGTTTGTCTTGATCGGAGAGCCTAGAGTCCTTATACTGACGGATCGTCCTGACAGCATCGCGCGTAAAGGTTCCGTACCTTGGGGTGATGATCCCAATTATGTGAGGCGTCATCCTATCAACTGAACCACTCGACTGCAGTGATATGCTGACTGGGTCGTACAGAAAGTCTTCCGGAATGTGCTTGACTATGGAGCAGTGGGCGACGGTGTTACAGTAAGTCTTTGTCAATGTGCCTGGCTCGGTGCTCGGTAGGCCTCGTGGGATACGCAGTCTCTGACCATGTTCTTCCATGATACAGGATGATACCAAGGCGATTATCAAGGCTATGGGCAACACGACTCGCTGTGCGAAAGGTTGCAATGGGTCAACCACCAAGAACGCAATTGTGTACTTCCCTCCGGGGAACTACCTGATCTCTTCGACAATTGCTATGCCTTTTGGAACTCAGGTCATCGGTGATGCGAACACGAGGCCGACCTTGGTAGCTGCGCCCAGCTTTGTTGGATTGGGTGTCCTTTCCAATGATGAATATACCGGCGGCGACGGTGGTGATCAAGAGTCAGTTGTGCCCTCCATGCTGCCACTGCTCGAGCCAAGAAAAGCTGACGAGTCTGACCCCCATGCAGATACTACATCAACACTTCCAACTTCTACCGACAGATCCGCAACATCGTTATAGACATTCGCAAGGTCTCGGCCGGAGCGCTTGTGACGGGCATACATTACCAGGTAGGGCAGGCAACCAGTACACAGAATGTGCAGTTGATCGCGCAGGCTGGCACGTCACAGATTGGAATGTTCGCAGAGAACGGCAGCGGTGGTAGTCTTACTGACATTACCTTCACTGGTGGTGGCGTTGGCCTGAAAGGAGGCAGTCAACAGTTCACATCGCAGCGTCTTACCTTCAACGGCTGCGACATTGGTGTCCAAACTATCTGGGACTGGGGTTGGGTGTGGAAGTCCATCACGATGACCAATGTCGGAGTGGGCTTCAAACTGGTTGGTGATGGCAGTGCTGTTAATGGCAACAGTAAGTACCTCGTGGCCCTGATCTGACTCCAAAGGATGTGTCTTGCTTCTTGAATCGCAGATGCATGGACCGTTTATCACCATTGCAGTGATTTTCATTGCGAGATACGAGTTCTTTTACTGACTTTGGTTTGACATAGTTGGATCGATATCACTCTTGGATTCGTCATTCAACAACGTCAAACAGATGCTCGTTGTGATACCCATTACCTCAAGCCTTGGACAAGGCAACACAGGAATATCTCTTGAGAACATTGCTCTCTCAGGAGTTGGCGTAGCTGTCGCGGATACGACTGGTGCAACTCTCCTTGCCGCGTCAAGCTCCATAGACCAATGGGTTGTCGGCCCGGTCTACGAGGGCTCGACTTCAGCTCGCACGTTCTCACAAGGCGCGAAGGTGGGACAGTATAGACGAGAGCACTCTCTCTTGGACGCCAAGGGTAACTATTTCGAGCGTGCGAGGCCACAGTACGAAGATCAACCAGCCTCCGCATTCGTGCATACCAAAGACCTGGGCTGCGCAGGTGACGGCTCGACTGACGACACCGCAGCCTTCCAGGCAGCACTGTACTCGAGCGTCGGCAAGATTTTGTTCGTCGATGCCGGCACATATATTCTCACCTCCACAGTCACCATCCCGCCGGGGTCCAAGCTCGTTGGAGAGACTTGGTCCCAGTTGGCCGCATCCGGCTCTTTCTTCTCTGACGCCAGGTATGTGCATCACCGTTGCTTCCAGTTCATCATCAGTTCATTGTCTTCACATATGGTTCGATTTACTGACCATATTCGGATGTAGCAATCCCAAAGTTATGCTCCAGGTCGGAACGGCAGGGCAAGTGGGCGACGTTGAAATGCAAGACCTTTTGTTCACAACCGTCGGCCCAACAGCAGGTGCAGTCCTCGTCGAATGGAACCTGCAGGCGTCGTCCCAGGGTGCTGCCGGTCTCTGGGATTGTCACGCACGTATAGGAGGCGCTACCGGGACGAAGCTGACCCCAGCTGAGTGTCCAGCTTCTACGAGCGGCACTGACTCAGGCTGCAACGCTGGAAGTCTGATGATGCACCTCACGAAATCTGGCTCGGGCTACTTTGAGAACATGTGGCTTTGGGTCGCAGACCACATGATAGAGTACGTTTATGCACCTTTCCGCCTCGAGCATCGAGCACTATAGAGGCCAGCACTAACCTGTTTCTTTCTAGCGATCCTGACCTCGTCAGTCCCAGTAACGACATGACCCAGACATCTATCTATGTCGCTCGTGGATTTCTGATTGAGAGCACAAGTGCTTCTTGGTAAGTCTGCGTTCCCCTAGAAACCTGCAGCACCGTGACTTATCAAGCCAAAGGCTATATGGTACCGCTTCCGAGCACGCCGTCTTCTACCAATACAACTTTCACTCGGCATCAAACCTCTTTGTTGGCATGCTTCAGACGGAGTCTCCTTACTACCAGCCAATGCCCAAACCGCCTGCACCATTTGCCAACGTTGTGGGTAAGTTCAACGGCGACCCCGACTACACTTGTGCAAGCGGAAACGACTTTAGCGGATGCGACCAGTCATGGTCGACGATCATTACCGGGTCAGAGAATATCCTCATCGCAGCCGCGGGCCTGTACTCGGTAAGTATATACAGTGCGTCCACGGAAACGTACAAAGAATACACAGCCGTATCCCCACACACTTTCTTCACAATAAGCCAGCCATCCCATGTGACTAACACTTTCGTAGTGGTTTTCGACGTACACACAAACTTGCATCGACACTCAGCAATGCCAGAAGGCGCTCATGCTTCTTACCGCCAACGGGCCCGGTGTGCGAATCACGAACTTAATCACCATTGGCGCAAATTACATGGCCGTCATGGACGGGAAAGGCATATCGGCGGCTGACAACCTCAATGTCAACACCCACCCCGACTGGTCGACAATCAGTACACTCGATGTAGGCAGCAACGGGACCACCGATTTCTTGAGCTACCTCTGGATCGATCCGAAGATCTGGGATATGGATACGCCACAGGTTACTTGTTCACCGCCCTGTACGATCAAGATTCCGCCATGGACGAGCGCAACTAGTGTTGTCAATTACCCACTCGTTACCGTGAGTCAAGGTTCTTGGACTAGCACCATCACAAATCCGCCGTTCTCAGTCACGGAATGGTTGTTTGAGCCTGTCACGGTAAATCAGGCTGCTGCGAACAAGGCCAAGCGTGCAGCGATGACGACTAATATTTGGCCGGTCCCTGCAACGACACCGTTCTGGCCTGCTTTCATCTACACTGGAGGCATTGATGGTAAACCTACCACGACATCTGCCACTGTGCCGTTCCCGACCCCTCCTGCGTCGATTGGTCCAAACGCCCCCGCACCGCCTATTGGCAATTGGCCGAAGCGGGACATCGAGATCAATTTCGGTCCTGTAGAAGGCCCGCTGATCGATCCCTGCTCCTTCGACAGCTTCTACAACCCGACCTGCAATCTTTCTCCATGGTTCGGTTATGGTAGTATGGGTAGCGACGGCGGTGGTGGCGACGTCGAAAATGTCTTCGATGCATGGAAATGCCCTGCCCCCGGACCAAGAGCAGTAGCACGAGCAGTAGCACAAGCACTCGTACGACATCAACCCCGACGCCGTCCCCGACTTACTACTACAACGAAGGAGACCCAAGGCTCAACAAAGTAAGCTGCTATGGCAGTGGAGAGAACACCGAAGGCATCCGGATGCAGAACGCGGCAAAATCGTTTTGCAACGGAATCGCCGGCGACTTGCTCGGGCCCAATTATTTCCGCTCGGTGTCCTTTCCCTTCCCGTATAACGGCGGCATCGGAAGTGTGGACATTACCATCTCGCTCAAGATCAAATCTGGATGCAGCTTCGGCCAGTTGAGTTATTTCAACAAGCGTGATAGCATCATCGGCCGCGACACCACCTTTGATACTGCGCTATGTTTGAAGTACTTGTCTGTCCCCACCGATAGTTGCAATTGTGCCGGCGTCAATGGCAAGCAAGGCGGCATCGTCGAAAACGATTGTTACATCTGGCGGATCGATCCAAATGTCAGTCTTTAAGGGTAAAGGATGACGGGATTTTCGACATTGCCGCAGACAAGATAAAGACGGCTAGTCTCTTGAGGCTATTGACTGGGGAGATTGATTTACTAGGTGGAAAATAGTTACTTGTATCCTCGTTTAAGCTCTAGCGATAGCTCTTGATCTCACCTCCATGCCCCGAATAATCAAGTGTAGAGTCACCCCATCTGCTCGATATTATCTTTCCATGATTTGCTTCTTCCCCTTCCTTTGACTGTTTCTAGATTCTGGATACCGCCTCGGTGTTGGTGTATCATGGTCAAATCTCTGCCTTAGTTTTATCACTACCACGTAATGTTATCTAGAGATCAGGTTGCTGTGGTTGATGAAAGGTCTTTTCGATGGAGCGGCGCTCTCAGAAAACGGGTGTCTCAACTAATACCCTAGGCGTTCATACAGTCAAGCAGATATAAGGAATGAGGAATGAGACCAGATCTGTGACCCAAAGTCATGGCGACGTGACCTTTGATAGGAATCTTGAGACAAAGAAAGCACTCTGACCCGAAAGCAGCAAAGACGGGCGGAATTAATTGAAGTCATTGTTTCCATCCGGATGCGGTATTAGGCGAAGGAGTTCGGAGTCGATAGTTGGTGAGAAGCACCGATTAAGCATAGGATGGAGCAGTGGAAGTAAATTGACAAAGAACGGATCAAATGACACACATATAGTGTTGTAATTTTATGGCCCTCACTAGACCTCATGGACGGTGTAAACGGGCTGACTTTTGCAGAACTCCGAGTTGAGGCGGGAAGCGCGATGAGAGAAGATAGCTTACGAAGACGATATGGACATAGGACGATGGATGCTTGGAGTGGCCAGGAAGTGGCGTTGTTGATGGCCCAAGCCTTAGTTTCTGCCCTATAGGAGGAGTGTTGCCCAAATCATGATTACTTCTGTCGGCGTTTCTTTTGGCAAGATGATGTTGAGGCAAGTGCGATCTGATGGTATTGACAGAGATATTCAGCACAACGGTATAGATAAGAAGTCCTTTCACAATGACCTTTATGAGTCCTCTGACGATGATGAGATATCGTCCCCGGTGCGAGTTGCTGAGCCGTTCTGCAGCCGATTCAAAGTCCCTTCGTTGATGGCTTCTCAAGTACAAAGAAAACACTAGGCCGAGTCAGTATGTCATTGACAGTCTGCCTTGGTCGCCGCATCCAGACAAAACATTGACTGACAAAAAGACGCTTTTTCCAATTTCTTTGTTGTGGGCTCACAGACCTGGTTGTTCGGTTCCGTTTGACTCGATCTTAGCATCTACCAAAGCACAGCTTACGACATCGGCCATCAACTCGTACCACAACCTTGTCCCGAAGGGCATCTTTGAATTGCGACCAGTTTTGGAAAGGTTACTCAGCTCGTACCCACACATGGATTTTTCAACACTTCCTACGGTACCATCGAATACTGGCAGCACATGTTGCAAGATGTTCCCGACGTCTTCGACGACAGGAAGCCGACCAACATCGGTCTCTGGACTGACAAGCGCAGAATTGAACCGAATGTCGTTCGGCCCGGCGACATCATAAGAGTGAGCCATAATGTTGCTCAAAATAACACAGAACAGGCTTTCCCCAGTCCCCACGTTCGAACCTTCCGCCATGGACCTGTGTATTCGAAGACAAGGCCAATGGTGGTGCTCTGGAAGACTGATGAAGGAATGTTGTGTTTGCCGCTTTACTCAGGCGACTGGTTGAAGAGGCCATCGACGAAGGAGTTCTGGAAAGCCGGCTTCATGACGGTCGTAACTGAGTGTAATGATAAACCCCAAGATTGGGAGGGGTATACGGCAATGAACGGCAAGCCGCTCAACATGATCGTATCGCCGGATGCCAAACCATCCCTCAAATCCGAGTCTTTCGTAGATATAGATCGCCCAGTCGCGATCAGCAGGTCTAAAGCTGTGCAGTATAGGCAGGCAAGCTTGACTCGAGAAAGCTATGTCCGGTTGATTGAGGTGTACAAACACAGAGAGAACGAGCGGAAAGAAGAAGCTTTCAAGGACCTGGAGTTGCAACATCCGACGCGGAATTCACCGCGAGCACCGCTATCAGCAAGCTCAGGTTATGAGCATACGAAATCAACTATTGCCATGGCGAACAGTAGGCTGAAGGACATAGGACTGTCGGCAGATGAAATCGAGAGTGTGTTTGGTTGAAGAACGATCGGCTGATGGGAGTGTATCTCGCAGAAAGAGTTGTGTTGCTTGATATGTTTTAGTACTTGTTAGCTTATCACAATGCAGTATCGTATATTACTGAGGATAAATAGTCGAAGAAGAACGCGGGCGAGTCAAGTGAGTGACTGCTACTTCCTTGGAGCATTCTTGTGAGATGCAGTGTCCATTGCAATTTGGGATCCTCGAAGCCAGACAAAGCACATTTGAAAATTACGTGCTATCAGGCCAGTCTCTATAGGAATATTTGACGACAATGCTGCAGACCTTGACTACTGCCTTCTGTGGTCCGGAGCATTCAGGGCAACAAGCAGGGTCGGATTGTGGTGGTGGTGGTGGTGGCGTTTCTGAAGACCTCCAACGAGTTCATGGCCTTGGCCTCGAATGCGGCGGTAAACAGAAGAAGAGCCCTCGGCACCTGCCTCCAGGAGAAGTTGGAGACAAGTTCCATCCGTCCAGTTCCGCATCCGGGGCAAATCGGAAACGGCTCTCCGCCCTGTCAACGGCAACGATCTCCGCAAAGGTGGGGGATGTGCGTGTCTCCACCTGAGTGGTCAGCAAGGAAAAACAACAACAACTTCATTCTTGATCTCCACGCAAAATTGAGGAGAACGTTTGTAGTTCACAGCGACGACGAACACCAAAGACAAGGTACCAGAGACCCTTGATGAGCAGCGTGCCTGATTTTCCGGCTCGACCTGGGAGCTGGGACTTGTTTTTGACATGGCAGCTCGTGAAACAAGCAAGCCCAGCAGTCCACACGCGTAACGTAGCTACCTTTGTGTACCTCTCGGGCGAGCGAATGGCGACGCGCCAGCTTTATCCAGAGTTCGATGGATTGGATCGACTACAGACAACGGCCACTGCCATTGGGCGCGGGGCAAAGGTTGGATGCTGGCAGCTGCTGATACAAACGACTTGTGATCGACCCCGCATCTCTCTCGCAGCCTCGTAGGAAGGCGCGAGTAACAGAGTGACTTCCCTCGTCAAGAAGCAGGTCTTCCCTCTTCTGTTCAAAAGCTTCGACCCTGGAGCGAATCGTAGGATCTCGCGCCATCAAAAGCCTTGTTTCCAAAACTTGAGGAACATCCGCAAATCCGATATATATAGCATTATCCGCTTCCTCCTCGATCGTCCTTCACAACAACCACCACACGCTGTTGTTATATGCTTTCATCTGCCTTGCGAACAGAATAGCTTGGACGTTTTTGCACATACGATTTCAGCTCAACAAGCAGTAGCTGTCGGGCATCCGGACATCAAGGTAAGCAATCGATTCCGTCCTCATCAAAAGTCCCGGTATGTCCTCGCATGGTTGCCGAGATAGCGCTGGCTATCGCGGGTAGCGACATTGTCTATCGAGACTTCGAGGCCTGAAACGACAATTGTATGGACGGAACAATTCGCGTCGACGGGTACCGGCTGGCTTGCCAGCTCTCTCCACACATCCCGACATGAAACCGCTTCCAGCAATCACATTGATGGACTCGACCGCATGCTGCTCGTACTCACATTTGATGAGAGCCACTGGCTAACATTTTGTGTTACTCAACGTAGAGCACATACGCTTCACCCTCTGAGTCACGACTTGGCCATCGCATAACCGAGGTCGAAGCATCTTCCATCAGCATATAACTTCGATCAAGCAAGATAGGATCTTTCTTCGAACACTTCTGCCTGCCCAACATGAGCACCACATCGACCATCTCCGAAGCTGCGGCTGCGGCCCGTAACGCGGCCAAAGATGCACCTCAAGCAATGAAGGCTGCTGCCGAGAACCCTAGAAAGGCTACTCAGGACTTCCTACACGCACCCTTCGTTCGCGCCGCCTTGCCATTCGTCAATGGTGGTGTCGCCGGCATGGTTGCCACATCAGTCATCCAGCCAATCGACATGATCAAGGTGCGCCTGCAGCTTGCTGGCGAGGGTGTCAAGACTGGACCCAAGCCCACACCTCTTTCCATCACACGCGATATCATTGCCAGCGGCAAGGCTCGTGATCTATACACTGGGCTTAGCGCAGGACTCCTCAGACAAGCCGTATACACCACAGCTCGTCTCGGTTTCTTCGACACATTCATGGCGACCTTGACCAAGAGAGCCAAGGACCAGGGCAAGGGAATTGGTTTCGCCGAGCGAGCAGTTGCTGGTCTATCTGCAGGCGGATTGGCAGCCATGGTCGGAAACCCTGCTGATCTCGCACTCATCCGCATGCAGAGTGACGGTCTGAAGCCTGTTGCGCAGCGTGCCAACTACAAGTCAGTCTTCGATGCCTTGACTCGCATCTCGCAAACGGAAGGCGTCGCTGCTCTCTGGTCGGGTGCTGGACCAACAGTTGTGCGCGCCATGGCTCTCAACTTTGGACAACTCGCCTTCTTCTCGGAAGCCAAGAACCAACTCAAGGATACCTCGTTGTCGCCTCGCACCCAGACCCTGACAGCATCGGCAGCAGCAGGATTCTTTGCATCCTTCTTCAGTCTGCCCTTCGACTTTGTCAAGACTAGACTGCAGAAGCAGACCAAGGGACCCAACGGCGAGGTGCAGTACAAGGGCATGTTCGACTGCTTCAAGAAGGTCGCAGCCGAGGAAGGACCATTGAGATTCTACAGAGGATTCTCGACATACTACGTGCGCATTGCACCTCACGCGTAAGTCTCATCAAATCATGTTGAATGACAATGGCTGACATTCTTGGCAGANATGGTGACACTGATCGTTGCCGACTACCTTGGTTTCATCACCAAGTAAGAAGATCCGGTGGGTGAGAGACGAAAGATGAACGATGAAGAATGAAGGAGACCTAAGAGACAGCAATACCCACAAGCGCTTTTCGTGTAATTAAGAACCAAGGCCTGGCAGCCTAGATATGAGTATAAGCAAACAGCAGATTCAGTATCTCATGTCCATTGATCGAAATCGGATAGTCGTGAAGTTGAGTGAGTGTGAAGAGGACCCTAACCCTAACCCTAAGGACCTTCCCTTTCCTTTCTTTTCTTTACCGCACTTACTGCAACTCTATCCGTACACTGCACTCAAAATGTCGCTTCCAAAAATCAGCGTCAACATGACAATTACGCCTGCGTCCGTCACACTTGGCGTGCCTTGCTCAATCACTCTGGTCGCGACGCTCTCGCATCCGACTCCAATCACAATCTACACACAGCGATCAGTGTTGAATCTTCCTCTGGCTCAAACAGTGAGAAACTTCTACTGCGTGGATCTTTCCAACAACAACGATCCCGTATTCCTAGAGACAAGGAAGTGCACGAAGAGGGCGGGCGGTGTCCGTCGCGAGCTTGGTGGCAGGGACGACCAGTACTTCCACACTCTGGAACCCGAAAAGCCCTACGAGTTCATTGATCGCTTCATCCTATCATATGGCCTGAATGAACCCTTGGTGGCAGGACATCGCTACCGCTTTGGCTTCAGCGAGAAACAAACGTCACCATGTTGGCTCGACGGCACACGCGAAGACGTCTTGCACCTGCCGGGAGAGCACGAGGGAATCGACAAGGAATGGGCAAAGGGACAGATTATACTCGATCTGGGATTGCCGTTCGGATTCGACGTCTTGGAAGCCGAGGATTCGGTAAGTCAAAGGGACTGTGTCCCGAATGAGAATGAGAATTGGAAGGCGCACGGCGGGCTTGGCGCGAGTGGACGCGTGCTTTGAACGCGTCTTCCTCGAAACGACTTTTGGAGAGCTTCAACCATCTCCCTGCCACACAAAAACACGAGCATCATGTCGCTCCGGACGAGACATTCGACAGTCGCATCGACGCCTGCTAGAGGCACGCCGAGCCGAGCTGGCACTGTCACATCAACACAGCGAGCGCCGACCAACGAACTCCCGCCCTACCAACCGCTGCAACATCCTCTCAGCGTTGCTGGCCGCGACAAACTGCGACATCTATCACAACCCCTCAAGTTCCAGCAAAACCACCAACTACTCGCTGAAGTCATCTCGTGTCTCAGTGAAGCTGCTGCCGAGACCAACGAAGCCTTGAGTAGCAAAGAAAAGGCTCTGGAGAATGCTCGTGCAAAAGCTAGGAACAATGACGATCCATCCACAAGTCAACAGCGTGTTCAAGAGATGGAAGCACAGTTTGAGGAACTGCAAGCAAAGGTCGACAGCATGACTGCTCAGATGGACAAGGACGTGCGCAAAATGATCGACGCCGACAACAACATCGAAGACATGCAACACACCCTCGCCGACCTCGTCAAAGACGCCTCAAACGCCTCTACTCAACGCACACAACGCACCCAACGAGGAGATGACGAAGACGAAGAATACCCCGACTTTGACCCCACCGATCCTACAAATGCTACCCAGCGTCCCCTCGCCGTTGCCGAACTGTTTGGCGATCGAGTCAACCGCGCCAAAACAACCTTCAACAACCAATCTCTGACTGCCCGCTACAGCAGAAACAACCACTACGTCAACTTCAAGCGAATCACCCACGAAGCTCGCTGGCAATCCGAAGGAGACAACCCAATGCCCCCGGCACACCTCTGGTTCAAAGAAGACCGTCCCGAACATGGAGAAACCGCCCTAGGTGCGGAAGACAGCGATGACGATCTCCAAATCGCAAAAGAGACGATATCCACCAGATGCCCATTGACGCTCAGAGAATTCGAGGATCCGGTCACCAGTCGCAAGTGTCCGCACTCGTTCGAGAGGGAAGCAATTACCTCGATGATCAACATGCCTAATAATCATGTGCGCTCAGAGGGTGCCGCTGCTGTCCAATGCCCAGTTGCAGGGTGTCAGAAACTTTTGACCTTGGCGGATGTATACAGTGATGCTGTTATTAAGCGCAAGATTGCTAGAGTGCAAAAGGCCACCAGGGATGCGGACGACGAGAGTGATGAGGAAGGCGCAAATAGACCACACAGTATTGCTAGTGATGACGATGACGACGCTATGGATGTGGATGAGACGCCCGTGCAGAGGATGAAGAAGGAGAGGTTGAGTGGTAGGACGCCGGGTCCGTCTGCTGTGCCGGCTTTGAGTCAGAGGAGAGGCAGAGCTGCTGTGCTGAGTATTGACGATGACGATGAGGATGAATGAGGAAAGATACGACGGCTTTCTTGCACAAGAACTCCAACGCACGCAAGGGATATGAGAGAAGCACAAGCAGCAAGAAAATTCAGATACCATTAAGCTCTTGCAGGACCATATATATGAACATTCTATCACCTCATTGCGTCTCTCACCCCGGCATCATTCTGCTCTCCACGCTCATAGAGCTCTGAACAAGTCCTTCCAATCACCTCTCTTTCTCTTCGCTCCTCCTTGCACACCTCTTCCCTCTTCTGTTCTAGACGCCACGCCAGTGTCAACCCTCAACTCAGGCTTCTTCCTCTGACTTTGACTCTGCTGCAATCTCTCCTTTGCCATTGCTTTTCTCCACGCCTCTGGCCCTCTAGATGCACTTCTACTTACGCTCTCTACACCCCGATAGTTGGTGTGTAGTGTAGCGTCAATATTAGCGAATCCTTGTTGACGTCTACTAGAAGGTGCAGGACGAGGACCCGATGGTTGTCGTCGCTCGATAATCGGCAGAGTTGGTTCTTTCTCCGAGCGCAGTGCTGTTCTATTGGGGTGAGAGGAGAAGCAGCCGGTGATGCGACGAGAAGCGCGAACGATGGATTGGCGTACTCTCCATTGACGGCGTTTTGCGACGACGAAGAGGACGAGGTAGATTANCTGGGATAGGGTCAGTCATCTTTTTGGAGAGGGAGTAAAGAGGGAAAGTGACGTACGGCCTAGACCGACACCGACGGAGACGACACTGATGATTGCCGCAAAGCCTCCTTTGCTGAGCTTGAAACTGCCTGAATCGCCGCCCGACGCTCCGGCCGCGTTGTCGGCGGCAATTTCTGCGGCGGCGACGGATGCACTGCTTTGCGATCCGTATACTGTGAGAGAAGGTGATGAATCAGAGGTCTGTGCAGCCGATGGAATAACGGAGCTAGCGACAGAGGATGTAGAAGTGGCACTGGTGATAGAGACCGGGATAGTGTAGACTTTGTTGCTGGTCCAAGATGCAGAATTCGACAAGAACACTACTTCTGAGTTTGATGTTCTGGGAGATGCGGTCGAGGAAGAGAAGACAGTTGAGCTGATAGTAGCGGCACCATCGCTGGATGGTGAAGCTTGCAGCAACGCTGTCTGTGAACTCTTGACTTGGACAGCATTTGTGTCGACAGCCACGGGTGAGCTATTAGTCGTAGGACCTTCTGAGCTTGTATTCTGGCGAGGAGCTGCTGAAGGCGACGTGGTTGGAACTTGTGAAGAAGCGATAGCGGCTAGCAAAGTCGGAGGTACAGATGTCATGATTGACGTCGAAGAGCCAAAGATTACAGCGACCACTGTAGCTGGTGCTTCTGCAGTCGTTGCCTCTTGTTGGCCGCTTATTCTTGTGCCTGCATTAGATCGGAGCTCGAGACCTATTGGGAGCATCGAGTCGCTGCTACTGCTTGGACTGGTGACGGCAGGTTGGAAGGGGTCGAAGCNAGAGCTCGAGTTGGTGAGCTGCGCGGGCACAGGCTGAGTAGGCGATGGTAAGACAGTAGTGCTCGCCAGCACTGCAACAGATGAGTGCGCCAGCGCATCGGACTTGGCCGACGAGATCGCTGCTGCCAGCTGGGAAGACGACAATTCTGCTGCATCCTCCGCAGCCTCTTCAATCAGAGACTGAGGAACGTTCGTAATGGTCGACACCGATATTCCAACCTTACTCGCGAATACCGTGGATTGGACCTGTGCTATTGTCTGAGTGACTTTGATATGCATCGTGCTGGTTGTATTTCCTTCGGAACGCAGTTCCAGATGCCGTGTTGATAGTGCTTGCCAAGGAACACATTTGGTCTTCAATGTCGCAGGGAGGTATTCCATGTATACAGTGGATGTGCCCATACGCACAGCATAGATAGTACTGGCCAAGTTGGTGACGGTTCTGGTAACATGTATGTGGCGCGTGCTTGTGATTGTTTCTTCCTCGGAAGAGAGTGTCTGCTGCCACAGTCCAGCTTTAGCAGCGAAAGCAAAAGAAGGTAATCGCATTGTGTCGTCGTTGTCTGTATGACTGGTCGCGAGAGAGTCAATATCCTCTACGGGGAGAGCTTTTGGTGGACAATGGTCGAAAACAGACAACAGAAGGACAATGGAGATGAGAGAACCAGCTCGAGTAAACAAGAAAAGCAATCGCGATACCCAAGAAAAATGAACAGAAGGAACGAACAGCAAAAGAACGCAGGAGCAGGTCGGAGAATCCAAACCAGGAAGTCACGTCTCCACCTACCATTATACTCCTAGAGCTTCTGGCTGCTACGCGCCGAAGTCCATGTCGCAAGTCCGTGCCACATGTTGTGCGCCTCTTTCATGCGCGCCAATGATTTTTCTGGCTACCCAAGTCATTCAAAATTGAAAGTGGCTTCCACTGTAGCCGCCTGCTCATTTGTTGAACAGCCTGACGCCGTTGTCGGTCTCTAGAAAGGTGATGGGTATATTTGGGAGGCGGCTATCGAAACAACAGCTTGATGCGTGACTGGTCAACACAATATTGGATGCAGGCCAGCTCGCAGACACATGCGACGAACATTTGACTATTGCATGGTTGTTTGCAGCTATGGGACAACTTGAAGTGGTCGATATATGTCTGTTGTGCAAAGGACAGGGGATTGGCAGAGATCAACTTGTCCTCGCGCAAGAGCCATGGCGGAAATTCGGCACATTTGGCGGAGCTCTGGCGACACCTGCTGATGATGCACCTCTCCTTCTGTCCGCACACACCCATCGCCAGCCAACATATGTCCAGCACATCTTATTCTGGCGTTCTCGGTATATCGCTGTGAATATTCTGGTCGACGACTAATGCATCCAAATACACGGTTGTTGTCAGGTTCAGGAACGCATCTAGTGAGAGCTGGTAAGCTAATGGTTCTTGGTTGAATTGCTCTGTGTTCCCGAACTAATGTACGGCTTCACTCGAGACAGACTTCAGCTTGACAGGACAGAAGGGTCTGATCGAATGGTACTGAATGACAAGAAGGTTTCTAAATTAGAGCCGGTGCTTCACTATTGCTACTCTAATATGGCACCATCTCTGGTTCTCGCTTCGATCTTCCCCAATCTGCATGGTTAGATCTATCGCTGACTATCTCTTGGAGTTTCTTGCTGGCCAGAAGAGACCAAACCATCGTGTCGTCGTCTCTCGCCGGACGGAAGTCCTTCATCCTGCGGTTTTGTACCGTCACCTCTCGTCCCTCGTGCTCGCGAACGTCTTCTGCATCAGCAACCAGTTTCATCCCACGGTTCCTGTATTCTTCCTAAAAGTATTCGTATGCAACTCGTTTTCGCGTCTCTTGATAATAGTCGAGAGCGATGATCAGCCAATTATACATATCGCCTTGGAGGTAGCCCAGATCAGTCTCCACGTATTCTCGTGTGCTGACATACAACGTCTGGTGCAAGCTGATGTAAGTCCTTCCTTTCAGTGGCCTTCGCTGTTGGGGATGAGGTCGGAATGTGAGCACACCAGCCCAGTCTGTTTCACCTTGCCAGTCGTTGCTATCCTTAGTGATGGCGATGTATTCATACTTCCTCCTATGCCACTGATTTTTGTTGTCGAGAGAGAACATGGGAGCGCAGCACAACCCTGAATCAGTAGAGTACAACACCACCATAGGTCGTGGCTTAACATAAACAGGCGCATGGCGAGTCAGAGCGATGCGAGGATCTCCAGGTGTAGCGTTGAGGTTGTTCTGAAAGAAAGTGTGCGTCGCCCAGATAATCATACCCGGAAAGAAGCAATCAGGCTTGAGACGTGGCTCCTGGCGACAGAAGAAGTGGCCGAGAAATTCGCCTTCGAGGTAAAGGTTTGTCCACCAGTGTGTAATGCCATCGGTCTCTTTTGGTTCAGCATCCCGCTTGAGTCTGAAGTCTCGGTTGTCTGGATCTCTGTAGGGCTCATCTCGCGTCCATCTTGAGTCGAATGAGCGCGTTGATGCTCGCGATGCAGATCAAGCGTGAGAGAACACAGAACCTCTGGAAGCAGATCTGTCACGATAATCTCGAGTGTCTCGGGATTCAGTCCGAGAGTGCGAATTCTGAGGTGGACGGATTGAGCTTGGGGAACCTGACGCATGGAGTGAATGTCGGGATGACCCTCGTTGCAATGGACGTTGAGGTAGATCGTGACGCTCTCTGCCTGATTCGAGTAGTCTCTGGGGCTCAAATGGAGGCAATGGCTTCTGGAACTTCTTTGGGCTCATAGGCGAGAATTGATCTTTCTTAGGTGTCAGGAAAANGACTACCCTGCCCGCTGCACGTTTCAGTGCACTGGACTGCGTGTCGATGGGTGCAGGTCTGCTCATGATGAATATGATGGCGGAGAAAGAAGGCTAGTTGACTGATTTGTCCGACGACATACTACTCGTCCTTGTGTGTGGCCTAGACAAAGAAGTCACACAGCAAGAGCGTTCTTTGTCTTTGGTGGTGGGTAGGCCGTTTTCGGCCTCGAGCCAAAATCTGTGTTCTGGTGGAAGTCTTTGACGGCAGCCACTTCAGCCATCCGACACGAGCGAAGATTGGCTCGAAGCTCTTGGAGTGTTGGAAATTGGAACAAAATTGGTACATGCACAATATAAAAATTCCCCGGTTCGTCCCAAGCCCAGCAATGATACCGGGATTCGTTCAATCACTCCCAACTTCTAGACGCGGTGTTTGAACTTTTGAAAGTTCATTCTGTTTGTCTTGTCATCCTGGAATCTCACACCCGCTTTTGGCTGATGTTNTTTGGTAGGTGTCCACGGCACCCAAGTCTCGGGTGTGCCATCTGTCTTGAATCTTGCAAAAGCAGCCGTCCTAAACTCGCGCTCCTTCATGTGGAGGAGGTCTATCAGTCTGCTGTACTCTCCACCATCAACGTGGCCGACATCGTCGATGACAGTTTCGTATCTGCCTATCCAGTGTGGACGAGAGAGATCGGCGAAACAATGGGCCTCGCATTTGTATCGCTCGTTGAACTTTGCAAGAATTGGCATACCTGCCCATGGCGTCTCTCCTCTCCAGTGAGGTTCCTTCACCGTGCAGACGCTCACAAGCTCCTCCTTTCTAGTCTGACGTAATTTGGATTCCTTCTGAGTGTAGAGAGGTATAGCGGCCACTCCCTGGTCTGTCCTCCATACGACTATCATGTAGCGGAATTTGGCCTGAATCGGACCAGCAACGGAAGTTGTCCCGATGGTTCTGTCATACGGTTCGTTTTTGAGGTTTGATTGAGGGTAACAGTCAATCGCCTTGACGATCTTCCCTGGCCACAAGTTGTCGAGGTTAATGTCCAGCGCTTTTACGGCATAGAGTTTCCAGGGTATCTGCTCATCAGGACGGCACAAGGTGCGTCTCTTGTACTTTGTCCCTACGACTGTTTGGTCTTCTTCGTAGAGTTCGTGCTTGTTCTCGACTTTTGCAAGACGTTGTGATCTTCGGAGAGGCTTGCCGTCCGGCCCATTTGGGACCACTTCGGTGAGCGAGAACAAACTTGTCACCGTGGTATTCATGTTGTATGCTCCGAGGTTGTACAGAGTAGTCAAAATATGACTGGGTGAAACCCTCCCAGGGTTCCAGGTGAACTTATCAAGTGCATGGCCGGTCTTTGTCTCTTTGTGCTCGTAACCAAATTCAACCAATTCCGGCCAACGAAATCTGGAGCCTCAGAGTATCAATTCTTTGTCTCCTTCAGCACGAAAGAAATAGCGAGCCATTCGGGCAAGCATAAGAGATTACGAGAACACTGGTGTTCGACGACATATCGTATATATGGTACAGATAGATTGATCTAACAAAAACGGTGTCCAGAATATATCAAGGAACAAACGAAAGACGAGTCTTCATTACCATATCGATTGCCACTCGAAACAACCACTTTTAACGAGATAAGTTGTGTACAGCTCTTGGCTTTATCGCCACCTCATGTCTGTAACTCTGTGCATCTGCGCCTTGTGGAAACTTCTAAATCTCGCGCCCGGCGTCCACATCTGATTGGTAAAATATTGGGCCTGATACAGTTGGAAAGCATCCCTCCTGGCCTCATTCTCCTTGTATTCCAAGAGCCTGATCAGTCTAGCATACTCTTCACCAGAAATGTAGCCAATGTCTTTGATCCCTGATTGAGCAAGAACATGGACGGGTTGACATAGTTCAACGAAGGAGTTGTTTGCGTACTGAGAACCGCCATACATCGTCACGTGAAGTGGTGGGCCTGCCCAGGACGTTGCGCCAGGCCATGAACGGTTTTGACTGATGCTGACCATTTCTCAGATTCTGGGTGCAGGTATGATGGTGTTTGATGTCTGAGTATACATTGGCAAGCATAGAATGCCGTTGAACGTGGTGTTAATAACGACCATAACCCTCATTTTGGCATTGACCGGTCCACATTCTGTCTGAGCAACTTGTGGATCGGTGAGTTGTCTGTTAAGGATGGTTTGAGGATGGATGTTCATTGCCATAATGATTTGTCCAGGGTTGAACGCCTTTCTTCGGCTAGACTTGTTGACCCGGTAGGCCCAGTCGCCATAAGACTTGGCTTCCCATCTATTCCATTTGACTGTTCGTTCGACCAAGACACCGTTCTGTCTATGCGAGTGGGGCCGTAATCCCCTCTCACCTCTTGGAGGCTCTCCAGCCAATCGAGCAGATCTTCGGGGTGGAACGCTCGTGCTCCGTATCGCTCGAGGCGTAAAAGGGGCTGGGCCGACCATGGTATTATCGATATGGATTGAATCTGGTTGTCTGTATAATATGCTTTGAGAGGGGCTGAGCGATCTCAGGAATAAGATCTTTCGAAAGAACAGTTCATGCCTTTGAATGAAGACCGACCGTTAGTACCGCACCGGAAATGGATAGCAAGTCTTCCTTGTCAGAATTTGGCTGATCTTTGTTCCTTGAGCCCAGCCAAGACCTTTGATCTCTGCAAGATTTGTGACCTCTTCAACACAGAAGTCTGTTGTGGAGTTGATAAAAGAGCCGGGATGGCCATAATTCAGACAAAGAAGAATCGAGATTCCATTGTTGGGAAATACCAACATAAACTCAATTCGGTCGAGATTTCCATCTTTGTCTACGTCAGATAGTTCAATGCCTATCAATGATGCCCCTAGCATCTGCACCACCCGGACTCGAGAGTGCACCGTCGGTAGGACCCCTGACTGTAGGGCTCTCAGCTTCCCAATATTCTGAGACCATAGTACTGCGTACCCCCAACATTCTTCGAGGCCAAAAGTTGGAAATGCCATAGCGATCGACCTCGGCCCAGAACTCGTGCGTGAACATGCCTTGAACGAAGCTCATCTCGACGGCGAAACCCTGTTGAATGCCACTCAGTCCCCATTTCTTATGACCCATGAGTGCTGNTTCTGTAGTCTTCTTTTTACCGCCTGGAAAGGGCCATTTGTTGATTGATAAGATCTAGGAAGATGTCAGTAAACGTCCACGTTGAAGTGATGTATCGCACACTTACATNNAAGCGCTGCCTCTGTCTCCGGTGGGATTGTCGATTTGACCAGAGTATAGAAGTTGTTCCCATCGAAACCCCAGTTCTGCAGCTCTTATGTCCATATAAANAGGCTCATGCTTTGGGTAGTACTTGTTGCGCCATAGCGCGTGCATGACTTCGTGGACCATTGTGGCGGCGAGATTAAACTTCACCCTCAGCTGAGCAGACGCTTTATCTGAACCAGGTGTCCAATCGACGGCATCCTCGATGGGCGAAAATTCTCTACACACATAGTCGATGTGACGCTTGTCGAGAACTATCTCAATGGAGCNCTTGTTCCCCCTCGTGTAGGCATGGAGGCTCTCCTTTTCGCCAGTCATGTCCTTTTCGGTCCACCAGAGATTCTTCGACAGTTCATAGAGGTCTTTCAAGACCGTCTGTCCTTCTGTTTCACTGAGATTGTGGCATTTTTCGAACCAGTATGCTTCCCGTTTCAGCCTTTCATTCACATCCGCTAGGGTGATTTCTTTGTGGTTGTCGATGTCGAGCATGCCATATAAGTAACCCACCACGTTCTCAACCTCCAAAAGCAGAGTGGCTAGTTACAATACTGGTCTCAATTTGTTGAAGGCACAGTTCGTTTCTTTTCCCATCAAGAGATCGTCTGAGCTCCAGTTATCTTGACGAAAGATGGGGTGGATCCGATGAAAATCGTCCAGCTTTCCATACTTTGTTTTGGTCTTGCTCTTCACTTTGGGTGGTTCATTGACTTGAGCGCACAAGCCTATTTGCACTTCATGCTTTGCTCGCCATCTGGCTGCGTGCAGGGCTCTATCACCAGAGTAGCCAAAGGTACGATCTGTACAGATTGTGTCGAGGTTCACGTATCCCTTGTCATTCAGTCTTTCGAGGCCGATCTTTCTCAGCAACGGATCGCCTTCGTGCCATTTGATGCCCCCGCCCATACTTGTAATCGGTGACGTGGGGACGAAAGCTATACTGTCACTGTAAGGCTCGTCGTCGGTTTCGGAGTCAAAGTCGTTGCCAGGATCCGAACTTAAATCATCCAGATCCATATCATGGTCGTCATATGTCTCGCCATGACCAGCGAGGTCGAGGATCTCCAAATCGGTATCGTCGAGGTGAGTATCGTCGTGACCTGCGCTGCCACTGTCAGTATCCATCCGACCATCGTCCATTATTTCAAAAGGTCCAAGCAGTCTCGTCAAGACTATACCGAACAACCCAAATGTTGGTGAAGTTGCTGAGGTCGAGTTGCGGAGAGAAGTGTCCCAATGCGGGCTACAGAAAACAATGAAAGATTATGGGGTCCACCATCTGGGCTGGAAAGCCGAGAGTCCTTCATAGGTTTTCTTTGCCCACAACGTCCAAGGCTCATTCTTGAGGTTCAATCCAGGTGAAGCCAAAAGTCATGAAGCAGGTTTCGCGTAGTGACAGATTGTATGATTCTGTCAGTTGAAAAAATCCAATATGAACGAAATATGGTGCTCTGAATGAACATCATCGCCGACCGTGGAGATTTTCGCGATTCCTAGCAGCTGTGTATCCACGCCCAACGACAAGCAGGCATAACTTCCAAAGTGATGTCAACGGAGTTTGCGTTCATTATAGTTGGATAGCTTATTAATCGGATCCTTCTGAGCCAATGACCCCTGGCTCTAGATGATTAAAGTGAGCCATATATTGAAGTTGGAGCATCGACACTATCTTCAATCCTGAGTGAATGATGCGGGAGTCCTGAGTCTTCACACTTCCAGTGAGAAGCCGAAATTGATCGCATGGTTATGTGTGGGCGCATCGAGACAGAGCTCCGTGAGATTTCTCGATCTGATCAGCATATCTTCTGACCTGCTCCTCAACATCGCCATCTGCACCAAACCATGGCCGCCGACGACCCTCCTGGAAGACGAATGACCTCTATGCTCACCCGGTAAAAGATCTCGCACTTGATACACTGGCGAGTCTAACCGTTGTACAGACTTGCAGAGGGCGGCGCATACTCAGATCTCACAATCGTGTGCGGCGCAGACACGTACCAAGTTCACAAAGCCATCATCTGTCCGCAATCAGACTTCTTCAGAGCCGCTTGTCGCCCAGGCACATTCAAAGAGGGAAAGACAGGACTCATCAACATCGCCGCCAGCTCCGGTCGAGACGACAACTTCTTGACTCAAGCCATCAGCGCCGAGGACTTTAATTGGGACCTTGACGTCGAGACTACAGCAAGCGTCAAGCTCATGATTCACTACTTCTATCACCAAGACTACCTTGAACAAGAGACATCAGCAGAACGGGATTCGTGGTACAGCTGCCAATGCCGCAAAGGTATCCTGGCCGAACACTCAAGGATTTATGCAATNGGGGAAAAGTATGGCATCCACGAGTTGAAGGCCGTGGCTCTTGCCAAGTTCCGCAATTCGGCCTACAAAGGATGCGATCAATCTGGTCTGGCTGCGGCCATTGTGATTGCGTTCAAGAGTACACCACAGACAGACAAGATGCTGCGAGAGATGATACTGAAGATACTCGATCATGATGGTTGGTACTACAGGCACAACGTGGAGATTCAAGGAGTCATATCGAGTATTCCAGATCTGGCTTATGGTCTGTACTGTAAGGCTCTCGAGCGTCTTGAGCGTTAGTGCTGATGGACAGTCATATTCAGAGTTGTGGCAGGACAGGTCGGAGGCGACGGGAGGGAAATTGGAAGACGAGATTGCTATGCCGGCGAACATGATCAAACGCAGTAACACATGATTAGACGACAACCAGTGCTAAGAATAAAATGGGCATCCTTCGATTTTGCATTACTAGTAACTCGTCCTAAGTATTAGCCAAAAGTCTGTGCGAGACCGACTCGGCGGGCCAACAGATCTGACCAGCCATCTCCGCTCCAACGCCAAGAAGCTCCGTGGACGTCGATACAGCTACGTAAGTTTGCGAATCGCGATTGTATTGTTGTCGCGTGCATTTTCCATTTCAACGTCAATCACCCGCCGCTCTTGTCATCTGCGCGCGCACCGGCCGGACTTCTCAACTACCTCCCTCTACCACGGTCGTTTCGCAGGATTAAAGAAAGAGCAAGGAACTCGGGAGCGCGCGCGTCTTTTGCATCTACAACACCGCCAGTTAAAGCGCCATTAGCTTGGTCGCCTTTCACTTCTCTTGTTGCCAATTTCGAATTTCTGTTGCGACTTTCACATCGACTACTTTCGATCACCACCTCCCTCGACAAGCATCAACTTCTCTGCCTTCCAGCGCAACACCACTCCTCGCTCCACGCGCCTACCCCCTCACACCACCCTCACCATGTTCTTCCTCCACGAAATGGAACGCGTTGTAAACCTACACCCCTCCTACTTCGACAAAGACACACACAAATACATCACCGATACCCTCTACCAAGACGTCGAAGGCACAAACACCGGAAACTTCTACATTGTGTGTGTCGTCTCCGTCATTGACATCAGTGAACCTCGCGTCTTGCCAGGCTCTGGGTTCGCAGAGTTTACGATCATGTTTCAAGCAGTGGTGTGGAGGCCTTTCAAGGGAGAGGTTTGTGATGGTATGGTGAGCAGTGTGGTCAGCAATGGGTTCTTTGTGGATGTGGGCCCGTTGAATGTTTTTGTGTCAAAGGCTGTGAGTGGTCTCCTGCTTTATAGCAAGATTTGAGGGCGAGGGGAAGTGCTGATGAAGAAACCAACANNGATGATTCCTAGCGATATCAAGTTTGATGGCAATGCGACGCCGCCGCAGTTTACCGATAACGCCGATCAGGTCATTGAGAGGGGCACGCACATTCGTGTCAAGATCAAGGGTATCAGAGGTGAGGTTGGCCAGATGTACGCCATCGCAACCATCAAGGAGGATTTCCTTGGGTAAGTTTTCCACTGATTTTCCTATTGTATATGACAATCTGCTGACTGTTTTCATAGCCCCCTTCTCGAGGCTTGAGAACTGCGGCCATCAAGAAGCGCCCAAGCAGCTACGACACATCACGAATCAAAACAAAGACCATGCAATCTGCTACATGCAGGAGCAAAGAGTACGCAAGATTCGATCTCGTACTCTGTTCAGAGACCATGCGCAAAAGAGAAAGCGCCAAAGAAGTGGTTTGGCGGACAACAATTGTGTTCCATCCTTTCAAGCATCATTCGGTGAGCAGTCACGGGGAAAGGGGAAAGAGCGATAGACAGCCGCGAAGAAGGAAAGAAGCAAAAACGCCCTTGATATCATCCCCTTGCGATAGAAAACACCAACCTCCCAATAGCGCCCCTCTCTAAATATTCGAAAACGGACAAAAAGTATCATGCATATCCACAAAGCCTCTCAAGCAATACCAGTGACCCTCCTGACACTACGTCTCTGTCCCTCGCCTGAGATCAAAAGCTTGCCTTCACCCTCAAGAGCGCGCAATGCCTCAGCCAACTCAACAGACTCAACCGGAACAGTAGAATCCTCACCAACCCTCCTCAATACATCTTGAACCCTAACGCTCGAATTGCCACTCCTAAGCATATCGTCCACAGCACTGAGCACAGCATCCTTGAGATCACTCTTGCGTTTCCTCTCCGAAGCACTGGTGCCCTCAGTTAACAACCCCATATCAATCAATCCAGTCCTCGAGTCTGTGGCTGACTGCTTGAGTGCAGATTGGATCAGACGCACGGCTTCGTTGACATCGTCGGCGGTGACTTCGCTGCGTAGGTGCATTTTGGCGTGTGCTTCGGCTAGACGGATCATGGATTCTAGTTGACGGGTTGTGGCTGTGATGCGGCGGTCTGCGGCGCGGACGTCGGCACCGAGGGCGCGCATGGAGACGTAGGCGTCGACGAGGGCTTTTGAGGCGTCTTCTGAAATCTTTGGTTGAATGTTGTTGCGGGCGTAGGAGATGTAGGAGGTCAGGAATTCGATGGGCTGGGTGTTGGTCAGTAACGGAGATAACATGGTGGATATGCAGTGTAGACTTACCAGAATCTCGTTCGCGCTGGCATTCTCAGGGGCGTCGTCGAGATACATGCCGACCAAATGCTTTGCCATACGGCGATCATTCATCTCATCGATACGGTCAAGCACAAGATAGACCAGATCGAAACGTGATAGCAGCGTAGGCGGCAGGTCGATGTTTTGTGGTACGGGCAAGTTGGGATCATACTTGCTGCCGATGGGGTTGGCAGATGCCAGAATACTTGTTCTTGCGTTCAGAGTGGTGATAATACCGGCCTTGGCAATGGAGACAGTCTGCTGCTCCATGACTTCGTGCAGAACTGATCGTGTCGAATCGTTCATCTTGTCGAATTCATCGATACAGCAAACACCACCGTCTGACAGAACGAGGGCACCAGACTCCAGAACCAATGTTCGTGTCTCCGGGTCGCGAGTGACATAGGCAGTCAGACCGACAGCTGATGAACCCTTGCCACTGGTGTAAACACCACGAGGCGCAATTCTGTGGACGTAGGAAAGAATCTGCGACTTTGCTGTCGACGGGTCACCACAAAGCAAGACGTTGATGTCGCCACGATACTTGGGGCTACCACCCTTCTCGAATGACTTGTTGGTGCCTCCGAACAGTTGAAGTAGGATACCCTTCTTCACATCGTCCATTTCGTAGATGCTAGGGGCCAAGGATCGTGAAAGAAGGTCGTAGACATCCGGTCGAGCGCCAGTTTCGAGGATCTTTGCCTCCTCCTCTGCGCTAACCTTTCTGACTTCTTCTTTACCACCAGAGGCTTGCTCTGACAGCTCCTCCTCGAGAGTCGAGATATCGATGCCCATGCGGCGCTTGTCAACCTTCTTGATGAAGACACAGTCGATGTAGGTCTTGAAGATGTTCTTGACTGATCTTTGACGAGGGTTGATGCGAACTTGGTTGCACTTGAACACACCAGTAATCTCGACTCTGTCACCTGCTTTGCAGACATCTACGAGGTCGTCGTAGACGCACAACGAGACCGAGTGAGGAGTTTGACCATCAGGCACACGATCAGGGGTTTCTTGCAGCTTGATGACTTGCTTGTTGGAGAATACGCAGCGGTTGTGTACAATCTGCATGGAGTTGGGAGAAGCGCAGACCTCACGAGGACAGACAGTTGGCTCGGCGATCTTGCCACGATCGATATCGACCTTGACAGTATGATGACAGACGGAGCAACGGAAGAAGGCTTCTCTCATGTCGGGGATGATGGGTGTGGTTCTGATGACGAGACCCTTAACACTGACCATCTTGTCCATGTCGCCCGGGTTAAGGTCGCGCAAGTTGATGGTCTTGCCCATGTTGAAAGGTCTGATTCTGAAGATGCGGCTCTCGACTTCTTGAATAAGATCGGGGATGTTCTCGTTCTGGGTGGGTCGTGGTGTGGTAGCATCGATTTCTGAAGAGGGCATGGCTGGCACAGAGTCGTCTCTGGCGGACTGGTGACGCTGCGACGGAATGCGCATTTCCGACATACGTTTCTCTGCCAGCTCGTACATTGTGTCTTTCAAGGCCTGATCGAAGATGGGAAGGATTTCGGCAGGGAAGTTCTGCATCTGGTACCACAGCTTTTGTGTCGAGGGGTATGCCTTGAGGTTCTCCATGTCCAGGTTGAGCTGGCTTGTTCCAAGATCCATCATCAACTCCAGAGCATTCATGTATACCTTCTCGTTCCCAGCATGATCAGCGGGCAGATTCTGGGTCTCTGTGAGGTCTCCGTCATAGCGCATGCGATACTTCTTCTGGAAGTCGCGGAAGAAATTTTGACATGTGCTCAAAGTATCCGAGACACTGATGTTGGTACCCCAGACGGTTCTGGTCGAGTGTCCTCCAAGAATGTTAGCTTCGGAGGTTTGGGGGTCGACGTTGGAGAAGGTGGCAGTGTCGGAGTGTGATGCCTCGTCGCGCGTGGGTCTGCCGTTCTCATCGACGAAGAGTCTCCTTCGACCGCCGCCGGAGAGAATGTCTGATTCAATGTCATGGCGTCTGTTGGCAGCACCAACCGGGCCTCCAGAGTATGGAGAGCGCACAAACAAGCCGCTGCTGTCGCTTCTTAGTTGGTTGGCTCGGTTGCCTGTCGTCAGAGGTGCTCCGCTAGAACTGGATGCGTAGCGGATAGGAGACGAATCNNTGTTATTCTTGGTCAGTCTCGTTGTAGATCCGCAATCGGCAGCAGATTGCAAACCTCCTATGGTCTGGCCCGAGGCCCTTGGTGTAGGACCGCCATCGCTTGGGAGTGCCGACTCGGCCCTCATGGGCGAGCTCATACCATCAGCACCACCATTGACGGCCGGCGAAGAGTGGAAGAAGAGTGGTGACGAGGCGGGAGGAAGTTGTGATGAGTTTTGAGTGGTGCCATCGGTAGGGGGCTGCAAAGAGTTCTGTGATGCTGCTTGCTCGTCGCGGAGCTGTTCGTCAGGGCCATAGTTTTCCTGAGGCGGACTGCTCGGCGCTGCTGGTGGAGAAGACATTCTGATTGCGTTATACACAGAGCATAGACTGGCTACCGCTGTGTTCGAGAGTCGGAAACAAACACTGAGCTTGGACAATTTGTGGCCGCGCGACGTGCTGCTTTCGTGGAGAGCCAATTAATTTTCCCTTTTGGGAATAGTCCCGCTCCTCTACCAAGTGTTCAACATCAACATCTGGCACCAGAGAATTACCCTCCGATCCATTCCAGAACATCGAAATGCCTCCTCCTTCGCAGCTCGCAATCGCTACCTCAGCGGTCAACCGCCTTGTCAAGGAAGAAGCAAGCTACCACAAGGAGCTCGAACAGCAACAAGCCCGCATCGAAAAGCTCAAGCAGGCTAGCAGTGATGAAGAAAATGCTGAGTGGAACTTGAAGCAGGAGGTTTGTCTTTTGCATTTGCTAGCAGAAGCTATGGTTGTTGACATCATGCAGAACAGAGCACTGGACGAGACCAAAGCCATGTTCCCTCAATTGCGCAACCGCATCCAGGAATCTTTGGCCAAGCTTGAACACCAANNCTTGTGAGTTTGTTCAGGAGCCCACTGTAAATTGCCACATCTAACACCAATGTAGGAACAGGGTGAGCAGAACAGCCCCGAAGAAGTCACAAAGGCAAAGGATGCCGTAGCATCGGCCAAGAATGCCATCAAGGAGACTTCTTGAACCCTCACATCTCCAGGATCGCTATAAATATCCACAAGCATAAACGAGATTCATGATGACCACAGTAATTCTCTATGGACTGTTCCATGCGTGGTTTTGAGATATGATATCTAGGTCACATCCATGTGCTCGCCTTCTTCGACCGAGTCTTCTGCCGCTTCTCCCTCTTCGAGCTCAGAGACTGGTGCAGGTTGTGGTGTCTCCCCAGCCTCCATCATGTCCGTGTCCATGGGCTTCTCTGCCGGAGCGGGCACAGTATCTCCAGCGTCGGGCGTTTGTGAGTCTCTTCCAGCGGCAGGTGTGTTGGCTCCAGTACCTTGTGATGGCCTACTACGTTTTGTGTTGGATGCATCATCGTCCTCGCCGCCCATGTCGGGTCCTGGTGTGCCCATGCGGCTGTTCTCCTTGGTAGCCTCGCCATCTTCACGCTCTTCGCCGTCCTCCATGGCCTCATCCTTCTCTGGCTCGTCCTTTTCACCCCTGATAACCCTGAGCATTTGCTTTCCAGCAGCCATGATGTTGTCAAATTGCTCCCTGCGCTCAACCCAAGTTTGCTCGTATTCTTGACCTTCATGTTCTAGGTCTGCAATCTCGGCGTTCAATTTCTCCAGGTTTGCGCGCTGCTCCTCGCGCGGCTTCAGCATGCGGTTGTTGGTGATCTTCTCGGCGAGGACGTCGTACTCCTTGCGCAGAGTCAAGGTCTTCTGAGCTTCTTCCAGTTGCACGCGTAGTTCTGCAGTATTGTCGCGCACAGCTTGAGCAGTCTCCAGTATTTTGTTCTTCTCGTCTGCATATCTTTGGCGCTCCTTTTCGTTGCTATCCTTCAGAAATTGTATGCGAATGAATGTGCTTTCCAGGAGAGCAAAGTCGAGCATTACATCTTCGCGCCATTGCCTCCTCTCCTGCTCTTTCTTTTGACGGACTGCTTCCTGGTCCGCGTCGGACTCATCGGGCGGCGGTGTCGGTAGTTGAGCAGGCGATCTGAGGAGCGAGTCTCTGCCTAGTAGTCGCTTGGAAACGCGTGCGAATGGACGTTCCTCAACATTGAGCAGGCGCGCGGTGTGCAATGCATNCTGCAAACATGGGTCAATACTCTGCTTTTAGTCGCAGACCTTTGCCAACTGACCTTCTTCCGACTGCTCGAGCAGCCCAAACGGATGTCCGGACATTGCGCGGTTGTCGTCTGTCGCTTCTTGGATGCTGAGCGAGAGAAATGATTCTTGTTAGCTGTGAAAGTCGGTGGCAGCACACAGCAAGCAGCAAACGCCAGAATCGGAGCGCCGATCAGCCAAGCAACCCCAGACTTGATGCAGCGGGCCGAGATCCGAAGCACATGCCCTACCCGCGTGAGTCGAGGCCGAATGAAGCCGTCGAGGTCATCGGCCGCTGGCTGATTGTGAGTCCATTCCATTGTTAGGCACTCACCCTTTGTTCTCTTCAATAAACAACCGGCATTTCGCTGCCTCTGTCTTTCTTGCTGTATCACGATCGGCTTCTGGCTACCATCACATCATCCATTTGCGACATATTTTACTCCTGTGCTGCATCCATATCTCCTGGATTCATAGAGATCTTTGAAAGAGTCGACATTCCTCATACTCTACAAGGAGGATCTACTTCTAGATGGCGGCCACACTGTTCGATATGGCACAACGTGCTTGTATCAGAAATGTTATGGACATGTACGACGTTGGCGAGCTACGATACGAGACCATCAGACCCGTCCTCAAGAACGTCACCAATCCAGCACAACTCGTACGTACTCACCAAGTACTGAGGCTATCTCATCACACTGACTTATTGGCANNGCGACAAATCGAGGAAGCCTCACCTCACATTGCCGAAGACGACGCCGAACTCTGGCAAGCCTTTATAAGAAGAGACATATCAAAAGCCGAATCCAAGCTGCAAACAACACGGCCGAAGAACCCTTCTTCCTGGTGGAAGGTATATCGCAAACTGAAGAGGGAGGATGAAGCCGAAACCCAGGCAGCAGAAGACAGGCTCAAGGCTGCTCTCAACAAACACAAAGTCGACAAGGGAGCCAAACAAACCCATATCGTACATGCCGTTATTCCTTCAGGCGAGAAGCGCTCAGGTTGGAGCTCGGGACCTCGCGACAAACCTTTTGGCGACCGGGCATTACAAAATGCAAAGACGACGGCTCAGAAAATCACCGTCCTCAAGCGTCAAACTGCACAGAGACAAGCGGGTCGCAGTGTTGCTCAGTCTGTTCCCATGCATCAACTCTCTCAGCTCAGGGGCAAGGTCACTGAGGCACCTGCACACATGATCCGCAACTACGTCCAAAAACCAGGACCGTCGAGGCCACCTCCTGCTGTGCCTCAGGGTCAAGCATATAGACCGGTCTTCGCTCACCAACCACAGACTTATGCCGATCGTGCGCTTACGACTGCCATCAACCAGACCAAGCAAGAGCAAGAGGCCAAGGAGAGAAGGCTACTGGCTTTGACTAGTGGTTCATCTGCGAATAAACCCAGGACAGCCGCAGCAGCACCAGCGAATAGATCGTCAACTGCAGCAGCAGCACCACCGGGGAGAACATCACCAGTGCCAGCGCAGAGACCACCGCCAGTGCAGACTTCATCGACTTCTACATTAGCGAGGAAAAGACCTGCATATGATCCATTCTTGCCGGCTAAGAAGAGACGAACTTGAAGATTGCGAGCGTATAGTTCGAAGATGACCATGGCAATACAGATGACAGGGATCAGTTTTGGTAGCCATTTTGCAGCATACGCGGCGTACTCGATGTTGCATTACAAGTTTCATAGAAGAGCGCAGGAAAGACGGGTTCACCAGAGAACACTTCACACTAGAAGAATGTATAGAGGAGTTCGGCGACAATAAAGGTTCTTATGAGGCCATGATCTCGTGTACATTGATCGAGGAGAATTCCATGCTATCTGTAACACAGCCCTCGCGACCAGATTTGATGTTGGAGCAGCCGTTCTCTCGCCGCCCATTTTCTGGCATAACATTTCCCATCACGATCAAGCCGTGCAGTTTCATGGTGAAGGGCAGGTGACCGATTTTTCTTTCATTCGCTCGTCAAAGTCTTGCTGCAAGTAGAGATATCGTTGATTCATCGTCCACCACGGAGAGCGAGGACCAGATGGAGAGTGGCACCGCCCTCGAGCTGGTATTCGCTAGCGGTCTTGTCGTCGTTNNCCTGGACGTCCCATATCGTCAGTCGTGTGTCCACTACCTCTTGCATCCATTTCCTAGATCGGTCTTGCACGTACATTTGCTTTCCGCCAAAGATGAGACGCTGTTGTGCTGGGGNGATGCCCTCCTTCTCTTCGACACGCTCCTTGATGCGAGAGANCCTGTGAGTGGCGCTTTGTCAGCGGGGTTGTCCTGGTAGTCGTGAAGCGTTCGTGTCGCGATGACGGTGGTGTGAGGGCAGAGGTCGGTCTAGGGTGTGGTATCGTACTTTGTAGTCGGGCTCGATGTCGAGCTCAATCTCCTTGCCAGTCAGGGTGCGCACTCTACAAGAGGAAGCGATTAGCTGCTGTTTGCGGTATAGGATCTAGGTCTCGCCGTGCTCACTTGATCTGCATGGTGTGCGGTTCCTTTCAAGCTTCTGAAAGATCGTGAGATGTGTGATAGGCGTGATTGGTCTGGATGTAGAGCAGACGTGAATTGTTCAGATGAGATGGCTTCTGGTAAGGCCGACAATAATGACGGAGCGCGAGTTGTCGGGACCTGTTTGGCGGGGCAAGCGTTCACCGCCTTCGGGACGAGTTGCTGCCTGCACCAATCCAAACCTTCCGATGTCCACCTTAAATCCTTCTTGATAGAGCACGTGTTAATTTTCCTCACAGTCTCGCACTTTCAATCTGGGTTGTGCTTGCGCGGCAACGTCTTGCTGACTTTTTATATCTTCATGCCTGTAGGTCGAGAGGATGTTCTTCCTTCTACATCTGCTTGTGTGACTTTCGTCGACGAGTACGGAGGTACAAGTACCTATTACGTTCGCCTATTTCGGTATCACACACGTCTCGTGGTAGATCCTTAGGCGTCTGCATACCGATCGCTGTCACCGTCCTTAATATTACCGCATCCCCGTTCTTCTTCTCTCTTTCATATCTCTCATCCCCCTTCACCATCCTCATGGAGGTCTCACACTCACACTCAGAACACTGGCCGTCTCTGGGCAACCTCTTCGATCTCATGGTCTCAATGTGCTTGGCCATCCTGGAATCGATCAACTATGCGGCACGTGCCATTGGTCCACATCTCTGGGCTGCACTTGAATGGACTGAGCATGTGCTCGCCGCCGCGGGAAACGCTTTACTTGCAGCAATGCTGGTCCTTCTCTTGTGGTTCTCCATCATCTACCTGTGCTGCTTCACCATCTTCATGTTCTGCAAACTACTTCGCCGACATCAGAGATACCGAAACCGTGCTGAGCGCCAACCGCTACTCCCGCGACCACGCAGGCGTCAACCCTCCTGGACGCTGTCGAGTTCAAGCAGTGAGAGACGACGACCACATGACCACCAGGCGTACAGAGACCTCTACCGAGTTGAGATCGACAGAAGGCGTCAGGATGTCCTTAGACGAGAACAACACAGAGCAGTCGAGACTCGCAGCCGACAATATCGCGAGCGAAGACTCAGGGAGGCACTCCAACAATCCACCAGCACGCCTCTGTATAGACAACCCCAAACCATCATCAGTTGGTTGCAGGCCTCTTCCAACACAACAACCCTCACCCATTACCCGAGCTACGGCACTCTTCCGACCAGGGGGATTCAAGGACATCCCGAACGACGTGCCGATCCACCACCGCCGTACTCGCAGAACTTGAAGGACCAGCCACCACGGTACTCGGGTCCCAGAAACGACTTGCCGCCTTCTTACGATTAACGATTCTCACCGACACGCCCATGAACGAATGCTAGGAAGCTGCTCCCTATGAGAGGCCTTTTCATTACCACATTTGCCTTTGGTCGCAAGAGATGTACATACCACGATTTATGACATTGCGATGAGATTAAAATTGCATGGTTACAAATGACGGGTATCATAACGCGTATATCCCCATATCCTCCATCAGTCCCAGGACTCCACTTGATAACTCCCCAAAAGTCAGATCATTACCCTGCCCATAAGTTCCTGTGTGGTATCATTCATCCCGTCGTGAGTCAAATTGGTGCAACTACCAGCGTTGCCCTCTTCTTTGAGAGTCAACTACTCTGTTTCGAGAAGGCCTTCTTCTTGCGTCTTCTGGCTGCGGTCTGAGGAGTCCATACCCCCATGAATAAATCCTCACACTCGTCTTCGTCCTGGCTGTCGAATTCAACATCATCCAGTCCTCCCGAACCATTCTTTACAGCGACACCGCCAGCTTCCACAACAGCATCTGCGTCGCCCTCCCAACCACTTTCCCGACAAGTCCGTCTGGTTTCCAGGATAAACTTGCCAACTTTGTATTGTTGAGATTCTTCCTCGGCAGCGACGTATTTCCATCCTAGCACACTGCCACATTGTGCACAACTGATATCACTAACAGTGTGAGCTCCTGTGACAAGTTGCCTCGGAACAGGCTTGTGAGTAAAGGTATTCGGCAGATTTGGCAGAGTGTCTCTCTTGCTTGAAGTTGGGGAAGCTTGGATCCAGCTATCTGAAGCAGAGACGAGGTATGCGCGTCCATGACGGCCTGTGAAGCCTTTGGATACGATTTGACTTGTTAATGCTAGGTCGGCTAGACAGCGGGAACAGCGGATGAGGGATGTGTTGCCTAGGAGGTGGTTGTCAAAGGTGGAGTCGTCCATTGGGACTGCACTTGAGGTAGAGACATTGGAATCAGTGCTTGATTTACGGCGGCGGAATGGTAGAGAAGGCACGAGATAAGATGGGAAGATTGATGGAGACATGTCGAGGGGTTCAAGGTATCTGTGTCTCTGAGTATCGCGTGTTTTGGTAATGAACAAGCTATGAGTGGTTTCGATATTTAGCTGTCGAGGTTGGGACGAGCACAGAGCTCGACAGGCAGAGCAGAGACTCAGGTATAACAGAGTAGACAGCTCACAACGTCGGGCGGCATTTATTTCTCTTGTCCATCCCTATCAAACTCGTGGCCGTGTCGGACCATGGGAGCGCGTGACTGTCTGTTGACAGGTCGTGACGTGCGCCGGAGATCAAACCTCAGCAGCCCCGCGCCATGCCGTTGGTTGGAAACGCGGTGTGGGTGGGGAAAAGGAGCTTTCTGCATGTGACACGACATGCTCGAACGCTGTCAAACACGAGGATCCAACTTGTTGTTACATTCATCAGATGCGATGTCCTATTAGATATGGCTGTAGATCGTGTTGCGTTCTAAGCGGCAGCGCGGATAGCAAGAAGATGCACTCTCCTTGGGCATCTTGAAAGCAAACATGTTGAGGGCAGGAGCAAGCAAGATGCTGCTTCCTCGACGAGATTTCGTTGGGTTATCGATCTCAGCACAGTAAGTCTAGCGTGTACTTTTCATCTATCTCCATCCATCGTGTGCGTCTTGTCACACAAGTATCGTGTTTGGTACCATCTTTACGCCGCATTCTTTTCGACTAGCATCTTCATCATGCCCGTGATCCCCAATATCCAGATACTCCGAGTCCTCGAAAAACGTCCCTTCTCAACTCGCAGCAGAGATGAGCGACGTTCGCGTTCTCAGCCAAGTATTCCCAAGCTACGCGCAGGTACTCCTCCTCTACCCAGGCTTCGTCACAATGAGACCATCTACTTTGGAGAGACTCCAGTGACAATCATCGACAATGGTACCAGCGGGCTCAACATCCGGCCACAAGAATCTCTCTATCTGGCCTCCGACCCTCCTATGACCCCATTGAATCGGCTCCGTCACAGGACGAGTAAATGGTTTGCCAACAAGCGTGCTGCCAATGGTATGTCTACTACATCCGACCCCCTCTCATGCCCTTCTCCTCCCACGTCTGAACCTGGAAACATTAATGAGGGTTCAGACATTTCACCTCTCAATCCTTCTGTAGCCTCCGTCTTACCAGTTCCAAGGGAAGCAAATGAGACGACGAACCTTCGTCCAGCAATCAAAACCCAAGTCGAAAGTCAAGACGAAGCCCAAAGACTTTCCGAAGTTCCAAAAGCCTTCAAAGCAGTCCACGTCGACGGGGCTCCGGAGTACATTGAGGACAGTTTCAGCATTACCCCTTCTCTGGGAACTTGTCCCCAATGGGTAGGCATCCGGAGCACCATGTACTACAGCATGTCGGACCCTGCTGAAAACCTCAGTGATATACTGCAGCCCGACACGATTGTCCGACGTGCTCCTCGACGCCGAAGATCTGGTCTCCCCATCGAGTACCGCTATGACAGTAAGACTGGCTCCTCTTCCGGCTTCGACGACTGTTCTTCTGCAAGTCCGCTGAGCCAGAGGTCGACAGGTCGGACCTCGCTGTAGGTCAGCTGTCCAGACACGTCGATGGACACTGTCTATGCAGGCCACACTCCCGCAAGCTCCAACTCGTCTCCCACCCCGACCACAGTCATCTGCTCCAATGTAAGAAGCAAGGCCTCGAATGACCCCAAAGATCTGGCCGAGGCACTCAAGAAGTTTCCCATCGATGGAAGGTCTCCAAGGACACAACCAGTGAAGATTGAGACCTTTGAGGATATCTCCGCTCTCAAAGTTTATCTGGAAACATTCTACAACGAACGCTATATGCAGCCAAGGTCTGAGCGCAGTATCCGAAGACAGCGCCTACTCGACCATCTTGCTCAAAACTCTTTGTCATCCTCCGAGAAAGATGAGCTGCTTCGGTCATAGGAACGGTCAGAGTCAACTCATCTTCGACAACTACGCACTCTCAAAACCACTTCAGTCGCAAGACACACCACCAAAGGTGTGTTCCACGCTGGCTTTCAGGAAGTTCGCATTCTTGGCAGGGGCACTTTCGGTCTGGTCAAACTTGTGACTGATGCCGATCATTTCGTGACCGAAGACCCATCACCATGCATGTCAAACGGTACACTGCGTCCCACTTTGGTTGCTCGTGGTTGTCAAAACCCCCGTCTCATGAAGGACTGTTACGCCATGAAAGTCATTCGAAAGGCAGAGATGATCCGAACCAGTCAAGAGGGTCATCTTCGTGGTGAACGAGACTTCCTTGTCAAAGCAGAAGGCTCACAATGGGTGGTTCCATTGATTGCAAGTTTCCAGGACAATACGAATCTGTACCTGGTCATGGAGTTCATGATTGGAGGAGACTTTCTACAGTATCTGTGTCGTCATGATATACTCAGTGAAAATGACACCCGATTCTACATGGCGGAAATGGTTTTGGCTATCGAAGAGACCCACAGACTGGGATGGATCCATCGCGACGTCAAGCCAGACAACTTCTTGATACACTCCTCTGGCCACCTGAAGATCTCTGATTTCGGACTGGCATTTGATGGTCATTGGTCTCACATCAACGACTACTACGACACTACACGGCACTCCCTTTTGAACAAGTACAACATCCACTTGCAAGGCGACGAACATGACACTGCAACGAACCGCACTCGTGGCATGCCTCGTATGACAAGCAGTCGTCTACCTTATGAGATGCACAACGCACGCGATATGGGAGAACTCTTGAGGGAGCCCGAAAGAATGCGAAAGGAACGTCCCCAGAGCATCGTCGGTACGAAGCAATACATGGCCCCAGAAGTGATTCTAGGTCACACTTACGATGGCAGATGTGATTGGTGGAGTCTTGGTTGTATTGTNTTTCGAGGTACGTCTTGAACAAGTCGGACACGTATGGTCATTCTAACAGCTTCCAGTGTTTCTATTCGAGAACACCGTTTCTTGGTGCGGAAAGACAAACGACTGCGAGGAATATTGTGGTATGGCTCTTTGTCCAACAAGTCAACCTATATACTGACAGGACAGCATCACCGTGATGTGCTTCGATTCCCCTCAGGCGAACGTCTCTCTGGTACAGGTTTACGCTACCCAGCACCGACTGAGTCCGCACTGGCTCTCATGAAGGATCTTCTGCGCGAGAAACACCACCGACTGGGCTCAGCGTCTTACGGTCCCAGATCTTGTCGCCACCTTAGACGCCATCACAACATCTCGGAGGCAAGTTTTGTCATTGCTGGAGATGCTGAGGATATCAAAGCACATCCCTTTTTCAAGACCATCCGCTGGGACACGCTACATCGAACGAAGGCACCATTCATACCTGAACCAGTAGAAGACATCGCAGAGTACTTCGAACATGAAGACACGTTTGTCAATGATATCGGGACCAGCTACATGAGTCTGCGGGAGAAGGTCAACCCGGAAGCAGAACCACGAGCCAACCAAAGACTGCTGGGTCCTTACTTTGAGAGATGGCAGGCCGAGCAACGGGAGATTGAGAAGGTCCAGATGGGCATCGAAACATGGACTGATGCCAACGTCGCAGCGTGCAAGAGAGAGAAGGGGGAGCGCTGGGATGCTTTCAAGCAAACCAGGATCAAGAAAACTCGCGAACGCAAGTTACAGGAGGGCAAGGATCCAGACCTAGAAGTCAAGCAGATTCTGGGCTCGAGGCCCCGAAGATGCAGACCCAAGGACATCCTGGTGCGCGACGTGAAGTATGGGCAGCGAGTGGTGGAGCGAAGGAANGAGGGGGCATTCTTGGGATACACATATCGCAGTCCTCGATATGTGTTTCCAGAGGTTGGCAAGGAGAGAAGACCAGTCTTTTCACGACCTACGATTATGCCTGTAGCCGACACCGACGACGAATGAGATGGAGGAGAAAAGTCAGACGGACGTTCTTCGATTCTTACCTATTCGTAGACCCTTTAGACCTATTGTGTTCTGAATTCTTGCTTCGATAAGCCGTGCTCTACATTTCTTTGCGTGATGTTGTGTCAAGATGTCTATAACACAGTCACCTGTGTATCAAATGCCAGGCGCACAGATTTCCCGAATAGTTGTCATGACATTCCTTCTTTCGTAATGCATGCGCCAGCATCTTTCATGGCGTTTCTGAAAGGCCTCTAGGTTGGTAGCCCTTGCGTGACCGAATGTCTGCTTAGATGCTCGAGAACACCACACACAAGTCGCAGTAGTATCACTCGCCGACTCAGTCAAGAGGCATGCTGGATGACCAAAGCGTTATTCGGTCACAACGGATAAAAGAGCTTACAAAACTAAAATCACAACGATGACCCTGAAGGTTGGAAGACAAGCAGGAACCAGGGAAGAAGTTTCAAGTCTAATTTGCGGAGGATATGTCGAAACTTTTGGTATGGCTATGATGAACGTTTGTAGTGCAAGTCCCTCGTAAGGAAGCTGTTCACTACAGCAGCTTGCTGACAGTATAGCAGCATCAGTGCATCTAGAAGGGAGGCAGCCAGAAGGGGTAGCCGCCGTTCTTGATGCGGAAAGTGCTGAGCAGGTAGCTGTACATGGCGAGCATGACGAGACCCCAAGCAAGTGTAGCAATACCCTGAACACGGGNGTCCGTCATACGGGGAACCTTGAGAGCCAGGGAGATGGTTGCGAAAGCAAGGATAGCGTCTAGACATTGTTAGAATTCCGGAAACTCAAAGAGAGGGGTGAAGGTAGAGAAGCTTACNNACATGGCAGCAACAATCTGAGTCTCGAGACCGAATTGATTCTGGAAGCCACCGGCAAAGTAGGAGATACCGCCCTTGCCATCGCCAGCGACGTAGGGGACTTTGCGGATGTGGTTGAACATGTGGCCGCTTGTGAAGAGGAGGACGAGGATCAAGCTGATGGCGGCCCAGAGGTTGCGGCTCTGGAGGATGGGGAGGACGTAGGGAGCAGCGACGGTGAAAGCGGTAATGGTTCCGAGGACGGCCACGGTGGTGGTGATGATCTTGACGTAGTTGACGGGACGGACGATGGGAGGAGTAGGACCTGCGACATGGCGAGCGAGCCAGGCGTGGACGGGCTCGGCAGCGATGANCACTGTCGTCGTGTTAGCTGAATGCTAGTGTAGTAGTAGGCTTCAAGGGACGTACCCAGTGGTAAAGTCGAAGCGCAGGGGCTCAGCGTTAGGCTTAGCGTCAGGACCGGAGGTGGGAGNGAAGTAGAGCAGGACGGGAGCAGTGGTGAGCTGCAGAGACTGGAAAGTTCTCTGGCCATTGACAAAGTCGAGGGTTCCCATGACGAGTCTGGACTCCTTCTTCTTGTCGCCCTTGGCCCAAGTCTTGCCCAAGAGGTCCCATTCGGGCTGGAACTCGTGGCAGATGGCACATCCGAACCTGGCCTCGAGGGCAGTCAAGAGGACGGCAACCGAGTAGTCGCGCGGAGACGAGGTCAATTTGGAGTATTCGTTGTCGTCGAGCTTGAGGGGAGCAGCGGCCGACAGCTGTTGCGATCGGTAGTCGCTGAACTTGTCGGTAGAGCTCTTCTTTGCTGCCAAAGCTGTGAGTGGCAGCAGGAAAGCTGTCACGGTCTGGAGGAACTTCATCTTGTGTTGACGAGAGCAATTGGAGCGACAGACAGACAGACAGACAGACAGACAGACGGTCTATCTCAGTGACTACGTATGCTTCGTGTCCCCAAGCTTGAGTCGGCCACTCGGTGCTTGGCGCGCGCTGTTTCGGGGGGAGGAAGCCGCGGCCGGGAAATCACAGAGGGCAGGGTTGACAGCGGATGTTGCCGTGCCTGCGATAAACAAACAACAGAGTCCGTCACGTCCGTCGCATCACATTCGCATCCAAAGCCCAAGCCAGCCTGTGGCCGACGTTCGACTGTTCTTCTCATGACCACCGCAACAATGGTCCCTATCAATGCAGTCCATGCTTCCACCACCATCAATGATCAATCACTCCAATCAGCATCGCTAGAGCTCAACTACGAGCGCAGCACCCACCTAGTCGACATCATTTCCAAGGACGAGAATCTGCGTAAACTGCGTTTCGACATGCACAGACTCGAAGACGACAACGAGGAGTTGCGCCAACTCTTGACACAAGAAGAGGATCGCTCAGAATCCCTCGAAAAGACCATCAACGACAACCTCGCTCGTGCCGAAGATGCTGAAGCCCATGCCATCGATTTGCAAACTGACTTGCAAGCTGCCGAGCAAGAACTCTCAATACTCAGGGTATGCATCTTGCCATGCTGTCGCATACACTGGCTTACCATAACCCCGTCTAGNGCAGAAACAAACGCTCTACGAAATGTCACGACAGACTCCGAGAAGCTTCTGACCGAGAAACTCGACCTCGCCCGCCAACTATCCACCCTCAAGCCAGAACTCGACCACTTACGCGCCCAAGTCGATGCCAACCAGGACCTCCTCTCCGAAAAGCTCGCTCTGCAACGACAAGTCAGCGAAATCCAAGTCGAACTCGACCACGCCAAATCCGAAGCTAAGCGCGCAATCGCGAAACGCCGCAACACTCAACACGATTTGAACCAGCAAGACACTATCGACGATCTGCGCAAGGCTCTAACAAGGGAGAAGCGATTGAGAGAGAAGGCTCAGGAAGATCTCGAAACCGCTCAGGCCGAATTGGAGCGCGAAAAGGACAACGCCCAGCGCAAGAACACAACAGAAGCTGCAAAGGCCGAGGAGAATGCCAGTGTGCACGTCGAGACCGAAGAACTGCGTCGCCAACTCGCAAAAGAGCGCAAGGAACGCGAGAGGACCGAGAAGACACATCAGAAGACTCAATCCGATTGGGACGCCACAAAAGCAATCCTGGACGACAAGCTCAACCTATTCCGCACAAAACTGAAGTCGACCAAGGAGAAGCTGAAGGAAACCGAGACACAGCTCGAGGAGGCCCAAAGATCTGCTGCAGCCGACGCAAGATCAGCACCTGTCGTAGCCGAAAAGACCGCCAAACAGACAAAGAAGAGAAGCGCTGCACAGATGGACCCAGACTCGCAGAAACTAGGAACACCAGGCAACGCCAAACCACCCAAAAAGGGGCGCAAGGCCGCAGCAGTCGGCGACAAGTCAACGTTCTCCATCACACCATTCTTGAACCGCACAATGAGTGTTGCACCCGAAAGCCCTGAGCAAGCCGAGGAGGCTCCAGCAGAAGCGGCTGCTGAAGAATCGGAATCGGAAGCTGAGGCAGAATCTCCAAGCGCAGCCAACGTCCGATCAACCACAGAAACTGCTCCCAAACCATTAGCGATCGTGCCTGCAAGTAAGAGCAACATCAAGAAGGCCAAACCCGCAACCGAGCCGAAACCCAAGAAACAAACAAAGAAGCAAGCACTAGAACAAGTCGTCGAAGAGGTCGAACCTGCATCTCAAGAAGAGACTGCAGCAACCACCAAAGTCCCTGCCTTCAAGGCCAAGAAATCCGACGCAGAGTCGAAACCGAAGCCCAAGCAACGCAAGTCTCTTGCAACATTTGCTGCCTTTACACAAGAGCCAGAACCAGAGAAGAAACAAAAGAAGCGAAAGCTTGGTGGCCTGGGCAAAACTCTGTTCGACGACGAGGATGATGCGCCTAGTAAGCCACTTCCTGGTCGCGGAGGTGGCTTGTTCGGAGCAACACGTCTGGGACCTCTTGCAGCTGGTGGTGTACGAGGTAGCTTCATTGGCGGTATGGGCAAGAAGAAGTCTGGCCTTTTGACAGCGGACGATGGTTTCATGTTTTCACCTCTTAAGAAGGAGAGGAAAGCTATGGCTAGTTTCATTCAGTGATTGTTTTGGGTCTTTGGTCACGGTGTTCTAAGGTTGGGTTGTGTCCACTGAGACGAGGGTTCGGGATTTTGGAGTCTTTTCTTTGGGTTTGTCGTGATACCTCATTGTATTTTGTCCCTTTGTCGAGCATGAATTTTGATGGATGAAATCTTCCAGCACTACTATTTTGTCCAAACTTACTGACACTGTACCATTTTCAGTCGCTCTATGTCTCAATAGCTCTCTTGAGAGTCCTTGATGCAGATGAATATATGATCAGGGTCGTCCCCGCGGCTCCAGGAAACCAATCAGAGCAAACAGAGTTGTTCTCTCCAACCACCGCCCAATCCTCCTATTCCTCACTCTCTCCGTCGCAATCATCTTACTCAGTGCAGATCAACAAGATCGCCGGAATGCAATCCTCGGATCCCAATCTTCACCAGACTTGCCTCGTTCGGCACACGCAACTTCTATCCCTGGAACTAAAGTAGGCTAGGACGAGAAATCCAAGGGGTACCAGGTAAGTGCATAGAAGCAATATACGCGCAACTTCCTATTCTAGCCACAAGGAGCCTCTGGAACATGTCACTACTTTCTTTGGGCAAGCTGCATACGTTTAGTAGGCTCGGTTTACCGATGCTCTTGGCCAACCACATGTGCTGAGGCTCGGTCCTCCCTTGCAGTGTCAGCTTTCCTCAGCCACGGGTCTTGGACACACTTCACCTCTCCACACTTGGAACAGCAATCTTCCTCTGACATCCTTCATCAAAGCCGGAGGATGCCAGCCCGTGGATTCTAGACCCAGACCATCGAAGAGAACGAGACATCAGCATCCGTCTGGCTCAAGCCCACCGTACCACACTGGTTTGATCTAGCGTTCAGGCGGCTTTACTATGAACCAGTCCGCTGGGCGAGAACTATACTCGAGCATGTTAGTGCCTATACGCGAACAGGCAGATAGCTCCGCAGGAATGAGTTGAGAAAGTATTGCCCCAAGTGTGTTTTCCAAGGAGTACCGGGAATGATTGCTGCCGTACCGACATCGGGAACAAAACTACCGCTTAGAGCATGCCATTGATCTCGATGGTGATCTCCTCATATCATGAACACATACCGATCCATGGCCGAGTTACACAATGATATGACTTCGAAGTCTTGCACGATCCTTGGTGCGAAGTGTGAGATGTCGATGACCCAACCTAACCAAAGCGTCTAGAGATCTTTAGATATCCAGATCGCCCTGGGCAGGTCATGCAGTTTAGCGGCAATGCAATGCTCAAAGCTCAACGCATGTACGTTTGACACCCCTTCCTCAGCATTCTCCAGGAGCTGTACACGATGTCATCTTGCCAGACCCTTAGCCTCAACGGGCGACATTCCGTGGTACCAACTCTTATGCCCTATCATGGTGACTTGCATCGGAGATGCCTTGACCTTGCTTTTGCATATTTCACTACAGAGGCTCGGTCCATCTGAATATTAGGGTCAAAGACAGTTCCTCATTCCATAGGGCTCCTTCTGAGCAGATGTGAGGCTTACTGCGAACATAGCCGTCGATTTCATCTTGTTACATTCCAAATCCATCACCATGTAGATCCATCAACAAGTGGACCATCATGAAAAGTAGTACGGATTGCTGCTCCTTCCTGGAATTTGGCGCTTTGTGAAGCTCAGTCGTGCCTTCCACGATGGTCATGTTGGTCTCCAACTTTCTGCTGCTTATTTCGTGCGCTGTTGCACAGTCGGTCGCCCCTGCACTTCCCACCTCGAACTCTTGTGTCAAACGAAGCATCATCGTCTACACTTCCGATTCTTCAACCTACTTTGTGACTGACGTCGGCACTTCGAGTTTCCCATCAACGCCTACTCTCTGTGCTAATGCCTCCGTCTCTACTGTTCTTACTACGCAGCCAGCTTCGACTGTAACGATTTATTCGCAAGCGACGTCGGCTCAACAATCTGCTGGCTCTCAGACTTCCGTCAATTCTGTTCTCACAGACGATAGTTTCGAGGATGGAACATCTAGCCCTTTCAATTCCTCTTCTTCAGGGTCGTCTGTAACGGCTGAGGTAGTCCAGAGTGGTGTCTACGAGCCTCATACTGGTGATAGCTACCTGTATTTTAGCATCAATCTACCCCCAAGGCAACGCTGAATAGTGTCTAGTCTCATCTCTTTCAATCAGACCGATCCAGCCCAGAGGCAGGCCCGTCGTCAGACCCCGGGACTAGATACGCCACTTGTCTACAATGTCACCCAGGTATTTTCAGCCTCAGCGGGTCCCACGTACGCATTAACAACTTGGGCTGCTGTGACGACACCAGCCGATAAACCATATTGTTTCTTGACGATATGTGGAGACAACGACTGTAGCTTCGCCGCTCCGATCACAACCAATTATACACGCTTCTCTTACGACTACCAATCTTCTATCGATGAATCTGGCGCTGTTGCTACCTTCCAAGTGGCGTGCTCCACTTCTGCCTATGTGGCGTTGGACGACGTATCTGTCACAAACAATGCCTTGGCTGCAAGTGCTAGCAGTGCCAGCCCATCTACCGCTACTACCACAATCTCCAGAACAGCCACTGTTGTGCAGAGCCAGATCTTTACGCAAATTGAGACAACGACGTTCGTCAGCGGCTCTGAAATTGTGCTTACCACCACAGTACCTTCAATCGTGTATCAAACTGTCAACAATCCGACTACAGAAACTAGAACGGTGTCAACCGTTCTTCTGTCAACTCAAACAGCCACTACCACAGTCCCGCAGTATGTGAACATCACAGTCTCGAGTGTTTCGACCATCACCAGTAAGTACCGTGTCCTTTCATGCAAATGGCTCTTGTTCTCTCTCGTCTTTTCCATCTCGAGCTTACCAAATCTAGCCACGCTTACTACTGTTCTCAATTCAACTGTGATTCCATATCAGCCTTCGCTAGTCGTTGAGACACAATATGCCACATTTACGGCTCTCTTCACAACAACTCAGAGAAAAGTTGAACGGGATAGATGTACCGTTCTCGAAGCCATTATTGGTGATAACGCTGTTGGTACCATTGGTCTGTGGAGCCGGTGATGGTTGTTGGTTTAGTGTGACGGTCGAAGTTGGCTCAAAGATCGTAGACGTCCAGGTCGTGATCGAGACATTTGGGCAGAATGTCGGACTGGCTCCAAGCGTGGTCGTTCCAACGTCAGTAACCAAGTATGTTGACGAGTCGGAAGTATAGACAAGCACGCTGCCTGAGCCGAATGATTGGGCAAAAATACACGAGGTAAACAGCAGAAAGGCAAGGAACCACATGGTGAGGATGGTGAGGAAGGAAGGATCAACTAAACCGAGGCTTATCGTTCGAGCCTACCTACTGTAGATGTAACAAAAATACGAATAGTTATGTTGTGAGTTTTCATTTGGGTGAAAGACATGGAATGCGACGAGATAGCATGAGACTCGGTTTTCTGCATTGGTCCCAGTACTGTGCTCTATTCTTTGGAGGAATGAAATACTGAGAGCAGTATCCCTCCAACCGGGCCTGACACATCCAAATGTAGTACGAACCATGTTTTTGACTTCGGTGTATCCGAAGCAAGGGAATGTGAGTGTGAGTGTGGGTGTGAAGCTATCTTCAAGTATCCATCCCGATGGCATAACTCAGGACATCCTCTTCCACGGTCCGATACTGATAGCTCAGGGCCGATCTTCGGGCTTGAACTTCAACCCTGCAGCCACATTCTTGGGTTCCAAGCGACTAGGCTATGAAGAATGTCAGCTAAGTAAGGTACCATTCGATTGGAAAAAAATAGTATACCACACATGATCAGATATTGCTATTGCCACATGGCCGGACTTTCTGACTGGTTGGCGAGCGTGGGTGATTTTGTCTCTCATTCTGCATGATCTTCCATGCGTAAATCCTCCTATATCGTAAGTAGGAAAGATAGGAGAACTATGTGATAGTGGGATCTCATGAACCTGAACCAAAGCATTTGATCTAACATATTTGTTAATGTATGCATAAAACACTATGTACAACCGTCAACAACCTTAATCTCCATTACAACTCCGTCACATGTTACAGTAAATGACCTGATGTAGCCGTTCTGACAGCAACACTCAAGGCAACCATCACTTGCTATCAACATTTCCTCAACATTTCGTCCGAATGTGCTGCCTTCTGCTTCTCTATGTGAGTCAAGTAAGAGCGTAGGAAGCCACTTCCCATGGTGGCGTGCGGACCGAGGCACGATCAACACAACATGCGGGGTGTTCTGGCTGGTCGGCACGACCATCTCCTTGAGCACCAAATACTTTCCTTCTGATTGATAAAAGTAGGTTGTTGCGTTGTTCTTCGATACCAAGGACCTTCCGCAGCTCTCAATCATGCCTGGTATAGTCTCTTCAGGCACTTTTTCGCGCGACGAAGTCGCAAAGAACAACACCGAAGATTCTTTGTGGTGCATTGTCGACCACAAAGTATACGACNNCCTCACAGATTTCTTGGATGCGCATCCTGGTGGCAACGTGGTCTTGCAACAAGTCGCAGGTCAAGACGCCACGACAGCTTTCTACAATTTGCACCGACATGAAGTTTTGCAAAAGTACTCATCTCTATGCATTGGCACTGTGCAGAACGAAACTCCGGAAGTGATTGATCCTCAACCCGGCGATCTCAGCGCTGTACCATACGCAGAGCCTACTTGGCTCAGCCCCCAGTTCACCAGTCCATACTACACCGATTCACATCGCAAGTTCAGAAAGGGCCTCAGAGAATTCGTGGATGCGGAGCTCAAACCAGAGGCACAAGAAAAAGAAGCCGATGGCACCTATATCAGTCAGGAAATGATTGACAAGATGGCAAAGAACAATATGCTGGCTATGCGACTCGGCCCCGGTCAGCATCTGCACGGCAGGATGTTGCCAGGCGGCGTCAAGGGCGAAGACATCGACTATTTCCACGATCTGATCACATGTCAGGAACTAGCTCGGGTTTTGTCAAGAGGCTTCCAAGATGGCAATATGGCAGGCATGTCAATCTCTCTCACTGCCGTCAGAAGCTGGATGAAAGACGTCAAGCTAAGAGACGCCGTCACGGAAGAATGCCTGAGTGGAAAGAAGAAAATGTCGCTTGCCATCACGGAGGCTTTTGCTGGTAGTGATGTCGCTGGTCTCCGCACCACAGCTGAAAAGTCCGCTGATGGTTCCCACTACATTATCAATGGCACGAAGAAATGGATAACCAACGGCATGTTCAGCGACTACTTTGTCGTTGGCTGCAAGACTGTCAAAGGCTTCAGCGTGATTTTGGTTCCAAGGGATGACAATGTCGAGACCAAGAAGATCAAGGTATACTACAATCTGTGCATAGATTTGTCCTAAGCATCTTTCTGACTTTATGCANNGACAAGCTACTCTACGGCTGCTGCCACGGCCTTCATCCAATTCGACAATGTCAAGGTTCCCGTCAATCATCTCTTGGGCGAAGAGGACAAAGGCTTCCAGGTCATCATGAGCAACTTCAACCACGAACGCTGGGCAATGACAGCAGCAGTGATACAATGGATGCGAGCCGTCACGGAAGAGTGCCTGAAGTGGAGCAATCAACGCATTGTCTTTGGAAAGCCGCTCTCTGAACAACCAGTCATCCGTGGAAAGTAAGTTGTATCGTAATGAAAAACATACACACCGGACACTAACATTAGTCTCTTTCCCAGGCTCGCGCGCATGATTCAACACACAGAAGCCACCCAAGCTTGGCTCGAGCAAATCACGCATCAGATGAACACCATGTCCTATCAAAACCAGAACAAGTATCTCGGCGGGCCCATCGGCTTGCTCAAGTCCTTTACCACTCGCTGTGCCCACGAAGTCGCCGATGATGCCTGCAACGTCTTTGGAGGTCGTGGAATTACTCAAGGAGGCATGGGAAAAGTTGTCGAGCAGTTCCATCGCACGTATAAGTTCGACGCTATCTTGGGTGGCACGGAGGAGATTTTGAGCGACCTGGGCGTTAGACAGGCTCTCAAGCAGATGCCCAAGGCAAGGCTGTAGAGCCAACCTTGATGATATGCATTCTAGATCCACTTACAGGGCTGCCATCTCGCTCTCTCGTCATCTTGCTGCCGTTCTGCTACTACCATCTTGTTGTGTTACTTTGGAATCATATTGTCAATGCTCGAGAGATTTTTACTATTGTGATGCCTATCATAATTCGTTCACCCAATTTAGCCGCTCTGACAGCAACGCTCAGATCAACCATCACTTGCTACCGAGAGTCCCTCAACTCTTCATCCGGATGTGCTACCTTCTGGACCTTCAAGGTCCCTTGCACGCCTACTAGTCGGCTTAAGACAAGCCACTAGCCACCAACAGCAAACTCGAACCCCCAAGCAGTGTTCTCATCCTGGGAAGTTTGATATACTGGAAAAGTGACTGTGTCGCCATCATACTGGTGGCCATAAACACCACGGTCCGAAGGGCCAGCAACAGCACCAAAGTGTCCTGCATCATCAAAGCCCCAAGTCTGGATGTTCAAAACGCCAGAAGTGCTCAAGCCGAGTGCGGAAAGGTTGTTGAGTGTGATGAACCAAGTACCTTGTTGATTGAGGACACCGGTGAGCACACGAGCCTTGTCTGTGCCGACGGTTGCGTAGACATCCATTACGCCGTCCCCGGTGCTGGTTGTGGTTGCTCTCTCGCCGGTCATGTTGTTGTAGTAGTACTTGTAGACGTTGTACTCGCCATTGCCAGCATACCCAGTGCCAGTGTAGTCATTAGTGTCAGTCTTGGTCAACAGACTAGCAAGGAAATCGCGCAACTGCCAGCCCGAAAGCCAGTTTCCTCTCAATCCTCTGAGGTTGTAGCGTTCGAGGCGAGAAATCCACCAAGCCGCTCCAGCAGAGATTTGCTGGTCGAAAGTGGCGTATTCGTTGATGTTGATCTCTTTGTTGGGAAGGGAGTATTGCGATTGGATGGATTGCCATTGGGGGATATCTACGGCCACGTCACCGGGCTCATCGTGCCAAGTGTACTGGTCGGGGATTGTGTTGTCGGCTACAATGCGGGCGGCCCAGTTGGTCCACCAGTCGTTGCCGGTGTTGGGTGTACCTGCGTAGGAAGGTCCACTGATCCAGACTCCGGACAGGTCAGAGTCTTGTCTGATACGCTGGTAGGTGCGGGACCACAGATCCAGGTACTGTGCCTGAGAGCGTTTCCAGAAGTAGCCGCCATCAGGCTCATTCCAAGTGTCATAGACGAGGCCGTCGAGCATATCGTTGGCCTTGAGGTCGCCAAGCAGTTGGTCAAGATACTGATCATAGTTGGTCCAATCGCCATTATCACCCGGCCAAACGGTAGAATCGTTTGCATGATCAGTTCCCCAAATATCATGAGGGAGAACAATAACCTTTGCGCCAAACTTGCGAGCCTGGATGTAATTGTCTCTGGTGTTGTTGAAGCGTGCATAATAGGCGTCAATGCCCTCACTCCAGCCACCTTCAGCCAGCTGAGCACCACCGATACGGGCATAGTTGTAGCCCATGTCGCTGTAGAAATTATCGGGGATTTGGGTTGGGTCATCGGGGATACCATAGAGAACTCCCGAAGCGAGATTCTGGGGTGCACCGCGGCGAGCTCCAACTGACAGGTCGACAGTTGCAGTATTGCCAGAATCTTGACGGGGCAGAAGGTTGGGTGCTGCATTGATGCAGATTGGCAAGGCTGCCAGAAGACTGAGGAGCTTGGAAGCCATGAGGAATGATCCAGAAGTGATTGCTGAGTTGTCAATTGTTGTCAATGATGATGATCCAAGACGAAGGATTCACAGACTTCTTATACTCGTCGTCTGCCATTGCATCCCCCGCTGCGGAGACATCTGTGGAAGCTAGGGTTGTGGAGAGATGTATCACTCGTCTCATAACACGAGAGTATGTTCTGCAAGATGCGTTTGCATAGAATGCAGATCAAAGCCTACAACGCGACTCTCCGGAGGGGCTCCGGAGGGTGGACACCGGGGAGTGCAACTTCTGGTACGCATTCTACCTTACACTCCTACCGGCCGTATCATTACACATCGTACTCTTAGCACAGATCATACCGACCCCTCTGGATTGATCAATCAGTTGCCGCAAGTTCCAAGGACTAAGGATGCGGATTTTTAATCACGAGGCTTGCCGTTATAGTTATAGAAAGCTTGTATATCATCAAGGCGTCTGTCAACCTTAGCCTCCGGATATTATAAACATATTCATGAATAAGCTATTCCCGCATATACAAGTTCGTGCGTTAGGTTGAGTTGTTTTCCTAGCATAGTCTAGGGACATTGTAGACGCCGCACTCTTGCCAGTCGTTGATCATCTCACAACTCCAATTATCCGGATCATTGCTATCACCCGAGCCACTGTAGGTAGTGCGGTAAGGAAACCTGCAGTGGTGCCTTTCCATCTGTACGCCTTGAGAAGGGTCATCGTTGACGAACTTGGTTCCAGTCATTGTATCGGGTGCCTCGCCCTTCTCGACCCAGTTGACAATGTCCCAAACCACGTTCGAGGTACCATTCTGTGCGTTGCCGTTCTGGCCAAAGGCCCATGCCCCAACTCCACCAGTGCAGTGATACATACCACTGATGCGGAAGAAGCGGAGAAACTCATCGAGGCCAGTGTGGTCAAGGCCCATGTCGCGAGCAACATTCAGATAGTAGCGTTGTGAATTTTCCGCAGTGATGGCAGGGTCCATAAGGCCATGATACATTATCAGCTTCTTTCCGGCAGCGTGGAAGGCGCTGAGGTCGCTACTATAAGAAGACACTCTGCCGTGAAGCTCATCCGTCTCATCAGCCTTCGTGTAGTCTGTTTGCGAAAGTGTTGAGGGATCCCAAGAAGAATCGTTCCACACACCCGCACCAAACCAGTCCTTGACATGGCCTTGAACACCGTGCAAGACGCCATTGGTAGATGCATAGAGTTCGGCTCCGGGTGAAAGTCGAGGGTAATAAAGATTTCCATCTTGATCGTAGAGCTGAGAGAAGACGTTCCACACGGTCGAGGTTTGTTGGAATGTAAGACAATCTTCGGTTTGGCCATCGAGGCAGGTCAATGTGGTAGCATTGAAATCGCAGATGGTGGAGTCTTCGATGATACCATCAGCGACACCATCTAGAGGCTCATCGCACTGCTTCAGAACTTCGTTGTGGACAACAACCCAGTCATCGTAGCTCAAGTACTTGGGGTCGCTCTCGTCTGCACCGGTCAGTACGTACATTCTGCCAGACCAATCAATGTGATGGTTGAAATCACTAGCAGAAGAGCCTGCGATGATGCCGTCAAAGTCCTCGGGGTACATTTGTGCGGATTGCAGAGCCTGACGACCACCATTGGAACAACCAATCATGTAGTTGTAGCTTGCAGGTTGACCATAGTTGGTCTTGATGACCTGCTTTCCAGCCACGACAGCAGCGTGGCGTGCCCTGTAGGACCAATCGATAACCAATTCATTGTTGTTCAAAAACTGCTGTGCGTCCATACCGAGATATTCAGTGTTGTTATGGCCGCCATTGTCTCCCACAACACTGAACCCGAGGCTTGAGGTGTAGATCATGTCGTCGTAAGAAGGGCAACCAGAGAGACCTTTGTTGTCAGTAGCCATAAATCGTCCATTCCAGGCATCTTGTCCAGTGGGAAGCCAGACCTCGACATAGTTGGAAGAAGCATAAGAGGTGACAACGTTCAAGGTGACTCTGCGAAGATTGATCTGTACCGAACCGCCATTGCAGTTCGAAGGTCCATTGGGAAGTGTAAGAGCGGTTCCAGCTGTGATGTCTTCGCAATCCACAACGGTGACCTGTTGGTCAGGGAAGGACAAAGCTTGAATTAAAGCCTGGCAATCGGAAACAGCTTGGACAGCAGCGGGAGACGAAGTGGCAGCGGCAGTAACAGATGTGGAAGTGGAAGTGGCAACGACGATTGCGCTTGATGTGGTTGCGGCATGAACAGTGGAGGCTGCTGCTGCAGTACTTCCAGCAGTGTTCTTGTTTGAGAAATGGAAGATGCTGCTGATAAGCTGGCCAATGGGTAAGAAGTGCACCATGGTAAAAAAAGACTCTTAAAGAGAGAAACGAGTGACTTGGTAAAGAAAAGAAGCAATAACAAGGTACCCTGGGTACAACTCAATGGCCAGATTGAACGAAGAGAAAAGAGATGTAGATGGAAAGAACGACAGAAGCCTGGACACCCACCTATGTATCACCCCGTCTCTGATCGATCTGATCTACGACTAGGGGACGCGGCATATCCCTCGAAAAATAGCAACTTTTTCCAACTCCCGCAAGAGATCCATGTCGGCGCCGTGCAGTATGCGAATGCGGCTCAGAAGCAGGTACGGGTTGCAAAGTGTGGATCTGCGGCCTGACCTCGCGCCGAGCACGCCGGGCCGTGTCACCACGCGAGTGTCGCAAGTGAAAACGGTGCGGCAACAGGTCACAACAGACTTCCCAAAACGGCTGACGAGATCTCGAGCTATTCGGAAGAATATCAAATGCTTCTTCAGCGTCGAAATTGTCATAATAAAGCAAGATACATACCAAAAGGTACATACCAAATCACTGAGAGGTTGGTTCATATGTGGCAGTAAGATGTTGGATATTGATGTACTCCACAAGAAAGTGCAGTTTTTGCGCACTTGCATGCATGCCCTAAGAAAAAGCGGCCATAGGGTTGCGTGGTTCAATTCAAGATCAAATTACGTACGCTTCGATACTCCGATCATGATTTGTCTTTCGCGCAAGACGATCTCGGATCTGCTCCACCCCTCGGTATAGGCAAACTAGTACCGGCCCGCGATCGTTGGGAATGTACTCAGCACTTCATCTCTGATGACTGATATCCTTGCAACTGACAGCAGCGACCTTGGATCACCAAGGCCTGGCAACCCGAAATACCCAGAGAAGCGGCAACCAATACGGCAGAGCAGATGCACACGCTAGAGTATGTGTGTGGCCTTATCGGAGAACAAAAGACTTGGGATACTCGAGGACCGACCAAATACTGGACAAGTTCAACGATGTGATAACACAGACATCACAAGGAGGCTGAGTCCTTGAAGGAGAGATCCAACCGGTTACTTCGAGACCTGATGGACGAAGGGCCATCAGAAAAGGTGACTGGTTTGGTTTCGACGAAGAAGCTTATTGCGCTTTTGAGATTGTCGCAAGGGGCGGGTTCTGATAAAACAGGTCTACTCTGGAAAAACGTCTGTCCACGCTGGTTGCTAGCAAGACAGCAAGAATGTGCAGCATATCGGTTGACCACGTCACTATGTTTCGTACTCCGAGGGTTCGTCTTTGCTCATGCAGCGTGTCGCCCTGGAAGGAGCCGCCTTAGTCATAATCGAGTGGATGTTGATCTGGGTCCGGGTGGAAGCGTTGACATATAACCACAGCGCAGTGACGATCTGAGGACCGAGTCATCACTTTTCATCAGCAGGCTTCTGAGGCAAGGTCATTTTGTTGGTCATCGCAGCAGTCCTTCCCTTCTTTACCCCCATCGTTCTTTTGAACTCTCTGATCAGCATCCTCGCACAATGCCTTGTAACTCGGGACCTGCATCAACACATCCACTTCTCGACAGTTGCCAACTTGCTTCCTCGTGTAGATGGAGAACGACCCATTGGCTTCAATGAAAACACACTCAAGCTCTGACACATCCAGTATATTCTTCTGGCGCAAGGATGCGTAAAAGTCGCCTAGGCAGATACGATGTCGAACCATGACTTTGCTCAAAAGCTTGCCACGGAAAGCAATCATGATAGGAGGTGAAGTGAGTAACCATCCGTGCTTGGAAGGTAGACGAGAGCCGACAAAAGACATCAGATACTGGAAACCGAGAATGGTAGCAAGAGACAGCATGCCTCGGACGAGTGAATTGCCGTTGCAGATGCCAGCCAAAGTACTGCCGATAGCAACGTTTGCAATCCAGTCTGTCACGTTCATGGCTGCGATCGAGCGGTTGCTGAAGAAGCGGAGTGAGGTGAAGAGCACAATAATGGCAATTGAGCCAATGACCAGAGGATGAAGGATGGAGGCTTTGACATAGAAGTCTGCGACCTGTATGGTGTCGGGGCCGGCTACTACCAGAGTGCCATTGTTGCCTGAAGAACCGGAAGACATGTCAAATTGATTGCAATAGATTGAGAATGAATGTCTGGAGCACTATGGATAGCTAGATGGTGGGGGTCGCTCTTAACAGAGTAATACCCCACACTCAGGGATCTGCTCTTCTGCGTAGGCCAAGGCTCCAGGTACCTTCACACTTCGCGTCATGCTGCAGGGGTCTCCACGTTCGCTAGACCTTATTATCACACTCACATCCAGCTTCAATGTTCTTCGACCTTCTTATGCTACGACTCGTGTTTTAGAAATCCACCGACATCGATCGGTCACCGACTGTTTCATCATCAACACAAGACACATAGCCACAAGTTACTCAAGACCTCCCAAGAGCCTCATCTTCCAATTCTCAAACTCAAAATATCGAGAGTTCAGCAAGCCGTGTTTCATGTGACTGACTCGCGGCTGAGCAAAACTCAAATGTTGTTATTCAGTAAAGGAAGGTAACTACACGGTGACGATGGTTGAGGTCGGTGGCTTCCCAGGACGTGGAAGCAACAGGGGTGTACGTGGTTTCGATAAGTTGACTTTTCGATTTGCTTGATTAGTTGAGTAGTGTATACCAGATGATCGATCTACCAAAAGCTCCAAAGTGATCTCTAGTTACATGCACCAGCTATGCTTGCGTCCTATAACTTACCACAACTCTATGCAGCTTCTCTACGGAAGAAGTAGACATAAGCGAATTTCTTCATCTCGTCGACGTCTCCACCCAAAGCGACCTTCTCGTCGTTGAACAGAATCCATCCCGGATCCTTGCGTATGAAAGCGACATAGTGACTGTCACTGCCGTTAGTAGAAGTCATTCGATAAGCTATGGAGTCCACTCACCCGGCGTGAATCGAGCTGCCCTTGTGGCACACGATGGACTGGAGCTTGAATTTGGCAGGCTTCTTGTCTTCCACGACTGCCTTGGGCTCNNGTCCTATGGACGTTTGGTCAGCATAACCATCGTACGAGCATCATTGTTTGTTTAGACTTACATCAACGGCCTTGTCACCAGTATCCTGTTGCTCGTCTCCAAAGTCACCAGTGGCCTCGGGATGGTTGAACAGCCATTCTACCGCACGCTCCATGTCACCATTAGTCTCCTTCAACGCCTGGCGTGCTTGAGGTGGCTCGAAGCCCATGTTTCCAAGCATCTCAATCTTCTCAGGATCCACTGCGCTGCCGGCACCAGCGCCAGCCCCACCTCCAGAGAGGTTCATGGGCTCGTCAATATCCGGATCTTCCATGTGCTCAAACAACCATAAGCTGGCAGTTTCCGCGTCTGTGTTGCCAGTAGCGTGGAGTGCCTTCTCACATCTAACTCGAGGGAAACCCATGGCTTCAAGCATGCTGAGTGCAGCTTCATTGGGTACAAAGGCAGTCGAAGCAGCACCAGCGTCTGCAGCATCGTCGGGAAGAAGTTCTTCACCAGGTTGTTGACCCTTGCTACGGTAGGCTTCGAAGTCAATGGTACCCTCGTCAACAATGACAGGAACGTCTTGCTTGGTAGGAACCCAGTTGACTATTTCGAAGCGACGAGCGTTGACAGCCAAGACGGTTGGGAAGGTCTTGAAGAGAGACTGCTTGCTAAAGTTCTTGCCGCCACATGCACCGCAGTTCAGCTCAACAACTTCTGCAGCGGTGAACTCATCTAAACAGCGCTGTAGAGTCACAGACTCAAACTCCTCGGCCTCCTTCTCTGCAAACCCATCAGGACCGGGAGTCACACCTTCCATCTTGGTATCCTTCGACAGACGTTTGATGGGTACTGCGACAGAGATGTTCTCGACCTCGTCTTGGCGATAGCGAACCTTGTTGCAATTCAGGCATTGCAACTTCTGTTCCATGACGAAGCGGAAGGCATCAACTGGATCTGACACGTCCTTGTAGTGGTCTTTCGCGGCGCGTTGCGAACGAGAGACGAGCTTGAGCAGATGGAGTAGAAATTCAAAGGCATCTTGTTGGCGCATGGTTGAGAACTCTTCGTGGCCTCTGCCGATGAGATGCTTGAGCATGGCAGGAGCCAAACCCTTTTGATGTGGTTGTTCTGTCGTATCTTCTGAAGCGATGACATCTGAGTTGGGGATTGCATAACGTCCAGACAATAGGCCATCTGCGATCTTACGAAGCTGGGTTTCGAGATCCTCTGCGGGAGTCGAGGTGAGTGGAAGTTTCTCGTCAGGTCGGTAGTATCGTTGGGCAAATTCAGGCATGGCAAACAAGCTTTGAACAACACTGGCAAGGTAACAGCTGTTTCCAAGGTTCTTCAGACCAGTAAGGCCAGGGCCACACATGGGCTTGAGCTCCTTGCCATCCTCGTTGGTCATGCTGAACTCCCAGCGTAAGTTTTGCTCAAGTTGCATCTCAGTCAAGCTCTTTTCCGTCTTCTCGCGACCAGCAATGTCGATGCCCCAGTGGGCGAGATGGGCGACAAGTTCGGGATCGGTACGTTCTTCATTGCAAGCGTAGCAATAGATATCCGCACTGCCGTCAGCGGTCAGAGAACCCAGCTTCACAGCGACGGGGTGACCAGTAGAATCAGTATGCGCCACACCGTGCGAGTTACCACCAACACCACCGAACTGAGCTCTTCCGCAACCCAGGTTGCCGCAGGTGAGACAGAGCCAGAGATTCTGGTTCAGATCACACTGGGAACAATGACCCAGAGACTGCGAATGGATCTGACGAGCAGCCTCTTGCTCCAGACATAGTGTATGCTCACAGGGAATCATCTCCTGCTCCCACGCCTTGACCTCCTCTTGTTTTGCGAAAGTGTTTGCCTTGAGTACGCCGTCAACCACGGCGGCTAGATTTCCCTGGCTCTTGTCCAAATCGTTGTTGGCACACTCGAAGCATTTGACGGCCGAAATAGTGTCGAAGCGGTCTTCCTCAGTCTCGGCGTTGATTGCCAGTTTGGACATCTTTTGTGGCGGCTCATCTCTGTGCTTTTGCTTGCGCGTGCGCTTGATGTTGAGAGCCAGAGGGTGACTTGCTTCCTGGGCATGTTTTGCACCATGCTGGCGTTCGGTGGCACATCCTCCGTTGAAGCAATGCAGGCAGACGTCGAGGCCTTCAGGCGAATCGATGCTGTCGAAGCAGAGTGTGCAGTCTTCCCTGTAGACGGACTGGTTGGGGCGTGGCGGAGTGAGCGATGCTGATGATACGTGTGGGCAGGCTGTCATGTTGGGCAAAGATATTATGATGGCCCAGAAGAGAGGAAGAAGAAATGACAGAGTGATGGTTTGTTTGCTCTTTCGTGATCGCAAGCTCCAACTTCAGTGCGTCACACACGTCCGAAACGCGGGGTCAAACTCCGCCATCACTTTCTGCGCCTTTTGGTTAAACTTTCTCCTTCATTACGGCGTCACAAGCAATAAGCTAACGTATTTTGTACACGAAGTCATCCATCTCTTCTGCCTTCCAACCTCTACCCCGTATCAATTCAATGATCCTTCTTCATCATGCTCCCCGCTTTGCTAGCACAGCTCCGTCAACACCATCATCTAGTTGACAAACAGACTGTCATTGTCCGACAAGCTGTATTGCTTGATCATGTCTGCAAGCTTCTTTCCTTCCGCCGACCAGTTAACAGGGCCTGCCGACGACACTTGGTAACGCACCCTGTATTGTTCTGTTAGTCTCTCGACTTCGAGTCTGAACCACATCGCTGCTTACCTCTGCTGGTCTTGGAATGTGTCCATCTTGGCTCTGCATCTGAAGACATAAGTCTGGCAGACGGCGTTGGCAAACACCTCCTTCTCGCCGTTGCTCATCTCATCTCTCATCTGCATGATGTCGTTGGCAGGTCTTCCCATGATCATTCTGCCCACATCGTCGAACAAGCTGAGCCACATCTGGCCTGTGTGATCGCTGACGTTGATGCTCATGATGTATCTCCACTCAGGCTTGGGCCAGCCCTTGTCACAGCGCTCACAACGCCACTCTCCCTCTGCGACCTCGACCACCTTCTTGTTGCATCCCTCCGACAAGCAGGCAGGGTAGGCAAATGTCGTGTCTGACTTGACGAAGACGATGGTGGCCTTCAGAGAGAAGTAATCTGTTGACTCACCCATGCCCAAGTTCTCGTCCCGTACTTGTGCAATAGTCTTCATCTGGTCGTTGCGTCCGCTCGTTGTTGTAGTGGCCATGCTATTGGCGTGTGATGAGAACGTGTCATTGCGGCCTTGAGCGTCGTACCAGCCCTTGAGCTTGTGGCCTTCATCAATGTCGGGGTTGACATTCATTGTGCCAGATGACAGGAGTGACAGACTGCGACCACCGAAATCGCTGACCTTGACGCCCTTGAATGCGATCACGGTCTCGGTGGCAACATCAAAGTTGAGCGCCGTGTTACCCCAAATGGTGAGGCGAACATTGTAGCCAGTGTTGTCGACCAGAGTCAACTCTCTCTTGCTGAAAGGCTTGGAGGTAGTCTTGGAAACGATCTCGTTAACATCGCCGACTTCCTTGAGCACACCGATAGTATCGATGGTTGTGTCCTTCTCGACGCTCTGAAGGTCGGCGAGAGTGGTGAAGTTGTAGGTGATCTGAGGAACACCCTCGTTGTCCTCTGCCTTCTCGATGCTGGTGTCTCTCTCAAAGGTAAGCTCGTAATCGTGGTTAACGTTGGAGAATTGCTTCTTGGCCAGCTGAACCTTGCAAGAAGACACGTAGTAGACGGAGCCTTCTTGCAAGACGTCGTACCACTGGTCCACAGCCTCCTTGAAGCCAGTTGCTCTGATCTCGCCACTCTCGTCGAGGAAGTTGCAGCTGAAGAGCTTGCCCTCGCCGTTCTTGTTGTGCCATGTCTTGATTTCGCCCTTGTGCGAGCATCTGGCCTTGATGGTCCATCTGGGCTGGTATGGTGAGAGCGCTTCGATGGGGTAGATGTTGCCGCCATGGGGAGCGTTTTGGCCGCTGGAGCGTGTGGGCAATTGTCTTTGTGGGGCCGACTGTTGTTGTTGTGGCTGCTGTTGCTGTTGCTGAGGCCTGTTGCCGTAGAACTGGTTGCCTGAAATGCCGGCGGGCTGTGCTTGAGGCGATGGGGCGGCGGCAGGTTCGGACTCAGACTTGACCACTTCGAGTGCACCAGGCTGGCCGAGTTTTTCGCATTCGCCGTACTCTTCGAGCACTTCTAATTCGATGATAACGAGGATNNGCTGCAGAGAGGTCAGAGGACGCAATGGAAGCATGCATAGATGTGGTACGCACGGCTTGTCCTTGACTGAGTTGGCTTGGAACGACTTGAGCTTGACAAGCGAGCCCTTCTTCAGCTTGCCTTCATGTACTATGTGGTTGGTTTGCTGAGCAAGCATGCTCTGGATGAAGTTGACAGTGTCGTTGAAGACAACGCGGAATCTCTCGACACCGGTCGATGAGTTGTTCATGGGCTTGATCTGAACGCATTGGACGATGGGGTCGACGATCTGCTCGCCAGCGAAGACGCGGCGGAGACAGCCTGTCGTAATGGCATCCATAGGGTTGGCCATTATGTGGTGTGTATGTGCTTGCTGGTCGACTTCCTCAAAGTTTCACACGTCGTAGATATCTTTTCTAACTTGCCGGCGATTAGGTGAGGTGATTGTTCTTGGTCGTAGAAGTTGTTGCGGAAGGCGTTGGCTGCGTCGCGCCTGCCTTTTGGAGACGCGTCGTTTCGCGTCCCAAGGCAGAAGTGATTCTTGGCATATGCGTTCGAAGGCATCACGAAGGTATCTCCACCACCGCGATAATGCTTTCAAGATTTAGATGGGGACTTGGTAGAGCTTTGAACAACGTCAGAAGACACCTGGTATCATAGAATGCTTGTTGTAGAGGCATCGAGAAAATCGTTCTCGAATGATGTTTTGTCTGGAAACACAGGTCTCTAACAATGCGATCAGTTGAGGTCTTTCTGATTTTTGATATCCTCAACTCATTTTTGGAGCACAACGACACAACCACGCTTCCGAGAGGCCTCAAATCATCATCACACCAGCGGAGATCTTCTACAAGCGTATAAAGCAAAAGATTATTGGCAAACTAGGCGAGTTGAGGACATTGAAACAATTCTACTGATACAACCTGCTGCGATGAGTGCAACCCTGTCCTTCGATAACCTCAAAAGCGAACGCGTCGCGTTATAGACGCGTCTACGATCGTCCTTCTTGAACGCAGCCATACCTATCTCGAGCACCTATATCTGACTCGATTCCTCTCCAATCGCAATGGTCAGATCCAATGTGGGACAGACCATCACGACGACGCAACTGCGCGTTCGCTCACTTCTGTGGATGGCAATACGCGTGAACTCGGCTATGGCTAGATCGCCCTGTCTGCTTCGGGCATGACCATCATTCTGTTACTACGAAGCTCTATCAAGGCGAAATGATCGAGCAACACAATACAATCACAATACAGCTTCTTCTGTAGGCCATCCCAACCCGAGACCTGAGGTGAGCGTAGGAACCAGCATCGATCTCACGCTCCGACTATATGCAGCCCTGCGTATCAGACTCGTGATCTTTGGTTGTCAAAGAACATCTTCCGTCTTGCTCCTGCTTCCTGCACAATCTCTGCACTCAACTTCAAGCTTGGTGCAAGGTGAGCCAGTCTGTTCAACTCTGCAACTACCTCCGCGATAATCGCTTCCACAGATATCGTTGGAGGGAGGAGAGCAGCAAGCTTAGGGGACATGGTGGCTCCCATGACCAACAGCGTCTGAGAGACCAGACTAAGAGCACCCTGCCATAGATATGGAAGATGGCCGACTTNGACTAAACCATTGTTAGCTTTGTAATCCAATAACCGGGACGCTAGAGATACTGACTGCGCAGAAACATTATCGATCTGCCTCAAACATGCTTCCAGACATTTCCGGCAGTTTTCTCTTACCACCGGATCGGCAACTGCGTTCTCGTCTGAGAGCACAGCAAAGACATAGGGTCGAAAGATGATGGTCCGGCACGCAAAATAACGCAATCTCAAACAGACCTGACCAGGCGAGCCTGAAGAAAGTGTCGTCATCGAGAATTTGATCGGTTGTGGCAGGCCCTCGTACCATTGTGACAGTTGGAAGTCCAGTTCTGCAGTAACCCGCGCCAACTTCGAGGTAGGGACAGTGGTTGGCGTTTTGACATAGAGCAGATGGCTGACTCTGTTGAGAAGTCTGCGTAGCGCGATTTCTGCGAGGAAGTACCATAGCTCGTCCTTACTGGTGTATTCTCCTTCTACATCGGAGAAAGGACCCGGCAGGCCTACCAGGTCTTCGAAATTGACAATACCAGAATGCGGCAATTCCAGTTCTGCAAGCAAGTCTGATTCGGCCAAAAGAGTATCCCAGTATAACCTCACAAGAAGTTCTCTTTGCGAGGTCGGCACTCTATCTGGAACGCCAAGGACCAGCTGTAGCTTGGTAGAAGCGATAGTGAGCATATTCCATGCCTCCAGTGGTCGGACAAGGTAGAAGAGGTAGGCTGCGGCTAGTATGTGGCACTGCACAGCCGGTATGTCGTTTCGTATCGCCAAGTTGGGTATGATCTTCCAGGCGGACGCGAAATAATCAATGCCACGAGGCTCCGCGTTAAGAGGATGTCTTGAGATGCTTCCACCATGAGCTGCGGNCCCTAACGCAAGTACTAACATTACGAGACAGCTGTCTGCTCCTTGTATGAAGCCAACCGAGGTGGCCTCACGGTAGTGGTTGGGCCATGCATTTGGATTGACACATGCATACCAGACGTTTACCAAATCGAAATATGAGCTCGCATAGACTGCCGTGTTCGCCATGTCTGGTCGAGGAAAATGTGGAAGATTGATCGGAAGTCGCGACATTTCCATCTCCACCAGAACCTGCGGATCCAGGGGCTGCGAAACCAAGTCGCGGATGAGTGGCCATTGTAAGAGATTTAAAGCAGGGGTAGTATGGCCTTTGGGCATGGTCGAAATATTAACACTGTCCCATGTGCCGAGGCCGTTCAGTCTGTTGTTCTCTAGAGCAACACTACAGCTAATACGTCTTGCCGATGTATCATCTGTGGTACTGGTGCTTGCGGTAGGGGATGTGCCCATGTGAGCTGCCGCCTTCGTAGCGTTGACGCTCATATGTGCGGTGGCCATGGCGGACTGCAACATAACCTCGATATGGGTCAATCTTTCCAGGATGAGTTTGTCGCCTGCATCCAGTTTGATACCGGGTTCTCGATAGACACATCGCGCGTCGAGTTCGATACACAATTTACACTTCGCNNTACACAGATGGTCAGCTGTTGTAGCATTTTCGGCCAGACTCAACATACGTTTTCCACCATCGCACCGTGATTTACGACTACGGCAGATCTCGCAAGCAATAATGGCTCGCTTTCGAGGATAGTCAAGTGGCTCTTGAGCCAAAACCCGGGTCGGAGCTTCGTTCGGCGTTCCATCCTGAGTAGTGCCATCTCTCGGGGACTCTGAAATGGTCCGCGGCCTCTTCGGAGGACTTGCCTGCGACATGTCTAGGTCCAAGAGTTGTATGTTCACGGGAAAAATTCACGCGCCAGTCAGAGGGCGACTCCTTGCGTCAAAGATATTCACCGGGTGATTCTGAGAGATGGATAAAGATATGGTCATGTTCTCGTATGAAGATGCCTGAGTACGGCCGCGCGTATTGGGCATTCACGCACGATGGCAAAGCGAGGATTGTCACATAGTAGAAACATTGCGGTTGGAACAAGTGTGCAGGACAAAGAACACGATGCGGAGTCGGTGATTTGATCCTCTCCACCTTCCTCGTTCTGCCTGTTCTCAAGGCCGGGGTCGGCCTCGGCCCGCTTTGCTAGCGCCATCAGCCCGCAGATGGCACGAATTTTTGGACCCGTCAAGAGGCGTCGCATCTTTGTCGCATACACAACCAAACACATCCAAAATGGGAAAGAGAGAACGCGAAGAGGCTGCGGCCACCGTCGACGCCGAGGTCCACAAGAAGGCAAAGAAGGACAAGAAGGAGAAGTCTGAAGACGCTGAGAAGGCAGCTCGCAAGGCAGCCCGCAAAGCCGCAAAGGAGCAGAAGAAGAGCGAAGGGACTTCTGGCGAGACCGACGCCGACGATGCAAAGGCAGAGGCCAAGAGACTGAAGAAGGCCGCAAAGGCTGCCGCTAAGGCCGAGTCGACGCCTGCTGCTACCACCACCTCGTCCGAGGCTGTCGCCGCCCCCGTTGCTGCCACTGGCGGCTACACCGAGCACCCCGGTCTGACCGCCCTGCCGCAATCTGAGATTGACGCCTTCGTCGCTGAGAAGTTCATCACCGTCACCGACGAGGCCAAGGCATCGCCCGCCTACAGACCCATCACCTCGTTCGACTACGTCCCTATCACCGACAAGGCCCAGCGCGCTCCTTTCGCCAACTTCAAGACCCCCTCGCCCATCCAGGCCGCCGCCTGGCCTTACCTCTACGCCGGAAGAGATGTTATTGGTGTTGCCGAGACCGGTTCCGGCAAGACCATGGGTTTCGGTGTTCCCTGCATCAGATACATTTCTTCGCTCTCAGCAAAGGAGCAGAAGAAGGGAATCAAGGCCTGCATCGTTTCTCCTACCAGAGAGCTTGCTGTGCAGATTCAGGAGCAGCTTATCAAGCTGGCCGAGCCTGCTGGTCTCAAGGCCGTCTGTGTCTACGGTGGTGTGAACAAGGACCAGCAGCGTGCAACCTTGACTGGTGCTCACATCGTTGTCGCTACTCCTGGTCGTTTGAACGATTTCGTCAGCGAGGGCTCCATCGACCTCAGCAACGTCACCTACGCTGTTCTGGACGAGGCCGACCGCATGCTTGACAAAGGTTTCGAGGAGGAGGTCCGCAAGATTCTCGGAAGCTGTGCACCTACTGGTCGTCAAACTCTCATGTTCACCGCAACATGGCCTCCGTCAGTACGCGAGCTTGCCGCTACTTTTATGAAGAAGCCTGTACGCATCAACATTGGTGAGAACACCACCGGCGAGCTGCGCGCCAACACCAGAATCGTGCAAGAAGTTGAGGTCATGGACTCCTACGACAAGAACGACCGCCTGATCACTCTCCTCAAGAAGTACCAGAGCGGCAAGAACAAGGAGGATCGTATTTTGGTTTTCTGCTTGTACAAGAAGGAGGCCACCAGAATTGAGGGCTTCATTCGTTCCAAGGGCTTCAACGTTGGTGGTATTCACGGTGATTTGAGCCAGGACCAGCGTCAAAGAAGTTTGGACGCCTTCAAGGCAGGCAAGGTGCCGCTTCTTGTTGCTACCGATGTTGCTGCCAGAGGTCTCGATATTCCTGCAGTCAAGGTTGTCATCAACGTCACATTCCCCCTGACCGTCGAGGATTACGTCCACCGTATCGGTCGTACTGGTCGTGCTGGCCAAGATGGCAGAGCCATCACCTTCTTCACCGATCACGAGAAGGGTCTTGCTGGCGGTCTGATCAACGTCCTCAAGGGCGCCAACCAGCCCGTCCCCGAGAGTCTGATGAAGTTCGGTACCACCGTCAAGAAGAAGGCTCACGACGCATACGGCGCTTTCTACAGGGACCCTAGCGAGATGAAGGCTGCCACTAAGGTCACTTTTGATGACTAGTTTTGTTACTGGGTATACCTGACCGGAGCATGCATATTACGGCGTTACGGAGGATTTTTGTACGACATAGATGGTCTTTTAGTAGATTCGAACCCAAAAGTATTGTCTGAACCTGTCAAAAGACTCTGATTATTCGTCTTGTGACTATGATTTGCCTTGTAAACTTCCTTCATGGCGACCGCTTTTTGATATCGCATGTCTTGGCAGATTTCGGGCATGACAAGCGGGCACCGTTGAAAGACCGTTCTTCACGTCGGCGACCTTATCCTCCTCGGTCACCAGTATATTCCGCTCCAAATCCAACCTCTTTACAAACCAGCTCTTCAAAACCATCCACAGACCGAAAAGCAAACATGTGTAAAGGCGCTATCTGTAGCAACTGCAGTAAGTGCACGAGTTCCCCGCCACCCACCGCATCCCACATCTCAGCCAGCCTCGTCTTCACGAATTCATGTACCAGCCTCCTTGCTGACCACTTCAATAGANNCAAGCGCACCTGGTGGGGATGCGGCAGCCATGTACCATCAGTCATGGACTCTGTCCCCAAAAATGAGTGGTGTGACTGCGAGCCAAAGACCGAAAAGGACGGCACAGAGTACCCTCCTATGGGTAAGCTTGATCATACATATTATTGCTTGTATTGATTGAATCTCACTGATGTCTTGCAGGTACCATGGCCGGCGTAGCGAAGGCCCTGGGAGACAGCTAGAAGTCTTTTATCCACTTTTAGATCGATCACATTGATGGAATGGATGTTTGGACGTGCTCGTCATTTTGGAGCACGATGAATAGAATTTTGGATTCACGACCTGGCGACCAGCCTTCCGCCTTCTTTCTGCAACTGTGACTTCATCGCTTTGACCACTGTTCCTGCCAAACCAATCCTCCAATTTGTATGGCTTCGAATTGCGATCACTCCTCCGCTGGGCTTGTCAATCTTACACTTTTGCTGACCACTGATATATGTTGTTTCCAACCCCTCCATCTGCGCCACTCCGATGAGACAAGTATGCCCGTCTAGAATTTTTGGCCATCGATGTGTTTCATTCGTCATTTGTTTTGTTCACCAATAATGACAAGCCAAAACAAGGTTTGAGGAGCCGAAGTTTGTACCCTTACCAGGCCAAGTCTTTGACCTTGGTCGCCCTGTTCCCTGCAGAAGTAACAATATTCCATCACAAGGCAAACATTTTCATGATTTCATGGCAAGGGATGGCGCCTCATGATGCGCTCCACTGCGTCCACACAAGTATCTCAATAGCCTCAGCAATATATGACAGCATAGCACAGTAGGTCCAAGGCTGCTGACGACGGCTGGCACCAGATACCCAGCCTTTTTCTTTCTTACATCTGCGGGTGCCCCTTTGTACGAGCATCTTCTTCCTCAAGCTACTCTGTCGACCTCAGCGGTGTAACATGTCGAATCCAAGCGAAGCACAAGCAGGTACCCTCAGACCCATGTTTTGGGCCCATGTGTCTACAGACGATGCTGGTTACTCCAGCATTCTGCATTCGCGGGAGTCTGCTCTCCTCACTGAGCGTGAGCAGCAGCATGGTGCGACTAATGCAGACCTTATATCAGTCACCAGGTCAAGCCATCGCCCAAGCGCATCCATATCATCGGCTTCCTCGACAGTCTCAACGGATTCTATGCCTCCATCACCAGAAGCGTCCGAGGCAGGATACCCTGTCCAGATCAAAATCCGACGAGCTCCTCTGAAACGCAAACCAGTACTGCGAAGATGCTGTTCACCCATCACCGAGAGCTTACGCGAGATACGGCAGAGGCAATCCGAAGAAGACTTGCGCAACCTATACGAAGCGCAGACTCTGGCATATCTGAATGATGCGATCCAATTCTGAATCTCACGAGTACGACGATGATCAACAACGTGCAGCTGGATGTAGAGACGAGACGGACACTCGGTGAGAGCTCGAAAACGAAGGTGGAAGCCTCGGCATTGCGTCACCGACATGACCCCACCAAAACATCATGGTGCTTACTAAAGCCTCATTTTCGAGATGCCGGCTTATCCTGCGACATTGACATTTTTTGTTTGGACCTCCCTTCTGTGGATTGAATTTTATCTTCTCAAACACCAAAGTACACAGTCACAATGGTTAACATGCGTGCAGTCGGTACGTCCTCATATGATATCTGAAGCTTCATATGAGCTTTCCCAAGAACATGCCACTAACAAGAAATCCAGACATCAAGGATGGCAAGGGTCCCGCCACTTCCCTCTTCATCAACGAAATCGAACGTCCCAAGCCTACCGCCGCACAAGCTCTCATTCGCGTCAAAGCCTTTGGTCTCAATCGCATGGATCTGCTCCAGCGCGAAGGAAACTACCCCGTTCCTCCCCAAGCTCCCAAAACTCTCGGTGTCGAATTCAGCGGTATAATCGAGGAGCTTGCTTCAGAGAGCGAGAGCGGTTTCAAAAAGGGCGATGCTGTGTTTGGTTTGGCATACGGTGGTGCTTATGCAGAGTACATTGTCGTGAGCACGCATATGCTCGTCCACAAGCCCGATGAGTTGAGCTTTGAGGAGTGTGCCGGTATCCCTGAGGTTCGTTTCCCACGCCAAACCTTCGATTGTCTGAGAGTCTACTGACACGAGAGTTCACAGACATGGATCACCGCCCTCCAAGCAATGTACATGGTCGCAGACTACAAGCCCAACCAATCCATCCTCTGGCACGCCGGTGCCTCCAACGTTTCCATCGCTGGAATCCAACTCTCAAAAGCCGACTCGGCCTCCAAAATCTTCGCTACCACTCGCTCCGACGAAAAGAACAAGTTTGTGGTCGAAAAGCTAGGTGCCACCGCAGCCTTCAACTCAGAAACCCAGGACTGGGCTGAGGAGCTCTTGAAGGCAACAGATGGCAAGGGTGTGGACGTCATCGTCGATTTTATGGGTGCCGGCTTCTTTGCCAGCAACCTGAAGGCTGCAGCCAGGGACGCCCACATCGTCACTCTCGCTGCACTGACGGGTATGAAGTTACCCGCCGAGACCGATATGGGTGCTTTCCTGTTCAAGAGAGTGAGATTGGAGGGCTCAACACTCAGAGCCAGAGACGAAAAGTACCAGGGTAAGCTGAGAGATCAGCTTGTCGAGCACGCTCTGCCCAAGTTCAAGGACGGCACTTTCAAGGCTTACGTCGAGAAGGTCATGGATTGGGAGAAGATTGTTGAGGCTCATCAGCTCATGGAATCCAACAAGACCAAGGGCAAGATCATCATGACCATTAACTGGTAGACGTCTTTCACTTGTACGTAACATTCATACCGCATGTGCCATACGAAGTCACGTTTTGATGCTTGTGCCACGACAATATTGGAAAGAAAGGAGACTCGAGTTGCATGTTCTCGTTTGTTGAGAGGTTGTCTTAATTGCGCAAAACAAGATGCTGCTCCTGCCGCGAATCGAATACACACTCTTGGCCCTCTCTCTTTCTTCCAGCTCCATGTGCGAACAATCACATTGCAATTGCACAAATCGATATAATAACACATTTGACAACGGCATCGATACCTCCTGACGACAGATGAGTATCTGCTGGAGTCAAACATCATTTCAATGATGACACAATCGATTGAGAATCCCGTGTCACAACTGTTTGCACGGGTAGATGCATGCTGACTGTTTGCACGAGAGCTCGACCTGCGATCAACCCAAATACTGCTGTTGCTTGCACATCCGTCTTGATAAGACGATGTTCTCTCTGCTGTCATTTCTTGCCTCTTTTCCTCCATGACCATGCCCAAGAAGCGTAAGCCCTGTTTGGTCTCAACCTCAGTATGTCCACACTCTCATCGCGCAAGTCCTACGTAAGTCTTTCCGAGTATCTTCAGAAATTCCGTACGCTGACGTCGATGTAGCATGGAAGCTCTAAAGCCTACTCCAGAGGAGACCACCAAGCCCACCCTCGACCCCAACCCCGACCCGGCCCCCAAATCCATATCTGAGGAAGCGAAGGAGGCCAATGATCAATTTGACCGGAGCATCAAAGAACTTGGAGAGAAGACGAGCGATGTCCTTTCAGTCTTGTTGTCGCAGTCGAAGAAGCAAATCAAAGAGGTGGGTTTGAAGGACATTGTCACCAGGTCTTCCGAAGCTGATTCATCACGACAGTGGGAAATCCAGATCAAGCATCGTGAGCAGGATATTCAGTGTACCATTGAAACGTTTCTCAGATTGCATGAAGATATCGCTCGCTGGAACTCGGAGAAGATGCAGGCTCTTGCCAGCATTAAAGAGCTGGAGCCGTTGGTCGAGACGTTGGCGAAGTCAGTCTCGAAGATGGAAGAAGCTGGACTGAGGCCTCGCAGTGGCCGTATGGTTTCCTGCAATTCGCACATGGGACTAGAATTCGAGACTCTGTAGATACGCACGATGCAGCTTTGCAATGGTTCGATGATCCTACTGCTATGCCATGTCGCGCGATAACATTCACCATCATGACAAACCCATCACGGATATAACCATAATCGAAACTCAAATTCAGTCGTCTTTTCCAGCCACAGCTTTCTCTTTGTGTAGTCAATGTCGCGTGTCTTAATTGGCATCTGCAGCCCGATGCGGTCTTAAATCCTACAACAAAGAGCTTTGTCTTGCTCGAATTATGTGCTCACCTCGCACAACCATGTACTCCACCAATCCCACATCTATCAATCAAACATCACATCCTTCACAATGGCCTCCCAAGATCCCGCAGACACCAATATGCACCAAATCATCCAAGAAGTATCCTCCCTCCAACTCCCAGAACCCGCAAAAGCATACTTTACCTCCGCGCGTCCCTTCCCTCTACAACACTCCCAGAAACTGAACTCTGCAGTTACTCAAACATATGGATGCACGCGACAAAGAATGGGCTAAAGTGGTCAGGATGTGGGAGACGTATGAGGAAGCTCGAAGGGTCCTGACAAAGCTATGATTGAGATTATGAGTAATGTTCAGGATATCTTTATGAGAGATGATGGGTTTTTAAAGGGGATATATAAGGGAAGGATGGAGGAGGTTGGGGCTACGAGGGATGATGCTGCGTAGAGTGGTCTTGCGATCCGGAAAAGTCCTAGAGGCTCATGGAAAAGCCGCAAACTAATCAATGCTTTGGTTCACTGACCTTGTTTGCCTCCATTTTCCTCTTTCAATTTCTGTGACAATACTTCATATGTGCCCTAGATTTGAACAGAATGATCTGGCAGATCTCAGATTACGTATCTGATGGCTTCAAATATCGATTTTGGACAATACTGAACTTCTCCTCGATCATCAACGACTCATCTGCCACCTTCAGACTGTGTCCAGCACAAGTAAGTCCATCTGCCTTTCCATGCCACACTCTTCCTGACCACATGCTCAGGATGGAGCAGCCCAAGTCCACAACCACGGAAAATGAATCTGTCAGAGCAAATAAAGCTCACGAGAGAGAAGCCTTGATGGACCGTCACATTCAGGTAAGCTATCTGAGGTTAAGTCATCTACAAAGCTAACTTTTCTCAAGCTGTGTGAGACCATGAAGACCAGCCACTCCCACATGCGCCTCATTACAGAACAGCTCGAGTACCGCGATCACCTGTACTCCCTCTTCAACGCAAAGTGCGAAGAGTATGTGAATAAGTCGTACGAGCCTGACAGCGCTGTAGTCGAGATCATGCGCAAGGTTCATGACATGATTGACAAGGACGAAGTCTTCCTCAACAAGATGTACAAGCGCCACGAGGATGAGATGAAGGGTGCAGACGATGAGGCTTGCAAGATCTTGGTGAAGCTGCACAAGGGAAACTAAGGCTGAGGATGAAGAGATGTGCATCTTGGTCTGCATGGCATGGCGGTTTTGTATTTGGAGCCAAAAAACTTCCGCCGGATGGAGAGAATGATTGAGATACATGCTTACCACACCCTTGTCCATTACTCAGCTGTGATCCTGTGTCCGAACATTATGAGAGGATACTGTTGAAGGGTTTATCAAAGATGGCCGAAAGCTTGGTGATCATATGTCTCGAATCGTTGATTCATTCTCGTAATTACGTAGAAGTTTGTCTACGTTTGCTGTCTTGCTTCGAATAAACATGATCGAGAGAGGGTTATCTCTAGACAATGAGTTCTACTCTACTCATGCACTGTCTGATCCTTTGTTCTTATCAGCGTGGGATCAAGACAAATAATGTGTGTGAGCGCATGGAAGCAAGAGCAAACCACATAGCCAGATTCGTCCACATATATATTCTATAGCATCACTCTGCTTGATCAACACTTTCTCCTCACCTCTCTACATCAACAGCCACTTCCCAGGATCCACCGAACTATCACCCCTGAGTAACTACTACCTCCAATGCCGATGGTCCATCTTCTGATCATGCGTTAGGATGAACGACTCTGATACCCCTACTTCTGACAAAACAACCGCCAGAGAGGACGCAATCTTCGAAAAAGGAGTCCTCACAGGCCGCATGAAAGAGGCAAGTAATTCTCTCCCAACAACAGCAGCAACCAACCTAATTTCTGTGAGCAGCTTGCTCGCACTCTCATCAGAAATGCCACTCACCTTCAATTCGCCAGCGAGAACCTCGAATCACGCAACGAAAAGTGCGCTCAACTCAAGAAACTGTGCAGGAACTACATCATCTACTCAACCAATCTGGACGGAAGTCTTCTTGAGATTCTGGAAAAGGTCCAAGAAATTTCCAAAGATTACCGCAAGTGTGTGGAGGACTTGGTGGAACGCCAAGTTGATGAGTATCATCGCATGGCTGCCGACTGCAAGGAGATGGCCAAGCAGGTTGAGAAAGTGAAGCAGGATGGAGAGTTAGGTTGAGAGGTGTGATCGTGGGTCTGTGGAGTATACTGCTATTGCCTGCAAAGAGACCATCAACAACGAGCCACAGAGATGGATGGAAAGGGGGCAGTTCGAATCATCAGCATCTTATCACCACAAAAACTGCAGAATCTTCTCTTCTTTGCTCTAACTTGATACCGGATGTTGAAACAGTCTTCTTCAACCAAGGGAAATCATAGAGAAAAGTGCAGATTCAACAAGAGTAGTCAAGGGTGACGTAAAAACATATGCTACAAACAACGGTGAAGAACTACAACCCTGAGTCAGCCTATATAATCCCCAAAGATCGCCTTTCCTTCACCTACTCAGACAACAAATCCGTGGTGCGGTCGTTTGGCTGGGGGAATAGCCGGTGTTTGCATACTTGTTCGATAATTAAATCTCTTGTATGTGTATGAGCCGGGAGAAGTAGGGGCTAACGCCCCGTACTTTTGCTGGTCGTGTGTTCGATTCTGGTTAGTGGTAGAAAGGGTCTTTTTGCTTCTGTTTCGCGCTTCCAATGTGATGGCCTTTGCTTGGTTTGTTATGATCCTCACTTCCACTTTCCTTGGAATTCGCTCGCTTTCTTTCACACTCGCGCAAGCAGCCGCACCTGCTTCTCGCAACCTGCACACTTTCATCCTTCCCAAGTACCAGCCTTTCCATCGTAGACTTGCGCTTACAACAAGTATGTCTTATGATTCTTCCATCACACAGTATTCTGACCACACCACAGGATGGACCAGTCTAGTCCCACTTCTCAGCAGGCCACACACGCCCTAATTCAAGCTGCGGTTGAGAAGGCAATCATCGAGACGGAGATGAAATACGTATGAAGCTTTGCTGCTCGCTTACCCGAAACATGACTGACTCTCCAGCAGTTGAAGAATATGATCGAGAGCAACGAGCTCATGATCGAAATGGTTACAGAGCGCCTTCTCCAACATCTAACCCAAGTCGATGAGGCCAAGCGTACCTGCCGTGAGAGCTGTGCCAATTCATTGTGGGAGGGATGCGAGGCCGACGACGCAACTAAATTCAAGATCTGCGAACTCATGTCCGCTGTGGCCTCTACGCAAGCCATTGCTGCAAGCATGATCCCCAGTATCGATGTGCCTCGCAAAATTCTCATGGAGCAGAACAAAGCTGCTACTGCCATACTCAAGGAGCTGGAGGCGAAGCTGTAGGAGCAGAACGTCAAGGCTAAGCTCGAGAATGAAGCCGACAAGGTTAAGTCGGAGAACGACAAAGATGAGGTCGAGAAGGATGAAGACAACGACAACTAGAACGCGAGCCACTGAGACGATGCAGACTCATGATCAAGTCTCAAAGGGATTTCCAATGTCTTTAAGGCTGGCTTGGAGTTCAAACAAGAGTGAGAACCACAAACCTTAATTTCAACTTGATTCCTTGTATCATGGATCGTGTAATTGTGTTGTGAGAAGTATGGTGCAGCAGGAAGAAAGCTCATCCCCCAACTTTCACTCTCGCACATGCAAATACTTGTTGTTCGGAAGTCGCACTCGACCACTGCAGCTCTTTTTCTTCTGACCACTCATCACTACAACCGAACCATCTACCACTATCCGCAAAGTAAGCTCTCACAATATTCTTGCACCACAGTGTGCTGACCACATACAAGGATGGAGGATGTTCGTAGCACACTGAAGAAGGCCACAGACTCCATCGCTCAAGCCCAAGAGCACCACGATATCACCAGACGCCACTTCGAGGACACCAAGAAGACACTCGAAAAGGTCAGCAAGAACATGAAGTCGGTCGTCAAGAAACTCGACAAGACGGCACAAGACGGCACAAGACGCCGTCCAAACCTCGATCAACTTGGTATGACTTTCCACGATGATTCTGCGGCGTTGAACTGACAGCTATCACAGCTCCAAGCCCAGATCGAACAGCGCAACCTCGACATCGAAAAAGCCACCGAGTGCAAGAAGCGCCACCTGAAGAACTACCAGCTCTACCACAAAGTCGTCAAGTCCATGGACGAACTCAAGTCGGGAGAAATTGACCAGTGTGTTGGCTCGATCTACTGTGATGGCCACGACTGGCTCACCGAGAGCATTGCCCGTTGGGAGGAGGAGAACAAGAAAGCTCAGGCCGAGATCCGCAAGCTCGAGTGGTAGTTGAAGTCTTGAGGTTGACTAGATGGACTTAATGAAACTGGTCTTGAAGAACAACCTCTGAGCTGTCGAAGGAGTCCCTGATTAGATGAATGGACCGAAGGAGGTTGGACGGAGTCGATTGCCGGATACCCCTCGGCTGGTGGGGTCAGCCAGGGCACGAGCCTCGGCCGGCAGTGGGACGATCTGTTGACTTCTTGGTGAGAAAAAGATGGACCGAGACCGAAAGTCGCATGTTCTCACAGCCTCGCATGAATATTCCAGTATGCCAATTAGAAATCAAAAGGGATGACTCCGAGATGAGGAACCAGATGACACGACACTTTCATCCTGTTTCTTTGCCCTGACCTTGTAGCGCGTGTCAATCTTCGTCCTTCCAACCTCGCCGTCGCTGAAACAAACGACAATACCAACGGCGTTACCATGTCCATCGCAGCCAGCATGCTTCGCGCCATGCGACCGGTCGCTCGTCCAATGATGCGCCCGGCAGCACCGGCAAGGCTGCTTCAGCCTGTCCAATGCATCCGCCAGTCGTCGCACTCTCCCCTCGGCAGCTCGTCGTCGCCCGCGCGCAAGAAGGTCACGCTACCAACAATCATGTCGCTGTACCGCAAGAACGACCCCATCACCGTCATTACCGCCCACGACTTTCCCTCTGCACATGTCGCCGACCAGGCGGGCATTGACATAGTCCTAGTCGGCGACTCGTTGGCCATGGTTGCCCTGGGCATGGACGACACAAGCGAGGTCCTCATGGAAGAGATGCTCTTGCACTGCCGTAGCGTAGCCAGGGGCGCCAAATCTGCCTTCATCGTATGCGTCCCTTCCTCTTATCTTCTGCTCCTTCCATTGACTAACCACGAACAGGTCGGCGACCTCCCCATGGGCACCTACGAAATCTCACCTGACCAAGCCCTCCAATCCGCAATCACCATGGTCAAGACTGGCCGCGTCCACTCNATCAAACTCGAAGGCGGCGCCGAAATGGCCCCCACAATCAAAAAGATCACCTCCGCCGGTATCCCCGTCCTCGCCCATGTCGGTCTGACACCACAGCGCCAAAACTCGCTCGGTGGCTTCAGAGTCCAGGGAAAGACAACAGCAAGCGCAATCAAATTGCTGCAAGATGCATTGGCTGTACAAGAGGCGGGTGCGTTTGCTATGGTCGTTGAGGCAGTACCAGCCGAGATTGCAACGCTGGTGACGAAGAAGCTGCGTGTACCTACCATTGGTATTGGCGCTGGAAACGGTTGCTCAGGACAAGTGCTGGTGCAAGTCGATATGCTGGGCAACTTTCCTCCTGGCCGCTTCCTGCCAAAGTTCGTCAAGAAGTACGGAGACGTGTGGGGTGAAGCTTCGAGAGCGATTCAACAGTACAGAGAAGAGGTTAAGAGCCGAGCATATCCTGCTGTTGAGCACACATATGGCATGCCTCAGGCAGAGCTTGCCGAGTTTATGAAGTTGGTGGGCGAGGAAAAGGAGGAGACTGAGGTGTAGCATGTCTCTTGTGCGGCGTTTAGTGCTGTTTTTGTTGTTGCGTATATACCCTCATTGGCGATGTACATACTGTTGGAGTCTCAGGTGATTACTTAGAACTTGAATTGCATGCGCTCGGAGCGCTCTTTGGTGTAACATCTATCAGTTCTTGCCTTGATCCTTCAACCCGTGTGAACACTCTCATCTACCTCATGTCGCCCGTACCAAAACTCCATCGCTCATCCTCATCATCACCAGCCTTCCACCCTGCTCACCCTTCCCTCAATCAACCAAAACTCTGCGCAACACAATAACTAACCACCAACTCCTCCCCTGTCCGAAAGCACCTCCAAAGATTGCCCACTCCCTCATCCAAGCCCGGCGCAAACACCTGATTGACATAGCAAAACACGCTCTCATGCGCTTGCAACTGCAACCTTTTCCTCAAAAATTTGACGACGGCGTCAAAATGGAGGGAAGAAGACATTTTGTACTTCTGGCCGCCGCGGAGGGGNNGTGGAGTGGAGGGGCCGGGGCGGAAGTGTAGCATTANCTGACTGAGAGGTCAGTTCATCATTCACATTGAAAGAAATATAGGAGACACAATGATAGAAGAGGAAGATGAGTAGAAGCAGGAAAAATGGTAAGATAGAAATGCTGTAGTCTTACTTTTCTCCTTGTCAAGCAATCCCGCTTTAGATAGTGCGGTGTGGGCGTCTCGAGGCAAATGATCTAGCACCACTGATGCGGCCATTGTCATGGGCATATCAGTTTGTAGAGATTCATCTGAGGCTAGTGTTGCTTCTGCTTCTGTTTCTGTTGTCGTGTCTGGTATCGATGGTGATGAGGCCATTGTTTGCGAGTGTGGAGTTGTGGTTTGTTTGAGTGGGTGGTTTCTTCCGACTCTTTCTGATGGTTCAGGTATTTGTTGGGAAGATATCCTTTTACATCCGTTTGTTGACAAATAGACGGAAAGTGCAAAAATATTGTAGAAATTTAGGATGTGTTGTTGGTTTACTCTCGACCGACGGAGGAAGTCGCAAGCGGAGGTTGTCGTCGACAAGCGTCAGGCAGCTGGTTCGGAACACAAACAAGTTGATCAAGTCATCGACTACTTCACTTTTCAAGCTCAAAAAATTTGCCCAAAACCACTAGAAGTTGACTGATCGATGTTTTTCGAAAGTTATAGTTACGGCATGTTGTTTCGTACGATAGATAACTCAAAAATCTCAGGTCTAAATGGCGACCCTGCCTCACGTTATCAAAATTGATGAAGTGACACAGAGCAATAGCAAGAACGATATGATTCGTCGTCTGGTTGAATGTATCCTTCTACACGCTAATGTAATCATCGTTCCATTGTATCTGCATCAGCGTCGCCATGAAGATGTCAGTTGGACGAGTTTTGTTGCTTGCATCGACCCAGGCAACTGAAGCAACGGCACGATCACCTCTGATGTTTGCAATATTTTGAAGCAGAAAAGTTAATTTTTATTCTAGTCAAAAGACAGTCTATACACAAGTTCAAAGACATCTCTACCTCAGTGGGCTGCCGAAGATATCCTTCTTGATAGGTGGAGTCTGGTTGGATCNCCCGAGAAGCGCAGGTCCCACCGTCTTTCTAGCAGGTGTGCCTGGCACAGACATATGCCCTGGCGTCTCAGGTCTCCACTCTCCGGTCTCTCTTTCTGTTCTGTAGACCGATGGGGGCTTGAAGTTGGTCTCTCTGCCGCGGTCGAAGATGTCGTCGAGCATGCTTTCGATGATACCGGCGTCCATGAATTCTTGGTATTTACGCCAGAGCTTGAGTGCCGTGAGGGCATCTTCAACACTGTCGTGACCTTTGTCAGCATCTTGTTGGATCTCTTCCCTTAGCAGATACCAAGCCAAGAAGCGCAGCGATAGACGGCGTTGACTGCGGAGGCGGTGTGAAAAGAGATCGACTGTGTCGACGACTTGTGCTCGAGGAATGTGGATGTTGATGATACGGAAGTCTTTGGGTAGCCCGTGACCGACAAACACGACACCCAGATTGAGCAGCAGCCATAGCTTTTTGTAGGCCACTTTAAGATTGACCAAGTTATGTTTGCTGACAGCGCGGTCGAGATCACCTGGACTGATGCCTGAGTACGCGGTCAGATAGTCAACCACAGGTTCCGAGCTTGCGATATAGTCGTCGATAAATGGTAAGCCTTCGTAGGGTCCTGCGCCTCGCAGTACTGAGACACGTGCAAGACCCAGACGAGGAGGACGAACTGTCTCGCGTGTGCCATCCGCTTTGATGTCGATTTCGGCCTTGGAAAGCGCAACAAACTCGGCATCAATTGCACATGGCATGCCAGCCCGAGGAAGCTCAGTCGTGGGATTGAGATTGCGCAGTACTGTTGGATCAGGTGATTTGTGCGGCCCTCTCGGTAGATAGTAGAGTAAAGACGGGTCAAGATTTTCTTTCCAAGAATCATCAATGACATGAGATGCCGACTTGGCTTGGTATGTAAGAATGGATGGCAGTTTCCAATTCATGTCGAATCGAAGAGCTTCTTCGGATGTTGTAGATCTGACAAGGAAGTCATTGAACAAGTGCCATTGGTCTTGATCTGCTGGGTCGGGCGAAGATGGTGCGACATTGATCAACGATACCAGATGGGACTTTTGGTTGTCTGCACTGTTGATGTCAACGACCATACCAACAAGTTCGTAGACCATAATATCATAGAAGCCGCGCTGGAGGTGGTATTTGAGGTCAGATCCTTCGTAGCAGAAAAATTGTCCATTCTGAACCACGACGCCGATTTCCTGGGGCAGCCATCCAGGTGTTGACCATAGCTGCTTGTGGTCTGGCGAATGAATGGCCGTATTGACCATCAGAACTTTGGGAATACTTTGAATAGTTTTGCGAGTGCTGAGTTGTTGGTATCGCTTGCATCGGTCACACCAACCACGAGTCTGGTCTTGTCGTTCGACACTCGCTTTGAGGACTTGAGAAAATGCTGGCCTAGGTGGAGCCATGCGTGGGTGATGTTTTAGTGGCTTTGGTGGATATACCAGATCGTGAACAAGAGTTTCGCCTGGCTTGAGCATCTCGTTGGCGCAATGCCCGCATCTTATTGCGAGTAAGGCGCCTGTAGTCAGAGATTGCTCCATGTGCCTGTTGTGCGGAGGTAGCTGTCGGAAGCTATCACAGAACGTCTTGAGCAGGAATCTGTTCGCTGCTTGTATCGTGACAGAAAGTGGGTTGTTTGCGGCGGCAAATTGTTCGAGTAATCCAAGAGTCGATGCATCAGACAAGCTGCTGAAGACCTTGAGGAAGTTACTAGCTTGACAATTCATACCCGCAGCTTTCTCTAGCATATCTGTCAAGAAGCCCATCTCACAGAGCAGGCAATTATCGTATAGGCAGGAAGTGGCTGTGTGATGAAGTGCGAGATTGCGTATCGTCGGTGTGAAACGCAGAAGCTGTAAGAGCGGATTGGTGTACGAGTTGGCGATGTGAGTCTCCAGTCCAGAGAACTTCGTTTTATTGTAGTANNCCTGCAATATGTCAATATCAAGCAAATCAATACAGTACTAGAAGACCCACTCAAAGTCGAAATCGTCTACACCAAATTTACTATATTTGATCTCGACGTTTCGATACATGACTGGGACGTCTCTTCGGATGGCACCACCCAGAGCAAGATCGCCAAGTGCTTCAAGAGCATCCGACATTCTTCTAGGACCTTCGTGGCCTTGTGGATCATCTTTCTGTCGTTCACTGAGGAATCGAGGCGCCGAGAGAGTGTCATGCGCTCTTTGAACGGCTCTGGTATCTTCGAACTGGTACCTTCGTGTCTTGCGTGGGAACGGTGCGTATCCTCCGATATCTGATCGTTTCAATGCGGCGAGGATGCCAGCATCGATCTTGCTCGGCGGTGCGCCAACTTCTGAGACAAGGTGACTGGGCCAGGCGGAGAACAACATCTCTCTGTAGTATGGCATGCCGATCAGATTCAGGGNGACTGCTAACAGTCAGCGTATATTCTTCCTGAACTAGAGAAATACCTACACGTCCGGTGACCAGTCGATTGGAGGAGTTGGAGCAGGTTGATCCGCAAACTCCGTCGGACTCCCATACTCGGTGAACTGAATCTTGTTAGGTGATCCCCAGAGATGCATAGCGCATTGGGCATCGGCAAGCACTAGAGCGTCTCCTGATGGCGCTATGTCTAAAGATGTAATATGAGTGTCGAAAACGTTTGCATGCCGCATGCTAGGCGAATCGGGATTCATGATATCGATGGCATAAATAAGTCCACCTTGAGATGCGACCATGCAGGTTGTAGACATTTTCGGGTGCATCCTGACAAATGCGGCGCCTGGTGGAAATGGTACTGGGGGCAGCGGCATGAGAGTCTTCAGGTCGAAAACGTTTGCCAGATGATCCAACATGTAACCATGCTGTGGCCTCGAAGACCATCCGCACGTGACAAGGACGTCTGATCTAGCGTCCATGTCGTTGATGAATGCCGAATGCGCTTTCCAGGTTCTAGCGACTTTGTAGTTGATCAAATCTAGGAAGTGGACATGGCCATCAGCTGTACCGGCGCAGATGTACTGTCCGCCGCGTTTCATCATAGTATATGGCGCATCGGCTTTGAGCTGTGGCCTGGTCAGTTCAAATCATAGAGAGATGGAGGGCATACATACCGTGGACGTGATGACTCCTTTGTCGACATCAATCTTGTACATGGTCTCCTGGCAACCGGCTACCAGAACCTCGTGAACACCTTTGGAGGTGAATGCCATGCATCGCAGATCTTTCATGTCATCTTGACTAGGATAACATCAGGCCTGGCCTAATTGTATGTAGGAAGTTCTCGAGGGACGTACTTGAANATGCCACTGCGTCACTCCTTTCCGCGATGCCAGATGTACGCTTTTCACTGTGATTGATATGACGCCGCGATCGCACATAAGCATCTGCTTGACAGGTCCTTCGGCGGGTGCATGGCCTCGGTAGGAGGTATATCTTTGCAACTCAGGTCCGTAAAAGGATGTTATTCGACCNNCTGGTATTTTAGGATGAGCGGGAGCGGATTTCGATAGATAGATTGAAGACGAGCTTACGAATTCGTTTGCAGCCCATAACAGCTCTTGCATGGAATCAAAAGAAAAAGTGCTGATGGGTGTGTTCAAAGCATTTGGACTAGGCGGAGGAAGCACAACGCGAGCGACCTGAGAAACAAATGAACATGATGACCCTTGAAAATGCAACTGTCCGAGGGATACAGAATCGCATTCGAGTTGTTGGGCGAAGCCTTACCTCATCCCAATCTGTCTCCATTGTTGCGGGATTGACTCGTTTTATGCAGCATTACTTGCGCAAACAACGACATGTGGGTTAAGAATAATGGAGCGTTCCGCCTCGCATCAACAAAGGGAGCAAACAGAACAAGCGGCAATGGTGGTTCTTTGCAGCAATCAAGCGGCCTTACGATACCGGCGGGACGTGTTGTCTCCTTGGACTTGGAGACGCGTCTCGATGCAAGACGCCTCGGAGGGAAGCCGCAAGCAAGCCGATGCCGAAGTTTCCCCATTGGTAATGACGTCTTTCCAGCGCTCCCTCTCATCGAGAAAATGGTCGTCATTGACATCCTACAAAAATGCAGAAACGATTGTTTTCGTGTCTGAGGACGTTACAGCATGAGAATCCATTGGTACGTTATCATTGACACGATCATGACGGGCTTGGTCTAAGTGACAACAGNGGACTACCGAGATCTGGCACGCCGCCAAACTTGAGAGCTCGTATGCAAAGAGGTTTGCCAGAGAAGCGACCAATCAAAGATGTCAANAAAGTCATTGCTGTATCTTCGGCCAAAGGTGGTGTGGGAAAATCAACAGTGTCTGGTATGGGTCAGCGCCCATCGCAAAAGTTGAGCTCTAGGCTAAGAACAAACNNAGTGAACCTCGCTCTAGCATTCGCAAGAAGCGGCCTGAGAAGTGGTGTTTTGGATACCGACATCTTTGGCCCTTCGATTCCGACTCTACTTGACCTTGAGGGAAACGAGCCAAGGTTGTCAGCCAGTGAGAACCCTCAAGCCATTTCTGACATTTATGAGCCATGGCTAAACAATAAAACAGATAACCAATTGATTCCGCTCACGAATTATGGACTGAAATCTATGTCTATGGGCTATCTTGTGCCGGAAACCTCGGCAATCGTATGGAGAGGTCTCATGGTCATGAAGGCACTCCAACAACTTTTGCATGAGGTTGAATGGGATGGACTCGATGTTCTCGTCCTTGATCTCCCGCCAGGTACTGGTGATGTACAACTGACCATCACGCAGCAGATTGTACTCGATGGTACGTAGAAGTGCGAGTCCAATAAGATTACACATATTCTGACAAGTTTCNNAGGAGCGGTCATCGTGTCAACACCACAGGATGTTGCCCTTAAAGATGCGGTCCGTGGTGTGGAGATGTTCCGAAAGGTCAAAGTACCGGTAAGATCTTCAACTTGTGTACTGCCTTGCATCCAGCTGACATTGTACACANNGATTCTCGGTATGGTTCAGAATATGTCTGCATTCATATGTCCGAATTGCTCCACCACGCATTCCATCTTTGGTCGCGAGGGTGTAATCAAGAAGTGTGATGAGATGGACATCAAGCTGCTTGCTGACATACCTCTTCACCCCAGCATCTGTGAAGACGCAGATCGTGGAAAACCCACGGTGGTTGCAGAACCGGATAGCGTTCGGGCACAAGTCTTCAAGGATCTAGCGGCAGACCTTAGGAAGCAGTTGCAATTTTGATCGCTGTAAGTACTTGTTCCAAAGTCGCATGAAGCTGCAGGAAGCTCCACGTGCTCACCGAACATGAACTTTTCCAATCCTTTGCCAAGAAATTTATATAGCCTACCCCTGACTGGCTGGATTAAGGAACATTGCTCATGTCAACTGGCAAAGATGATCGGGCGTTCACAGATAAAGAGTGGTGTTCGCCGCAGTCTTGCGTCTTGCCCGATTTCTGCCCACAAGCTCCGCCACGTCAGCAAGGCTGACTACCAACAACAACTATAAGCGCCCATTAATTCAACAATCTGTACCAACCTCTTACTTTCTGCCGATTGTTACTTGCCAGGCTGTTCTGATCAACATTCATCATCTTATGTTGGACGCTTGCACTTCTGCTATACTCGTGAGACACTTAGCAATTGTTATGAAGCTTTAAATTGAGGACAACGTCTCTCTTCATCTATCTTTTGCGAAGTCAGTACACCGTCTGACGATATCCCAAGCAGCCATGGTTCCGACAGTTCTGGTGTTCAATGTTTTGCGTAGACAGGGTTCATGGCTTTTCTCCTGTGTTACTACATGGGCTCTCTTCTGCGGCGCAACACTTGCACAAAGCAAGACCAATTCTAACGCAAACCCTTGGGTGCTGGATTACAAGTCAGAAGGTAAGCTCATCCTGACTACTGCTTTTCATGAGCTGACATGACCTAGCTGGTCCCAATGGTGCGCCTCTCATATGCTCCGTCTGATAGTATTTACTAACATCATACCCAGGGCCATGGAATGCAGTCACACAACTGGTGGATTTTCCAGAGCAAGTGAGTACTACTGTGAGATACTAATGGTTACGACGAGACAATTCTAACGTGATGATGCTANNGAATGTTACCTTCTTCCCTTCTCTCACGCAATCGACCCTGTTCGTCTCCGCCAGCGCTTGTGACACGCAGGATTCTGCCTGTCAGCTGCAGCGGACAGGCATGTGGACGCAAACTCCTGCGCATTCACTCTCCAATTGGGTAAACATCTCTATACCAGACGCTTCGAAATGGGATGTAGCGGCAGATCCTCTAGCACTTAAGGGATCTGGTACGCTCACCAAAGATCGTATTGTCTTGTGGTCAGCGGATCGCACACAAGGGCCAAACTATGTGGACGGATCGGCTATCTCCATAGCGTCCAACTATACCGTTACCGATTCCGTGGACACGTCCTATACACTGGATGTTGGCATGGTAAGTCTATCTATNCGAGGATGGAAGGTGACCCGACGCAACCTAATTTCTCCTCTACAGTTGTCGTTGCATACTGGACTGGACACGATCAATTGGACCACTGGCAATGGCTCGGATGTCTCATACGGTCGATTCATCAATCGTGCTTATCAGACTGGGAGCATACCATCAGTCTCTTTCGGCCTCCATGTGGGCTCTGTTTGGCCTCCGATCCCGGGTAGTCTCGTGCTAGGTGGTTATGATAGGTCAAGGTGCATCAGCACACCTATCGTCTCGAACACCAACGAATTCTCGCTCGCTGAGCTTAGCCTAGAAGTCACCTCGGGAGGATGGCCTTTCTTGAACGCCACGAAGGTCGATCCCGATTATCTTTTGCGTAGCGATGATGCTAGCACAAACGACAACGACGCTTTGACAGTGATGCCGAACCCCGGTGTGCCATACATGTACTTACCAAAAGATACTTGCTCCACGATAGCAACATTCCTTCCAGTGACCTTCGACCAAAGCCTTGGACATTACATCTGGAACACGACGAAGCCAGCTTTCAAGAAAATCATGTCGTCACCATCAGCATTGAAATTTGCGTTTCGTACAGACTCAGGGATCGAAAACATCTCAGTACCTTTCGCACTCCTGAACCTCACTTTAGACTATCCTCTCGTTAGCACACCGACACAGTACTTTCCATGTGCTCCTTACACACCTTCAAATGGTGCGCCGTACCACCTTGGGCGCGCTTTCCTGCAAGCAGCTTTCTTGGGACAGCACGGTCAGGCACAAAAGACCTTCTTGGCTCAAGCTCCAGGACCGGGTGCGAAGGCTGAGGCCATTACAAATCTTGCCTCGACCGACACGACATTGACGGCTATGGCAAATCCACCATACTGGAATGCGACGTGGTCTGATCAGTTGAAGGCACTCCCTAATAATAATGGCACGGGTAAGACGAGTACNAAAAAAATCTGGAGGGTTGAGTGGAGGGGCGATCGCAGGGATAGTAGTGGGAGTAGTCGCGGGGCTTGGGCTATGCGCGATTGCAGGCTTTGTTTTGCATCGACGACGCAAGTCCAACAACAAACAGACTGTACACTGGGGTGGACATGAGAACAATCAGGAGAAAAANNGGATGATGCAGGAGTTCCAGGCACAGTCAGCGAATCAGCTAGTGAGGCTATTCATGAGATGGCGGCTTCCGAACAGGCGAGAAAGAACGGCAACAAGATGCGGCCAGCTGAGATGGCGGTGCCAGAGTACGTTGGGGAGTTGGAAGGAAGCGATGTGTATCGGAGGAGTCAGGTTTCGTCTTGAAATGAGACAGGCTGTGTGCAGGCCAAAGTGGTTGAGGAGTACTTCACATGTCAACATGAGCATGGCGTTCGGCGAACCGGGCTGCCGGAGACGGTGGGATGGATCACGATACACAGTATCTCTGCACAATATTCCTCGAAGAGCACATGTGAAATCATGACATGTAGTCTCGAAGATGTGTTCAAGACAGAAGGAGAATAGATGGACTCGACTCGGCGTGATAGAGCTGACTCGGATTGATGACCTTTTGACAGACGGTGACGCGGGCAACCCCGGACGTGAGTCTTGTTCTGCTTCGTCTCCAGAGTCTCCACGCCGTCATAACCAACGCATAACGCTGAACCGAGTCGCACTGCATGCCGCCATTGGTAGGCATAGCCCGAGCAATCAAGACCCAGGTACCAAGTAGACCGTACCGTAGCATCCGACACCATGGCAGGCGGTGATGACGCCCCGGCGAGCCCGCTGCCCCCGAGGCGGCCTCCTCTCGGCCACCGACACTCGAGCACGTCGTCGCATGTATCCCAGTCTCCGAGCGACTCGACCACCAAGGCTCACCACAAATCCGCACACCACAAGCCCCAGCGACATGTCGTCAGCCATCACAACCGCATGGGCTCGCGCAACCCCAGCTTCCACCGTTCTTTGAGCAAGATCAAGATCCAACAGCACGATTCACGTCAGCACGACGACGACGAGCCTCCGACGCCAAAAGCGAAACAGCAGGCCTCGGTAGCCTCTCAATCTACCCTCGTACCCCCGAGCCCGGCCAGGCCCAACATGAAGCGCAACAACACATCTGTCCACCTCCCACGAAACCACTCACACGCCGGCCTCAAGAAAAACCTCTCCAGTGGCCAATTGTCTCGTCTTACCGCTGCGAAAACTACTGCACATGGCCGCACTACCAGCCAGCATCAACGACCTGATATCCGCCGCGCTCACACACAACCATACAAGCGGTCCAAAAGTCCCGCGCCGAAAGCTTCGCAGGTGGCATTTGACGTTGGGGACGACGACGACGATGACGATGATGGTGAAGAGATGGAAGGTGTCGACGACCAATGGACAGAAGAGAGCGCCTCGGCGTCACCGAACACCACACGCGACAATACACGAAACAACACTCGCCAGAACTCGGTCGTCCTAGATCCCAAGCTGAATCCCTACGCCCGTCAGCTCGCAGAGGAAGAAGCTGCTGCCGATTCTTCAGGGAGCGACACGGTTGGCTCGCGTAGTCCGCCCAAACCCTCCAAAGCTCCTGTTTCCCTCACCATTCGTACCAAGGACTTTGCTGCTCCTCAAGCTACTCCTACTTCTGCACCGCAACAACAATTACAACAAAAGCAACCACCGACTTCATCATATAATGCTCAGGTCGCCCAGCAGCACATGCCTGATGCTGACGCTATCGCACGTCGTCTACTCGAAAGAAACTCGGCCTTGAATGCAGCTCCACCGAGGGTCTCGTCTGTCTCCGCTCTGGCAAACCCAAGTCCCGCCGATCCGAAGAGCTTGTTGAGCTTGAATGCTGGACAATCTGTTACAGGCGGTTCAAACACACCACTCGTCTCGCGTTTCATCTCGAACGATGGCATCAACAGTAAGGATGGAACGCCAGCCGACCAGTCGGATTTCCTACAGGGTCCCAAAGGCCACTCTCGCACCATATCGCAAGCCCAGACGCGCAAAGAACAATCAGACCTATACCGCAATCAATCTACTCCCAACTTTGCTTCTCAGAAACAGCCACCGACCCCGTCAGGCTCGGGTGCAGTCACGCCAGACCCAGCTTTGAACCAAAGCAGAACACAACAGAAACTATGGCTACAACGCGGACTCTCCAATATCGAGGCCAGTTCACAGCCCCACCTACCCGGTCTGTTGCCCACAGGCCGTGCCCAAGCCATGCGCACCCCGCACGCCGGCAAGCAGTTTGAGTTTGTCGACAAGGAATGGGCCGTCGTACGTCGCTTCCAAAACCCTCTTGATGCAGGTCTCGAACGACTGCGGAAAATGAACGGAGGCTCTTTACCCGGGAAACCAAACAAGTCAAAAGCAGGCGCAGCGCAACAACATTCGAATGGCGGCGTCAATGGGCATCGGAGGGGACCTTCCAATGCAGCCTCTATCGCTAGTAAGAAGAGCGATGCCACTGTTGTCGCAGAGCCGACAGCAGGGAGAAAATCTCGCGTCAGCTTTCACATGGGCGAAGCTGAAGGCGACAACGACGATGACGAGCAAGACGAGCACAACTCACGTTCTGACCGCGAAACCCCTGCAGACATTGCTCGCAGGTTATGGGATTCACCCATTGGTATACAAGTAGAGGGGTAGGAGGAACTCTACGATTCTTGATATCTTCGGATCATCTCTTCATTGCTCATTATTATTCTTTCAGTCCTCGCTCTTGTCTATCCATTGACATCTTCTCCTCATCTTACACTCTTTTTCGGCTTTTGGGTCCAATCTTCCTCAGTGGGCTCTGGTGGTATGCATGCATCTGGCGTGGCGTTTGGCGGGTCGTTTCTTCTTTCGCATGTCTCTATCTCTTGGGAAAGTCAACTAAACGAATTTTTTCATTGAGTGCACAATTTTTCTTCCATCTTCCGCAGAAACTCTTTGTAGTTCACGCAGCATCAATAGAAGTGTATGTCTTTCTTGGCAGACACAGGCAATAAAAAGCCGTTGGTGGTCTTCTAGACCTTCGAAGCCTCTTCGCTTGGTTGAGGGGACGGCGGCCACGATGGCTGTAGTGCGGAAAAGTTTCCAGACTAAGGACAAACATCCAGGCACACGACGACAGCGATTGGTTGTTTGCATGGAATCAGATTGTGCAAAAGCATATCTATGATTGCAAAAGTTCTGCGTTTGCTCAGTACAGAAGGGCAATTTCGGCATCTCACACGTGGGCAACGAGAATGACAATTTGGAGCCAAAGTATCTACTTGCCTATCTTGCAGTATCGGTGACGATGATATCTAATCATTTTGCATTGATAGATCTGGTAGTGACGATGGCATAAGGCCGACCTGACAGTCACTGCGGCAAAAAGTCGTTGACCGGGTGTTCTGGGTTGCCTTTTCTGTTGGCTTCTTCACACTGCTCTCTGACTTGGTAGAACCAGCAACCAACCGAAACGAACCATTCAGTGCGTGACTAGGTTTCTGCGACGGTCGTGATGGTGTGGAGCAGCCACATGTGCGACAGTAGAAACTATTGCCTGTAGTCTCGAATCGCGATTCAGAAGGATGCTGCTCTTTTTGTGCCTTCTCGACAAGAAATTTTGTTGAATGGTGAAATCGACAAATGTCTCAGTGGTAAGAGTAAGCAATTTTACACGGCCGGCATGCCACGGTGGAGGGCTGTTCTAGTGGTAAGTGGCATAATCTTGTTGGCACATAAAGCCAAATCTCCTTTCTAGTCCATATCATATTGCCGAGGAACAACAATGTCTCGCGCCATAAGAGGAGAAAAGAGGGGTATATTATTTGCCTTGCTGTTTAGTCGTTTGGTTATGACGGCTTTTGCAATTTCCTGCCTACAGCAAAAATGCGTTGTGTGAACTGTTGATCTTTTCATCTTTCGATAGCATGGTCGTTGTTCCGCACGCCCGTTTTCTGTTGCGACTGTTGGTGTTTCCTCCCGTCGCTCCCCACATGCTGCTGCATGGAAGAGGTTGCACAACAGCGAGCACGACCAAAAGTTTCCGAGTTGACAAGGCACAAGCGCCAGGTACCAAAGTCTATGTCGCACCGGTTCGATCTAGCGCCCGCCTCATGCATTTCTTGCGTGAAATGAGGTGTGACACTAGGCCGAGAATGGGTGTATGCGATCAAGTGCATACCGGGAAATGAGATGAGCACGTTCTTTCGCTCTCCACACAACCAACTTGTCCTCGTGCCCGCGGCTAAGATTGAGGGCAGAGGCATCTTGGATAGGTAGGTCGAGAGGTGAGATTGGTTTGGTATATCTTGTGCGGGGATCCTCTCGTATCGCTCGCCTTCCCTGCCTTCCTTCCTCTATCGATACACAGTCATTCCAGCTGCAAGACAGTAACAGTCACTCTTTCCTCTTGGACCAATTGCCAACTGCGAGCTGAGCTCTGCCATCACACTCTTTACACCACTATCAACACTAGCCAACCTCGACGGCCTAGCATCAACAACATTCATTGACCAAGCATTACCGTCATCAGCTGAACATATCACAATCACCACTCGATAAGCCTTTATCGAACACATCAGTCAGCCACAATGCAGTTCACCAACATCCTCCTCCCTCTGCTGTTCGCCATCACTGGCGCCAATGCCCAGCAATCTGGCGATGCCACTTCCGTCACGACCTATTACACTACCTTCACCGTGAGCCGTGTCGTCGAGACCACCACTTGCACTTCGACCACTACTCCTGCCGCTGAGTCCACCACCGAGGCCCCCATCGTCTCTACTTCTGAGGCTCCTGTTTCCTCCAGCTCGCCCTCCACCTCGTTCACCACTGAACTCCTCACCCAGACCGTTCAGAGAATCGCAGCCAGCTCTGCCGTCTCTTCTTCCATGGCTACTGTCTACCCTATTGCTGCCAGCGCTTCTGCTGTCATGCCCCACGCTTCGACCAACGGCACTGGTGTCGCCTCTCCCACTCTGACTCCTTACACTGGTGCTGCCTCTGGCTTGACCATCCAATTCGGCGCTGCCGCTGTCATTGCCGCTGTCGCTGGTGTTGCTCAGATGCTTTAAGCATTAGCGACTACCATTTTCTTTTCTTCTATACCACCTCCCTCCTTCCTGGACAACGCCCCGTCATGTCAGGCTTGAAATCCTTCACCATATCTACTCACACCTTTTTGTATAATGTTTTCCTCTGCCCCTCTTGTAGATTGAGGGGTTGTTGATGATGTTTTATTTTCATCTCGTCGCCATTTCTTTTGTCTTATAACGACTTTCTCCCATTTTATCACACACCTTTTCTTATCATGAAGAATGACAAAAAAGCGAACTGAACGGCGTTCGGAGACAAAATCTTCTTCCTTCTTCTTTTTCTCTGGCGGAAATACCCTTGGACTTCGATGTTTTGGTATCTTTTCTATTCTTACATTTACTTGTTTCAAATATTGGTTCATATGTCAAACATACTTTCTGCTCCAAAACTATCTCTGTACTTCACGCTTCATGTGATGGATTTATTTTGATTGTAACGTCATTTTTGCTTATAGGGGTTCTTTGGAAATGAGGAATGCAAGAGCGTTTACTGAAAATCGTCTTTCGTCATAGGTAGGCCTTGCTATCCCACGATCCATCATTGATAAACAGTGATCTATGATCGATTGGCATGCCTTTAACTCACCATGATCGCATTTTTGCGACGTCATTCGAGTCAACCTGACCTCGTTGCTATGTTTGTCCGCCTGATCTACTGATCTGCTCGGCTGGCACGTCCAATCCGTTTATAGTAATACGGACAAGCATTATCTGGGACGAAACGTGTCGTTCGCACTACGGCTGTCAGATACTCGGTTTGAATTTTTGACACAAGCTTGGATCTGGGGTTGTTTGTTTGAGATGTACTGGGGAAGGCCTTGTTTCAGGAAGTGGGATGGGTTTTGTGAGAGGTTTGGGAGAAGTCTTGGGTGAAGGTGTGTAAAGATAGAATGGACTCGCTTGTTGAGACTCGTACCTCTTCTATCTTGTTGGTAGTGGGATGGCGGTGGTATCTGATTTGCCGGCTGCTGAAAGTACCATTCTGAAGACTGAAGATTACTCTGAAATTCTTGCAGACTTCTTCTAGATTAGTCATTCCGTGAAATAATTAGGTAGGTAAAGATGCTGTGACTCGAAGTCGGGGATAGATCCTAGTAGATTCGAAGATTGTATTGATATCGCCCTGAATTCCTCTTGATTGGCGGTTATAAAATTATGCTCATTGGTGAACAGGATCCCGTATTGATACCCTCTGGCGCTTCTGGAGAACCATGGCCTTGAACTTTAGAGAAGCGAGCATGAGTACAGGATTCAGAAGCATGTCTTGATCGATGGCGTGATATAAGAATTGAGTATGTTGCGGATTCTGTAGTTACAGTCTTCCGCGAACGCGGCAGGAAATTTTCGCGGCTATGTTACTAACAACCACCAGCATCAACTTCACAGACAGCATATTTCTTGATTCACGACTATAAGTTGCTCAGTTGATCTCAGTCGATTGGTGCTTGTGATACGTCTTGACATAGTTAGGCATATGGAACATGCAAGATCGCCAGCGATATCAGTATTTGCTCGCTGCCCTAGCGAATGGTGGGTTGTCTGTAAGCGCCGTGTTGCACAAAGATGATTGCCAATATCATGGCAAAATAGCCGCTTGGTACAAACACTACATATGACAAGATCAGAAGAGAGAGTTTTCCTCGAGTCTCCAACCAGTGACTTCTTATTAACCAAAGACTTGATCTGCCAGCATCGACTTGACTCCCACGGAAAATGGCACGCTGCTGCTCGTCAACATTGCTTTTCCTTGTATTCGTTCTTGCACAATGTTCTCTACAGCAAAACTGCTACTTTCGAAATAAAGTCATTGCGAGAGATGATTATCCATGTACGGAATCAACAACCAACCAACCTGGCGTGCAAGTCCACTGCTGCGAGGTCGGAAGGACTTGCCTACCAAACCGAATGTGTTCAGGCAATGGAAGGATGAAGATCCCATGAGAGGCACTTGCACAGATCAAACTTGGAACTCTCCAAATTGTCCGAGCTCTGTTGATTCGGGAAGTTCAGGAGCCAATGTCACGAATTTGAGAGTCTCGAGTTTTGTACGCCATGTGAGTTTCTCCTTCATTGGATTGTCGAGTGACTTTGCAAGACTGATTCGTAGACATACAGACTCGAGACTTGGTAAGGTGTACAATTGTACCTTGATGGGTGGTGTTGTGGGAGAAGACAATGATGATGCNTTTTGCTGTGTTGACAATGGGCCCAATTGCTGCAACAATCAGAGTCAACTGTTTGTCGCCAATGACTGGGACTTTGCTGCTTCTATATCTTATGCTGCGACGAAGGTGTCGGCGACTTCTTTGATTGGTCTGGCGTCGACTTTCAACTCGGTATCCTCATCACCCACAAGTTTGTCAACCACTCTATCGCCTTCTCAACTGGAAAACACCATCGGAGTATCTAGTGTAATAACCATCACTACTGAANNACACCGACCACCAACATTCCTACAAGTGCTGCAGCGTCAACAACCACAACATCAGGAAACCCTTCAGGGTCGAAGAGGGACTGGACAGGCATAGGCATAGGAGCAGGAGTCGGTGCCGCAGTACCCTGCTCGCATCAATCGCCGTGGGCGTGCTCCTCTGGCGACGCCATCGCCGACGCACAATGCATGACTCGCCCTCAACAAGCAGTTCNNCTCCCACGAAAGCGCTTCCGACATGACCACATAAGAAGCTTTGATGCATGCTAGTAAACCTGCGTACCTGGAAGGACACGAGGCCAATACAACACGTACCTATGAGATGGATGCCATGGCTGAGAGGATAGAGTTACCGTTGAAGAGTCCCAGAGAGTTGCCAGGATCAGATGGGGAAAGACAGCGTTTTCAGGCTTATCAGCCAATCAGTTTCGACCAATCGTATCGGCATGGATAAGAAGTTCCCATGAGAAATTGTTACTCAGATCCCAAATAATGCACTGCCTGACAGAACAAGTCGCATAGCGTGTACTGTCTCGTGCGGATAATATTCTTTTGGAAGGGAAGTCACCTTTGTACAAAGTGAGGTATTGCTAGAAGAGGCTAATTGGATCTGTGTGAGAGGTCCTGAGCACACATATAGGTACTTTATGACAGCTAGAGAGTCTCACTCGCCGAGATGTTCTCCAAGAAATGAAGAATTTCTTCGGCATCGTCTTCCTTATTCTCGAGTGCGACAGATGGTCCAAGCCTTTTGTAGAAGGGTTTGTCGAATTTCTCGGGCCAGTATCCGGCATAATCCCAATCAACGATGGCACGGATCTTTGGAGAATCGGGACAAACGATGACGTTCTGTTGTGAAAGGTCGTTGTGACAAAAGACGTACTCATCGATGTCCGTTGGCTTGACATTCCAGATGTCGACATCAGTTTTCTGCTGGACACGGTAGAGAGGAACAACGATTCCCGAAGGTCCTCCAATAATTCCTGAGCAGAGTCCATGAATCTGCTGCAGATAGATTTCGAGCTCTTCTTNGACGACCAATTTTTCCTCGTTCTCTAATTCGTCCATACCCCTGCCCTCAACGTACTCCATTATGAGATAGACAGCTTCGTCATCCTCAAAGCAGGCACGAAGCTTTGGCACGGGAATTGTAGTGTTGCTTGCAATGTAATCGAGTGCAGATGCTTCGTTAAGCTACCTTTCGCGCCCAAGACGGGGAACATGCGTCTCGCCAGTCCTCGGGTTCTTCTGGAGTTCTCTGCGGCGTAGACTTCTTTTCACGAAAGTATTCTTCGAGTGAAAGTACTTTCGCTCAGGAGTTATCGCAATACAATCTGCCTCCTTCTGCTCGTTGAGCACTTTGTTGGTGACCATCTCAAGAATTCGGACGTCTTGGTTATTAAGAACAGAACAGCAAGATTCAAGAAGCGGCACGACAAGCGGGTTTTGTGTGTTGCAATGTCGAGGCTTAGGATAATCGGCAAGCATGATTAGGCACAGAATAGTGAGCACAGCAAGGTCCCGGTAAAACGTCGGTTTCAGATAATCACCAAGATATCCGTTGATCATCCACATGTCTGGCCAAATTCATATGAAATGTCTCTGGGGTCAGGTAAAATAGTTCACTCACGATCTAGTCCAGGATATATAGGTTTTTACCATATGCCAACAACACCAAAGAGACGGCTATGCTCAAAAATCAATGTGACAAAACAGGCGTCCTAGCCATATTTACAAAGGTTGTGGCTTGGTGTCGCTCCTCTTATTCTTCCTTCTTGGTCACTTTCTCGCCCTCTTTCTGGGCCTTGCCTAGCTTACCCTTTTGGCGCTTCTCCTGTAAATACTTCCAGGAGCGAGTCGGGCCACCAGTGAGAATTCCTTTCAGAGATTGACTTGTACTCGGCCAGCTGATGGTCTTCTTGATGCAATCACCAACAGCCTCGGGAATGTCGTCCTGGGTGCCGATACGACGTTCAAAGTCACCACCTTCACGGCGCCTGATGCTCATAGCATCTTCGTCTGTGGCTTCTTCAATGACTTTGTCGAATGCTGAACCAGGAATCTGGAATTTCTTCTGATAGTTCCAGTAGAGCTTTTGGCGGAAACCTTTGGGTAGACGACGGACCATGTTTCCTCTGCGCTTAGGATCCATGTCTTGCTGCAACTTGAAACCGTCGAGGCCACCAATGTTGTCTTCAGCAGGGATAGCTCTTCCAGAAGATGAGAGAGCGTTGGCAATAGCAGCCTCTTTCTCCCAACCATGCTCCGCAGGNNAAACNNTCCTCGAATCGTTGAAGCTGACGTTGGGCAGGTTCTCAATGAGCGGGACATATAATTGACGGAAGCTAGGCAACTGGGCGTCGACGATGTTGGCGACCTTGCGAGGGTTCTCGCTACCAAATCTGGGGTTCATTCTAGGGTCGCCCATGTAAGAAATGCCGGCGATGGTTGTGTAGAGTTGTCTCTCGGTGAAATTTTCAGGCATCATGAGGAGAGCAGTGCGGACGGCAGACATGAGATTGATCTGGTTGGCGAGTCTAACCCTCGGGTCGTCTCTGAGGATTTTGACAGGTTTTTGTAGTCGTCCAGCCAGATAAAGAGTATTCCATTCGCTGAGATCCCTACAGATGGTGTCGATATTGACTACACCATACTTGATCATAACGCCATTGACGGTGATGTAAGGGTTGAAGTAAACACCAGCACCAATGCTGTCCTGAACTTTTGAAACGGTCCAAGATCCCAAGCTTTTCAAGAAACTGTAGTGATGGGGGTTCTGGCGCATGTTGGTCGAATGCCAATGCTCGGTATGGGAGACGCCGAAGATGAAATCGATAATCTTGCCTCCTCCTTCTTGCCATTTAGTGACTGCCTCTGGCGGGTGTGGATGGGGAGAGAAGGACTGGGCGACGCTGGCTGCTGACTGGTTGGTGGATTGCGTAAAGACACCACTACCGTATGCGAAAGCGTATCGAATTGGGGCACGGAACTGCCACAGGATCTGGCGCATAGCTTCTTTGAAGTCTTCGTTGATCTTGATGTGTTGGTTAGTACCGAAGAAGCGGTGAGGAAGTTGCGAGAATGCAGTGATTTGTGAATAGTCGGCATTGTCCTCCCAGCCTTCGGGCATGGTCTGATTAGGAGTAGCTGCTGCCGAGGACTGAGGGCGTGATGTGGCGGCAGTCGAGGCATTGGACGAGTCGGACGAGATAGGGGACGAAGATTTGGAAGAGGCTGTCGAGTATGCAGAGCGAGCAGCATGTTGTCTCGGAAGAGAATGCGTAGAGCGAAGACGGGTGTAGTACAAAGTATGGATTGGCGGGCTACGGCCTGCCACAGGCGGCCGGACAGGACGGAAGACCTTCTAAACGTATCAGACAACATGTTTGATGGAAAGATGGGAGGGTGAACATACTGAAAGCATTATTGAAGCTATAGTTGGCACAGTAGAGGAGGGGTGTTTCAAGCGGCTTTTTTCTAAACGGTGTTCGTGTATAGCGTGGGTTTCAGGGCAAGAGAGAGCATGTCTACGCAGACAGCGAACACATGACACAAACAAGAAAGTAGGACAACAGCAGGTAGTTCTTGAATAGGAAGGGGTAATTGTAGAGACAGAAGGACAAGAATGCAACTCAGGAACAGGAAGGAGCTGGAACCTTTCCAAAGCACCTGCACTCACTTTGTGTCAGAAGCTGGGGAAAGAGCCCCACGCGTGCCTGACGTCGCGCCTTGGCAATCACGTGTCAGCCCGCGGCTAAGCTTTCCAGCTTCCCTTGTGTTTGTTGTTGAAGACGAATTGCGACCCTGTCAAGCTTGCCTGTTTCTCGAGCGCGTCAGACTTGATCAACCTTCTGCCAACACCTGCCTCGTCGCCGGCAACATGGCAGCTGTACCGGGCCTGGACTTGTCCATGCTGACATACTCCGCTCGACTGGCCACCTTCAACACCGAACACCAACTCACAAAGAGACGCGCCTCGAGCCAAAAGAAGAAACAAGCCTCGACCGTCTCATGGCCTCACGAGTCGCCTTCTGGTGAAGAGGTAACTCTCGCTCTCACTGCTCTGTTAGTGTTTGACATTAACATCTACAGNCTCGCTCGCGCCGGCTTCTTCTTCAAACCTGCTCCCGACAGCGACGACAACGCACAATGTTTTCACTGCGCCGTAAAACTCGACGGATGGGAGAGCCAGGATGTCCCTCTCCAGGAGCATCTAGCCCACTCTGCCCACTGCTCCTACGCACTCAGTCTGTCTGTTTCGAACAAGCAGGAAGAACGCGACCCCATGAGCCCCGAACTGGTCGAAGCTCGCACAGCCACCTTTGGCGACATGTGGCCACACGAACACAAGAAGGGATGGAAGCCCAAGGTCAAACAGATGGTTGAAGCCGGTTGGGCATATGACCCTTCGCCCGCAGACGAGGACGGCGCCACCTGTTTCTATTGCAACATGTCACTGGATGGATGGGAGCCCAAGGATAGCCCGCTTGAAGAACACCGCCGTAGAGAGCCCAACTGCCACTTCTTTGCACTGTGCGACCGTTACAAGTCTACAAGACGCAAAGGTGGGCGTGGTCGTGCTTCTACTGCCTCAAGAGCTTCCCGCCTGTCCACCCAATCTGTGCAATCGACCTTCTCCGAGGCTCCTTCGCTAATGTCCTTGGGTGACGCAGGTCCTCAGCTTGACGCAGAAGATAGCATCGCCCTCGATGCCACCATCTCGTCCGACGCTGGCAAGGGCCGTAAAAAGACCACCAAAGGAAAGAAAAAGACAACCCGTCAGGAATCCGTCGACCTTTCCGTTCAGTACCCGACTCTGCAAGAAGTCGTCGAGGACGACATATACGCTGTTCCTGTTGAAGCCGACCCGGAGCCTGTTGCAGAGCAACCCAAACCCAAGCGTGGTCGCAAACCCAAGAACACTCAAGAGTCCACCGTTATCGATGATTCCGTGGCGGAACCTGCAACTAAGCCTGCGAGAGGTCGCAAGAAGGCAAAGGAGCCTTCTCCTCCTCCCGAGACCAGTCTGGACGAGAGCCAGTTGCAGTCTGAACTAAAGGAAGCTGCCGAAGTCGCTGTTGTTGCACAGAGTCCTCCGGCAAAATCTGGAAGAGGCGTCAAGAGAACGAGTGATGGAGTCGAGAAGCCCCCGCTTCAGGAAGACATGACTGCTGACGAAGAGCCGGCTAAACCCAAGAAGGTCGCAAAAGCCGCGAAAGCAAAGAAGACCAAGAAGGCTGCCAAGGATACCCAGGAAGAAGTAGATGAGTCCGTCGCAATCTCACAGCCGGAGGACAAGCCGAAACGAACGAGGTCTAAGAAGACCAAGAAGGTCGAGCCTGAACCCAAATCCGAACCGGAGGCAGAGCCTGAAGCAATCGTCGAGCAAACGGTCGAGGTACAAACAGAATTGGGACAACCCGCCGAGGCCGAAGAAGATCTGGAACCCGAAGAAGAGCTGGAACACGAAGAAGAGCTGGAACCCGAAGAAGAAGCATTTGAGAGGCACTTCGAGATCGCCGATAGTGACGCCGGACTCGACAATGAGGCAAAAGATGAGGTTCAACAACAGCTACAAGAGGAGGAAGATGATCAAGAGAATCTGGATCCAAGCGCAGAAGCCGATATTGATATGGAACAAGAGAACAACCAAATCCTGGATCACCACGAACCACAAGATGAGGACGTACTGGAAGAGGAGTTTGACAATCTCGAGAATGTGGAACCTGAGGAGGAAGTTGTGGAAGAGGCGGTGGACAATGAGGTCGATGCAGAGGAAGAAGAACAAGCCGCCTCTGTCGCGCAGACTCCTGCGGCTGAAGAGTTCGAGCCGACACCAACACCCGAGATCAGCCGTCATTCTGCAGTCTCTCAATCCTCTGTGCGGAGGTCTGTCATCCAACGAGCACACTCAGAAGAGGTTGAAGTATCAGCCCATTCAACACCGCGTAGTGCAAGGAGTCCCCAGCAATCAGATGCCGAGAACCAACCGCCATCCTCATCAACACACGCACCTCCCACAGCTCAAAAGCTTGCTCCTACTTTGGGTGCGACGAATGCCACTATCCAACCCAGAGAGATCTTCGCGAGCCCCACCAAAACTACTCGAGTCCCTCTTGCTGCATCTACTCCCAACCGCTCTCCTTCTAGACGATCACCATCCAAGTTCGGCCGACTTGTATCGTCGACTCCATGGGAACCCGTTGATCTCGAAGCAATTTTCTTCCCTGACTCGGAAAACGAGAATGGAGACGCAGACGATATATTCAACAAGCTGCTCGAGGTCGGTGGTGCACTCACCTCACCGGAGAAGAAAATGACGGTCGAGGAGTGGGTTCGATCACGCGCAAAACTGGGAGAGAACAAGCTCAAGAACGAGTGTGAGCGTATGGTAATGCTTTTCGAGAAGGAGGGCAATAGAGGTTTGGCAGCTCTGAACAGCATCCAGACCTCATCATGATTGACCGGATGAATAACGAATTTCGTATCTCTGTTGTTAGGAAAGGTTCTCAATAGTTTGGGGTTTAAATCAGGGAACAGCCGCATCTTCTTCACAATCAATTTTCGCATTTTTCCTGTTCTTCTGGATCCTGTCGGTTTTGTGATACTGCATGTTTGGTTTGGCAAAGCCGTATCGTCTTCGCTCCACACGCTCCGTAACGGCATGTCAATATATTTTATACTGATAATCGACATGGTTCACAAGCGCCTCAGGGCATGTATCGCTTCGACGATGTATACTTATCGGACCAATCATCACTGATCTCAAAAGATAAAACCATCATGGCTGAGTTGTCATGACTCTGACCTACGGAGCAAAAAAAGAAGAAAGCGACTGGACTTGAAGATGAAATCCTCAGAAATTTCCATTCAAAGTGGATTTCGACGAAGAAGGAAGGATTGAGCGCGGCGGGCCGACCCCAATGTTGACCACCACCTTCCTGTCTTGACACCTAACCTCTTCGCCATTTCCTACGCCTATCACGAAATCAAGCCCTCAGACAAGCTTCTGCCAACAACAACATGTCGAATCAAGCCGGCTTGTGGCGTCTTCTGCAAACGCCGAAGAAGCTTGGTGATATTGCTCGCCTATACCTCATACGCTCTCGTCAATCCCATGTCTGCACTGATAACGGTACATTGCCCTCGATGCAATCAACCTCACTGGCCAGATTGGTCAACTCGTTATCAGAGATACTGCGATGTCCAATCCTTGAACGACTCGCTTCCACTGATACATTGCGACAGGAAAGTACTATGCTGATACACCCTGCTTCGGCTGGAGCCTTGTGTCCGATGCACCGCCAAACCTCAAGTTCTTGCGGCCCCGAGAGACCACGCTATGCTTCTAATACCTGACTGACCTCTCTCAGCCCTTGACTCGATATCTCCCGGCCCAGCCCGCTTCTCTACATGAACCTTATGCATGATGTTTAGTTCCATGTAGGCGAGAAGCAGGATCACTTCACTCCATGCTCCCCAATCGCAAAGCGTATACAGTCTTCGACGGAATCCGCACCTACGGAACACAAGTCCAGAAGCCGATTGACATATCTTCTGCGGACGTACATACCTCCGCGTCGCTACGTACTCGTGGATGTCAAAGTACGTTGTCCCGATATCCATCGAGACAATACACCGCTTCAGGATCCAGCTATCTACCCGCGTGACAGGTCTACATATTCGCAATCTATGCCTCAGCCAGGTGGGCCTTTCAATCAAATCGATCACACAATACGAAAACAGCCATGAACAAAGATGGAAGGTCATACTCAGTAGCAGCATTTCAGATTAGCGAGATGCTCTTCAGCAAGCCTATCACGCCATTTCAGGGCCTACAGAGTACGGTAAGAGTGTCTCGACACTGTCTATAAAGTTCTAGGTCAACCCATACGTTCCTGTCTCTCTCATCCACCAATACTACCATCGTTAAATCCATACAAACCACCCTCGCTCTCCACAAGTCTCTCTTTCAGGGCTTTCCGTCAAGAATCAGTTCATCAACTCGACATGAAGCTCACTACTGCCTTCATTGCCGGTCTGCTGTCCGCTAGCACCGTTGTTGCTGCCCCTGGCACTGCTATGCGTCGCAAGCGTGCCGAAGGTGCCATTGCTGCCAGCCGTGCTGGCTTCGTCAAGGCCCCAAAGCCCTTCCTTGCAGCCACCAACGTAACCGCTGTCGTTCACAGTCCCGAGAATAAGCAAGCCAGCTACTCCACCAACTGGGCAGGCGGCGTCCTCGAGGGCTCAGGCTTCAATACCGTGACCGGCACTTTCACCGTCCCCAAGGTCGCCGTCCCTTCCGGTGGTAGTTCCAAAACATTGTACTCGGCCTCTGCTTGGGTTGGTATCGATGGCTACTCCTGCTCCTCCGCCATCCTGCAGACCGGTGTCGATTTCAGCATTCAGAACGGCGCTGTCACCTATGATGCCTGGTACGAGTGGTTCCCCGACTACGCCTACGACTTCACCGGCATCAGCTTTTCGGCCGGCGACAGCGTAACCATCACCGTTACCGCATCATCTAAGACCGGCGGTGTCGCCACCATCAAGAACAACAGCAAGGGCACCTCTGTCAGCCATACTTTCACCGGTCAAACCGCTGGCAGTCTCTGTCAAACTGATGCCGAGTGGATCGTCGAGGACTTTACGCAGATCCAGAATGGACAGGAGTCTCTGGTTCCTCTGGTCAACTTTGGTACTGTAACTTTTACTGGTGCATCGGCTACTACGAACAGTGGAACTAAGCTTGGTCCTGCTAGTGCTGATGTTATTGATTTGATTTCTGCCAATGGAAAGACTGTTCTTACTGATGTTACTGTGGGTTCTTCTACCGTTGCTGTCGTCTATGGATGAATGGTTCAGTTGGAAGAGCATGATGGGATTAGTGCAAGTGATGGACTTCTGCCGAGGTGTGCACATGATACGCTTGTTCCATTCTTAGTGCTTTGTCTAGCTCAGATACCACAGATAGCTTGGTATAGAAGACGATTGAAGATCGATCATCGCTGCCATACAAGACATTTGACAATCTGTGCGACCAAGACCAAAAAGGGGCGAGCGAAAGGAGCGATCAGCTAGACATCGAAGGCTGCGGCATGCGTGTCCAATACATCAGTGTATTGGGAGGAGAGACACGAGGTTCCGTGAAAAGATTAGAGATTCTGGGGTTGGGATGCATATAATACACCTACTCGTACACTTCCGATATTTGTATCCTACACGGTATATATGCCAAGTGTATCGCTCAGTTCTCCAAGAGGTCAACAACAATAGGAGTGATCCTCTCAACGCCCTGAGCCAACTTGGCACTGATGGGAATGGCATGAAGCTTCTTCTTCCAAGCATTCTTCTTGCCACTAGGGTGTATCGTCTCGCCATCAGCAACACTCTTCAAATAAGCCTGCAAAGCAGCAAAGTTCTCCCTCGTCTCTGGCAAATCAGCCTTTGTGGCAATCACCAACCAAGGTTTTGACGAAATAGGCGGCAACTTGAGCTCAGGCAGCACACGCGATCCATCAGGGTTAAACAACACAGAGCCATCCTCAAAGATGTTCGGAGGCTCGGCTTTGACAAGCGGCGAGTAGCGTACCATTTCCTTTTCTTCTTCGACGCGACGTTCGGTTTCGGCGTTTACTTCGCGGTCGCGGAGGAGTTCGTATTGGCCTACTTCTTTCCAGAGGCCTTTGAGGGCTTGGATGGCGTCGCCGGCGCTGAGGTCGACGACAAAGGCGAGGATGCCGGCGCGTTCGATGTGGCGGAGGAAACCGAGACCGAGACCGCGGTCGAGGTGGGCGTCTTCGATTAGACCGGGGATATCGGCGATGGTGAAGTTTGTGCGAGGAGGACCTTTTCTGCGCTCTGAGGTGGCGATCAGAGGGCGACCTTTGTGGTTGTCGAGGACGACGGTGCCGATGTTTGGTTGCAGGGTTGTGAAAGCCCAGTTGCCGATGCGAGCACGGCTATTGGTGATGGCTCGTAGTAGGGTACTCTTTCCGGCATTGGGGAGACCGACAAGACCAACGTCTGCGAGAAGTTTGAGTTCGAGCTGGATTTCGACCTTCATGCCCTCGTCGCCCTTTGTGCCGTACTTAGGACGGGTAATGCTTTNTGTGACGAAGTGGGNGTTTCCTAGTCCGCCCATAGCACCAGCAGCAAGCAATTGGGGAGCCTCCATGGGTGTATCCAGATCCAGGCGGATGGGCGCTGGGGGTTGGGACATGGCGATTTGCGATCTCCTGGGGCGTGGTAGAGGAGGGAAGTCGGCCGAGGTGAAGGATTGAGGCATGGCACCAGGGAACAGCAGCCATTTGTCACGCCTCCATTTGCGCGTATTGTCGACAACGCCTGGTTCATCGTCAAAGACGGCATCCGCGCCCATGGCCTTTGCCCTCTTGTCTGCCAACTCCTCATCTGCCACGGGGTCGTGTCGCCACACCTCGCGCACAATTGTACCGACGGGCACTGTGATCAAGATGTCTTCTCCTCTTGTGCCTCCCTGTCCCTTTCCTTGACCATTCTTTCCACGTCCGGCCTTCAATATTCCTCGTCGCGCAAGCTTGTGCAACGATGTCTCGCCCTGCACAGCCTGGATGTAGATGTTTCCTCCTGTTCCTCCGTCGCCGCCATTAGGCGGACCATTCTCGATGTATTTCTCGCGCAAGAAACTGATGCAGCCGTGGCCTCCTGCGCCTGCGTGTAGGACGATTGAGCATCGATCGGTGAAGGGTGTGATTGAGTACGAGTCTGGCGGCGGGTCCAGGCGATCGAGTTCGGTCTCGGGTGTGTCGTCAAAGCTTTCATCTTCGTGGCCTCCTTGTGTGCTGGAAACAGTTGCGATATGTCTCTTGGACAGACATTGTGTATTTCTATTCGGTCGTCCTAGTTGTAGCCATCGCCTCAATACGCGCGGCGCATTGCCCCTGTTTGGATGAAGACAGGGGTAGAGGAACGGCAAGAATGTCCCGTTCACAGCCATTGTGCTCTTGCGGCAGCCTCTGTCGCAAAGATAGCTATTTGGAAATAGTGGCAACAGACAGCAGTTTCATTCTTGCTAAGCATATGAAGGCAGGATTTGACGAAGCCGAGGTTTCTCGCCTAAAATTGCCCTGCTCTGCCTACCTAGGCATCCTCGATATTACCCCTCATGCATACTATCTGCTATATATTATCATCACCTCATCTTCCCTTCCTGCAAGGTGACAGAGCTTCCACATCATCGCACATAGCTATCATGGCAAGCATTCTTAAACAAGCTCCCTTCTCTCCAGTCGTCACGGGTGCTGCCTTGCTGGTGCTACTCAAAGGGCCCGAGTCAATACAAAGACCAGTCTACGACTATCTACACCAGCTATTGAAGCCTCACAACATTGAGCGTCTCATCACCACTCTAAAATGGTTGTTTGCATTTGGATTGATCAGGAATGTCAATGAAGCTTTCAACCAGTTTGCCCGCAACAACTTCTCCCTTCGCTCCAGCAAGGCAGACTGGGACTGGGATAACGAAATTGCTGTCGTGACTGGCAGCTCCTCAGGCTTTGGCGCTCTTTTCTCGAAAGATCTCTCAGACAAGGGCATCCATGTCGTCGCCATCGACGTCAACCCTCTGCCAAAGCACTTGGAGAACAACCCCAAAATCACCTTTTTCAAGTGCGATGTCACCGATGTCGAAGCCGTCAACGCTGTAGCCCAAGAGATCAAGTCCAAAGTCGGACATCCCTCCATCTTGATCAACAACGCAGGCATCGGCGGCCAAAGAACAATCCTCAGCACCACACCCGCTCAAGTCCAAAGATTGATGGGTGTAAACCTCTTCTCGCATTACTATCTCGTTCAAGCTTTCCTCCCGGACATGCTGGCCAAGAAAAAGGGCCATGTGGTTTCCATCGCCAGCATGGCATCCTTCTTCACCACTCCCGGTATCACGGATTACTCGTGCTCCAAAGCCGCCGTGTTGGCTTTTAACGAAGGCCTCAGCACCGAATTACGCACTGTACACCGTTGCCCTGAGATTAAAACAACAATCGTACATCCCTTCTTTGCAGACACACCAATTATCGCAGCAGGCAAAGCCGAACTCCAAAAAGCGGGTGCTAAGATTTTGGATCCGCAGGATATTTCTGATGCGGTGGTGGACCAGATTTTGAATGCGAGGAGTGGGCAGATTTTGCTGAGTAATGGGTTTGGACCTGCGATGAGGGCTTTCAGNGGGTTGCCCTGGTGGCTGCAGGAGGGCTTTAAGAGGCTTACTGAGAGTAATCTTTCGCATTACGACAAGAAGTGATTTGTACGAAGACGTGTTTTGGTACTTGGTTGGAAATGTTGGAGTTTTAGTAGATCCAGTTTTGGGCGCATGGCTCTGTGTAATATCATGCTCGTTTCAAGCTTTGTGGTCACAGGAGAGCAAATGCGATGCCACCGAGTCCCATCAGAGCTACTGCAGGTCTCTGTACAGCATTGAGAGTAGGCGCAGCAGCGCCAGAACTTGTAGAAGACCCACCAATTGCAGTGCCAGTCACACTACCCGTGATCTGCTCACTCGCACCAGCAGTCCTAGTAGCCACGGCCTCCACCGAAACAGCAGTGTTGGTGAAAGTCGTGTTCCATGCAGTCCAAGTATAAGTTGCGCCACTTACAGGGCTAGTAAGGATACCATTGATATCACTCCACGTGCCAGTAGCCGAGTGCAAAGGTGTAGGCTTTGCATAGTCGGAAGCGTTCTTTCCATAAGTACTAAAGCCATAGTCGACACAGCTGAAGTTTCCACTTGCCAGGCGGGAGGCACAGTGTGCCAAGCTGTTGTTGTTTCCATCGCGATCGCTATTGATGTANNAAAGTTGTTTGATGGTTGCTAGAGCTATGTATGCAGGATCCTGGCTTGGGCAAGTATCCCAAAGNNTCTGTTGATTACAAGGTTAGTCTCGAAGAAGGATTAGAGAAGACTTGACGAAATCTACTTACGCGGCAGCGACAGAACCGTATAGACAACAAGCACAGTCAGGTACTGGTGCTTCGCTATAATCCGAGTCGTCATCTGTTCCGCCATTTTCTTTGCGAACCGTTGACTCGCATGCCAGGTAGTTCTCAAAGGCACCACTTTGAATACTGTTGTCGATGGTATTGAGGTTACAACTGCACTCTCCATCGGCACCGGCAGGTGGCGGGAAGAATGGCAGTTCCAAAGCTGGCGGAGCTGTCGTGTTTGATTCGGAGAAACCTTCGGAGCAAGTAACATTGTAAGCGAGCAATAGTTGCTGGTAGTCGCATGAGTAGACNNCTTCAAAACAAGTCAATGATTGCATTTATAGAGCGTTGTCTAGCAGGGGAAACGATACCCTATTCCAGCAGTTCGTAAGGGCACAGTCAATTCTGTTCTGCAAACCTGTGCACTCGTTGTCGAGATATTCAGCAGTGTAGTTTTGCGCTTCCCAACAAGTTTGCATCTCTTTCGGTGCGGCGCACTCAGTAAAGGTAAAAGGAGTGTTGACGCGGTCGTAGATGGTAGGGATTTGCACGACATCGTCTTGTGCATGAACCACAGCGGTCAGAGCTGTAATGCAGCCTACAAGAGCATATTTGGCAAGCATGATGAGATTGAGCGAACGCTTTGATGAGAGATGGAAAGAAAACAAAGGACGGTATAAGATGAATTGCATTCCTCTCTTAGGCAGCCATCGAAGGATTCAAGCACGGTCGCTGGGCTGTGTTGCATCTAAATTTGCTGTGCATGAGACGAGACAGTGTTCCTTTGACACCAACTTATCATTACTGCGGAATACTTAGGTCAAACACCAACAAGACCAAGAAGCAGGCTGATGATTGAGGCGCGGTCGAGCGATTTGATCTGGGACATGATGTTGTCTTTAGGAGTCGGCCATGCAAAACGCGTCTCCAGTCCCCCTGGTACGCGGTTGCCGCGGCTCCTCATCCCCGTAGCCACAAGATGCAGTCAGCTAGACCACGTTACGACACGATGGGCATCTGTTCAAAAGAGAAAGACGATGAAACCGGGCTATCAGAAGATGATGTTCAGATCTTCGAAGATCCTGTCGATAGCTGGCAGATCACTTCCCTATCCGACCAAGACATCTTCCCTGACGTAAAACCGATGACTGCAAGGCTTGTGAGTCAAAAATAAGCAAGGTTTTGTACACAAAAAGGCCGGTTGATTTAGGTTTTTATATATCTTCAAGGGTCCATAGCAGCCTTTGATTCTTCTCGTGGTATTATAATACCTGTTTCTCAGCACTATCTAAAATGTTCAAGGCGGCGTTGCTGGAGACAATCGACGCCGAGCGTCAAGACCTCATCAGCTTTCTCCAATCCTTGACCCGCGCCGACTCTTCAAATCCTCCCGGCGACACAATAGCAGCAGCGTGTGTTGTTACTACCTTTCTGGCATCTCGCGATGTTCCCTCCACAATCATCGCGCCAAAAAGCCATGCGCCCAACGTCACCAGCACTTTCCCGGCAGTATCACAATCACCAGCTCACAGCCGTTCCTCGTCATTACATCAACTAGATGGTTACCATTCTCCAAACCCAGTGGACTCGCCATTCGAAGGCAGTGGAATTTCAACGCCGAAACCTGGCCCACGACTGGTCATGAACGGACACATTGATGCTTTTCCCATTTCCGACTCGGAGAAATCACAATGGACTCACGATCCCTGGTCTGCAGACATCGAAAACAATCGACTCTATGGACGTGGAGTTGTGGACATGAAAGCTGGAACTGCTGCGACCATTGCCGCCTATACATACATTTTCGCGCATCGACATCTCCTGAATGGCACTGCCGTGCTCGAAGCAGTATCCGATGAAGAAACTGGTGGAAAGTGGGGTAGCAAATATCTCCTAAATGATGACGATAGAAGAGATACCTGGACGGGAGATGTGAATCTCAATGCGGAACCCACAGGTCTACAGAGCATACGCTTCGCCGAGAAGGGCACGTTGCGCATCAGCTTTTCAGTCAAGGCCAAGAGCGCACACGGAGCCTACACACATCTATCCGAAGGCGCAATTCGGATTGCAACAAGGTTGATCACTGAACTAGTCAAACTAGAAGACTTTTCCAACTTCAAGGTGGATCCTGAAGTAAGAGAATACCTGGATCGACAAGAGGTACGGGACACGGTGGACGAGATCATGGGTGCTGGTGCCTCCAACAATATTCTCAAGCCGACAGTGAACATCGGAACCATCAGTGGTGGCACAAAGGTCAACACTATCCCAGGTGACTGCAAATTCGAAGCAGAAATCCGCCTGCCAATTGGCCTAGTCGCCGAGACCATTCTCAAAGAGATCGATGCCATACTCAAGAACTTCCCTGGAGCCAGTCACGAGGTGCAGGAGGCAGCCTCCAATCCACCCAACCTATGTCCTTTTGACCATGCAATCACGCGTGCGATAGCGGGTAATGCCGAACACATACTCGGACGAAAGCCAATCGCGATACCATCACTCGGTGCGACTGACGCCAAGCACTGGCGATACAAAGGCGTACCAGCTTATAGCTATGGTCTTTCGCCAGAGGGCATGGCTGGTATTGACGAGAGTGTCGACCTCGATGATTACATCAATCTCATCAAGATTCTCACATTGACTGCATGGGACTTTCTGACTGGTCCTGAGTAGCTCTGATGATCTAGCATGCGCTGCTCAAAATTTGTTTACCATCTAGAACGTTACGATAAACATGACATTTACCCTTGACAAAAGCGAGTCTTTTCTTGTACATAACAAGCGCTACAATATACCCACAGCTTTATTCTTTTGCTTTGCTAGCAACAACCACTTGGCCTAGAATCCTGACTCCTTCCAATCATTCGACAAAAGAAAAGCTCTGTCGATAACCTGACAACCAGCAAAATGAAAGATCAATGGAGTAGCTGGGAATCGAACCCAGAACCTTCTCCACTCAGTAAAGCTCGAAGAGCAATGCTAAGAAGATGTCATACCACTAGACCACAACCCCTGTTGATGTGGTGAGCTCGTGCACCGCCGTTTATGTAATTTTGCAATGACAGAGTGATCCCGAGGTTTAGCCACAGTTTAGAGGCTCCGGCGTAGGTCTCGAAGATATCAGGAGCCTCACTTGCTCAAGTGCTGGAGCGGTGTGAGAAAGCTTCAACATAGAGCGAGGGAGACGATCATAGAGAGAAAGAAGTGAACAAGATCCACGACAGGCGATGCGCAGATAATGGCGCAGCGGACTTGAGAGAACCGGCTACATCCATGATGGAGCCAAGCTTTCGTCCTTGGTTCTCTTTCATCTGCGAATGTCGAAGCCACATCCTTTCACATTCCATCACCAAGAGCTCCATGTCAACCACGTCATGTAATACTCGGTCGGCCCGGCACACCATGTCGACGGGCCTCTCTTTAACCGTGATCATCTAAGGAAAGGCGTTGTGTCTGTGGAGGCTGGTGCGGGGATCGTGGGGCTGTCTAAGGATCGCCACATTTGCCCTCGTCGATCATTGACCAACTTTGTGAACTGCTGTATTGTTCCTCCAACCAGCGACAAGCATTGAGCGGTATAATGCATGGGACCTGCGTCCGACGGTGGGCGAAGGATTCTGTCTCGGCAAGTTACTTGATCGATATAGTAGGGCAGATGCATGGGTGGATGAATTGAAATCTACCGTGTTGATGCACTGTATGAAGGCGTGCAGAGGTAGGTTGGAATAAATACTGAGCGTGTTCGCTGTTTGTGGTCAGTAAGTCAAGCTCGAGATCGACAAAGAATGAGATTCTTTTCGCTACTGGCAGGCGCTGCCGCCTTCGCAACTTCCACTGTTGCTCATTACACCAACAGCACATCGACAGGTGACATCGACCATGTCACCATCTTCACGCCGCCGAGAAACTATACCGTTCCTCGCACACTCTACGCAAGATCAGTGTTACTGAACCAGGATTGCGAGAAGGATAACGTGATCCTTGCGACATGGGAGAACTATCTTTACAACAACAACTCGAACCCTTACTTCCCCATCTATCAATCATACGATGGCGGTCACACATGGTCGGAGCGCTCTCGCGTGTATGACCAAGTCAATGGCTGGGGACTGAGATATCAGCCTTTCCTTTACGAACTATCCGAGCCCATTGGCAACTTCTCAGCCGGCACTCTCTTGCTTGCCGGCAACTCCATCCCTCAAGATCTCTCAGAGACTCAACTCGAGCTCTACGCCAGCACGGACAAGGGATACACCTGGAAATTTGTCTCTCATGTTGCCCACGGCGGTGAGGCTCTTCCCAACAACGGGCTTACCCCCGTCTGGGAGCCTTTCTTGATGACCTACAACAACACTTTGATCTACTACTACTCCGACCAGCGCGACCCCCGCTACGGTCAAAAGCTGGTACACCAAGTGTCTTCTGACCTCCACTCTTGGGGTCCAGTGGTTGACGATGTCGTATACGGCACCTACGACTTCCGTCCCGGTATGCCCGTGGTCTCGGAAATGCCTTTTGGCCAATACATCATGACGTACGAGTTTTACGGCGCACCCGAGGTGGACTTTGCAGTATACTACCGCATCTCCACCGACCCTACAAACTTCAACGCTAGTATTGGACGCCCTCTCGTCGCTACCGATGGCACTGTTCCCTATGGCAGCCCTTACAATGTATGGACGCCTGTTGGCGGTGACCTCGGAACCATTGTGGTTAGCTGCGGTAACCTTGGCGAAGTATTCTTGAACCATAATCTTGGTGCACCCGGTGCCTGGACAAAGATCAATACTCTGGAGCCTGCTTCCTATACCAGGAGTCTTTTGGTGTTGCCTGGACAGGAAGATATCTTGATTGTGGGAGGTGGTGTCTTGGGCGGCGAGTATAATGCTGTTACGGCAAGCTCTGTCAACGTTAAGCCCAAGGCTCCTGCTTTTGCCAAGTGCAATGCCAAAAATAGATGCAGATACTTGATATAACGTGGATGCTATGTTACACTACTTACTCTTCAGTCCCTTAGTCTACCGGTTTGACAATTTCGGTGTTACATGTGACGACAGTCGATATGCCGATAGTTTGGAGAATGATATGGCTGTGATTACGGCCTTCATGGTTTCTCGCGAGTCACGCATCCGTGCCTTAGCGGCCACTGCTTCCATCTTGCGTTCCAAGATGTTAGTGTCAATGTCAAATGCCAGGGTGACACCCCAAACTAGTCTCGAGAACATTGGCGACAGTATTACGAAGGCATGCTTCAAAGGACACTCCTCGAATCATGTCCATACCCTTTCTATGAGCATCAGAGACGGGGTTGATAGTTCATTGAGATCTAGAATGGAATACTAGCTGGAAGTGGTGGAATGGAATGGAATGAAGCCGATATTCCACCGATTCCATGTAACATCCGCTCTAAACGAAATACAAGTGATAACTCGGATGAATAGTCACGCTCACAATGTACAAGAGAAGGCAAGCAACGAAGCAAGAACAGAAGATCACTTTTTCCAAATCTAGAACCCCGCTAAATATCATAAAAAGACATTCTACCTCATGTACCAGAGCTGTTTATCCTTAGTCTCGGTCCCCTTGATCTCCCAGTTCATCGAGATGTTCAGGTTGCGCTTGGCATCTTTGTTCTTCTTGAAGGTGACCTTGCCCTCGATGACCGTACCTTGCTTGAGGGTCTGATCGTCCTTTTCGGTCGCGTCGATCATCAAGACACCGCAGCGCCAGTGGGTCTCGGGGCCGAAGGGGCTGGTAGTGAAGAAGACGGTCTTGTCCTCGTCGGTCTTGGNGGGCTTGACTCCGCGGAGCATACCAGCGGGAATCTCGTCATTGCGTGATTGCAAGAAGAGAGTGTCGAACCAGGTGCAGAAACCGTCGAGGTTGTCAATGTCCTTGTTGAGGGTGAAGCTGACGTCTGAGGTAAAGTCGAGGTCGGCGACTGTCACGGTGTGGAGATCGAGGACCTTGAAGGGAAGCTCGTCTGTTGATCTGCCGACAATGGTGTCTTTGTTGGGGTAGCGGACCAGTGTGTCTTCGTAAATCTTCTCCATCATGGAGGTCATGTCGAAACCGTATACGTCTCTCCAGAAGGTAATGTTGTCTGAGATCCAGTCTTGGTCGGCAAGGGGAGCGAGGTGCATGGTGCAGTGGCTGGGAACCATCAAACCATCGGACTTGAGATATCTGTCTCTGGCGTAGAGGACAGAGTCAAGCATGGCCTCGTACAGCAAACAGTAACCCATCCACTCGCTGACAACAATGTCGACCTTCTCGATGCCATCGGGAAGCTGGATCTCCTCGATCTTGCCTCTGACGCAGGTAATGACCTTTGATTGGCCGTTCATAGCAATGTTGGCACGAGCCTTGTTGATGATCTCAGAATTGTCGACAGCGATAACACGAGCAGCACCGGCCTTGGCGCAGAAGAGAGAAAGAATACCAGTACCGCATCCAACGTCAAGCACAGTCTTGCCGGCAAAAAGGTGCTTGTTGGCGTAGATGAAGTCTCTGTAGGCGTCTGTGCGGACAGTATCCTGAAGCATAGTCTGGTGAATGTCATTGTATGAGTAGGAGTCGAAGTATCCAGGGTCTTGGTGGTTCTCATTCTTGGTGTTGCTTGATCCGGCCTCACCCTCTTTGGCAGGCTCGTTCCAGCGGTCGTCCAAAGTCTTCTCGACGGTCAACTTGTACTCAGCGAATTGTTGGCGCAGGTGAGTCAGTTCAGCTTCGAGCTGAGCAGTCTTGTCGCTTGACGAACCGATAGGCATATCCTGTGCAGCGGCGTCTTCAGAGTCCAGAACATCGTCCAGGGAGAAAAGCAGAGCGTCGTCTTCCAGAACAGGCTGCATGTGCTTGTCATCGTCGAACAGAGATTTTGAAGAAACATCGGGCTTCTGGTTACCATTCTTGGCCTCGCCGCGAATGTAGTTGACAAGCTTGATAGCACCAAAGAAGTCAAGGCCNNTCGTATTGTTAGAAAATGTTTAGATCAAATTGGCATCGGAAACATACACACCAAAGTCTTTTGTTATCTTGATGAAATCAAAGTTGTGTTGTTCGGCAGCATACTTGATCATAGAAGCAGCATCCGGAAATGTCTTGTCGCTGAAAAAGTCCTTGACCTGAATTTCTTCATTCTCTTCTGGCTCAGCATCTTCCCAGCCTTCGCTGTCTTCACGCAACAACTCATCGATTGATGAGGTGCTCGAGGCGTCTGAAGATTCGATATCGTCGCGGACCATTTTTAGCGGATGTGATAACAACGATGATAGGCCTGTGGTATCGAGCCGGGGCGGGCAGGAAATATTTGCTAAAAATGGGGACGCGCTTAAGTCCGTCCTTTCTCCGGTCGAGCTTGTCGGCAGTGGTCAGGTCAAAACGTCATGTGAAAGCACGACATTGATAAGTGGTCGATATTGGTTCTGAGCGAGCAAGCGCAATAAAGACAGCATGGCGCCCGACAGGGGCTTGCCCGACAATCACGACGACATGGACGCNTCCCCGGACGCTGCTTCGATCCTCTCGTCGCGTGCCCAGCAGCCGCAGAACTTCACCCTCCGCTCGCTGCTCCTCGGACTGGCCATCGGCACTGTCATCTGCTTCTCCAACACGTACTTTGGCCTGCAGACAGGATGGGTCTCGAGCATGGCCATGCCGAGCGCTCTGCTGGGCTTTGCCTGGTTCAAGGCCGTCTCGAGGACCTTATCTTATCCCTTCACACCCGTCGAGAATGTCCTGGTTCAATCTGTCGCTGGCTCTGTAGGTACGATGCCTCTGGGTTGTGGCTTTGTTGGTGTCATTCCGGCTCTCGAGTACCTACTCAAGCCCAATGAGACCCAGGGTGAAGGCACTGGTGTCCATCTGTCGCTGCTCAAACTTATAGTCTGGGCCGTGGGTATCTGCTTCTTCGGCGTCGTCTTTGCCGTGCCATTGCGAAGGCAAGTCATCATCCGTGAGAAGCTCAAGTTTCCNTCTGGTACAGCCACTGCCCTCATGATTGGGGTACTCCACGGAGGCGAGAAAGATGCCAGGATTGTTGATATGGACAACGAGAACGAACACCACGGCAGCAGCCACGGACAAGTCGAAGAGGAGGAACAGAGGCTCATCGCGAGCGCACCAACACATCGTCGGAGACAACAACAATCCGCTGCATCCGAGTCTGATGATGTCGAGGCTTTGGACAAGGACAATCATGCCGATTGGAGAGCCAGAATCAAGCTCCTGACTATTTCATTTGGTATCTCTGCCATCTATGTACGTATCCACTGCAGTCATCAACTTCTGATATCTTTGCAACAATCTATGAAGTCTATTCGTGAGCTCATGTGTATTCTCAGNACCCTCTTGTCCTACTTTGTTCCTCATATTCGCGACATTCCTTTCTTGGGCATGTACCTAGCAAAAGAATGGCTCTGGACACTCAACCCTTCGCCTGCTTACATTGGCCAAGGTATAATCATGGGCCCTGCCACCACCCTACACATGCTTCTAGGTGCCATCCTTGGTTGGGGCATTCTATCTCCCCTCTCAAAAGCCAGAGGGTGGGCACCAGGTGCTGTAGATGATTGGGAGAAAGGCAGCAAAGGCTGGATCGTATGGGTCAGTCTCGCCATCATGCTTGCAGACTCAATCGTTAGCCTCGGCTGGTTGGTTCTGCGTCCAACAATACAGCTTGCTCGAGTCTTTGGTCCACGAGCAAAGGACAGCGTCGCTCGTGGTACCTGGAAAGAGGACCTTCGCAACTTTGCTCACCCTCACATGCGAGGTTACAGCCCAGTCAATCTCAACGAGCCTGATCACGACTCACCCGAAGCCGACGGTTTGATCTCTGGAGCCACGCAATCAAGGAAGACTGCTCAGGACGCACCAGAGCCCGATGCCCCACCTGAGCATCTGATCAGCAACAAGGTCACCTTGATTGGCCTCGTTCTATCTTTGGCTGCTTGCGCGGGTGCAGTCCATTTCGCTTTTGCAAACCTCATCCCTTTCGCTCTTACCCTTCTGGCACTAGTGCTCGCTCTTCTGCTGTCGATCATGGGCGTCCGCGCCTTGGGAGAGACAGATCTGAACCCTGTATCTGGCATCTCGAAGCTAACACAGTTGTTCTTTGCTCTGGTCACTCCCTCAGGCTCGCCTAATGCGGTAATTGTCAACCTTATCGCCGGCGCCATTAGTGAGTCCGGCGCACTGCAAGCGGGAGATCTTCTCCAAGATCTCAAAACCGGGCATCTGCTCGGCGCAAGCCCGAAAGCGCAATTCTGGGGCCAAATTATTGGAAGTGCTTTTGGTGCTGTGATCAGTGCTTGTATCTACAAGCTTTATACCCGGGTCTATGAAGTCCCTGGAGGCATGTTCCAGGTACCCACGGCTTATGTTTGGGTATTCACCGCACGTCTTGTCACTGGACAGGGTTTACCTCCCATGGTAGGCGAATGGGCAGCAGGAGCGGCCGCAGTGTTCGCCGTCTTGACAGCGTTGCGGATCTACGGCAATTCGACAGGAGCAAAGTGGACTCCCTTTGTTCCCGGAGGAATCGCCGTCGCGGTCGGTGAGTTGATCCCGATCTGAACTCGACCAGAAACAGAAAGAGCAATTGGCTAACAGACTTACNNAGGCATGTACAATACCCCATCTTTCACCATGGCACGGACGATCGGTGGATTGGTAAACTGGTACTGGCGCAACTGGCGCAAGGAGTCGGAAACGCCAATTATCATTCTGGCCAGTGGACTTATCCTAGGCGAAGGACTGTTTAGTATCGTCAATCTTGGTCTAGCATCTCTACAGGTACCGCACTTGTAGGGGTCGCCCGTAGTCATCCGTGGCCGTTGTTGTTTAGGCGGATACATGAATCATGTTCTAGATACCCACTTCCAGTAGTCGTTGTTTGCTCTCTTCTTCAAGCTACATGGTGCAGAAAAAGTAGAAGTGCCGGGTTCCTGGTGTCTGGGAACCTGCCAATCAAGCAGCAGGGATGCAACTGATAGTTTGAGTTTGGCCTGCCCCTGCCAAGCCGGACGCTGCCAGAGAGCGGCAACTGCGGCGGCACTGGTGGTTCTTCCCATTTGCCGTTCAATCTGTGGGAACATTTCATGGCCGTGTGTTTCTCGCACTGGTCTTTCGACACCATCGTGTATATCGATCTCATCGAAGAACTGATCCTCGCTGGACAACTGTTATTGCTCAAATCTTTTCTTGAGTTTTGTTTGTCATCGCAATCGCTGTGCCTCGTGGACAGCGGGTCTGCGGGACTGGGAGCCGCGATCCAATCCTCAGGATCCTCTATCGTTTCAGATGTCAAGGACACTTTGGACACTCGAAAACCGTTCGCGTCAGCCCTTCCAGCCTGAGGTTTCGGGATTTGACAACAGTTGGGCTTGAACTCAACCCTCGCCTTGGCGAGTTAGCAGCCGGTCGCGAAACCGAGCCCTCGCCAATTCTCCGCTTTGCACACGACAATGGTGCCTTTTGTGGCTTGGTGGCAGTCTCGCAATTCTCGCTAAGCTGATAGCATTTCATCAGCTTTCCAGGGCCATGGCTCGTCTGCAATCAAGCACTGAGCACAGTCCTGCGCAACCATGCAACCCCACCGGCTCGAGCGGGCGATCATGGCTCTCGGACCCTACGCGAACAGCAGTCTGCATAGAGTCATGAATTGACCAGCGCAACGTCCCCCTCGAACGACTACATACTCGAACTCGTTGAGCGAGGTTCATACCCCAAGAAGTCTTTGGACCTTCCCATCTTACTAGCTCGTTATATGCTTGTCTCTCAGCCTCCGCTTTTACGCGCGTTACAGAAGACAACGGCCTACCATGTCTAAACATACTTTCCACATGCCTACATAGCATCCATCAACGTCGCTGAATCTCGGCTCGCTTCCGGCAAAATCGCTCTTGCTCCTCCTAGGAATGGAACACTAGGCGAGGGATCCTCAGCCACTGCCCACTACCCAGCAATCTGCCGTAGCCTACCTCGCAACCCTCGTCATACCACTCTTCCATAGCCCTGTGAATATGAGAGGTTTCACTTCGATTAGACATTGTAGGTTAGTAAGACGGCTTCAACCGTATGGGTTTCAAGATGAAGACAGACTTTACAAGCCATCCTTCTCGATCTGTGGTGCCGGTTGACCCATATAGCAATAGTAATAACCCCTTCCAACATACGCAAGCCTCGAACGTCCCTTTTCTGCAGAAGCCTGGACCCCTGTTGCTTCGGTCTACCCTTCATGACTTGATTCTTCCCAAGCCTGCTTTCCATTTCGCTTTTCATATACACTCTACGTTGACTTGCGAGCATGGGTAATGAACCCCAGCATATGCCTGATGCAGTGCTCGCTGCTGCGATTCCAGTACTGTTGTACTCNTTNTTTTGTCTTTCCCTTGGAGTACTGCTCGTGACTGTCTTGCATAGAACAAGAGATGGGTTTAANTTGTGAGAAAACATTCTTGGCTTTTCGTCTGCTTTTGCTAACCCTCCCCAAGATGTTACGTTATTCGCTCTTGCAACAACGTGCACTACTATAACGTCGATCATTCAACAATGCAACTACATGGCCAACTGGCACGACTTACGAATTCAACAATACGAGCAATCGATCATTGTGAAAGGCAACCCGGCGCTGGCACTGGGTCCTCTATCTCGAGGTTTCAATGCTGTTTTGTTCTGGACAATCCTGTATTTTTACAATGTCGACTCGGTCACTATGCTCTTCTGGTATGTCGATACTATCTAACACATAGGGTATTCGCTAACATGNACTAGGGCAATCGCACTGGTGTTCAGCGTTTGGAACATCCGACCGAGATGGCTTCAACGATGGCAAGGCGTCATCAGCTGGATTTCCAAGATACTGGCGGTAGTGCTGCCTGCCATGTTTTCAGCACTGCGAAAAGGCTTTCAAGTCAATGCTGGTTTCGTTGGTACCTTGATCTTGATGAATTTACTGAGTACGTGCTTACATGTCTTATCGCATCACGTTCAGACTAACACAACAACAGTGCTTGTGAGTTTCGCGTTCGGCGCAATCTGTGTCATCCTCATCCTTTTCAAGTATCTGCGAGCCAAGATGGGATTTGATAGTTATGCATCTGCATCAGCATCGAAGTCATACGCAATCGACAGTGTGGCGGCAGTTGAGAGCACAACCAGTCGAGTGGGACGCTCAGCGCCCAAGGGAGTCAGAGCGCGAGTCGATGGATGGCTTGTAGTCCGCTTCACCATCGCCTTCCTGATNCTTAAGGTAAAGATCTACTCTTACCGTTAAGAGATGAACCACTCGCTGACCCAGCCTCTCTCCAGTGGATTCGAAGTCTTCCTCATTTCCTTTGAAATCAACAGATACCACAAGACNAAAAACGCAAACATTGCTGGAGCACCAGACTTTAGCGTGCGCGCTTCTGTCGTCGATGTTTTGAATTATTTGCCGGGCGTTACTGCGAGTTTACTCGCCTTTCTTCTNTTCGGAACTACTGCACAGCAGCGCGCCATGTATGCGCCTATGATGGCTGCTCTTCATCCCGCCCGATGGCGCAGACGACCAAAATCGGCCAGGTTCAGTGGGAATGTGGATCAATGGAGGCGCATGGATACTGCAGAATCGAGGCAGTCGCAGCAGATCGTGCATGGAGATATTGAGATGCAATTGCCGACGAGGAAGGACAAGGTCACGAGAACTATTGTCACGACTGTGGAGAGGGAGGAAGCTTTGCTTAGTCCGTCACCGACGGCTACAGATTTGAGAGGGCATGTTGCAGTCTTGGATGATCATCACGCAGGCACAAGATTGGCGAGATGACCATTTCTCATAATACCAGACACGACCTTGACATCCCTTTTGTTCCTTATAACGCTATATTATTCGTGTTCGATTCATTCTAGTAGGAATTCGGCATGATGTTCAAGCGTCCTCCATCCTATTTCATATGGTTAGTCAATCGGCTTCTACGAACAGAAACATAGAGACTTACAATCATTAGGATGTTGCCGTTCAGGTAAGCGCCGGCTCTGGAAGCAATGTACAGAATGGTCCCTGCCATATCCTCTTCATCGCCAGTTCTCTCAGCAGGAATGTACGACTTGTCGAAAGATCCTTCTTCTCGCGGATCTGCCTTTGAGTTGGAAATAAGACTTGTGGCCAACTCCGAAGGAAAACACTTTGATTCGCGAATGTCAGCATGAAATCCATCGTACCTGGAAAGGACATTGACTTACANGCCAGGGGCAAGGGCATTGCACCTGATATTAAATGGCCACAATTCACTCGACAAGTTCTTTGCCAAATGCATCACCGCCGCCTTACTGGCCTTGTATGCCATGGATTGGTTAGGCTGCTTGCTGAACCCAGCAATACTCCCCGTAATCAAGATCTGACTCTTCGTCTTGTTGGCCACCGGGTTCTTATTCCCCTTGTCCAACAACTCGAGGAAGGCATATGCGGTAAAAAACACAGCTGTAACATTAATATTTAGTGTAGCCGTCACATCATCCCAGGATTGATTCATAGCCGCAGCTGCGTATTCAGCAATACTGACTTCGCGATTGTTGACGCCTGATGCAGGACCCATGGCACCGCTGTTGCAGACTAAAAGGTTGATGCATCCGACTTCGGACTCGATGCGCGAGGCAATGGCTTTCAAGGTGTCTTTTGAGGTTACGTCGCCGACGACTGGGATGATGACGGAGGGGTTGGTGGAAGCGGCTTCTTCGAGTTTTTCTTTGCGGCGGCCGATGATGTAGACTTTTTCGCTCCGTTGGCNTGCGAGAGCCCTTGTCATCATGAGTCCGATGCCTGGGAATTGTTAGTTTTGGATGATTGATGATATGTATAAATTGAGGCCGGGGAGCATACCAGAGCCGCCGCCGGTGATGACAGCCACAAGGCCATCGACCGAGAAGAGATTGTTTCTCTGATAGAGATCAGTCATATCTGTGATTACGCCGAGAAGTTTCAAGACAATTGCAGAGAGTCTTCTGTGAGAGAAACTCTTCGTGGAGAGGTACCTTTATATGTCGACGGAGTTAAGAACGAACTCCGAATTGGTGAGCAACGACAAGGAGACGTCATCGGTGATCTATGTCCTTTTCGGAGTTCGGAGGTTTGCTCTTGATATCTCCTGTTACACAGTACAATGCAGTGTCTTCCTACTGACCCTGTGTGTTTTGTGTCAGTGGGTGCAGAGACTGAGTGTCAGCAGAGAGTAGCCGGCGTGAACAGAACAGTTCGGCATCCTTCGGGTGCAAGCTTCGGCCATCGGGTCGCTCCCGCTTTCTCTTATCAACTCTACATCACCCATAACCAACACCGTATAGTCCTCACTCTCATTTCCAATTACCCGAAGTCGTAGCTCGAAGTTATGACCGAAGTTGCGACATACAAAGATGGGTGCAGTCGCTTCTTGCGTGCTTTGATTATACCCAGCCAATCAACAGCGACATGGGTTGACTCACGTATACTGTAGGATCGAGGTAGCAGTGGCGCAGCAGTCACCAACTATGCCCATATTAAACAAGTCGGACTGCTCTACATAAGTAGAGCAGCCCTTCCCTCAAGCTCGTCGCAACACCATCACAATGCCAGGCTTACAAGATCTTGCATTCGAGATTCTGGAGTACATCTGCGAACTCGTTGCTGGACCGCAACCGAGAAAGCTCATTCCGTTCTCGGAAGTCAGCAAGAAATGTCTCGCAGCATCGTCACAATCTCTTTGGGAGATCATACCGCTCAGAATCACTCGTCAAGACCAAATCCCACAAGCCGTCGAACAGCTCAAACATATCCTTCAGAACCGACTGGGCCGTGATGGAAGAGTACGCTGCGTCTCAATCAGGGGCCGTAAACCATTGGACTACCAAGGGAGCAGGCAATCAAAGATCAAACGCCTCGAAAGGGCTTACTTGGACAACATCGCCTGGCAACCACTCGCGGATGTATTGGCTGGGATGCCACCTCTATCGGATATGGAATGGGAGAAGGATGAGCTTCCGCCTTGCATCTTCCGCTCNCTCATTTCTCACCACCACAACTGCAGGCTCCGAATAGTTGGAGTCAAACGTCATGTGGACAAAAGCCTAGACCCAGACGAGCAACCTGCAGCAACATCGTCTTTCATGTATGAGCTGCTCCTGCCACTGAACAAGGACTACGACTTTTGTAGTGAAAGTCTTAGTGGGAGAGGATTTCGGGATTGACTAAGCGTAAGACCCAGCTTAGTCACAGTCGGAAGCCTGTCAGCTAGTTTTACACAGGTGAAACATCGAACAATGACCCAGAACCGAGCCGATGATGATGTCCGACGAACAGGTCCGCATGAGTTTGACCTGGTCATGAGGTCCACTGGACCCCCAGCGCATTATAGAGCCGCTGCCCTATCGACTCTGGAGCTTACTGATGCGCACGCTTCAGGCCACACTTCAGGCTCATGGGTGGTGATTGGAGACGAACACATTGTTATGTGGAATAAGCTCACTCATCTTCCTGCTCTGCGCATCCTCAAATCAGAATTGAAAGTTCACGCAAGTGCACTCATGTGGTTCACAGTGAACCCCTCACTTGTATCGCTCAAGACACTTGACATCAAGCTCCAAAGCGAAAGCATGTTACGGCGGCCTGAGGCTCTGGGTGACTTGCTTCATAGCCTTCCACCTCTGGAAAATCTCGCGCTTACTGGCGAGATCAACCCAGCCCAATCTCAAGAATGGATATTATCCCATGCTTCCAGTTTGAAGCGACTGCAGCTGAAGACGATGGAGCACAGTAACAAGACATTTGATCTCGTCTCACTGAGCCCAATGGTCCAACCCCTTTTGCCACTTCTTGAGCATTTGAGCATTACCATAAAGCGATCCAAAGGCGATTCGGACGAAGTCAGCATCTACAAAATTCTCGGTGCGACGCCTAAGCTCCAGAGCATCGTGCTCGGATTGGATTGTTCAGAGCGTTCTGTTGCGACATCGCCTCACCATCTCTTGGAGCCAGAAGGCTCAGACACCGACTTCTGGCAGCGGACCTGGACAGTGAGTACGAACATACACGATCGACATCCCGGCTATCCCAACATCTAGGATGCTCTGATAAACAGTGCCGTCGATGAAAAGTTGGCAATCGCCATTTTTCGTACCATCTCAGCCTCCAAGCCCGTCTGTTCGCTGCCATTGGAACGACTCGAAGTTCGTCCTAGTGGTGGGTGCGATTTCGGTGGAACACTCTTTCGCTTTAGTGCAGATTGGTCGGCCGTCATGCAACACATTGAGCGTTCGTGGTTGGTTAAGCGAAAATATCCGGGACTAGGCTCAGATGTGCTATCCATAAGCCAGATCCAATCCTACCGTCCAGGAGAAAGGCGTCGTATACCTCTAAAGCTCAAGGAAAGGACAGAGGCCATTTTTCGCCGAGTGTTTCCTGTGCGCTCAGGGTCCGAGGGAGACTGGCAAAAGGACTGGCATAGCTTCCCGCTTGGATAACAATACCAAGAGGTCTCTTGAACGTATTGTATAGACATGAGGCAAGTATGACTCTTTGTGTGACGGTGCTGAGTCTGTTAAAAGGTCAGGCACAGCGGCAGAAGAAACGGGCTTCGTTGACACTGCTCACACCTTCGTCACCGGCGTCAGAAGTTAAGGTATGCGGAATACATGCCGCTTTTTACATTTCCCTACTCGAGCACAGATCGGCTTTCATGTGTTTTGGGTCTATGAATTCCCGGTCTTGTGACCTTTCTTTCAGAAGCACAATGACGTTTGAATTTCTGTGACTAGAGAATAACGCAACTGTGACTGGTGAATACGTGTGGCTGACGACCCCATGCGGCTCCTTGTTTTTTGAGGCTCTTTTGCGGCTCAACTACTATTAATACTATCATCCGCATTCCCTACCTCAATCGCCTATACCAAGAGATATGGAGAAAAATTCAGAGAAGACTTCTCTCTATTCGAGCAGAGAACATGTCGCGGGCGACAGACTGCTCACCTTTGATGAAATTCGTACGTCACTATTGGTCATGGCTGAAAACGTACTTGGGCTAACCACATTTCATCGCTAGCGTTGNTGGCAGAAGTACGTCTGCTCTGTTCCGACAACTGGTATGCAAGGAGATGGGAACTGATTTTATCCTAGAGACAGCCCACACATTCACACGGGATACCGGTATGTCGATTCGGGACATTGTGTCTATTGAGTGCTGTGCTGACTCTTTGCANNTAGACCACTAACTGGATCATGGTCACAATCAATAAAGAGCATGTTTCGCTGGCACAATGAGACGAGTATGTCTTTTCTTACTGTGAACGGATCTCGAATATGCTGCTGATGCTGCATCTANGTCAACATACACTCACATTCCATTGGAGCTATCATCTTCTCCTTCTTTCTGCCTCTCCACTTCTACTTCACCCTGTACCGAAACGTACTAGCAGCACAACCAATTGATGCAGCAGTATTCTTGATATACTTTGCTGGTGTCGCGTCATGTTTTGCCGTTTCAGCAGCGTAAGCAATGCTCACCTTGAAGATCTCCCAGCACAAGCTGATAGGATACAGATTCCATACTGCAGGCAGTCACAGCCAGGCTGTGCACAAGAAGTACAACAGAGCCGACTGCTGCGGCATCGTACTGCTCATGTGGGGAGCAAGTCTGGCATCGATTCATTTCGCATTTATTTGCGATGCTCGAATGAAAACCTTACATTGGNNTTTCTTGTTCGTCTTGTTTATTCCCCATGTGTTGGTTGAGAAGTTTACTGATAGTCTTTTGCAGAGTTCCGCAAGTGCTACCGGCTGTATCACGTTTATCCTAGGCCCAATGTTCATCAGACCGGAATACAGAACCCTTCGCGCACTCACCTACCTCAGTCTGGGTCTCTTCGCTATTGTCTTCATCGTACACGGCATGTATCTCCATGGATTCACACTTCAACGGCGACGACTATCGTTGGAATGGATGGGCTTGATGGCTTTACTCAACTTCCTTGGCTGTTCTGCATATGCTTTTCGCGTAAGTCGCTGTTCTATGTGTATGTGTTTGGCATCGAGTTTTTCTGACAATGAGAGCAGNATACCGGAATCGAAATTCCCGGGCAAGTTTGACTTCGTGGGCGCGTCGCATCAGATTATGCATGTTGCTGTGTTGGCTGCTGGGTTAGTGCATTACCATGGTCTTTCGAAAGCGTTACTGGAGACTAGAGGGGAGATCCGACAAGCCTGTTAGAGCTTCAATACTGGATATAGGAACATCAAACAAACACGAGAGTGGTTCAAATATTACTCATACCACAATATCGCAGTGATTGAAATGCTTTTCGTCGCATGTGCACTTCTCAGGCGCGTATCATGGACAGACGAGGAAAAGTCGATAAGCAAGAACTACTATTGGTCAAAGGGCGCAGTAACAGAATAGCTGACGTTTGTGATTCAGGAGAAAACGTCTGAGCGCTGTCTTTGGCAGGTGCTGACCAATACCTCCGCTTTTTCACAATATACTCGCCGTGGCTGAGACCTGCATGAGGTAAAGTGATATTTCGGCAGTGCCAGCATCCTCGAGTTGCTCGACACTTCGTCCAAACGTTGTCGGTGAAGATTACATCCAAACATCTTGGACTGGAGCTAATACTACACAGAGGATAGACTGGTACTTTGGCTTCGCGATGCTTTACGTCCAAGACGTACCAGATGCGCTATACGAGTAAGTAGCTTTTCCAGAGACCCCGACGCATTCCACTGATGACAACAGCCTGGTCACCGTTGGCATGTTCGAACCATTATCATGCGATGTTCCAAACGATCTTCATAGTGTCGCGAGACCGTTGATGAATGCATTTCCACATGCCCGGGTAGCATGTTGGTGGCACAACATCTCAAACCCAGATGATACTGAACTCATGAAGCAAGCAGACAAGTTACTGGAAGCACTCCAAAGTAAAAGAAGGTCCAAGGATCGACGGCGTTCAATCGTCTTTGTCTCTCAGGGTATGGGAGGAGGAGTTGTGCTAAAACAGGTGAGTTAGTGCTCGCTCTGTTGTGTCAGCAACCCAGTTGACAATTTTAGGCTATGCTCAAACTGATCCACGATAAAGTCGACAGAGACCTACGTGATAGCGTTTCTGGCATCTTGTTTTTGGGATGCGCACATGATGAACGAGACAGCACCTTTGACATTCGCGTTTCCTACTGTCTGATGACAGAATATCACACTGGTCGACGTAGCCGGAGATCTCGCTTCGAGCACTCTAGAACCCTTGACCCTGAGCTTTTGTGAATGGATTCGATCGACTACTAAAAAGTTTAGAGAACTCAGGCTACCTTTTCACATTCGCTCATGTTATGAGAATGCCCCTGCGATATACGTAGAACCTGGCACACTCGGGAGCAAGGTGAATTTGAACATCGTGAGTATGCTCCAAACTTACATTGGGCTGTTCAATGAACTGACTCCTCTGGCTCGAGTAGCTTTCTCCAAGTGAGCCTATAGAGCTTGCAGCTGCACCTTACAGAAAATCAACGTTTCCACTAAGTCATTACTCTCTCTGCCGCATTGCTTATCAAGACAACCCACGTTGTGAGTACTTCGTTGATGATCTACGTTCGATGGTCGATATGGTTGAAGAAAGGCCCTCTGGAAAGAACTGGAGTTACAATCGGAACCCTGATCCTAGCGAATCGCAAGCTGAAAGAGCAGGTACGTGCTATCGCCTACTAGATTTTACGAGCAGCACAGTCCTACTCCTCATTCTGACGGTTGTCGATACATAGCTCCGACTCCGCATCGGTTCTTGTGCAGATACTAATTCGCGACCGTGACAGAAAACGTGGTCTTGAGTACGGCCAGTAACATTGGGGAATATATCTACTGTGTTCCAGATGCAAAGCCGTCGGAAGATTTAGGCCCAAGAAATTTAATGACTGTGAACTCCCCGATACCTCAACGACTATTAGCTGGCACGGAAAACCTAAATACGATCCTTGGAGTTCCTATGCCTGCCGCCCCTCAATCCATGCCCCTTTCGACCCGAACAATCCCATGGCTGCTCTTGTGGCTATGCAGCAGGCCATGGGCCTGTCTGGTATGCCTCAGATGCCTGGTATGCCCCAAATGCCCTTTTCCCAATCACCTGGCGCCTTTGGCAACCCTGCACTAATTTCGCGCTCCGGCCAGAGATGTCACGACTACGATACCAAAGGCTTTTGCGCTCTTGGCGCTTCGTGTCCTTATGAGCATGGCAATGATCCCGTTTTAGTACCTCAATAGGCAGACGAGTACGATACTACAAAAACTTCCATATCGCAAGGCCGTCCATTTGCTGACAGAGGGCGTGGCCGTGGTCGCGGTAGAGGCGATAGAGGCGCCTTCCGTGGTGGCCATGAAGGTCGCTTCTCTTCTGCTGGTCCCAATCACGATCGCTCTATTACACAGGTTGTTGTTGAACACATCCCTGAGGAGTGTTTCAACAAGCAATTTGTTTGCGACTTCTTCTCCGAATTTGGGACCATTGAGTCCGTCGAGCTGCAAGATTACAAACGTCTAGCTATCATCGAGTTCGACGACTACGACAACGCGAAAAAAGCATACGACAGCCCCAAGATCATTTTCGACAATCGTTTCGTCAAAGTCTACTGGTACAGGCCCCAAATTGAAAAACAAAGAGACGAGAATTCTGGGATCTCTCGTGTGGCAATAGCGCGAGAAGGACTAGTCTCCACGGATCATCTGGAAGACCACGGTGGAACAAGGTCGAGCATGAAAGATCGGGCGTTTTAAGGGACTCTCGGCGCTCAAGCAAAGAAAAGCTCGAATAGTTCCAACACGTCAAACTCTTTCCAACATCGACCATTATCACCAGCGAATACGGAATACAAAGTTGGCTGGATATGTGCACTGCCGTTCGAAGCAGCGGCCGTTGAGACCATGCTTGATGCACGGCATCCCGACCTTCCTTTCGATCAACATGATTCGACGCTCTACACACTCGGACGTGTCGGACTCCACAACGTAGTGATCGCTTGTCTACCACGCGGTCGTTCTGGACTTTCCGCCGCAACAGCCGTGGCAAGAGGGATGCTTGGGAAGTTCCGCTTTGTTAGATATGGCTTCTTGGTAGGCATAGGAGGTGGTGTACCTGGCGGCAGGGACGACATCCGACTAGGGGATGTGGTTGTTTCTCAGCCTAATCTCGAGCACGGGGGAGTAGTCCAGTACGATTTCGGGAAAGCAGAAGAAGGTGGNGAATTTCGCAGGACGGGTCACCTCAACAACCCACCCACGCTTCTTTTGAACGTGCTCAATCGGATTCAGATCAACCACGAGCGAGGCCGACGGACGTATCTAACTCACATGTTACGGTATGCTGAAGAGAACATGGAACAATATACTCTCCCCTAGGACGAGCGAGACATACTNTTTAATGCGGCCTATCCTCACGCCGCATATCACGACTGCACCAATTGCGATTCGAATGGAACCATAAGCCGACGGCCACGCAACACAAAAAACACTACTATCAAGATTCACTACGGCACTATCGCGTCTGGCAACCAAATTATCAAGGAAGCTCAAATACGAGACCGAATTGTCAAAGACCTCGGCGGTCAAGTTTTGTGCTTCGAGATGGAAGCTGCAGGTCTGATGAACGACTTTCCATGTCTGGTGGTTAGGGGCATCAGCGAATATTGCGACTCGCATAAGAACGATGAATGGCAGAGATATGCAGCAGCTAGTGCTGCAGCATACGCGCGGGAGTTGCTGCTTTCGATACCTTCGGAAGATGTGACGGAGTAGAATTCAAGATCAATGAGTTGAAAATGTTTGAGAGGACACTGGGTTTCATTGTGCCCTCCTTGAAATCATTCTTCGTAGTGGCCGATTTCTTTTTCGTCGATCAACTGCCAGACCTGCTGCAGAAATGACTTCCGCGATCTCTATTTTGATATTTCCCTGTCGCACCATGAAAAGTCATCCCAGTCATCATCAAACCAAGTACTGAGAAGTGTTCAGATGTCCTTGCCTTTCCAAGGGTCCGTGAGGAGTTGACTTGTGCCTTCAGTCATCATCCTCACCATCCTCCGAGTCGTCCTCGTCGGTGCCCAATTCCTTCTTCAATTGTTCGACTTTGGCCTCATCGCTTGCGTTCTCGGCCATCCACTGATCAATCATGTCTCTGAGAGACTGCACCCTGATTCTCAGATTCATCATGAGGTGCATCTGGTAATGACTACCTCTGTGGATACCTCTACCAGCTTCTGCATGCTCAATCTGATGGCGAATATAAGGCGTGATGTTAGTCTGGATACTGGTGATGTGTTCTTCATGCAGAGATCTGTAGTTCTCAATCTTGTCGTTGCGCTTGGAGATCTGGACTCTGAGCTATGATATTGTGAGTAAGGGGGTCACAAGGGGTTGTGAGAAGGANNGACTTACGCTTGCGATCTGAGTGCAGATGTCGAGTTGTTTGACTGGAGTAAGACGCAGACGTGGTGATTTTGGGCCTTTGTCTTCGGTGGAGTGACGATCTCTGCGGCTGATATAAGGGGTTAGATGCATGGTTGTACGACTAGAGATCGTAAGGTTATACCTGAAGTAGGGCGACATGGTTGCTACGATCTCACACTACGAACAAAGCGCGATCGACTTACGGCGCAGCGTTAGATTGTAATAAAGGGTAGAGTCGAAAGGGTAGATCGTAGTCGAGTTACGGCGGAGTATTATGTTGTGTAAATTCAGTTCCAGTGAAAGCAAAGCTAAACAGAGTGAAGCGTACGCGACTTACGGCGGAGCGTAATATTGTTGGAGACCAGCACCGGTGAGAGTCGGTATTGTTAGAATGTTAACAGTAAAGATATTCTGCTTGATGAGTGAATTATGGAACGCAGATCTGTCACAAAGATCTTGGTACGTTCCTTTCACTATGAGTAAAAGAACAGGCTTTTCACAGAAACCATGTGAAGTGTGTATTGGTAAATCAAGTGTGAAGAGGGGTCACGGTATGGTGCTAGACAGCATAAGGCACTCTCACCAACAGATAGGGCAGGATATAGAGCTGTAAAAATGCACATAGTACTCGAGTTTGTGACTACTGTCCAATGAGAGAGGTAGATATATGGGCTCTCACTGGACACTGCTCCAACTTTGGATGAATTCATGTCTTTTTATAGCCACGAAAGGATTGGCATGCGGAGAAGGCGATGATTGTGCAGCTTCTCTTACATATTCTTCCACCTCCAGAGACTCCATTCAACCAGTCTTTCATCGTTGAAGAGATCCTGGCTGGCCTCTTCTCTTCCCTCCTCCATAGCTTCCATGCCACCCTCCTCGAGTCTCTCCCACATCTCTCTGATGTAGTCGATATAACACACCCTCAAAGGATATGCGATCAAGAATCTGGCCTCCTTGTCTTTCCTGAGCCACTTCAAGATGACATTTGCAAGCAATTCAGGATGTTCTTCCGAATAAATAGTATCGGCTGCGAAGATGACATGCGCCTCTGTCTGAGGTCGCTGCTCGTCCTTGACGAGTAATGTGGTAGGATGCTTCCAGTCCAATGTTCCTGCTTCCATGGTTGTGTTTGCCTTCTCGAGGCCCTCAGAGTTGAGATGAATGTTGGCGTCTAGGGCAGGAACCAAAGGTGCTAGGTCGGTGAGCACAACCGGTTGCTTCCAGAGCGTTGCTGCGGTGACACCAACCAGACCTGTGCCAGCACCAAGTTCCAGGATAGGAAGGACATCCGAGCTGGGCGTAGGAAACTGAATTTTTGGACCAAGATGATGAAGCTGAGATGCCAGAATGTGTGAGGCTGCCCATGTTTCCAGGCCTAGGTTTTCAGACGTGAGATTGGGTTCACTGATGCGGACCTGAATAGTTTCGCCGGACCCGTTCGACGGCACCGTGAAGTCCTGCGTCTTGAAGCTGCGTTCCTCGGTTGCCATGGTGGTTGAGGTCAGATTGAGGTCGTCTTTTGCCAGGCTATCTGTTTGGATCTTCGAGATTCGAGATCTGTGATATGTGATTGTGGAATGCAACAGCAACCCAAAATCGTGATGTGTTATGTCAAAAGGCAATACTGGGCGAAGTTGTGATGGAAGCGAGTGTCGCTAAAATTTCTCCTTTCGACTTTTTGTGAGGGTTCGCAGATTTTGCGGGGAAGAAGAGGTCTAGAATGCATGGTATAAACCACAGCTCAGAATGACTCAACTTGAGGAATGAAACGTAGAAATATCGCTATAGATGGAAGCTCATAGTGTATTTGATGGTTGGAAGCAGATGTGCCAGATACAAAAGTGCTGGGCAGGAAAGAAGTGGTGTCGAGCAAACAGAAAGAAATGCCCATACTACACAAGCTAACCCAAACCGGCAATCGCTATGCTTACCTTATCGTTGCCAACAGGAGTGATATGCGAACGGCTTCTCCATACAGTTGTCTTCGTGCCCTCGAGAACCTTATGCCAAAGAGATAACACTTGCTGCAATGGGTATTGATACTGGCGGACTGGGGCCGACTACGCCAGTCGGGTGTACTTCCTGATAAGGTCTTTGGACAAGCTGCTTATTAAGCAGACTCTCCCCCTCCTTCTCCGGATGCCCTGCTTGGCAAGCGTTCCGTTCTTTGGACATAGCACCACGCTCCTGTGGCATGACTTGTCCGGTATTTGAGGCTTGATTTGGATTACTTCAAGGCTTCTCAGGGGTATTGCGAGTACGATGCGAACATCGGCGCAAGGCAACGCGAGAACTCACTGGCGTTTTTCGACGCGTCTCGATCCTACCAACCTTTCGGACTTTTACTCATGACATTTCGTCCACAGGCAGCGTCTGTTGCCTTGTTACGGACGTATACCATACCGACCGGATCCTTTGGGTCGAGCCATGCAGTAGCGACTCGCACCATGGCGCCATGTACCAACTGTCGGTGGCAGATCGACTGCGCGAGTCAACTAGATGCTATACCAGCACAAGAGCAATGTGATATTTTCTCTCGACAGCTCGCCTTCAAACACACGAGTGTTTCAACTTGGGATACTTGGTTCTGTCACTGGGGCTGCCGTGTTGACCCGTCCTCCCACGCGGAAAAGACGTTAAGTTCTGCGAAAGACGTTGAGTTTTGGAATTTCCTTGGTAAAGGCGTTGTGAATGTCTCACGTGGTGCTGTAGGACGACTACCGTGACATCGGCCGACGGACTTCTTGTCTTGCGCTGCCCTCTTCAGACTTGGATTTTCTATAATTGCACCATAGTCTTCCGTCATCAAATCTATTCGTCGCTTCTGGCCACCTATTATATCACGTCGCATCGCGTCACGAAGAGCTGCTTACTTTGCCATGGACTTATAGTGGTTCGTGGAGAAACATGTCAAACGTTCATCTTCGGGTATGGCTTGACAGTTATCTTTCGGTCCTGGCTTCGGACTACGGACGTTGTCGCGCTCGACTCAAGGCTTTCTTCCAGGTGCTAGAAACAGATGGTATCGTGAAGCACTATATCGTGGCGCATACACTGCACGCTTGCTAACTGCGCTGGTCGCTTATCCGGACCGGATCTGTATTGACTCTCCTGCCAGCCGAAGCTCCTATACTATGAATATCTTGTGCGAGACATCTTTCGAGCTTACTCCGTACTAAGCTCCGTCGGAACGGCAGGGCATACCTTGAAGATGAAGGGTCATGACAGCTGCCGTTGAACCCCACATGGCTCCCCACAGAGCAGCAGAGTGAGTCTTGCTCCACACAAGCAATCGCCATACTCAAGCCACAACCATGGGCACGAGTCGATAGACGGAGAGGTTGTCGCTATAAGTACTCCTGATCTTCATCCCCTAGAACTCTATTTCAGACACACGTTGCTATTCTTTCTTGGTCATCAGGTTCTCTGGTAGAATCATTGCCGTCACGCTCTCTTTGCTCGTTTGTTGCGTTTAACCCCTTCCAACGCTTCTTTATATTCCCCAGACGATCCCCGTTTTGCTGTGCAAAAGTTGGAGTCTAGCTATCACTATCTCTTCACACAACACAAGATGCACTTCTCACGGACTCTCTTCCCCATCATCTCACTCGCGAGCTTGGTTGCATCTTCACCACTTGCACACAACGAGCGTGATGTTGCGTCAACAAGTCTACGGCAACCATCTGCCACCACCACCACATCCTCGGACGCGCCTTGTCCAACCACACCAGAGGCAGGCACCTACTGCGGCTTTGTGAATCCAGAGGACCCATGTGCACCGCAACCCGGCGGCCAAGGACCAAGCGTAGTCCCGGACACAGTGTCAGCCTTCACACACTACACACCCTTTCAAAGCATGTCTCTAAACAACACTTACACACCCGGCTACACCTCCATCTTCACAAACCTCACTGCGGCGGCAAACCTCAATAACTACCTCGGTCTCAACTACCTAGACACCTATTCTCCCTCTGCCTGCGCCGCAAAATGCAACGAAGCAGCAAATTGCACAAGCTTTAATGTCTACATTGAACGCGACCCCAGTCAAAACCCCACGAAAAACGACTCTTCAGCGCCAACAGTATGGGGATACTGGTGTCCAAACCCGCCTTCTATTACAAATTTCGTGTGCGCGCTGTGGGCCGATGCAATGTACAACTCCTCGGCAACAAACCATGGCCAATACAGAGGCGGCGACTTTGAAGTCGTCATTGTGGGCAGTAACGGCTTTGTCAAGAATGGCGTTTACATTTCTACGAACTATTGGAGTGGGATGCCTGCTTCGGTGCCGACGTCGGGGATGCCGGGGCCGAGTGCGAGTGGTATTGTGGCGTTTACGGGTGCTGCGGGGAGAGCTGAGAGTAGGTGGATGTGGAGTGCAGGTGCGTTTGTGGTTGCTGTGTTGATAATGTTGTAAGAAGGCGGGATGGAGACTGGTTCTTTGCTTTACCTGTGCATAGCTTGTTGTTCTTTCCTGCTGGCTTTCAGGGGAGTTACTCTTGAGCGGCAACTCCCCTTATGTATAATGATTCACACGCCCCATGCGGCTGTATGAAATACTTGAGCAGCTATCCTCTTCATCTGTTCTATCCTCCCGGCTAATGGTATCTTGTGACGTGTGGATTCTCATGGGTATTTGGTCAATTTCGGTGGTTCGGTTGAAATGAAAAGATTTTGCCATAGCATATGTACATGTTTCCCTCTTGCTCAACACTCAACAAACACACTCTCGGACGAACAGAATAGCAAAGTCTAAAAATCATCTATCGTGAAATAAAGAGAAGAACTATACTTGATCAAGCACGCTTAGATAAGTCCAACTCTACAATAGCATCTAGCAGTAAGCAGTGCCGTTGAAGCTGGACTCGGGGAGAATGACTCCGTTGGCGATGAGGTCGGTGTAGGACCAGTAGTCTCTCTGAGTACCTTGGCCGTCGACCAGAGCAGTGGAGTACGAGACAGCGGTCCAGAAACTGCCACCGCTGACGTACTTGCTCCAGGCGAAACGCTGGGTGTTGAAGATCAACTGGCGGTCAGAGATGGCAAGGCTGTTGTTGTACATGGTTTGCCTAGAGGTAGAAACGTTAGCATAGTTCCTATTCGTTGCGTGACATTTGGAGAAAACTTACAGAGACCATTCACCGATGAAGTTGGGGAACTTGGTAGACTCGGCGATGAAAGCGGCTTGACCGCAGACAGCGGGAGCGACGTACTGGGAGTAGGTACCGGCAGCGGCAAAGTAGTAGACGTGAGAGTCGATGACCAAGTTGGTCGATGCGTCAAAGTAGGACTCCCAGAAAGCGGCGCCCTTGAAGCAGTCTTGAACCATGACGGGAATGCGGCTGTCGACCTTTGCGGTACGAGCAACAACGCCGGTGATGTAGTCGGCGACCCATTGAGCACCCTCGTCGGAGAGACCAGCAGAAGTACCGAAACCGGAGAGGTTGTCAGAGGCCTCGTTGATGGGTCCGATGGTCCAGGCAGTCATGTTTCCGCTAGCCTTGATGAAGTCAAGAATGGCATCGACGGCATCGTAGGCGTAGTTGAGGTTGGTAGTGTTATAGAAGAAGTCGTCGTGCAGAAGAGCCTCACCAATGTCGAGGTTGTTGACACCACCGGGAAGAGAGTGAAGACCGATGATGACGTGCATACCGTAAGTGTTGATGGCGTAGTCAGTGATGGACTTGAGGTATTGCTGCTGGTTACCGTGGTAAAGAGCGGAACCGGGAACGTTGACCCACGCGGCATAGGTAGTGGGGATTCTCAAAGTGTTTACACCAACAGAGGCAAGCTGATCAATGGTTGAGTGGTTGAGGAAGCTGGCGTAACGTGCCTCCAGAGTGGGACCGCACTGGTCGCCAAGAGTCTCGCAGAGAGTCCATTCGTCGGGAGTGGTAGAAAGGTTGGCGACAGATGCCCACCAGATAGGGTCGTGAGTCTGCTCCTTCTCCAACCATCCGCCAAGGTTAGCGCCGTTGGCCTTGAAGGTCTTCCAGTCGATGAAACCACCAGCAGTGGTGGGCTGAGCAGTGGCGGTGGAGCTGGCAGTGGCAGTTGCGGAGCTGACGATCCAGGTAGAGGTAGTGGGCTTCTTGCAGGTACCAGCATCGGCAGAGCTGGAGAAACCGTAAGAGTAAGTAACAGAGTACTTGTTGTCGCCGCTGTTAGATCCCTTGTAGGTAGCATACGAAGATGCCCAGGTCTGAGAGTAGAGGTTGCAGTACTGGCCAATGGCGACGTTGTTGCGAGACAGAATGTAAGTGTTGAAGAACTTGCAGGTGGGCTTGTTTGCCTTCAGGTTGGTAGCGCTCTGAGCGTCGCAAGCAGCGGCACAGAGGCTGGCATCGAAGGGACCGCCAGTAAAGACCTTTGATCCGAGCAGAGTGTCTTGGCCGTTGCAGTCGTTGGGGGCGTCAATAGCAGTGTTGCCGTAGTAGGAGGGAGAGGTGAAGCCGTCGGCGCCAGCTATGCTGTTGTTGACGTATCCGTTGCTACCAGCAATGACGACCTGGAACTCGCTTCTCCATTGGCCAGCGTTGTTGGCGTTGGCGGAAGTGACCGGGCCACCCCAGAACACACNACTGCGAGTTGTTAGCCCTCTATCAAAAGGAAATGCAACGACAATATTCACCTTGATGTTCGTGGTCGAAGAGGGAGACTCGCATCCGGTTCCAGGGTCCTTGCTAGGGTCGCGCTCGAAGTAGGTGTTGAAGGCAGCGCAGCCAGAGATGGCGTTACACTTGGCAGCACACTGCTCAGAGTCGTACTTGTCAAGGTTGGTGAAACCAAGGTAGCCGTANNACTGCATGAAGTAGTTAGTATCGTATGAAGGGACGACGCTTCTGAGAGGTACTCACGCGTTGTTGGAGGCGTTCAAGTTCTTAAAGGCCTGAGTGTAGCCGGAGGGAGTGGCGGCAGCCGACGCAGCGCTGGCGAAGGCAGAGTAGGAAAGGAAGGCCGAAGCAGTGTCGGGAGAAGGGACAGGGCCAGAGCCAGCGGCCTGGACGGCACAGGTACCACGTCTGCGAAGAGTGGAAGAAGAGCTGGTGCTGTTGGTAGTGCTGTTGGAGACATCAACCTCGGTCTGACCAGTCAAGACCGAAGTCTGGACGGCGGCAGCAGCAGAGTCAGAGTCGTAGACGACAATAAGCTCATCGGTGTTGGTAGGGATGGTGACGTTCGAGGGAGTCTCGACGGTATCGATCAAAGAAAAGTCAAGCTCTTGGGGAACAGGGGAAGCGAGGGTGAGGGCCGCAGCAGCGGACAGCAGAACGAACGAGCGCATGATGGGATGAAACGAATGTCTTGATGGAGCTGTTGTCTGATCTCTTTGTGACTTGGGGATTGACGATCACTTTATATGCTGCCTCGTGGCTCCTGGATTAGAGTCCCGAAGATCGACTTGCAGGATTCAGGCACACTGTCAAGCTCTGACCAGAATGTCGAAATATCAATGACCCGAGCGCACTGAGCAGGCCTTACCTATGGAAGATCTTGAAATGATACAGATCGGGATATATCTCTTCCAGAAGCCCTAGAAGGAGACCACAAATGGGCGAATTCTCGTCTAGAAGGTAAGTCCAACAAGGGCAAGAAATCTTGGCTATGCGTGCTTGACCCGTCTTTGACATCAGATCAGGGAAGTTGGCAGCTGAGGAAGAACAATGGACAGCAGAGTTTGTACGGCAACCATAACAAGAGGCGAAACACGAGGACGGGAGCTGTGATCAGTGGGTTCGGTCTGTGCTCGCCGAAGGAAGATCCCCCAAGCCTCGTGCTGCATTGATGCATATAGGGGATGATGATCTAGCAAGATCTAGAAGCCGTGACTGCCACAATCATGGTATACCAGCGTCGAGGAAGCTGTGCTTTGGTCCGTAAAGAGAACGGTTGTCTGAGGAAACATGACTGGATTTCGTCCTGCGTCAACACGCCGTTGTATGGAGCTCGTCTCCGTTGACGTTTTCGCTTTTGAAGGTCAAGGAAGGTATCGTTCTTCGCTACAAGGGCCTGCTAGGTAGGCACTCTCATCAGCCGAACCGGATTGTCTGTCCTCGTCGCAACGGTTATCTATGGAGCGACGCGAGCGAGCAATATAACATGGGGTCGGTGCACGATTCAATGCTATGTTTCGAGATATGGATGGAGGGCTTGTAGGATCAAAGACATGAAGGGTCTTCGTGAGCCCTAAATAGACGACAGGAACGAGTTTAAAGTTGTCCGGATGAGGCTTGGTCACTGCGAAGCTTGTCCTGCAGCTCGGCGTCCAGCTCCCGCTTTCTGCCCTCATTTCGCTCTGTGTTTGGTATCGCCGCTGTACTCGTCCGTTCTGTGCCGAGCATGGTCATGATCAATTTCCTGACTCTCGGTACGAAGTGTGCAGGTTATGCAAGGAGCGACGAAGAAGGATAGTTGTTCACGGTCCTGCTCGAGTGCTTTCGGAGGAGGAGGACGATCTGATCATCATGATGGTGACGGTCATGATGAACAAGTTATCTACGTGATCGTGATCGTGATCTCGAGCATGATGCTACTTGAAACAGAAGATGCTCCTTCTTTGCGAGATTGAAGAACATAAAGTCATCGACGGGATACGCTTAATACGTTACAATATCTCGCTGAACTCGAGTCGGAGGGAGAAAAAATGCGGATGTCAGATGCCAAATGCTTGTAGCTGTAGCTTCCCACAGGACTTCTTGTTTGCTGTTGTCGCTTCGTATACCAGACACTGGAAGGTTCATCACACGCCTCGTCTGCAATACACATGATATCTCTCAGCGTTGACTTCAATATACCTCATAGATATCGACCTTCATGTCAACGATTGTTCAACCTCATAGCATCCGATGTGCAACGACGGCAGTCTCGGGCCTAGTTGCTAAGAGGCACACCCTGACTCGACTCGACTCGGTACGTCATGGTCAACAGTTTGCGAGAAGAGTATATAGAGCATGCACTACAGCATCTTGGGTATGTTCTATTTCTCGGTGTCAGAGTGCGTCGAGATAGCTCCTCAGATGTATACAGTGGTAGTGTTGTAACAGGATGAGGTCAAACTGAGTTCTTCGAAAGTGAGACATCCGAGGACCGTTGCAAGGCTGCAACAGCTCCCGCCATCATCGACGTGTTCCCCTTTCTCATCTCCATCCTTCGGTTTCCTTTCTCACATCCAGCATCTGCAGCAGACATTAAACTCAACCATGTACGATGCGAATGCATGAGCCAGCTCCGTGGCACAAATGCGCTGACACGATGTCAACAGGTCGTCCTTCCTTAGCAAGCTCGGCTTGACCGCCAACAACTCGCTCACTCCCCTACCCAACTACGGCCCTCAATTCCTGCTCGCCAACTTCGTACTCAGCTATGTTCTCACCACGACCCGCTTCCAGAAGACTAGCTACGGTGTCGACAACAACATGAACCCCCGCTACGATCTCGTATCTCCTCGCGCCGAACAACTCGTCTCCAAGGGCAAGCTCACACAAGAGCAATTGGACCAGTTGCGTCGTATCCAGGCTGCTCACTCGAACTCGATGGAGCACTACACCGTCTTCACAGCCGCCGTCTTGTGTTCGATGGTCGCAAAGTTGGACAGTGGGATGCTCAACAGATACGCCACCATCTACACCTTGGTTAGAGCTGCATACTTCTTGGTTTACAGACAAAATACAACCAGACAAGCTGCTGGTGTCAGAAGTGTGCTCTGGTGGGCTGGAAACATTGTCTGCATCCGCCTTTTCTGGTTTGCCGGAAAGGCTTTGAACGCACACGTTCTGTAGAGCCGTAGTCGAAAGAGCAGATGGATGGATATATCGAGCTTCTAGAGAGCTTCTGCGTTCGACATTCGCAAATGAACAAGTCACCGAGTTGCTGTAGGAGCCTTCATCAAAATGCTGTAATCGTATCTTTTACATTGCTCCTCCACATCCCGTAGCTCGACTACTTGATCTAAGGACGACCCGACCTGTTTTGAGCAGGCAACGAGAAACAAGTGCCGTGCATTGCTGAAGATCGTCTTGCATCGACACCTCCGCATCCCCGCACTCACCCCGCCTTTGCCTTGCGCATCCCGTTCTATCTGCACCAAGCCCTCTTGCATCTTGCTGATCTTCAAGTCAAACCTGGAATATCGAGGCGATGAGCTAACCCATTTGTCTTGCATGCCCAGGGCTCAGTCGTCTGCATGTTAGCATCCTCTAGGTTTCGGAGGCTATTGCACCGAACAATGTGAGATGATTTAGGCACTACCGACGTTAATAAAAGGGTGGGCTGCCTTCTTCCAGAATCAACTTCGACAAGAACCGATTTCGAGGCGATCAAAATGCATCGACTACAAACAGTGACTTTGGCTGCTGCCCTTCTATCTCACGCAGCTTCCGCTGTTCCGTACGCCGAGTACATTCTTGCACCCTCACAGCGAGATCTGTCTCCTGTAAATGTCTACCGAGCCAATGGCACTGTCATCAATACCGCCGGCGTCACGACTTCTGGAACCGGAGGTACCACGTTCAACAGTGTCTCAGCCGTCACATACGACTACACCAAGAACATCGGTGGCTTGGTATCCTTCGTCGTCAGCTCTTCATCCGACAGTGAGCAATACATCGGCATCTCATTCACAGAGTCGTCGATGTGGATCTCGCCTGACGGGTCGGATGCTACACAAAACATCGCCATCGATGAGACTCTGTGGTTCAAGATTACTGGGCCGGGCAACTACTCTGTCGAACCTCTGCACGATCGTGGTGCCTTCAGATATCTGAATGTCTATCACAATACCACTGGCAATGTCACGCTGAGTCACCTGCAGACATACTTCACTGCCATGCCGCATTTTCCTGATGATGGTCTTCGCGAGTATACGGGTTACTTCCACAGCAATGATGAGAAGCTGAACCGCGTCTGGTATGCTGGTATGTGTTGATCCTATTCTATTCTTCTCCAGGGCACATAGTTCACGGGTTGGAGGTGCTGGTTGGTGTCATGATGCAGAGGATGCTGACATGATNNTGCAGGTGCCTACACTGATCAGCTATGTACGATCCCTTCCACATCAGGAAACTCCCTGGTCGACCTCGACGCCACAGATCCAAACGTGCCGACAGTGTGGTGGTCCAACAGTACCTTGACTAACGGTAGCTCGGCATTTACTGATGGTCCCAAACGAGACAAGTTGATCTGGCCCGGCGACTTTGCCATCTCTGTTCCCGGTGTATTTCTCTCCACAGACGATGCAATCACGGTGAAGCTGTCTCTACAACAACTTTTCGCTAGTCAGAACACGACTACAGGTGCACTGCCATGGTTTGCTCAACCTGTCTATGCATTCCCAGAGAACGACTTTCTCAACCTAGGAAAGGTGGTTTTCAGTTTCAATTATCACCTGTTTACACTGTTGGGATTGCACAACTACTGGATCTATACTGGAGATGACGAATATCTCCAAAACAATTGGAACAGATTCAAGCTTGGTCTGAACTACAGCTTGAGCTTTGTGGACGAGACTGGGTTGGCCAATGTCACTTCCTCCTTCGACTGGTTGAGAGAAGGCATGGGTGGCCACAACATCGAGGCAAACAGTATTCTGAAACATACCTTGGATGTTGCAGTCACACTTGCCTATGCAGTAAACGATACTTCGCACATCGCCAGCTGGACCAATGCATCCACAGTCATCACCAGCGCCGCGAACACACTGCTATGGAACGACACAGCTTCCCTATACAAAGACAATGACACCACCACTTCGCTACATCCTCAAGACGGCAATGTATGGAGTATAATCTCCGGTATCGCCTCTGCAAACCAAAGCACCGCTATTTCTTCCGCTCTCGCTGCCCGCTGGGGACCCTACGGCGCCCCAGCCCCGGAGGCTGGTTCAACAATCAGTCCTTTCATCACGGGCTTCGAGCTACAAGCTCACTTTCTCGCTGGCCAGCCTCAACGTGCTATAGATCTTATGCGCTTCATGTGGGCAGATTTCATGCTCGACGACACTCGCATGACAAACAGCACGTACATCGAAGGCTATGACGTTAGTGGTGCATTACACTATCCTGCTTATGCCGACGATGCACGAATCTCGCATTCCCATGGTTGGAGTTCTGGGCCTGTATTGGCGTTGTCGACGTTTGCGGCGGGTTTGCATGTGCTAAATGCGACGAGTTGGGTTGCGCATCCTCAACCAGGCAATCTAACGAATGTGGAAGCTGGATTTAAGGTTGGACATGGAAGTTATGCTGCTGAGTATTTGGTCACTGCTGGAGGNGGGGCAAAGTATACGTTTTCGACACCTGCAGGCACGAGAGGTACGCTTGTACTTGATACTCCTGGGTGCAATGGGAAGATCAGCATTGTGGGCAGTACTACCGCTGGCGATGACAAGAACCAGAGATCCGAGCATGGTGGTGGACACAACAAGGGCTTCCACTGGAGCAAGCAGATNCGAAGGCCAGGGTCTTCATCAAATCCTTGGAAGTGTGGTGTTTGGGGTCCTTCGCAACCAAGTCATTCGAGCGCTGATGATGGCACGATCACGATCAATGGTCTGGTTGGAGGAAACTACACGGTAGAGATCACCTGTTCATGAATGTGGACGTAGATAGGAGTAATGGAAAGATCGGAATGTACAGGTAGCATGACAGATACAACTAACGAATCTTCCATCAAAACCATCCAAGTCTCAAATTCATCTGCCAGCAAACATATCAACACTACTCCTCGAGTACCCCAAAATCTTATTCGGCCAACCACTCCAATCAGCAGAAAACAAAATCGCATCCTGACACGCACTGCCCAAGCCAGTATTATTCAACCAAGTCGGCTCCCAGTAATTGACTCCCTTGCCCCAACCACCAGCAACATTCCTGACCACACTCACAATATCTCTTACCCATTCAGTTTGTCCTGCAGCACTGACGGGCACAGAAGTATCGCTGAGCTCTGGCGCCGTGGCTCCATCACAGATGGCAGGCCAATCCGTTTCAACCACATGAACGGGTTTCTGGTATTTGGTAGCCACAGCGTTGAGTGTATCCTTGAGGTTATCCAGTGTAGCAGCAGTACCATAGAAAGGGTAGAAGGAGAAGCCAAAGACATCCCAATCAGCAGTCTTAACCTTGCCACTGCCGGTCAAAGCTTCAAACCAATTCAATTGCAGAGTCTTGTTCCAGCCATCGTCGATATGGATCATGACGGCAGGTTTCTTGACGCCAGCTTTGACTGCATCATCAACTCCCTTGCGAGCAGAGGACCACAGACTAGCCAGCGAACTAAAATTCGCAATCCTTGCTGAAGTAGGAAAAGTGTCGACGTCGACATAGCCAGTAGGCCATAGCATACCATGGCGAATCTCGTTGCCCAGAGAAACGAGAGAGAGATCTACGCCGCCGGCTTTAAATGCTAGCAAAGTAGTCTTGACATAATGGCGGAGATCAGAGCCCAGGGCAGAAACACTGCTAGTAGTCCAGGCGGCTGGTGTGAATTGCTTGTTTGGGTCTGCCCAAGTATCCGAGAAGTGGAAGTCGAGATAGATACGATAGCCCTTCTTGGAAAACCTTTGGGCTTGAGAAAGTGTATATGCCAAATCGTATTGTCCAGGCTCAGGGTTAACCCAGATTCNTAGTGAGCCCCGAAGTTAGCTTTCTTATCCTACTACCAGCATGGCAAACGTTTCTAAGCACCTCAATCTTACGGTGTTCATACCACCGTCACCGAGGATATCTTCTGCAGGTCTTGTAGCATTGTGCCTCGCGGTGTCTTTGTAGGTGACATTGCCGAGCTCGAGAATATGCAAAGAAGACAAATCAAAGCCTTTGTAGAAGAAAGGGTCCACAGACTGCGTTTGCATGGGTTTGTGAGGTGAAGCATTTGCTGTCGATAAGCATAGCAAAGCAGTAGAAGCGATGGAGAGAAGGGAAGGCATGATGGAGGACGTAAAACCTACGACAGTCGTGGAAAGGCTTTCAGGGTAGTGCTTGCCTCTCTTATACTTGTCTGGAAAGAAAGAACGTCTTGTAGATCGTCCCTCGGTAATATGCACCTAATGCCTATATTGCTCCTTCCCCAGCCGCTTCCAGAACATGGGGGCATGGGGCCGTGGATGGAGAAGTTGCGGGGCGCATATCAACATCCACCAACTGAATGATCTTCCGTCAAGCACAGATGTTCAACACGTTCCGTGCGGAAATGGATGATCAGGGCATGAACAATGACTGCAAAAGTCAAGAGGGCCAGAGAGCTTATAAGCGAGGGCTCTTTTGACATGATGAATATTAGCCGACATTCAGCCTTATATATGAGCCCGGCAAACCGGGTCGTCAAAGGTATATATGAGAGAACACGAAACAATGTACAATGGGGCAAGACGGTAGCACGTTGATATATTTCTTTTCCATATCTCATATGTTCATTTGTAAAGCTTTGTGATGGATAAGAGTAGAGAGCAAGAAAGATGCTGGCATGCAAAAGAAGGAGAAAAGCCCGCCCTATACTCCTTCCTGCCCTTCCGTGATGTTGTCTTTGATATTTGTGTTCGTCTTTTTACACTCCATCCCGAGGGTTTGCCCTTCTCCTTTCATCAGTTCCAGAAGACCCGAGGGAAGCTATGAAAGCAAGAGCGAGTGTTGTGGCTCAGCTTCAATGGCGAGAGCAGCTCGAAAAGGGGCAACATCATGGTTTCAATGGTCCTCGAAGAGACCTCCTGCATCAAAGCTCAACCTGACATGGTATACTTCTAGGCACCACCGCCGCCGCGAGCATAAGGATGGAAACCACGGTGACCACCTCTGCCACCACCTCTGTAGTTGGCGCCAGGTCTTCCAGCATTCTTGGGGCCTGTGGGCGCATTAGCAGGTGCGTTAGAGGGACCCGCAGGCGTGGGAGTGTGACCGCCACCCCTCTGCCGCGTCCTCTGCCAAAGCCACCGCGAGGGGCGAATCCGCCGTTGTTGCTGCCGGGGCCGCCGCCTTGGTTGGGAGCGGGGACGTCGTCGTACATGCCCTCCCAGCTGGTGGGCGAGCCCGAGGGTTGGAAGCCGTTGCTGCTGTTGGGGTTGCGGATGCGCCGGGCATGCCACCGCGCTGTTGTTGCTGGCGTTCGTACTTTTGTTGNTTCAAAGGCGAGTTGTTCTTGAGCGTTGTAGGCAGGACGTTGACCGGGTCCGCCGTTCATGGGTGACATGGGGTTGTTGGAGGGTGCTGGGCTGCCCGAGTTACCAGGACCGCCACCTTGCATTTGCTGCTGCATCTGTTGCATTTGTTGCATCATGGCTGGGTTCATGCCGCCTGTGAAGAGGACTCGTTAGTAGTCTTGACGAGCATAAGAGGCGCCGGAGCACTTACCTTGACCCATGCCCTGTTGCATGGCCATCATCTGCTGCATCATCTGAGGGTTCATGCCGCCACCACCGCCCATCATGGGGTTGCCGCCTCCACCCATGCTAGTAGCCAACTGCTGCTGCATCATCTGGAAGTATTGCTGCATGCGCTGCCAGTATTGGGCCATCATAGCTGGACTCATGTTGTTGCCTCCCATACCAGCAGGACCGCCTTGTTGCATGCCACCCTGCTGGCTGGGGTCAAAGCCACCTTGCTGACCGCCGAAGCCCTGTTTCTTGAAGCCACCGTTGTTGTTGTTATCCTCGTTACCGCGCAGGTTGCCTCTGGGTTGGGCCTTCTTGACCTCAATGTATTTGCCCAAGATCTCCAGGGGGCGTTCGAGAGTTCTGTCGACTGCAGCCTCGCTGTCGAAGGTGACGAAACCGAAACCACGAGGACGACCGGTGTCCTTGTCCATCATCAGAGTGGCATCCAGAACGCGACCAAACTGCATGAAGAAGTTCTTGAAGTCGGCCTCAGTGGCTTCCTGCGAGACACCACCAACGAAGATCTTGCTAGTACGCTCCTGCTCGTCGCGAGGAATAGCCCTCTTGGGATCAATNNCTGCATCATGGTTAGTCGTGCGTGTGACGGATGCAATGGAAAGACTCACAATCTTGCCGTCAAGCTGATGTTCCTTCACCATGACGATGTTAACGGTCTTGGGGTCTCTGAAAGTGAGGAAACCGAAACCACGAGAACGTCCAGTTGCACCGTCACGCATGACAGTGCACTCCGTGACTTCGCCAAACTGTGAAAAATACTCCCTAAGTGATTNCTGAGAAGAGGAAAACATCAGTATGCAGTCAAAATGGAACGCAAGAGCTCAAAACTACTTACGATCTGTTGTCTCCCAATTCAAACCACCGATAAACATTTTGCTGTCAAACAATTTCACGTTAGCAAACAGTCGTCGAAAGCTGCATATTGTGTGCTGTGGTTCCAGAAGACATGATTGCGCAAAGGAGCAGGCGATTCGTTTGAGTTTCCGGGGATACGTGATGCGGTCGGATAGGAAGCTCCAAGACAACTTCTCAGGCTTCAGGGATTCGAGATGGCATTATAACGCAGGTGAAGACTGCTGTCGTGCAAATGCTCTGATTGCGAAGCAGAGCAAGATCAAGATCAGGTCGAGGTACGGTAGTGGTGTGTATCTTGAGAAATGGTCTGGAGAATCGCTTGCTGAGCTGACGGGCCGGGACAAAGCCCTCGACACGCCAGACAAACAGCAGCCATCGAATTCCGTGCTTTAGCTAGGCTCTATGAAGAGTTATCGACATGAAGCTAAATAGCTATAGGCTTTGGCTAGATGGGTTCAGAGGGTATTTTGACCGTCATACAACGTACCACTACGATCTTGAATCTCCTGCCTCTGCCTGATATATATTGCCTGATTGGTCTTTCCGAGGTATGTAACTGGCTGCATAATGCTTGCTCTCTGGAATGGCGAACACTCGACGCCGCTCTCCATATTCTGGCGTAGAGCCATGTAGTTTCTCATTCCTTGCCTTCAAGGCCACAATGTAAGAGCGCTCAAGAGCACATCAGATGAGGTGCTTGAGGAAAAATCCTATTCAATCAAAGACTGTCGACAAACGAAGCAGCCCGACTATGCCTGTGTAAAGGGAAGTCTCAAGCACTCGTGCTTGTGGCATCACGTCTCGCAGTAATCTGATGGTTGCTGGCGCAGAAAGTTGCGAGAATGCGAGTTCCAGCTGACTCCAGTGCGCATCATGTCTTGTATGTGTAATACTTCCTGAGAGGGGGTAACAAAAGAGACTCGGCACGACTTACCCGTCTTCTTTGATGCCAATAGGCTTGTAGTCATCTTCACCAGCTCCGCCGTGGCTCATCTGCTGTGCAGCGCCATAATCGTTACCTTGGTTCTGATTGTTGTAGTCCCAGTTCTGTTGGCCTTGTTGCTGTTGGTCGTTCCAACCATCGTTGGAATATGACTGAGGCTCGACGGGGAGGTTGGATCCATTTGCGATGGGCTCTGACTGGGGAGCTTGCTCAGAAGAGACGGCTACCGAATCGGTCTGTTCGACGGCAGCGGTTTCGACGGTGGTAGTGGCAGGAGCAGGTGCAGATGCTGCTGGAGCGGAAGGAGCGGCGTCGTCGCCCTCGTNAGCTGGCAAAGATGTCAAAAATCATGGTCGATGTGGAGCTGGCAGGATGAGAGAGGCGTACAGGTCGGCGAAGAGGTCCTCTTCTTCGTTGTAATCAGCCATGTTTGCTATAGGTGAGGGGTCGACTGTGCGCCGAGAAGAAGGTGGGTCGGTGTTGCGATGAAAAGGTGCGCGGAAGGAGTCAAAGGACGGTCAAATATGCGCGAAAAACAAGACGAAGGAGACTCGATGTGAAAGGAGTCGCCGTTGTTGTGTCGAGTGGTCGGAGTGAGAAGTCAGATGCAGCAAAGCTTCTGTCTCATCGGCCAAGGCAACGCGACTGCTCTGGAACCAGTCAACCTTCACTTCCGAGGATGACCCGCGCGACATCTGCCTACCGCCCGTCGCACCTTCTCTTCCTGGCCACTACCCGAGCTCTTTGTCTAGCAGGCTACGGAACTATGAGAGATCTGGAGAAGGTATAGACTGGCCGTAAGACGATTTGAACCGAACTCGTGAAACTAGACAGAAGATACATCATGATCGTGCCAAGTTCGAAACCTCGTTCACACTCGACTTGTTAGAGACGCCGCGTACGAGAGTGGCTGCGTTCGCTATGGAGCGCGTCATTGGCGTCGCATGCTGGAGTGATGTGGGTGGCCGTTTGTTGTACAATCGTCTCATCTCGACACGATCACTCGACACGCCTCGTCTGTTAATTTCCGCATAAAATGGCTTCCAAAAAGCTGCAGCAGGTACGTCCTTGACCATTCTCCCCTCCGCCGTAGCAATGCTGATCCTCCGCTCGCAGGAAATGGTTCAGGTCGGTTCGTCTCCTCTCATGACCCTGTCGTGCTTTCCCCACAACTCGACTCCCTCAAGCTAACTGCTATACCGCCGCATATCAGACAGGTCCGAGTATGAACATGTTCAATTTCTTGCTGCCATAGCCATCATCCTGACCACAACCTCACAGGTCCTCCTCACCATTCTGGCGCACCTCATCGTCCAACAGCAAGCGTGAAGCCAGTCTTGCTGGCGAGAGAAAGGTCTTTGGAGCTTCCTACTCCCATGCAGACATCCTCAACTTCGACAATCTGTATGTAATCTCCGCTTCTTGCTCTACACCCTGTTCTGACACTCTCTATAGAAACATCTCCAACAGCAGCACACCACGTCCACACACACCACCCTCGCGCGACAATCGACCGCCCTTGAAGTCCTCGACCAGTCTCTCGCCCCCAGCACCACGCCGCTCCTACTCCAACTTCTTTGGCGAAAGCACAAAGACCTACGATTCACCCCAAGATGAGGAAGCCTTGGACTTTGACGAAGATGAGGACGAGTTTGGACTACCCAGCATAGCGAGCATGAGGAGGAAAGGCAAAAGACAAATCGCAAAGAAGAAGAGGGACCCAGGAGGCTCACAGTCCTCTTTGACCACCGTCCCGTCAGCTACCGCGACACTAGCTTCATGGTCCATGAACAACGGAGACATCGCCGAGGAACGCAGCTTGCCAAACTATCCTACCACAAAGCGATCAGACGGCAAGATCCTCCGACCACAGTACAAAGACATCCTCAGAGACCCTGCGAATGCCCTCCACTTGATCAATCACGCTCCAGCTCCGTTAAACGCCTCTCCTAAAGAAGTCGAAGCCCACTCAGCCCGCATCACACGCATCAACAAGTTCAAACGTATTCTACAAGCCTCGTCGATCAACCTGGCAGAGTTGCGCGACTCTGCCTGGTCTGGACTACCTGAAGAAGTCAGAGCCATGTCATGGCAGATCCTACTCGGCTACCTTCCAACAAATAGCGACAGAAGAGTGGCTACGCTGGAACGCAAGAGAAACGAATACCTGGAAGCTGTGCGACAAGCTTTCGAAAAAGGAACATCTACAAATGAAGCCGAGTCTGTCATTGGTATTGGCGGCATCTCCTCATCACCAGCGACTCAACGAGGCAAGGGTCGTGGCTTGGACGAGGCTATATGGCATCAGATCAGTATCGATGTGCCGCGGACGAATCCACATCTTGAGCTGTACAGCTTTGAAGCAACGCAGAGGTCTCTTGAGCGGATACTGTACGTTTGGGCTATCCGTCACCCAGCAAGTGGCTACGTACAAGGGATCAACGATTTGGTCTCTCCGTTCTGGCAAGTCTTCCTCGGCATGTATATCACAGACCCAGAGATCGAGTTCGGCATGGATCCTGGACAACTACCAAAACAAGTTTTGGACGCTGTGGAGGCTGATACTTTCTGGTGTCTTACCAAACTTCTTGACGGCATCCAGGACAACTATATCCATGCACAGCCTGGCATCCAGAGACAGGTGGCTAGTCTTCGAGATCTGACCACGCGTATTGATGGCAACCTGGCAAAGCATCTCGAGAATGAAGGAGTTGAATTTATCCAGTTCAGTTTCCGATGGATGAATTGCTTGCTCATGCGCGAGATCAGTGTCAGGAACACCATCAGAATGTGGGACACGTATCTGGTATGTTGATCTTCCAATGCAGACAGTATATCAAGCTAATCATGACAGGCCGAGGACCAAGGATTTTCTCACTTCCATCTTTACGTCTGCGCTGCCTTCTTGGTCAAATGGTCCGACCAACTGCTCAAGATGGATTTCCAAGAAATCATGATGTTCCTACAAGCTTTGCCAACTCGCGGCTGGAACGAGAAAGACATTGAACTTCTTCTGAGCGAGGCCTTCATCTGGCAGAGTCTTTTCCGAAACTCCAAAGCTCACATTCAGAAAAGCTCTCAGAACGGACCTCTGTCAGTCACGCTATAATAATCAGTCTCTAGTACCTACCCCTGTACTCTGATAATGCTGTGATAATGCTGTTATCTGTATTGTATGGGTTTGAGTCAACAAATATCAATGAGCTTCTCGAGCTAAGCGTTCCTCATGCTGTATTTGAGTCCACGATACCGAGATCACAGAGATTGACGAGACCTTCGCGTGNGCTGTTGGGAGTTAGTGCAAGAACTACGCAACATGTCAAGGCACTCACCGGAGCATATTGTCGGAGGTGAACGCCTGCTTCCTGGAATATCCTTGCGCTCTGTTGCACAGTCAGTCATGTTCCTTGAAGTGACAGACATCAACTTACCTGGGTGTCCATGTGGTAGCTCTGACTAAAAACAACCTCGGTAATACCGACTTGGACGATCTTGACGCTACATGTCAAACAAGGACAACTATAAGGGTCAGCACGAGCAACAGCGTTGGGAAANNAGAGTATGACTTGCGTATTGCAGTACAGTACAGCACCATCACCAACACGCTCTCGACCTGCTTCGAGAAGGGCATTCTCCTCGGCATGAAGGCACAAGCATGTACTTAGCCCGGTACCGCCTCCTTTGCTAGTATTGCAACGAGCACAACCGCCTTCATTGCAGTTGGTGACGTTTCTCGGAGTACCATTATAGCCTGTACTGATGACACGCTTTCCTCGGACGAGGACACAGCCGACTTGTCTCCTCATGCAGTTGCTTCGTCGGGCAGCAAGGTCAGCGAGTTGCATAAAATATTGGTCCCAGGTCGGTCTCATCCTGGCAGGGTCAAGGAGATTCAAGGCGTCGAGCGAAGCCTGTAATTGAGGAATGGTGGTGGTTGGGTTCAAGATTCTGATCTGAGCTCTAGATGAAAGAGCTGCAAGGCTTGACAGAGGATCGTACAGGTGCTCATCATTCCGCAGGACAAAGTCATCTAATGCCGGAGGTTCTTTGTTCTCCTGAGCACACCTCTCACGGAAGCGCTGCCATCTCACACTGATGGGAGCGTCGATGCTCAGCAGGATGAAGTGAGGTCGTTTAGCCAAAGTGTCGAGGATAGCTTCGTTCCATATAGTAGTCAAGACGTAATTCTCTCGCCAGTTCTCAGAAACATATTGATCGAGTAAGAGCGCAGTAGGAAATTCCAGAGCAGCAGATGTCCAGTGAGCAAAATTTGCAGATTTCTCGATAGCAGGTGTCTGGTCATCTCGTTTGATTGTGAGGGNGGTAAAGTTGTGTTNTTTGATCAGATAGTCTGCTACGGTTGCTTTGCCCGCGCATATAGCTGTGGTTTCTGTTCAGGAGAGATGGTAAAAAGTGTCACATGGTCACTTACGGCCACATATGCCGATGAGCATGATTGATCAGGCGTCCGTCTCTACGAGAATGCAGTTCAAGATGGATATTTTGAGACTTGCATCAAAATGAGCAGCACAAAGAAGACGACGCAGAGGAAGGAGCTTTCACATGCAATGTCTGGTGCGGAAGGTGGGCGCGCGCTTCTTTGAGTGAGAGACCGTGCACTGGTCTGCAAGGGAAAGCGCGACCCAGACCAACGTCACAAGTGAAGGAGCATCACATTCAGCAGGTCACGACTGCCACTGAATCAACGCGCCTGTCATATGCTACGACCATAAACATCGTCCTCATCCTTCGCCTCGTCCCTCGTGCAGAGTTATACTCGTATTCATAGCGCGCACGACTGCGAACACGACTGCTCGTATCGTCTGTTTCACCCCGCAACGCGACAAACAACCATGATGGAGCCGCTCAAGTTTGCGCCTTGGACGTCGGAAATTGACCTAGGCTTCTACTCGGCCCTTGGGAATCTCAAGCTCAATCATGATCGACTGGACTCGTCGGCGCGCAGGGTTCTGGGTGTCTACCAGATCCAGACAAAGGACCCGCCAGAGCGCTCCGCCCGCATGCAGGTCCACAACCAGGCCTTGACCCAAGACCAGTACGTTAAACTATACTGCTCATGATGATGATCATGGTAGCTGATGGTGTGTCATAGTGTCCCTGCCGGCTTCTATCGTGGCGAAGGCTACATTCGCAACTTCAACACCATGGACGAGTACAAGCAAGTCGACAAGGCCGCCCACATCGAACGCGCCGGCCGAACCATCTGGGACGCCATTAACGATGGAACAATCTTCTCGTGTCCCTCATTGCTATCATCGTTCTCAGCCGTCTGCTATGCCGACCTCAAGAAGTTCAAGTTCACCTACCAATTCGCATACCCAGCCCTGCACTCAGACCCCACATGGTCGTGTTCAAGTGCTCAGAAAATTACACCAAAGGAAACAGTAGAATTAGTCGACAAGGTACAGACTTGGAGGTACAGTGTGGACACAAGACAGCATGGGTTCTTCCTGGCCAAGAAGATCAGAGGGAACGACCTGGACGACGACCTTGAGTCACATACCCCACTCGACGAACCCGATGACCGAGACTTTGAGCACGACCGCTCCCAACCTTCTGTCGACACACCAGACTACCGCTGGAAGATTGGCGCTCTAGCCAACTATGAAACTGGCTTCTTCAACAATGTCGACCCTGATGATCAATACATCTGTTTCGCCGACCCTTCAACGTTCGAGGCAAACCCTGGCTGGATGCTGAGGAACCTGCTCGTCCTTGTTCGTCAGCGATGGAGGCTCCACAAGCTGCAAATCATGTGCTATCGCGACACACACGCTCGACGAGAGCAGCCACACAGCATCTTCTTCAAGGCAGAGTCTGTCAAGCCTACCGAAGGCGACCACTCTGCAACTTTTCCTACAATGCCTGAAGCTCGCGACTCGTCGTCATCCTCGCCCACACCGAGGTCAATACCACCAGCAGAGCGTGGTCCCATGCCCAAGATTACGGGCTGGGAGCGAGACACAAGGTCTAGAAACTCTTCTCGCACCATAGACATGGGCGCATACATGGACCCTACTCGTCTTGCCGATCAAGCCGTCGACCTGAATCTGAAGCTCATCAAGTGGCGCATTGCGCCATCAATCGATCTCGACATCATCAAGGACACCAAGTGCCTTCTGCTAGGTGCAGGTACGTTGGGCTCTTATGTCGCACGCAATCTTATGGGTTGGGGTGTCAGAAACATCACTTTCGTCGACAATGGTAAAGTCAGCTACAGCAATCCTGTGCGACAGCCCCTCTTCAACTTCGACGACTGTTTGAAGGGCGGTTCCCCTAAAGCCGAGACGGCTGCCCAGGCACTAAAGCGCATCTACCCAGGTGTCAATGCTGCCAGCCATTCGCTATCAGTGCCAATGGCCGGACATCCCATCATGGACGAGAAGAAGGTGAAAGCCGACTTTGACCAGCTACATCAGCTTATTGCAGACCACGATGCCATCTTCATACTCATGGATACACGCGAGTCACGTTGGCTACCAACTGTCATGGGCAAAGCAGCAGGCAAAATCGTCCTCAACGCTGCTCTTGGTTTCGATTCGTATATGGTCATGAGACACGGTGTAACCTCACAGTCAGAAAAGGAGCAATTAGGTTGTTACTTCTGTAACGATGTCGTTGCGCCTGCCAATTCGCTAAAGTCCGCTACGCTCGATCAGCAGTGTACTGTCACTCGTCCTGGTGTCGCAGCCATTGCATCAGCACTGGCGGTCGAGTTGTTTGTCTCAATATTGCAACATCCGGATAAGGCAGCAGCTTCTGCTCCTCCAGTGAACAAACCACAAGCTCAGCACCCAGACCACCCGCTAGGCAGCGTGCCTCACTCGCTCCGCGGCTTCCTCACTGATTGGCGTACCCTTACTATCAGAGGGCAAGCATATGACTGCTGCTCAGCCTGTTCACCCACGATACTTTCGCTTTACAACAGTGAAGGCTGGAGTTTCGTCAAGCGAGCGATTAACGAGAAGGGCTATGTCGAAGAAGTATCTGGTTTGGCAGAGGTCCAGCGACGAGCTGAGGAGTTAGATAATGATGTGGATTGGCAGAGTGAAGGAGAGGAAGACAATGAAGAGGCTGAGATGATTTAGGCAAGCAACTTGTGCTCCGTGTCGAATACATTGGTCAGGAGGTGTTATTGAGGCGCAGAGGTTTTGTTGTAGAGATAGAATATCCCAGCGAGAGTCCTTCTTCTCTTGACTTACTCTTCTCGATTGTGAGCATTTAATATTGCTGTAGATTAGATGGATAAGATGGATAGTGGTAGATGTGTATAGTATGAAAATGTTTATTACTTGCTGTGGATAATGCATAGCTGCTGACGTGTAAGAAGATAATCAGAAAAGATGGAAGGACTCGAAAGGTAATCTCATTGTTGGATAGTTTGGTTACGGCGACCACTCTTACCATTTCCTCCTCACATTCAAGCTCAAACAGAATTATGCTACTGCCTCGCTCACAATCCAGTCTAGTCAAGGCACTAAGCGTACCTCCAGCCTCAAGTCTGAATTCATCAATCTTCCTGGGGGTCTCATCCTTTCTCTGAACCGCCTTCTACACCATCTCACCTATATCGTCCGCGACTCACTTCACAAAGTCCCACTCATAGCTATCAAAAGCCTCAAGCACCATACCTCAACAGTGTATCCCATACGGATTGGCCGAGCAAAGACGATACTCCACATACTCCTCAAACCCTTGAGAACCCTCCGCCATCAACGCACAAGAGACAAAAACAAAACCTCTTCAAGAAACGACATCCACACCGAATTTTTCACTGCTTCTTTCTTAGGACACCTGCATTCTCCTATTGCTCCTGACTTCCACAAACATACCACTGGCAAATCGTGATTTTTGCATTTGGGCAGATAGTTAGAGGGTATTGGGAAAGCAAGTACTGCGATGGAATAGAGGAAGAAAGCTTGAACAGGGATTTCGAGTACCAAATCGATCTTTGCTGTGAAGTAGCCTTTGCCGTGGCGGATGTAGAGGTAGTAGACGAACAGAGCAAATTCAAGGGCATGGCGGAATGCTGTGTTATAAGAAACATCTGATTCGAGATCATCAATGTAGTGTTCGAGATCCTGGACGTAGTCTTCGGGGTTCTCGATGTGGTCTTCCAGTTCTTCGTGATCTTTGACGTATTCGAAGTCGTTGAGGTCTTTGGTGTTGCCGATATACTCGAGGTCTTCAAATTCCTGGCTCTCGAGGGTCTGGTTTTCAGAGTATTGGATGCTGACCATGATGTGAGATATCGTGTGTGATATGAAGGTGATGAAATTGGTGCTTAAGATCGGTTGATGGATACGGCGATGGTATGAGGGTCGCAAAGTGTCGTTCGCTTTTGCCGCAGAAGATTGGTAGAACACGTAAAGAACACTTTCGAGTTTAGTAAAGTTCTTATATTGACCAGAATGGACGTCGGCGATGACTCTAAAGATATGACTGTGGGCGTAGTTTTCAGATGCGTCGATGATGACTTGGGTTGTCGCCAGCCAAGATATCTCGAGTAAGTTTTGATGGGCATGTGTACTTTCCCACGTGCAACAAGACTTCCGGGCGCGATGGCGGCTCTGGGGAATGCGCGTGCAGTTGCTTCAAGTCCATCTACCTCTGTCTTTTCTCCACACCGACTGATATAACCGAATGGTATGTGGCGATAAGATCAAGTCTTGAGAGTCATCGACGCCTGGCTGAGACAATGTGCTCATTATGCCGCTGGGCCACCACAGGAGCGAAACTTACGGCGTTAAGACTCATACGAGATTTTTATCGAGTGCAAGTGCTCGCCCTGCTTTGAGATGTGAAGAAAATATTTTTCTGTCGAGAAGAAGTTGCACTTACACTATCCCATCCACCTAACCAACCACACCCAACCGTTTTCCTTTACAATGCGCAACCCACAATGGCATCCTTTCAATAAGTCCATGACTTCCGCCGATTGTCGAATCTTGCGGGAATCGACGCGCACGCTGTACTAGTTAGGCAGAATATACCGCCACAACTCAAGTATGCCAACAGCAGCGCCGGAAGCCTCTTCAGAGCTTGCTGCAGAACCTATTCTCGAGCTTGGATCAGAATCTACTGATTACGCTGAGGCAAGTCACAGAGAGTCTATCTCGGAGGAGTCTACTGCGGAGGAGTCTATCGCAGAGGAGTCTGTTGGGGAGGAGTCTGTCACGGAGGAGTCCTTCGCGGAGTATTCTGAAAAAGAATTGGAGGAAAGATTTCCGTGGATTGTGGACTTGGTACGAGATCCTTACCCCTCGGGAAGTCTTGCATCCTCCAGGGGCCCTAACCCTCTAGGTCCCATTGAAAGGCCTTCTTGATTGGAAGATCCACTACCTCCTCTTCGTCCTGTCCAACGCATTTTCGAAATACCTGATTCACAACGCCAGAATGAGGTACAGATTTGGCGGAGCACGATGCTCACAAGGTGGTATGAGATGCAGACACAGCAGACTGAAATACAGCCACGTCAGTCCGTGATGCAGACACACCAAACTGAGATCCAGATATACCAGACCGAGGTCCAGACACATCAGTCGGGCATGCTGGCACAAGACGGACAACCATTGGAGAACCGAGTCGTCAATCTTGGCCTCTGCGACAATTTCTCCCGGCAACCGGTGCACCCTGGATCCTCATCTTGGCTTCAAGACGAACTTGCCAAGCGGTTTGTCCCTCCAACGACTATAGAGGCAAAACAAGCTTCTATACTGCGGTACGAGAACATGCAACAAGAGCATGTAAGCCATACTTGCAGCATGCCGCCCTGTCATGACAGAGCCTGTATGCACGACCTGCCCGGGGGCAAAGGTTGTCGTTATAGCGATTTGTTTCACTCTAAAACGCTCGACTCTGGACCGTCCAACTCTGAAAGATTCGATTTTGAATCAACACTTCCATGTGTCTGGGGGTGGGGTAAAATGTTGGCGGAGTACAAGAGAGAATATGGATCAATGGTGGCCATGACAAGGAAGTTGGAAACGATAGTATCGTGGTATCGGCGGCGACATCTGTATGATGCAAGGTTCACAGGTCCGGTGGTGATTCGAGATCCGTCTAATGCTGCCGAAGGAACCAACTATGTTTGGGTGCCTCAACCACCACAACAGAATTGGCGTGAACGCAGGAGTACCTGGTTGAAATCTATAGTCTTAGCTCAGAAGGGGGACTCTAGTCTCAAGACCCAATGGAACATATGAGAGTTTCCAAGAATGGCACACCATGTGGGAGTTAAATCCGAGCCAAGAGAGCAAGAATAGCAGTCAAATCGTGCTCAACTCGTGAGTCGAATAGCTACTAAGACTCGTGGAGAGGCCGTTGGCGATATGACTGTTCTCTATTTAGTTATAATAGCTTATGAAGAAAATGTCGTGGTTGAATAGAACTCACCTTCCAAACCCAACGTCCAAAATATCCCATACTCCTTCTCTAGAGAGCAAGCAATACAATCATGAGCGCCCAGACCGTATGCAGACAACAACAAGGTACCCTCCCTCCAAGTAACCTATGACTTTCAAAGGACGTATGAACTATGTGGGCAGGATGAAGGCAGTCGAGCTGGCACATATGATGTTAGGATTTGGACAGCTAACGTTTGGCAGCAGGGCAAGTCGAATCATTGGTAGCTGAAGTACATGTTGAAGAGCGGCGTGACGAGCCACGTATGATCAGAAGATATGGATACCCTCCAGAGGGGTTTAGTCGGACCAAGAACCCAGAACATGTTGCGTGGCGGAATCGAGTCGTTCATGTCTGGTCCGCCAGCAGAGCTGAGCATCATGGCTGTCGTTACAGCGATTCCTTCTACTCCCAAGAAACGCCACCGTGCGCTTCTGGTTGGAGAAAGGTTCTCTACGAGTACGCGATGGCTCACGATGTATATTCGATGGAAAACGATCCGATGGACCACATTCTGGAAGAGTATCGTCGACGACACACCTCTGAGGAGAGGTTCGAAGGTCCAAAATTGAGACCGGAGCCTGGCGTCAATCCCGAGATCCACACTTACGCATTGTCACCACCACAATAGCGAACCTCTGCTTTGTGGATTGCGTGTAGTAGGCTGCAAGAGCGAGGCGTGCCTGGGGGTCTAGGGTGGGTAGCATAGTCCAAGATTTCGAATATAGCAAGACGTAAAAATCGTCAAGATCCCATCATGAATGCGAGTATTGTAGTGATGTGAAGAAGTAGCGAGTTGATCGCGTGGTTAGTGGAATTGCGTTCTGAAAGCACCTACCTACTCAGCTGCTACCAGATGGCGCGAGAAATAATTGCTGATGAAGGATCTAAAAGGTGCGACGGAGACATCTCTTGGACTTCGAAGGCAGCACTCTAGCATATGTCAGGATCAAGAATCCATACATTCCCGACACAACAGACAAAATCGCAACCGAGGCATTGTCCTGATAATATATTGATTCGTCCTCGTATCAAGGAATACAAGAGCTGAGGTCGCCAAAAGCAGCTGAGGAGCGTGCTTGGCCGTTTCTCCCGTTTCGGCGGGCTTGGAGCCAGAACACGTCTATTCTTGGGACGCGGTTCACTCAACCAACTCTCATATGCGCCCAAGAGGCTGACCCTGCATGCACATGCTTGTACGGACAACCGGCGTCTCCGAGCAGAGCCGCTGCTTGTGATAAGTTTTTAGACTTTTGATATCTGTGAGACACAGGCAGGTTCAAGGAGTTGAGAAGAAGCAAAGTCAAGTCGTCTCTTCTTGTTTCTTTCCCTTTCGCGTTCAGCTCTGTTTCCCACGCCTTGCCTACCACTTTGACCTCTGTGTGCTCACCTCAGCTTCGAATCTGGAACCGTCGCTCGCTACTATACCATCACACTCGCCGCTATGCTCATCTCAACCATCGTCTCCGCTCTCTCACTATTCGCAGTCGCATCCGCCCAGTCCTCTACCTCAACTAGCACTTCAGCTGCCGCTTCTGCCTCCTCTTCTGTCGTCGCAGTCGCCGCCACCGGCTCAAACGGATACAGTTACGCTGGATGCTACAATGAGACGACCGAGATAGCAGGCACGAACGGCGATCGCGCCCTCTCGGGCGGTAAGATGGAGACTGGCGATACCACCACTGTTGCCGCATGCCTGCAGTACTGCGGCGACTCAAACTACCAATACGCTGGCCTGGAATATTCCAAAGAGTATGTGTGATCAAGATGTGGGAGCAGTCAAGGATTTATACTGATTGAGTATAACAGGTGTTGGTGCAGCAACTATCTCTCTGCTTTGTCGACACAATTGTCCGCATCGAACTGCTCGCTTGCATGCGTGGGCAACAACACTGAGCTTTGTGGTGGATACCTTACCCTCAGTCTTTACAACCTTACCAGCAAGAAGGCTGGCTCTTCTGGTTCTTCGACCAAGGGTGCTGCATCATCGGTCGCTGCTTCGAGTTGGACCTATGTTCTGGGAGCAGGTGTCATGGCTTTGACGCTCGGTTCTGCTTTGTAAAGAGATGCTTGAGATAGAGGTCACTTTGGGAAAGATGACACGATGGTTGAATTAGACGGATACGGCGTTTGGGCATATCAGGTAGCATGAGGAGTTTAGGGTATGGTCGCAGCAGAGATGATTTTCGCATCTTGCAGAGAACTTCTGCAGTCTTTCCGATCGAATCTTCCTACATTCAATCTTCCGAGGTGTTGCCCTCCTGGAAAGTGTCGACCAGACACTTTCCAAGAGGGCAACACTGGAGTCATCACTCTTCCATCTAATCCAGGCCGCCAAGTCAACGCACTGAGTTCTCCGATCACTTCAGACGAGTTCGACTGGGATCTGGATGTCGAAGATGTCAAGACCGTCAGAGCGATGATCTACAACTTCTACCATCATGACTATCACACCGAACCAGAGCCCGAATTACACCTCGACCCAGTAGGAGAATATCTTTCCAGAGGTCCGATAGCACAGCACGCAAGAATGTACGCAATGGGAGAAAAGTATGGCGTGTCCGGATTAAAGGCTCTGGCTCTGAGGAAGTTCATACCAAGCAAGATGAAGGCAGTCCCTAGGCTGTGCAGTGCCATAGTCGTTGCCTTCATGATCACTCCAGACATCGATCAGGACATGCGTAACCTCATTGTCGAGTTGCTCGCCCGCCATCCCATATTAGCGAAAGTTCCTTACATCGACCAGGCGATTCGGGAAGCCCCGGTCTTCTCTATGCTCTATACGACAAACTTCTGGAGGAAAAGATGGAGCGGAGTGATGCCGGATCATGAGCCTTGTCGAGCAGATGGTCTCGGGACCAGTTAGATCTCGAGGATCCCTCTAGAGAACATGTAGTAAGCTACAAGAACATGCGGTCGACTCCCAATGTCTTGCTGCAATTTAACCCTGCATCTTCGTTCCAGTGTGTCAAAGACTGTTGCAGATGTAGCTATAGAGATGCACAAAAGGTGCTGTTCAAGGAGAGCTTCGTTTCAAGGCTGCTTCTATGGCCACACGTCCGATTCTACAAGTACCGTGCACTCTGATAGCATACTGAAGCATTATCTGTTAACCGCGAAGAGGGCTAACTAGTCAGAGGTGACCACATGTTCTCTATAATTTAGCACATGCTCTCTAGAAGCCCCCAGCACTCGAGCACTGGGACTTGGTAGTTTTCAATAATGTTCTCTACCAGTGCCTAAGTCAGAGGGCATCACAACTCGAAGGCGGAAGAGAAAGAGAAAAACAATGAAGATTGGGACGAGGGGAGGAATGAGGAAAGTTTAGCCAAGACTTGCCCCAGATTCATCCCACTTTGTGACTCCACCGCGATGACTCCCGGCGCGGCCAAAAAAGTTGAATACCATTCCACCACCTTTCTGGGCACACGACCGGAAACATTCACATCATGGCGGTCAACTTTCCCAAGGAGGAGGAGCGCATCCTCGCCCAGTGGACCGTACGCCCATCCCAGCCCGCACGCGCAGTCAAGCCGCCGTGACTAACACGCAACTGCAGNGAGATCAATGCCTTCCAAAGGCAACTCGAGTTGTCGGCGCAAAGGAAACCCTACACCTTCTACGATGGCCCTCCCTTCGCTACCGGCACACCTCACTACGGCCATTTGCTGGCATCCACCATCAAGGACATCATCCCTCGTTACTGGTCTATGAAGGGACACCATGTCGAGCGTCGTTTCGGCTGGGACACCCACGGTCCGTCTCATGCCCCATCCGTGGCGACAAGCGACTTCGTCTGACAGATTTTAGGTGTGCCCATCGAGCAGATCATCGACAACAAGCTTCAAGAAGAGCTGGGCGTGCGTGGTCGCAAGGCTGTTGAGCAGATCGGTATCGCCGAGTACAATCGCAGATGTCGCGAGGTTGTCATGACCTACGCTCAGGAGTGGAGAAGAGTTGTTGGACGTTTGGGAAGATGGATCGACTTTGACAATGACTACAAGGTGAGCACGAGAGAGACCAACGCACGAACGAGCATGCGCTGACAAGGCGTANNGACCATGAACCCGACCTTCATGGAGTCATGCTGGTGGGTCTTCAAGCAGCTCTACGAAAAGGACCTTGTCTACCACGGTGCAAAGGTCCTGCCTTACTCGACCGCCCTCAGCACCCCTCTCAGCAAGTCTGAGGCCCAAGAAGACTACCGTGATGTCTCGGACCCGGCCGTCATCATCAACTTCCCCATCCTCGGTCGCGAGAACGAATACTTCCTTGCCTGGACCACCACTCCCTGGACCCTGCCTTCACACACCGGTCTCTGTGTGCACCCCGACTTCGAATACATCAAGATTCACGATCAAGAGACGGACAAGAGGTACATTCTGCTCGAGGTTGGTCTCAAGATGCTGTACAAGGACCCCAAGAAGGCAAAATACACTGTTCTGGAGAAGATGAAGGGTTCCGAGCTGCTTGGAGTTGAGTACGAGCCTCCGTTCGACTACTTCAAGGAGGAGTTCAAGGGTGTCGGTTTCAAGGTTCTCAACGACACATACGTCAAGGTCGACGAGGGTGTCGGTATCGTTCACCAGTCTCCGGCATTTGGTGAGGACGATTACCAAGTCGCCTGGAAGGCTGGTGTCATCAACGAGAAGCGTGCTCCTCCTAACCCCCTGGACCCCTCAGGACACTTCACCTCGCAGGTCCGCGACTTTGAGGGTCAACACGTCAAGGCTGCCGACAAGGACATCATCAAGTACCTGGAGAAGGCTGGCCGTCTCGTCAAGAAGAGCCAGATTGTCCATAGATACCCTCACTGCCCTCGCTCAAAGACTCCCCTCATCCAGCGCGCTGTCCCTTCTTGGTTTATCAAGGTTGAGCACGTTGTTCCCAAGCTCCTTGAGAACCTCGAGAAGACCCACTGGGTCCCTGGCTTCGTCAAGGATGGTCGTTTCCACAACTGGCTCGCATCGGCAAAGGACTGGAACGTGTCAAGAAACCGCTTCTGGGGTACTCCCATTCCTCTCTGGGTCAGCAGCGACTTCAAGGAGGTCGTCTGTATCGGCAGCATTGCTGAGCTGAAGGAGCTCAGTGGTTACACTGGTGAGATTACTGATCTTCACAGAGACACAGTCGATGGTATCACCATCCCCAGCAAGCAGGACAACGGTGAGCTTCGTCGTATCGAGGAAGTCTTCGACTGTTGGTTCGAGTCGGGTAGCATGCCCTACGCTTCCCAGCACTACCCCTTCGAGAACAAGGATACCTTCCACGACAAGTTCCCCGGTGATTTCATTGCTGAGGGTCTTGATCAGACCCGTGGTTGGTTCTACACCATGTCTCTTCTTGGTACCTTCTTGTTCGACACCTTCCCTTACAAGAACTGTGTCGTCAACGGTATCGTCCTTGCTGAGGACGGCAAGAAAATGTCAAAGTCGCTCAAGAACTACCCCGACCCCAACCTCATCATGGACAAGTACGGTTCCGACCCTCTCCGTCTTTACATGATCAACTCTCCTGTCGTTCGTGCCGAGCCTCTGCGTTTCCAGGAACAAGGTGTTAAGCAGATTGTCTCGAGTGTCATCCTTCCTCTTTGGAACAGTTACAACTTCTTCGAGCAGCAAGTTGCTCTCCTCAAGAAGCAGTCCGACATTGACTTCATGTACGACACTTCCATCGAGGCCAAGAACACTAACGTCATGGACAAGTGGATTCTTGCTTCTTGCCAGTCTCTGCTCAAGTTTGTCAACAACGAGATGTCGGTATACCGTCTCTACACTGTCGTGCCTCGTTTGCTCGAGTTGATCGACAACACCACAAACTGGTACATTCGTTTCAACCGCAGACGTCTGAAGGGTGAGACTGGTCAGGACGACGCTCTTCACGCTCTTAACACTCTCTTCGAGGTCATCTACACCATGGTTAGAGGACTCGCTCCCTTCGTTCCCTTCATCACCGACAACATCTACCAGCGCATCTCCAAGCACATTCCCGAGAGCTTGCACTACGAAGACATGCGTTCGGTCCACTTCCTCCCTTACCCCGAGGTTCGTGAGGAGCTATTCGACGAGGTTGTTGAGAGACGTGTCAAGCGCATGCAAGTCGTCATTGAGCAAGGTCGTCTTTGCCGTGAGAGAAGAACCGTTTCGCTCAAGACTCCTCTGAAGTCATTGGTCGTCATCCACTCCGACCCTCAATACCTCGAGGATGTCAAGAGTCTTGAGTCGTACATTGTCGAGGAGCTCAACATCCGTGACCTTATCCTCAGCTCTGATGAGGAGAAGTACCACGTGCAATACTCTGCTCTTGCTGATGTCAAGTCATTGGGCATCAAGTTCAAGAAGGATGCCGCCAAGATCAAGAAGGCCATCCCTAACCTCTCATCTACCGACATCAAGTCGTTCATGTCAAGTGGCGAAATCACCATTGAAGGTTGCCACCTCTCAAGTGAGGACCTCAGAGTGCAGCGTGGCATTCAGCAAACACCCGAGACCAAGCACCTCGAGGTGTCGGTCGACGACAACTGCCTCGTCATTCTCGACAGCTTTGCATACCCCGAGCTCGCACAAGAAGGTATGGCCAGAGAGTTCGTCAACAGGGTGCAACGCCTGCGCAAGAGTGCCGGCCTCGTACCTACAGATGACGTGCGCATGGTGTACAAGGTTGTCAAAGACGACAACAACGAAGTTGACAGCATGTTCAAGGAGCAAAAGTCTCTGTTCGACAAGGCCATTCAGGGCGAGATCCAACGCGAGGATGCTGCCACTGAGGGCGCATTGGCGGAAGAGGATGCCAACGTTAGAGATGTGCTGGTCAAGTTGATGCTGTTCAAGCTATGATAGGAGACTCGGAAGGATAGAAGATGATGTTTTGTTCTGATTCGATAGAATACTAGGTCAGAGATATGAGTGAAAGACAAAAGCCGATTTTCTTTGATTTTTTATTGCTCGTGGTTTATGCTATCATCGTTTCCTCCCTGCCGCTGCCTGTGAGGACTTGTTAGCGTCACCACTCCTCTTGAAGGTTGGGTTAGAACATACCAAATAACAGTTCTTTAGTTGCAGAAACTCCTTTGCACACATGTCCTTGCGAACATTCTGGTATTCGGCAACAATACATTTGCCATATGCGGCACCCTGAGATATTATGAGACTTGGCAGACTACGTTGGATTGGGAGGCAATATACCTCAAGCGTGCATTTTGAGCTGGCCGTGATGAACTTTTCGAGGGGCTTTGCTCTTGTAGTCGACATGATTAGGATGTGATGAATTGGTTGTAGAACGATTGGAGGCGTTTGATAGAGATGGAGCAATTGGCGATGTCATTGACTCGGAAGGCGGTCATCGGCAGCAGCCGAGGGTTGGCGTGCATGTGAAAGTCGCGTCCCTCCCATCAGCGCTTTCCATGCGACACTAACAAGAGTTGCGTATTTCGTAGCTACATTCTTTAGCAGACGGCGAATATGATACAAACTACCAACATTGCTTGATCTATCCACACGCATTCTCGCAACATTCGAACGCGCGAATGCCGTCTCCGCCATTGATATTGCGCCGGTACAGACGACCGGACCGAAACGCGTCAATAGCACAATCATCACACGAGCCGGATGCCAGACTCGTCGCCCATTGAGGAGTTGCCGCCCTTGAGTGACCAAGGTAGCCATTTCTCTGCCAGAGTATCCCCCTTCATCGACTGATCAAGTCCTCGCNNAGATATCAACATCCTCTTCCAGATTGTGAGCGACGCACAACAATCCCCAGATCCTCCAGTCAAAGCCCTCTTCGCCGCATACGACAAAGTTCTCGCCGACCATGGAATCGCTCAAGAACATGATCAGCGCTTCTTCCGCTGGGTCTTGCGCCTGGGCGAGGGCGGCTCCCACAGTTCCCGATCCTTGATGCTCAAGTTGCGCAAATTGCTTGCCGAACTAGACATCCATATCGTTGTACAGGACGATCAAAATGCCATTGAAGACGAAGAAGTCGACTTGTCTCCAGACAATGTCCGACCAACCCAAGAGCTAGGACAAAGCAGTGCGACAAGAAGCCGCAGGGCAAGCTTCAACGACACCAGGTTGGATGAAACTTGGGTCAGCGGTGGAAGGCTCGACGCTGCCAGGTCTAAACACAGCCCACACACTTCGTTGGACGACCTGTCACGCATGCGAAGACCCTCGACCAATGCGGTGCCCGCTCAAAACGGAGCATCCTCGCGAGGCAGAGTCACTGCTCAGCATCAGACGCAACCCCGCAGAAGCCACTCTCTGTCGACTCAAGGAAGTGTCAGAGCCGCCCGCCCGCCAGCTCCAGAACCCTGGACTCGTTACCCACCTCCGATGGACCATCAGAATGGCGTGACAGACGATGAGACCGAGTCCGATATCCCCAGCTCACCGCCACCCTTGCCGTCTCACTACCAACCTGCGCCTCAGCATGTTGAATCCGTCGAGGCAGAGCTGGCTTACGAAGCCGAGGCCTTTTATCACACTTCCCAGATCAAGACCGCGCGCCGATGTCTCCATCAACTGTCTCTGGAATCCTCTCGCCTTCAGCACATGGCTCGCATCGCTCAGAATCACGATCAGCGTCTACTCGAAACTCAAGCTTTCAGCATCTGGGCCGCAAAGCTACTGGATAGACGTCAGGCTGCCGAGACTGAACAATTCTTCGAGCAATACGAGCGCAGAGCAACTCGTGCACGAGACCTCTTCCTACTGAACAAGGCCTTTACTCATTGGGCCCAGTCTACGAGCGACGAGGTTGCCAGAACATCTGTTGCTAGAAGACACATTCTGCGCACCCGCTACTTTAATGCATGGCGCGACATTACAGCCGTCAACGATCTCAAGTGTCGTCGCTTGGGTCTGCGCAAATGGCTTTCTGTGTGGAGAACAAACGCTGCTCGCAAAGCCGTCGATAATGAACGTGCCGTTGCTATATACGAAGAGAATCTTGTTCAGAAAACTTGGTGGAGGTGGTTCTGGACTTTCTGCGAGCGTAAAGCTCCTGTGTGGCATGATCATCGCACCAAACAGTCTTGTCTGCATCGCCTGACTGGTGCTGTGACGCGTCTCCGACAGCATGGAGCCGCTGCGATACATATGCGGAACACCAATCTTCTCAAGAAAACATTTGGAGCCTTGAATGCCCGCCGTACTGCCATCCTGTCGTTGCAACGAAGTGCTGAGGAGGTTCACCGAGCAAATCTACTGAACAACTGCTTCCATCATATGGTACAAGAATCGAAATTGGGACATGCCTCCAAAGAGATGTCAACCGTTGTATCGAGACGGCTGCTCACCACGGCTGTCTCTGTTTGGCAACTCAACACTCAACTTTCTCATCGAGCCACCGTTGCGGATCGGCGACGCATCCTTCAGAATGCATGGACGAACTGGAATGACAATTTGCGAGCTCGTGCACTCGTCACGAAGATCGATGATAGAGTCGTACTTGAGAACCTCTACAAGTGGGTCTTACAGTCTCGATTCGCTCTCTTCCGACGTGTCATGGATAGCAGATTGCAAGAACGTGCGCTGCAGACTCTGAGCTTGAGACTTACCGAGCAGCGTTTCCATCTCGAAGAGGCAGCGATGATCTTCAATGAACACAAGCGTAGGCGTACTTTGGCTTCTGTAATGCTCAGATTCCATGGTATCTCACGAGCGGAAGAGATGATGGAACGACAAGCAATCGAGTTCAGGAATACACGCGTTATGAACGCCATGTTGCCCATCTGGATTCAGCGTACGAAGCATTTGATGAAGCTGGATCGCTGGTCAAACGATGCTAGATTCTACTGTTTGGCTAGTGGAACCATCAAAAAGTGGAAGGACGCCACTTCAGAGGCACAACGTAACAAACGCAGGGACGCCTATGTTCAGATCCGAGGTCGTATCAAGCTACGTATGGTGCGCGATTGTTTTGCTGCCTGGAGGGAAAGAGCCACTGTGGTCACGCAACTTGACGCCACTGCCGTCGAGCATGTCAACAATCGGCATATCAACGCTCGCACCGCAATCTTCAACTCGTGGCGTAGAAAAACTCAGCAAAACAATCAGTCGTCCGTTCAAGCAGAAGAGTTTTCTGCACGCCTTCTCTTCCTCCGCACGATTGCCACCTTAGTATCCAAGGGACAAGAAGTCTTGCTTCATCACACGCAAGCTCTAACACTCCGCTCTCAAACCGTCGATTTACTCGCTACTGGCACACTCAANAAACTTAAGTGGGCACTCTTCTGCCATCGACGCAACCTAGACTCTGCGGCAGCACTCGAGCAACGCAACTCCCAACAGCATCGTAGGAACATGTTGAGGTACTGGGCTGAGCAAGCTTCAAGACGAAAGGCTGCCAGAACTTTGCCGCTACCATTAGATCCTCAACAGGATGACGTACTCGAATCTCCCACAAGAGTATCATCACCAGCCATTGCCCCTACACCTGCTCCAGTCCCTCTTCCACCTTCTTCGAATCTGTTCAGCAGTCTTAGATTACCTTCAGCACGCAAGACGCCTGCTCCGCTGTCTGCACAAAGCAGACTTGCCCCTCTCCTTGATGGTGATGGAGAAGAGTCAGATGTTGAAGAGATGGACTTTGGTGCTACTCATCGCGCTGAAGAATGGACATCCTTTGACGTTCTGCGAGACGTCATGAATCGACCACAACCACAATTCCAACCACAACAACCTCAATACCAAGCACTACCGCGTTTCGACAGCGCAGTGACCTCCACTCCAGTTCCTGGATACATGGCCCGTACCCCTAGCAAGCGCAGCCAGCGAGCTAAAGCTCTTTCCGCCATTCCATCGAGCAAGCCATCGCGTAGAGAGGTTCTCGTCTCCACCACTCCAGCGCCCTCTCGAAGTAATAATGATGTTCAAACACCCATTGTCACGCCCTTCGAACGCAAGATGAGAAAAGGTGGATATGGTAATTCTACCGGAAGTGGCGGTGGTGTGGATCTAGCTGAAGAAAGTTTCACTCCTGCTACATTGAGACGAACGAGGTTTGGGGACGCACCTGGCTTTGGTGATGTGAATGGGAGTGTAGCGCAGCAGACAGGGCGGAGTGTTAGGTTCTTTGATGTTGACGAGGTCAAAGAGGATTTAGATGATGCGAAGTGAATGAGATGTGTGAACTTTGTGTTATCTTTCTTGATACCCCATTTCTTTTTATTCTGTTATGCTGTTTCTTTTCTGTTTGTTATTTCTTTCCTTTTTTCCTTTCCACCTTTTTCTCCTTTTTTGCTTGATGAAGATCAGACTTTGGCCAGGTGTATACACTTATTTTACACTTGTTGGACTGGTCATGTCTGGAGAGAAACCACAGAACATTATATTCGGGATATCCTTTGATCTCCCGCCAAGAACCATACTTGTACCGAGCCTATATGCCACCATCGACACAATGATATCTGTTTACCTGGCCGACTGCGCATGGATTTAGAGGTGGATCACTCTAGCATTTCAGTACGCTCGAGGCAAAAAATCTGCCCCACGTCACTATGAGAGGGCCTTTCTGCCTCTCTGTCAGCCGACTCTGTCTTTGTACACGCTGCCCACAACAACTTTGTGTCTCTTCTTGCAAAACTTACTGCCACACCGCCACACCGCCCGGTAACCATATTATATCCGAGTAGTCTTATTATTGTCGTATGGAGAGATATGCGCACAAGGCGAGATGGCCGAGCGGTCTAAGGCGCCAGCTTAAGGTTCTTCCAATGCGCTGGTCCGAAAGGGCGTGGGTTCAAATCCCACTCTCGTCAACATGTCTTTTGCTTTTTGCCTTGCCTTACTGCCAAAAGTGGAAGAGAGGTCATACCCGCGGTGGCCGTGTCGGCTCGCACCCGCCTCGCACCCGCCTCGCTACCATCACGCTGACCGGAAGGGCTAGGGAACGGTGTCTTGGTGGGGAAAAGTGTCCGCTCGCCTCGCCGCACTATAGAATACTTTCTGAGCCCCCTCGGGGGTTAGGGGGGCCTTCCTTAATGTCGGCACCAACACTTTTTGTATGGGAAGAAGGACACTCTTCCCTAGCACTCGCGCACGCTGACCAGTCCGCTGCCTCTGGATCTCAAGCAGTTCGTGGAAATCGTTCGGGCCGTGATCGCGGAGACAATTCTGGCCGTGGTCAGGTAAGCTATGATGGATGGAAATCATTCTAGACCACAGACTTAACAAGCAAAGCACACCAACTCCCAACGTCAAGCCACCGACGCCTCAGGTGCCGCCGCGCGTCCTTCTGGCAACCGTCGAAATCTGATCTTTGTTCGTTTTGTGGTGGAGGTGGGTTGGCGTTCGAGATTGTGCAAGGATTTGTAGAGTTGAGCATGGCTTATATACTATACGTAACAAACGGCTTGGCGCTTTTTGCTGAAGGTGCAAGGTATCATGAATGTATTTGCAGACATATAAGAAGACCTCAGGATTGACATTCCCATGTCCGGGAAAAGTAAAGAAAAGATACACCGATAAGTTTGAGAGTATTGTCGGTAGACATGGTACCTCATGAGTTCTGGATGATGAATGACCTTTTGGAACTTAGTCATTGAAAAACAATCACTAATTTGGATTCTCATACTTGTGCATGCAGTATGCTACAACTTTAACGGGCAAGGGCGTGAAGATTTCAAGTAGAGCTTTGTCGGGTTTAGCATGTAATCCAGAAGGCGATTTCGTAAGAGCTCATAGAACAATCAAAGTCATTGGCCCGTCTGAAATAAATCATACAAGTAGCAAAGAGACACATCCATGCAACATATCATCTATTGCCTCCCCTATGTACCAAAGCCTATAACTTCCCCTTCTTCTAGAAGTTATCTCCATGGCCATGATCTTGTTTGTAAAGTAATTGTGTACTTCTATAACTCCACGACTTTGTCATGTGTCATTGTAAGAGAGATAGAGCGGAGCTCACATGTTCTCCCCTATGCTAGGTTATGTAAATCCGTCTCCGACAAAATTGTAGACCGTAAGTTACACTATAGAAAGATACAGTCCTTTTCCGAAGCAGAGGAGATGCCAGAGAGAGCCTCTAGGATGTTGACTCTCGGTGGATACTACATTGATTTCGAATAGCACTGTGAATTTCTATAGCTACTTGCATCACATACTTGAGCACAAGGGGAGGTGGAAACAGAAAATTGCAACAGAAAACCGAAACATAGATAGAGATCATAAAGAGAGATATAGTGCTAAACTATGTGGGTGCCAATGCTTCGGAAGGAAAGCATAGCTGATATTACAGTAACATGGAAACATGATACAAGAAAAAGGAAAGCGTTTTACTTCATCTAGAGGATGAAAGAGACGATGCTGCCAAGGATGTAAGCTCCTAGACCGACAACACCTCTGAGGTGAGCGGCGAGTTCGCCCTTGAGACCAACGACGACGGAGCAAGCAATGGTGATGAGACCGTGGCAGGCAGCGGCGAGGGAGAAGACGACACCCTTGAGAACGGCAAAGCCGCAGACCTTGACAGCGAACTTGACGGTGAACTCGACCTCGAGGAGGAGCTCAGCGATCAAGCTGGCGAGCTCAGCGTTGCTGTGACCAGAGATACCGCCGACAGTACTGAGGTGAGCCTTGGCCTCGCCGATGAGGCTGATAAGAACTTGGATGTTCTCCTTGACCTCAGCGATTTGAGCAGCGGAAGCCTTGGCCGAGCCGATTGCGTTGAGAGTGCCGTTGATCTCGGCGGTGTAGGAGTGGATGTGGTCGGCGAGGATCTCGAAAGTGCCCCAGACATTGACAGTAGCGTTGAGACCAAGGTGGACGTCGAGAGAGCCACCAGCAGCACCGGAAAGCGAGCCTGAAGCATCAAGTCCAGCAGAACCACCCAGACCGGCAGAGCCTGAAGCGGCAGCACCAAGGCCACCAGTGCCAGTAGCACCAGCACCCAGACCAGAAGAACCACCAATACCAGCACCCAGTCCAGCAGAACCACCGATGCCTGCACCCAGTCCAGCAGAACCGGTTCCTTGAGCACCAAGACTGCCAGTACCGGTAGCGCCAGCACCAAGGCCAGCCGAGCCGCCAATTCCTGCGTTGAGGCCAGCTGAGCCCGAGTCTGAGCCGTTGATTCCTGCGTTGAGACCAGCAGCACCTGAACCGCCGATTCCTGCACCGAGACCAGCAGAACCACCAATACCAGCACCCAGTCCAGCAGAACCGGTTCCTTGAGCACCAAGACTGCCAGTACCGGTAGCGCCAGCACCAAGGCCAGCCGAGCTGCCAATTCCTGCGCCCAGACCGGCCGAGCCAGATCCGTTGATTCCAGCACCAAGGCCGGCCGAGCCACCAAGGCCAGCAGCACCTGTGGCGCCTGCAGCGAGAGAACCTGAAGGCGAGGCACCAGCAGACAAACCGGCACCACCTTCAATACTGCCACTAGCACCACCCAAAATACCACCCTCAGCGCCAGCACCAGCGCCAGGAGCGCCAGTTACAACAGGGGAAGAATCAGTGCCGGTGGGGACACCATTGGCAGCATCAGCGACCGAGTTGCTGGGAACGGACGAGGGGAAGAGTCGGAAGGAGACGAGCCGGAGTCCTGGCCGTAAGTGGGGACGCTGGAAGGCGAGGCGGGGACGTCAGAGGGCGAAGAAGTAGAGTCAGATGGCGAAGGGGCATCAGTGGGAGCAGTGCCCTGGATAGCATCGGTGAGGTTGTCGCTGGGAGTAGCAGAGGCGGACTCAGCGGGAGTGCCGATGGGCAAGTCGGAAGTAGTTGGTCCGGAGGAGACGAACCCTCAGAGCCGGAAGTCGAGCCATAAGAGCCAGCGCCGTAGACAGGAACGTCGGATCCAGCGGGAACGTCAGTTTCGGTGGGCGAGGAAGCGGAGTCAGAAGGAGACGAGGCAGGAACGTCAGTGGGGGTTGTGCCTTGAACAGCATCTGTGGCGTTGTCGCTAGGGGTGGCAGCGGGAGACTGGACAGGGACAGAGGGAGAAGAGCCCTCAGAGCCAGTGCCAGAACCGTAAGCACCAGAGCCGTAGGTGGGCGCGTTAGATCCAGCGGGAACGTCAGAGCTCGATGCAGGAACGTCAGAGGGCGAGGCGGGAACGTCAGTGCCAGCAGGCGAGGCGTCAGTTGCAGCCGGGGTGCCCTGGGCAGCGATAGCATCGGTTGCGTTGTCGCTAGGAACAGCGCTCTTGCTGGGAGAAGCGCTCGAGGGAGCGGGAACACCAGCTGAGTAAGGGCTCGACCAGGTGTAGCCAGCGCCAGTAGGCTGAGCAACACCGGAAACGATGTCAGTGACGGAGGTGCCAGTTGGGATCAGAGTGGTAGAAAGCACAGTTGATGATGCCGGGCAGTTTGTGACATCGGCAGCACACGAGATAACGGTACCGACTTGAGTGCTGTAGAGAGTGATTGTGATGGGACCAACAGAGGTAGGAGCGGGAACGTCGGGACTAGACTCGGACGAACTGGGGACGCCGGTAGCCCAGTTGCTCGGGAACCAGTTGGTGGGCATCTGGCCAGAAGGAGCAGCAGCACCGGCAGGCATAGTCGAAGAAGCACCACCAGATGCGGTTCCCCAGTATTGACCGAAGGAGGGCATATTGTTGGGGGTCTCGTCAGTGTTGGGAGGCGAAGAAGGAACGGGCATGACGGTGGAGGTGGTAGGAACGACGACAGTGCTGCCGTATGCGGGAACACCTTCCGAGGCAGCAGGCACATCTGAGGAGGCAGGTACGCCTTCCGAACCGGCATGTACACCTTCTGAGGCGGCAGGAGTGGTCTCGGGGGTGCCGTTGCCATTGGCAGGGACACCCTCGGTGGCGGCGGGAGTTGCAGCAGGAGAAGAAGGCATGGCGGCATCGACATCAGAAGTGGACTGAGCGGCGGGGTCGAGGCACCGTAGGCAGGAGCACTGTAAGCAGGAACGCCCTGGGAAACAGCTGGGACGCCCTCGGATGCGGAAGGACCAGAGTTACCGTTGACAGGAACACCTTGAGAAGATGCGGGGACACCCTCCAATCCGGCAGGTGTGGTCTCAGGAGTACCGTTGCCGTTGGCAGGAATGCCCTCACTGGCGGCGGGGATGGCGGCGGGAGACGAAGGCATGGCAGCGTCGGCGCTCGAAAGAGTCGAACCAGTAGCAGTCGAGGTGACTGTAGCCTTGTTGGTGATGGTCGAAGTAATGACGCTAGGAGCGGTCAAGACAGTGGTGGAACCACCCTCCGAGATTGTGTGGCCAACAGGGCAAGTGGTGACGGTCTCAGAGACGACGTCAGTCACGTAGACGACCTCGGGACCGGCTGAGCCCATGGTAGTGGTGCCAGTGACAGCGGGGATACCGCCAGTGGCAATAGGGGTGAAGTTGTTGCCATCGGTCTGGGCAGTAGGCAGGGTGGTGATGGCACCAGAGTTGCCGGGAGCGGCACCGGTAGGAGAGCCATTGGCGGGGATGGCATCGACATCAGAAGTCGAAGGCGAGGCCGAAGATGCACCACCGTAGTTACCGCCCTGGTAGCCAGGAGCAGACGAGGCAGCAGCGTCAGTCTGTACAGATGGGACTGCTGAACCAGCAGCAGTCGTGGTCATGTAGTGAGTGACGTGCTCGGTGATGGTGTGGGTGCGAGTCTGGGTAGACCATTGAGTGATGGTCTGGGTAGACGTGGAAGCCTGGCCATCGGGAGCACAAGGGCAAGTGTTGGTATCACGCTTGTTGTTCCAGGGAGCAGCGGTGGACAGACCAAAGTAGGCCGCCAGATACACATACGTGCTGGGCTTCATCTTGAGATGGAAGCGAAGCGGACGCTTGTATCGGTTTTCTGTCGATTAGGGATGAACGAAGGACTTGAACGATTAAGGACAATAATAAAAACGAAGGATTGCTTCAGAGCACAGCTCTTGATTCGCAAAGGAAAGAAAGACGAAAGACAAAACTGAACTGATTTGAAGAGTATTGAGAGCAGGCAAGGCGACCTGCTTTATACAGAGGACGAAGAGCATGTTGAATGCATCGACCTCGAAAGAGTGGGTTGAGCTGCTACAGGATTAGCAACAGAGCACCGATCATACCAACCTGTGATGAGATTAAGGATTTTGACATGTCTGCGGCCCCGTGCTGACATGCCAGTGTGGATGAGAGTGGATGTTCGGGCGAGACATTGCAGACGACTCATGCATTCTTCGCAATGTGGACGGGCGCCAGGATGCCAGAAGTGAAAAGTCTCGTGATGGTCAGACTGGAAGGAGGTTGATTTGCAAATTAGCACGTCTCAAAGCAGAACCTCGCAGCAGTCGTGGCGAAAAGAGGTATGGTGATCGACCGTCTCGAGTCCGCTCTAGCCTTGTAGAGATGAAACTGGCCTGGGTACTCCACATACCCCGGCTCTCGAAAGATGATGGTGCTTCTTCAGTAGAACGTTGGAAAGCTCGGCCAAGTTCATGCTTGGTCGTTGACTCGATAACGAGATTGCGTTGATGAAAACATGCAAGTGGTTCTCTTCAGAAGCTGGACTTGGATGTTGCGATAGCGGTAAAGCGTGCGACAAGTGAGGAAGTTGCGAACAAGACCCCTGCAGGCTGCAGCGACACAGTAGCTTGCCAGTTCTGCAGAGTCTTGACATCTCAAAACTCAGGCAACCACGGAAGGCACGGGAGTGTAGGAAAGAAGCGTGGACAGTTAGTTGAGTGGACGAAGTCTGTGCGTGAGGCGGTGTTGAAACTTGGACCTATTTCTGGTTAGGTCATATTCTGGCAGAGATTTGCCAATACAAAGAGCGAGATTTGGTGCTTAGGAGTAGCGTGGTCTAGTGGACTTTCAATACTATATTATGAAATTCATGTCACGAAATCGAATAGAACAAATGGTAGATAGAAGTGCTCAGAAGTCAGAACAAAGTCGTGATGCTGTGACACGTAGAGAGATGTGTGATCGACAGTGCAGCATCGGAGTGTCGCGGGCCGGAGCCATATTGCAAGCCGATAGGCCGCGGACCTTAGCCAAGAGTCGGCTCAAACTGCCCTGTACCCGGGAAGGGACATCTCATGAAACACCATCTCCCAAAAAGAGTTCGTTTCAGTCTTGCAGCACTATCGGTTTTCGAAGCAACAGCTCAACCCTTCTAGCTTTTTGCAAGGTGCTTCTTTATACACACAACTGACGCTATACGATCACTAGCCGCTCTTCACGCCGACGCGACGGAAGCTCGCGAAATGAACGAATGTTGTTCGAATACGCAGACGAGGGTGTTCATTCCACAGTCGCTGAATAGGAGAAGACATCCTCGATCTTTGACCATGCCATGACTCTGCGCGAGGGACACAGCAGTCGTCTTTTTGGAATCAGGCTCGCAGATCAAGAGAGCTAGAGCGAAACTCAGCCTTTCGTCGCTGCATTTCTCGCACATCGACTGTTTCTCCATCGTGACAGTTCTCTTCATCCGCCACACTCTAGGCATATCATGTCTGCAGATCTTGCAACAGATTCTCTCTTAAACATGGTTGACCCTTGTAGCATGCTTCAAGTTTTGTCACATGCTCAACAATTCGATGGCATCGCTAAACGCTCACTTTCTAGCGATATCGCGACCACCCAGCCATACAAACATCCAGCTGATTGAGATCATTATCTTCCTCCTCCAACTCCTCGTCCACGACAGACTACCCGATCTCCATGCCAGCCACGCGCTCTCGCCCGTCCAGTCTCCTTTGCCGCCGATCACACCGTCATGCTTGCCTAGGTAGGCCAGGTGTACTCTCTGCTTGTACTCAAACGCTTGTGCCGCAACACCCTCGGCCTCGTTGTTGAGCTCTTGTGTGAGATACTCGCCTTNTTGCAAGGCTGCTTCGGCCAGTGTCGGAAGGCTGTAACCTTCAATATCCGCCGCGTCACCCAAAGCGTATGTGCCGTCAATCGGAGTACCATCGGGACGCAAGACACGCAGATGTTTATCTGTCAAAATGCGAGGCATGCCCTTCTCTGTCTTTTTGACATCCAGACTGTCGAGCAAAGGGTTCGCTTTGTTACCGGTAGCCCAGATGAGCATACCATACGGCAACCTGCCATCTTCCTTGGTGTATATGGCATCCTGCTCTACCTTCTCAATGTGAGAACTGGTCTTGAGTTCTACCTTCTTCTGGTGCAAAGACTTGGTTGCATAATCACCAAGCTTCTCATCAAAAGTTGACAAGATGGTAGGTGCGACGTCATGGATGACGATGGAGAGCTTGCCGTCGAGGTGAGGATAAAGATGTCTCATATCTTGGTTCCAGAGATCGTATAGTTCTGCTGTGGCTTCGATACCAATGGCTCCTCCACCAACGACACGGATTGTAAGGATATCTCTCTGCTGTTGCTCGGTGACGCCAGGTAACGAAGCCGCGTCAAGAATTTCCAGTATCCTTTGCTGAATGAGGCGAGCATCGTTTGTGGTTCTCAGAAATAATGCATGCTCCGTAGCTCCAGGCGTGCCAAAGGTTTGAATAGCACAGCCAGGTGCAATCACAATCTTGTCGTACAAAATATCGTATTCCTGGTCTTTCCAGAACTCTGATACAGAGGGTTTGCACTTGATGACACGCTTCTCCAGATCAATGTTCTCGGCAATCGCTTTGTAGTACTGAACATTGGGTCTGCTGCGTCGACGGATGGGTTCTTCAGCGAGCCGAAAGTTGAACAGGCCACAAGCTGCACTCGCAAGCAGTGGTGTATATTGAATCGTTCGGACGGGTGATATGATCTTGACATTGTATTTTGCGACGTTCAGTTGTTGCGACAAGACGAAGCCAGCCCAGCCGCTTCCGATGACAGCCACTGTAGGTTTTGACATGACGTGAAGATTGTTGATGTTAGAGAGTCTGCTGCTGTTGTTCTCGAGGTTGAACCAGCCCAAGTTTTGTATCTGAACTGCGCAATCGTATATTAACTGATGTCACTATTTTCTGGTTCATGGGTATCCTTGTCTTTGCCGAGATAACCCAGATCTATCGCCGAAACTTGGAAGGCTTCATGCTCATCCGCAAGACGTGATGTGGACTTACAAAGCGACACATGTTCAGCAAGTCGTCTATTCTACAATGCAAACATTATTGATAGCCGTCGCACTGTAAGAAGTTCGATCGATGTGATTATTGCTTTCTAGCAAGAATAGTTGTCGTGCTGCCCAGCCCACATGGTTGCCTACAAGACAACATGGTCGCTGTGCCAAATCTTGATTAAAGCTTCTAGAGCGTCTCACCATGGAATTCTGGGATATTCATCCTAGGAAACAGTCAGCAAATGACAGCAAGCTTTTTCTCGGATCCAATACATACCAGATCTTGGATGATACTGCTGTTATACGTGGTTATCTTCTTGTTTTGCGTTGTAGATACTACCTGACAGGGTCACCCAGCATACTACGCCACATACTGGTGCTTCCAGTGCGGATGTTAAATGGCATGGAATAAGTAGAATGTTGGAATATTCCACTGATTTTAAGTGGAATATTCTACTCCGTTGGCATGGAATAGAATCGTCAATTCTAGTGGAATATTCCACCATTCCACTCTCTAGCAAGGTTGATATTATTTCTATTAGGTATGTTGATCTTCATATCTTATCGCGCTTACATAATCGTGCCAAGCTTGCTGATTACTAATCAAACGACAGGGTGACCCCTAACATGGACAGGGTGGCGACAACAACAGCAGCAAAATTGGAATTGGCATCATTCCACTAGAGAATTGGCATAGAATGGAATACTAGCTGGAAGTAGTGGAATGGAATGGAATGAAGCCGATATTCCACCGATTCCATGTAACATCCGCTCTGGGTGCTTCGGTATCTACTCCGATTGAGCTGCAAGCACCGACCATCGAGAACGTCCAAGAACCGATCCACGTCAGATTCCAGCCACTTTCCGCGGATACCAACCACCTTTCTAAGCCTTCACTAGAACAAGGATGGAGACAGTTCGAATTTCAGGACTTTTGTGTATTAGTCAGCTCACTCTCGAGCTATGCGCCGAGCTCTTATCTCAACACCAGTTCTTGCTTCTGGTAGTCTCTGATTTCTGCTCCGGTGTTTGAAGTGGAGGTTCGCAAATCGATCATTTCTATGTTCTTAGGAAGTCCGTTCTGCTAACAATACAGTTCTGAGATACGTGATTGTTTCCTCCCTTCCAGCCTTACACAATGTCTAATGACTGCATCAGCTGCCAGTTTCTTGGCTGGCCGATTCCACCTCTCGCTGACACGGGACCACACCACCTGAATTCCGAGCTTCGACAGCGTTTCGATTCGATCTAGGAGATCGACCAAAAGATCTTGTACTCCGGATTCGCCGACGTCCAACGACCTTCCAAGGTGATTGCTTGATTTCCAGCTGCCTATCGCATCTAACAAGGCCTGGCAATCGGTTGCAACGATGAGGTTAAAGCGCGCCACAGCTTGAACATCGATTTCTGTCCATCTGTAGCGCAAGGCAGCCTCTCGCAAGATTTGTATCCTTTCTGGGACAATCTCAGTGCGGACAGCCTGGAGTGCACACCTCGCCGCTGCAAGATGTGGCACCAAACCGCGAGCTCCGGAACGAGATGTTTCCAGCTTGTATGTCATGTTGAAAGAATCGGAGATATTCAAGATCGAGTGTTTGTTAAAGAATGCACCGATGCCAGCAGGTTTGAAGTAATGAGATTCCTCGGGCAGACAGACTGCAGCAATGAATACCACAAGAGATCTGGTGGTGGTGCCTGCGGCATCGTAATGAGTTTGGTGAAAGAGATGCGATGCTCCTGCAACCTTCTTGCCCTCCAGGTTCGGACGAAGCCATAAAAGGTTGCAGGACTCATAGTCGTGCAATCGAAGGTTGAGTTGTGGAGGAATGGCAAACTCGTCCACGGTCCACCTAGTAAACTCCGCTTCGATCCGAGAGCCAAGTGGTGACGACCCGATCAGAAGCTCATGATTATGGACGACCGAAGTCTCATTCTGGCTTTCCTGGGCTTGGAATTTGTGGTCTTTCGCCGAATCGGATCTTACATGATTCCTGTGAAGCGAGCCAGTCTTCTCGTGTTGAAATCGACCATAGCACAAAGCATTTCGAGAGACCTGTCCGGACCTGGAAGAAGGCGTGACAGGCGCTTCGAGCTGATAAATGTCGCAAGGAGGTAGATAGAGTGATGAGATGGTGGAGCTATGATTCGTCGTCCCGAGAGAGCAGGCACTTGTGGAAGTCGTGGTCGTACATGTTATTGAATCGTCCTGAGCTGGGAAAAGATTGTCAATCCACTTCTTGATAAAAGCAGGTTTCATAATCGTGGGTGACCTAGGTGTCTTAGGTGCGATAATTGGCGATATTGATGACAGCGATGAAAGCGGACATGTTTTCGAGCAACATTGAAAGTGGACAGACGAACCAAAGGGGACGAAGATGACGAACAAACTTCTGGGATCTCAAAGGAAAGAGCTTGTGGGTCACCGTCTGACTTATGCTTGCGACATAGTGGGAAGGAGCAAGCCTCTACAGGCCAAATTACGCACACACCACTCCACAGGAAAATCAAGACATCGACTTCACGAACGATACATCCACAACTTCAACAAATTCGCGAGAGAACAGGTTCAATGGATACCCCATACTACAACGCGGATTGCTTGCATTTCGGTCTGATCCGTGGAGAAAGTCGGTCGGGCAGGGGTATACATGCCACCGCTGTCTTTGTTTCAGTTCGGATGGGTACCTGCATATTGACCCCTGCAAAGCTCCCGCCAGCCTACAAACCACCTACGCGTACGAACGATGAGCTCTTGGCTGTACCTGCTCCAGCGTACGCTGGTTCTCGCCATTGTTTGCGGAGCAAATTATGCTGTTCTGAGAAGCTTCCTGGTGAGAAGCATATCTCTTATCACAAGACTGGCTTACAAAGTCGTGAGAATTCGTAGTGCGTCTTCACCTACTCTGATAGCCTAAGGACGATTGCTTGTCAAATCGAACACTTGTTTGTTCCCGTCTGCAGGTCTCGCAAACCAGCGACACGCACAAAGCAAGACCGCTACCGAGCAGAAACTGGGAGATACTTCTCAATGATTTCGCTCATATAGGCTCACTTCCCAGCCTTGATCCTTCCTTTTCATACCTCACCTCTCCTACCCGCGACCCGTCAGCCGAGCAGCTGCCTTCTTGACCCTCGCACCTTCCTGGATACCCTGAACATTGTCAGTACCTTTCACCTTGCCTTCTCATTCCACCTTTCCATTCTGTCTTCTCGCTGTCCCATTCACCCAATTGTTCTACCTCAGCTTCTAACCTACCGTCAGAGGTTTCATAGGCATCGCCGGCTTCAAAGTCCCTAGAGGATTCCTACCTTCAACATTCTCGTCTTCCTCTTATCTTATCTCCTGCACCTTCCTCACATTGTCTTCACCACAAACCTCGTCGATGAAATTTGCCTCTTCTGAGGTCAAATCACCAGAATCCAAACTGGCAGAAGTAAAGCCCGAGCTGCTGCGTTGCGATAAAGACGGGTGCAACAAGTGGTGGAAGAAATCAGACCTCAAGACCTTCGGCACTAGCGGTTTTCAAAAGTGTCCACACTGCCGAGAAGTGAACACCACTCCTACAAAGTATTGGATCGGAGGAATTAGTGGACCCAGAGGACCTAGCCACGACTATCCAGCAAGGATGCCTCAGACACCACAAATGCATCCGCTACCTCTGAAGGCATCTGGCGATCGAACGAGCAGTGCCAAGAGGCAGATCTCTGGCAGCTCACCTATTGGTACACCTACGCAGAACAAGAAGCCGAGAACCAGTCTTCAGCAGGTACGCGTTGGAGGAGATTCCTTCCGTCTTTGAGCTTGATGGCTGACCAGCGACCAGACGACTCCAGTGAAGACCTCGGGCGCCGAGCCCGCGACAATGGAGCGCAAGGACGGCCTCCAGAACACCGCAGCCTGTCCAGCTACATCGATCGAGGAACCCACCATTGATACATTTGTCTCCAAAACACTAGCCGCCTGGAAAGTCTGCAAAGGGAATCCAGGCTCTCACCTCCAGAAAGAACTCAATGTCGCTGAAGAAAACCTCAGAATGATTTAAAGCGACATCCCCAGGATCGAGCGCGAAGTGCAGGCATCCAAGCAACATCTCGATGCGGCCCATACATTTCTGAAGAAGATGGAAAGACTCTCTGACGACCTCGAAGCCGCAATTGCAAATGCAGGAGGATTGAACGAAGGCAAGCATAAGCTCGTCAAGGACGGATGGTACATGACCTCGAAGCAGCATGCCCAGCTGGCGTATGAAGAAAACAACCGCTGCTCAAAGGCACATGAGAAAGCCATGAAGGACAGAGCAGATGCCTTGACGCTGGAGAATGGACTGAAGAAAAAGGTCGAAGACGTCAAGGAGGAGAGAAAGCAATTGGAAAAGTTTGGCGAGTTCATGTCTGTGTATCCATCAAGTACTGGCGCCTGACTCTGGCGGGCGGTGCTGGACTTTGGACCTGCGTTGCTATTTGCGATGCTGACTTGATTTGATGTTGACCATGAACATCTTCGAGGGGCCGAATGTGGTCTGGAGCAGGTTTTTGTTGTCGTTTCTGATTTTCTTTCGAGCTTACTTCCGATAGTTTTTGATTTTCTTATTATGCAAAGTCCTTGGTTACGATGCTTGTCGCGTGCTGTGTCGTGCTGTCCTTTGTGATGGTGCCTGGTGAAGTGTAAGTTGCCTACGATGCATATTTTCCTTGAAGCAGACGCCCGTTCAGTGAGAGCTTGTCAAGCAACCGGACCTCCTGTATGTTTCTCAAGTCTGCAGTGTGTTGTTGACATCAATCACAGCAAGAGAGCCTCTTTCCAGCAGGCTCGCCCTGTGTCCTGCTCAACTCAGCGTGACACTGCCTTTCGACAAATCGACAAAGCAAGACTATGGCAAGAGCGTCACTCAAACCCGAAAGCGACACTCACCCACCTTCCCAAGAAGCAAATCAAAAGACAAAGATCAAACATCAAACACAACACCACGAGTCATGTCACCACCTTACCTTTGTTTCATACACCAAAGAGACCGCAATCATCGAGTCACCAGTGGAGATTAGCCATCTTCCACCTTCCACCCTTCCACAAAGCTCCCCGTCTCCTCACGCCTCATCCGGACTCCGAAGGTACTCCATCTTTGACCTTTGTTCGCTTTCGCAAACCAAACCCACAAGTAATGCTTTTCTTGCGCGGAAGGACTGGTGGAAAAATACAACAGGGTTGGTCAATGGCATCTATGACGCTTGTATGCACACCAGCAGAGCCGCAATATAAACATTCTCACCGAGGGACGTTCTTGCGCGGAGTACAACCCTGCCTAGGGCAGCGAGAAAGAGCCACCGAGATTTGGCCTGCTGCTGCGCCTTCCCCAGCCCTTGGATTGCGGAGATGGTACATGCTCCTTCCACTGGGAAAGCTGGTCATGTTGCAAGCAAGAGATGAGATGGACATGCCCAAACGGCGCGTCGAATTTCAAGGAAAGCAATCAAGCTTCTTCTTTTGGGATTATCCGACTTTTGGCTTTTGCGACTCTTTGGCTTTGCGCCCTCGGCTCGTTGCCAGGTTTCTCGACGAAACCTTGAAGGAACTTGATGTTGGAGCTTGAATCGATTTGCTCTTTAACGGTTGCCGAAAATTGTTTTGAACAACAAAGCCAAAGGGTTGAGAAAATTATAGCTCGAAGGGCCTTGAAGTTTTGAATATGATTGGAATTTTCTGATGGTTTCGTAACATGGTATAAGAAAGACAAACTCCAAAGTTCCCGCATCGCGTGCTCTATTTGTGAGGCGCCCTTGACCGGGGCCCACCTCGCATCCCAATAGTCATTCACAGTATTATAGTGTTTCTTTTTGGTCCGCAGCGTCGATACCTGCTTCCAGCGTTCCAAAACTGACGTTGTCCCCTTGCTATGAACCGAGCTCTTTTGGACGTGTTTATGCGCCGCTGTTGCCGAAGAAGCCAGTGTACTTGTTGCCGACATATTGCTTGGGGTCAACGGGCAGGGAGGAGCTGAAGGAGCCGAGGAGGAGGAAGAGAACGAAGAGCGCACCGCCAAAGACGATGAGCTTTCTGAGGGCGGGGTGTCTAGCGCCGTAATCGGCCCAGGCGCGACCAGCACCACCAGCGTATTCCTTAAGGGCATCGGCTCCAAGCTTGTAGTAGACGAGGCCACCAAGGGCAATTGAGTAACCGAAGAATTGAAGAGGTGCAACGGGGTCACGGAAGATGAGCATCGAGGCAACGACGAGGAGAATGTCCTTGAGGACACCACAAAGAGTAAGGACGAGGGAGGAGGTTCTGCCGATCTGTAGAGCTTGTTAGCTACCGTGCGTGAAAAGTCCAAAAAGAACACATACCAGGAAAACGACCGAGACGTTGAGACCAAACGCAACCATGGCATTGAGCAGGAGAGTGAAGTAACCAACACGGTCAAAGTCAGCCCAAGTCATGGAGGGAACCTCGGCGATCAAAGCGACAACTCCGTTCATGATGGTGCAAGCGGGAGCGAAGTAGTAGAGAGAGACAAGAGGGTCCATCTTGAACTCGGCAGAAGACAGAAGGCGCTGGACCATAGTCAAGCGAATGGCCTCGAAGATGATACCAGCTACCTGGAGAAGGAAGCCGAGCATGACGAATTGGATCTCGCCGAACGAGGCAATGATGACACCAATGACGATGAAAGACACGTTTCCGAGAGTCTTCATGTTGGNGGGAGAAAGACCCATGACCCAGGAAGTGATCAGGACGGCGACGGGGGTGGTGGNCCTATCACCAAATCAGTTACCGCTCGTCCAGAAAGCAGAAATGAGCGGATTCTATCATACCTTGATCATCTGAATGAAGGAAACGGAGAGGTAGAGGTAGGTGAGGTTACCGCAGATGAGCGACAGAGAGAAGAAGATACCAATGGGGACAATGGCCCTAAGGTAGACTCTGCCGTTCATGGGAACCTTCTTTCTTGAATCCAGGACTGTGGTGAAACGAGCGAGGATCTGGGTGCAGATGGTCGCAAAGCCGAGATGCCATGTTGTGAGGAAAATAGGGANAGCCTGCAAAACAATGAGCTGGTGCGAGCTTGTGGTTGCTTGAACAGAAGACTCACGGAAGTTCAGCTTCTTCTCGTCGAGAATGTACTTGTTGAAGATGATGACACTGGAGCTCATGGCAATCCAGANCACTGCGCGCACGCTATCAGCTTCTGTCGCCGCCTGGACAAGAGAGGGCGCAACTCACACAACATAGAGGGCGGGGTGGATGCTGCTCTGAGGAGGAGCAGGCTTCTCGAGGGCCGGGTTGACGACGGGCAGGACAGGCTCGGCCTGCTCAGGTCTCTCGACCTCGCCAGAGGTTCTTTCCTTCTCCATTGTGCGAAACGTGGGGTGTCGAGGCTACGAGTCTGTTCGATTGGTGCACTGGACGGTGATAGACCAGCGGACAGCTTGCACGGAGCGGAGAGGGACAAAGAATGGATGACAGAAGGATCGGGTGGAAATTTGAGTTGCGCGGATGGGACAAGTTTTGATGTCTGCGGCGAGCAACCCCTTGATTGCATCGTCACAAAAGCTTGGAAGGCCGCTGCTGTGCAAGTGGAGCCGCCCTTTCGAAACCGTTGACACGCTGAGCAGAACTTCGGGACACGCAATCACATCCACTCTATCACCCTGCAACACCGGCGATACCACGACGATCCGAATACTTGACGTTTCAGCTTCGAACGCTGTGCAATTGTTTGCGTGGACCTGCCGCTGTCATAGCTATGTGTTATGTTTCGCAGCTTGCCCATCTTCGCCGCCACTGTAGCCGCGTGGTGGTACACGCTCAATCCATGCGGTACGGCACAATCTATCCCCTTCTCCTGACTATCTACAGCAACATCTGATCCAATCAATGCAAACACGCTTCTCCAATGAATGGACCCGAGGGTGGTCAATTGCAGCTTTTGAGCGAAGCTTGACCGAGCTTGATCATCTTGGATTACATGCACTTGTGTACCTCTGAAAACAAATGCCACAGCAAAGTGTCAAAGATTATTTGTTCGCCATGCAAGCTGGCCGCGCGGAGGAGGTGGCTGTACTCTCTCAGAAATTTGCTGGCTTCACTCTCTCGGACTTGTCCCAGCGACACGACTGACTCAACACATCTGAGCCGCGGGCAATTGACAGATGGTGATAGATGGTAGATCTGGCCGTGTCATTGTATGGCGGTCATCTGGAATGGGATGTGATGGTTGATAGAAAGTCTGGATTCGGGATGGCGGGGCGGGTCTAGTGCATGCAAGGATCTTAGATGTTGAAACTTGAGGGCGGCGGGCGGGCATGCTGAGGTCGGACCCTGCGACTTGCCCGCCAAGTATTGAGAGCGGCGATTCACCTCCTTTTCCCCAATCGCAGCAATCACTTTTAAAAAGAGTCCAGTCGACGCTCGCTCCTGCCTCTTTGCTCTCCAGTGATACCCTCTTTCGTTGCTCTGTCTCTTCTTGTTGCTCTAATTCCTTTAATCCCTTCTTTCACACTTCCACCACAATGTCCAAGCAAATGTGAGCTTCGAATACGAGCCGTTGCCACCTCAACTCTGCTGACAAGTATACACAGTGAGGTTGACGTTCTCGTCATTGGTGCTGGCCCGACTGGTCTCGGTGCCGCAAAGCGTCTGAACCAGCTCAACGATCAGTCATGGATGATTGTCGACTCCAACGAGATTCCCGGTGGTCTTGCCTCGACCGATGTCACCCCTGAGGGCTTCGTGAGTAGCTTGACAAAAATCTTTCAAGCGAATTGAGCAGCGCTGACAACAATTGACAGNCTCTACGATGTCGGTGGCCACGTCATCTTCTCGCACTACAAGTACTTCGACGACTGCATCAACGAGGCTCTCCCCAACGAGACCGACTGGTACACCCACCAGAGAATCTCCTACGTCCGCTGCAAGGAGCAATGGGTCCCCTACCCCTTCCAGAACAACATCTCCATGCTTCCCAAGGAGGAGCAGGTCAAGTGCATTGACGGCATGATCGACGCCGCCATGGAGGCCAGAGTCTCCAACACCAAGCCCAAGGACTTCGACGAGTGGATCGTCAGAATGATGGGTGAGGGTATCGCCGACCTCTTCATGCGCCCCTACAACTACAAGGTCTGGGCCGTCCCCACCACCAAGATGCAGTGCCAGTGGCTCGGTGAGCGTGTCGCTGCTCCCGACCTCAAGACCGTCACCAAGAACGTCATCTTGAACAAGACTGCTGGTAATTGGGGCCCCAACGCCACTTTCCGCTTCCCCGCCGAGGGTGGTACTGGTGGTATTTGGATTGCTGTTGCCAACACTCTTCCCAAGGAGAAGACCATGTATGGCCCTCACGCCACTGTCACCAAGGTCGATGCCGACGCCCACACTGTTTCCCTCAAGGATGGCACAACCATCAAGTACGGCAAGCTCGTCTCGACCATGTCGGTTGACTTCCTTACCGAGGCTATGGGCAACCACGACCTCCACCAGCTCTCCAAGGGTCTGTTCTACAGCAGCACCCACGTTATTGGTGTCGGTATCCGTGGCCACCGTCCCGAGCGCATTGGCGACAAGTGCTGGCTCTACTTCCCCGAGAACGACTGCCCCTTCTACCGCGCCACCATCTTCTCCAACTACTCTCCCCACAACCAGCCCGTCGCTACCAAGAAGCTCGCCACCATGCAGCTTGCCGACGGCTCTGCTCCTGAGAACACTGGCCTCAACGAGGGTCCTTACTGGAGCATCATGCTCGAAGTTTCCGAATCTTCCATGAAGCCTGTTGACTCCGAGAACCTCCTCAAGGACTGTATCCAGGGCCTTGTCAACACTGAGATGCTCCAGCCCAAGGACGAGATCGTCTCCACTTACCACCGCAAGTTCGACCACGGTTACCCCACTCCTTCGCTCGAGCGTGAGGGAGTCCTCAAGGAGCTCCTCCCCAAGCTCAAGGACATGGACATCTACTCTCGTGGCCGTTTCGGCGCTTGGCGTTACGAGGTCGGCAACCAGGACCACTCGTTCATGCAGGGTGTCGAGGCTGTCGATGCCATCGTGAACGGTTCCGTCGAGCTGTCTCTCTTCTACCCCGACTTCGTCAACTCTCGCTCAAACGACGAGCGTAGACTGGTCGACGGTGCTCAGTACTTCAAGAGCATGAAGGGCATTCGCGATGAGAGCAAGCCCCTCAAGCCTTAAGAGGAGAATAGAAGAAAAGAAGTTTGAGATACCCATAGTTGTCGGTCGACCTTGACCCAGTACATCACGGCGCATGCAGGAGTTTCCGGAAGAGGATTGTTAGAAGGTGCTGGTGCATTTTACCGAGCCACATTTTGCATCAAGGAATTAAGAACAACGATAAAGAATCGAATACAGTCGCATTACCACGTTACATTCAGCTATCTGCTGCGAACATCAAACATCAACTTGTCTAGAAATCAATCTCTCGCTACCAATCACTATGACCCATATCTCTTTTCGCTTTTGCTCATAAGCCTCTTGTGACCATTGCTTACAATTTTCGCATGTTCGCTCCAGCCAAGAAGCACCACGACCACTTTTCCATGAGGACGTTTTTCAAGCCATGATGTTGACTACCAGCGAACGACTTTGAAGTACAACTCTACAAGCAAAGAAAACCTGGTAATTCACTGTTTCTGGAGCCTCAAGACTTCAAGCTTCTCCTTCCGAGTGTATCAGACTTTGAATGTCGGCCTCATCATTGTTCTCATGCTGTCGGGCTGATGTCTTGATTGTCAACAAGGGACTCGGTTGTTGTTTCCGCTTTCAGTCTGGCAAGAACAAAGAGAGCTTTTAGGATACCTGAATGATCGTCTTTTCTTTGTCAATAGCATCTCCAAGCGCCTATTGCTAACCAGTCTCAGTCGGGAGGCAGTCGTGACTGCCTTTTTCTTGTGCCCAAAGCTCAGTGTACGATCTCCAGGCCGTTCCAACCTCATCCTCAGAAATCATATCAACTGCCATCGCCATTCAACAAAGCCATACCCGGATGAAAACATGAGCCAGGACACGTGCATTGGACTGGAAACTATGATGCCCACTCTTCCTCTACATCAAAGCGCCAACTCCAGCTCGAACGCTTTGCAATCACAACACCCGAGCTTTCCAGCATTCCCAAGGCTTCCCACGGAACTGCAACTGCTGATCTTCAAGAATGCAGTGACAGGCTTCAAGCCCATCGATCTCAGCAAAAGAGTCAATCAGAGATCTCCTGAGATCACGCAAACCTCAAAACTCTTCCGTACTGAGGGCAGCAAGCTTTACTTCCGCGAGAACACCTTNTTGCTTCCCCTGCCCAGTCGACTCAAACGTACAGAAAATGTCCATCTGGATCAGTGGCTCTGTGACGCCGCGACCACTGAACTGTGCAAGAAGATGGGAAAGATTATCGTCCAGGTTTCGCTCCCGCCGGACAGATCGAGCCTTGCCAATCTGCTTCTGCTAGCCACACATTTCCAGAGCATGTCCAGCGAAGGAGCCAGAAAGACAATCAAACTGAAACCCTTCTTCACTGTACCGGCTGAGCTGGAGGCTATCATGCCCGTGACTCCAGTAGCCACCGAACTCGAGCGGCATATTTCTAGGGCTTTCTGGGGTGTCTCTGATGGGAGCTTGCAAGAACTTACCAGAGGAACGTACAAGATTGACCGGGTAGATGAGGAAGAGATGGAGATGATTTATGGTGAACCTCTACTCGAGAGATCTGTAGCCCTCGGGCGGATATGCGAAGAGCTGTGGTTAGCCATCATGAACGTATAGCGTCCAGACTCGTGATAGCCCAATGCGAATTATATTCAGTCAATTACCTTTGTTGCACCACTCTCAAAGAATTTCTACTTCGAGCGAACATTCCCCCTGAAGACCGGATCTGGAAAATTCCTTTGTCACAACAAAATCGACCTCACCCTTGGAAGCACCATCGTTGCTCCCAGATACTGTTGACTGCAGTATACTACACCAAATCCACAATCAAAGCTTCATTCATTCCAGACAAGAAGCATCACATGGGAATGATCAATACTCTAGAAGAATATAAGTTTCCGACGGCGGTCGATCCCGCGACTTTGGAACCCTGGCAACAAAAATATCAGNNGTTCGACTATTAGAGACTCACACCTTTTGAGTATCCTACTGACAATGTATACGATACTGTGCCGTGTATGAACGCGCATAGCTTTGTTGAGAATATCGTTATCGACCCTAACCACATGGCACGCCTCCACACTCTGAATCCTCCCAAGCAAATCACCTTCGAGGTCTTGGTTGGTTGGGACTTTGACCCTGTGTTCTTGCCTCAGATTCCTCTGGGTAACGTGGAATCACTTTTCGACTATCTTCACGTCTTGGGTGGCAACATGAACCATATCAAACTCAAGTTCATGTCCAAAGACACCAGAACAGCTTACGACACATCTCCTTCATCCAAGAAAGAGATTGCACCCGACCACAGAGGACGCTTTCGAAACATGAAATCCAAGATACTGGACTTACTCCAAACAGCCATGGACAGATATCGTGCTTGTCTCGAAACACCGTCTACCGTCCCACCCATGCAGAAATGGGGACGCTATCTGGATTTCCAGCATGCGACTGATGCCACCACAACAGATCAGGACAAGTACAAACAAGTCAGAGGCTGGATGGCTGATACGTGTACAGACCTTCTCGACAATATGTGGAATAGTGGGTATGGTCGAAGAGCTGGGTTCATCAAGTACCATATGTTGGAGGCTTTCAAGATGCCTCAGGAATACTATGATCGGGATGCTATGGTTGTGTTGTATCGCCAGAATATGGGGATACCGCATTTGCCTTTGGATAAGAGCTTGTACTTTCCTTAGAGGCTTGTGGTTTATGCTGGGGTTATTTAACGTTGATCCTGTAGACTGTTCGCATATGAAGTTGGATTCTGAATTCGTCTGTTCGGGCTGCATGTTGTTCGAGTAATGGCTCGAGATGGTGTTGAGAGTGAGTCAAGTAGCGCGACTGCTTCATGCATCTAACGCTCTCTGCAATGCTGCAAATCATCTGTTCCAATTTGCAGACGTATGATTTGGAGTGGGCTTTGATAGATTACAGTATCGGGTTCTGATGTGGGGCGGAGTGGATGAGGCTTGGCTGTGGATCAGTCTCCACATTCCATGGCCGGATTAGGAAGGTGATACAAGCCGCAGTGCGATATTTCCATATGATAGTAGGTCATCTAGGCATACTGCCCAGAACAAGGGACTGATAGTCGACAGAATTGCGAATGGTAAATGTTTGGTCAAGTGTAAGCGTTTGGTGCGACCAAAGGGAGGCTCGAAGCTTGAAACTCCGCGAAGGATTCCTTCCCGATTTGGTCGCGTGACCAGTTGCAGCTGCAAATAAACAATCAGCATCCTTCGCGCGTTCGACCATCTCATGCGACAGTGTTTTTAGAGTCTTACTTATTAGGTCTCAGCTTGTCTCTCTTTGTTCTCTCCGTCTCTTTCTTGTGTTCTCTCTTTTTGCTATCACTGCCTGTCTATCGCCCATTTACGAAAATGCAATCATGGCGCGTGGCTCGACCGAATTTGCGTCGTGTATTTGGCACACCAGTCCGACCTTGTCCCTCGACAAGGCCCTACTCATCACAAACCGTCGTCAAGCGTGCGACATACGCTGTCACCGCCAGCGCGCTTGCCGGAATAGCGGTCTGGCAATTCGCAACCACTCGCAATGATGCACCATTCCTGGGAATCCAAGAAGCTCGGCACATAACCAACAGTACTGGCCTCTCGAAAGAAGAAGTCACCAAGATGCTTTCGCAAGAGGCGTTTTCGTTCCCGGTGAAAGGAGTTTCTGGCATAGAGAGATACGATGGTGCGCAATTGGCTTCCAACAGCGTGTGTGAGGATAAATTTGTGCATGGCAAATTGCCTTCACCAAGAAATGATGGTAAACCATGGATGACTTGGGCTGTCTTCGACGGACATGCGGGATGGCAGACCGCAGACCTGCTAGAAAAGCGGCTTTTGCCTCTGGTACAGCAATACCTTAGTCAAGCTAAACTTACCCCTGAAGCACAATCTGGATATAATGAACTCACTCAAGACACCATCACAAAAGCATTTATGGACCTCGACAACTCGATCATCGAGACAGCACGCAAAACCTCTGAAAGTACCATGCCACTGCAACAAAAGATGCAAAGATTACTTCCTGCTTTTGCGGGTTCGTGTGCTTTACTCTCTTTGTTCGATCCCGTCACCAGCACTCTACATGTAGCTTGCACCGGTGATTCTCGAGCCGTCCTCGGAAAGAAAAACCACGATGGCACATGGACAGCCATCCCCCTCTCCATCGACCAAACCGGCAGCAACAGTGACGAGATCGCCAAAATCCATCGCGAGCATCCCGGCGAGGAGGATATCGTCAAGAACGGACGAGTCCTGGGGTTAATGGTTTCCCGCGCTTTTGGCGATGGACGTTGGAAATGGCCAGCGGATTTGCAAACAGGGCTCAAGGAAAAGTTCTTCGCACCAGGATTGCCGAAGTCAGCTCCAAATGCTCCGACACCGCCATATATTACTGCAGAGCCGGTCGTCACTAGCACAGTCATCGACTCTGAAACCCCTTCTTTTCTCATCGTAGCAACAGATGGCTTGTGGGATATGCTTTCCAATCAACAAGCCGTCAATCTTGTTGGCACATGGCTAGACTTGCAGTCCGGCAAATCTATCACCAGCAAACCACAACCCAGCTATGCGCCCCTCGACTTTAGCAAACTTGAGAAAGGCGTAAACGAGAAATTCGAAGAGCAAAGAGCGACAAATCAAGATGGCAATGTTGCTGTGCATCTGATGCGTAATGCTCTTGGCGGTAACTATGAGGAATTGCTTGCTGGAAGACTTGCAGCTAGCAGTCCGATCTCGAGAGAGTTGAGGGATGATGTTACTGTGCAGGTGGCTTTCTTCAATTGTCGTGTATAGAGTGCATCGGTGATGGGACATCACAGCATCATCGAGAATCTGAAAACCACAATCACAGATCAAGAAAAAAATAGATTGAAACCTTTGCATTCCTAGGGACTGACGATATTTGAAAAAAAAACAAAGCAAAACGATATGGAAGGGAAAAACTCTACCAAGGTCTTTTCTGTCAACAACATGCTCGACTAGACAAACGTGGAGAGACAAAAGAGCCCACCATCAAGAGTCTGTTCTAAGCCTCAGAGTCGTCGGCCTCAGGAAAATGTAAATTATCTGCCAGGTGTGCATAAATATACTCACTCCAAGTGCAATTCACGGGATCCACAAGATATATATCATCACCTTGCACATTGTGTTTAGCCACGAATGCTCCCAAGTCTCTTGTCCAGTCCGACATGATGACATTATCGTCACGAGTGAGCACACAGAGAAATTCTTCGAATCCGGGTGTGACGCCGCGCCATTCACCGTCGCCTAGGTATTCGGGAGGGATGTTGAGGGATACACGTTGCCAGAATTCGAGATAGGCATCAGCCTCATCGTTATCGCGCTCGATGACTTTTCTCCCCAAATGTGAGTCCATGTCACGTACTAGTTGGTGCGTAAGGATGACCGGGTGGACGTTTTTACGGGCAGCTGCAATACCAATTCTGATGGGTTGGGGTAGGGTGGGAGAAATGGCTGGCTGGGCCGTTCCCAGCTCAGCAGCTGAGAGCGATTTGAGTCTTTCCGTTTCGTCAAGGTACGCTGCCCAAAGGGCCAGACCTTCTTCGAGGACTTCGATGATTTTTTCTCTGATTCCAAGGCCGAAGGGAATTGCTACCTCTGTTGTGGGATTTTTGTTGGCGTAGACGTTTTCCGAGCCGCCTTTGCACTCAAGATTAGGCTGTGGGCGGAGCGTGTGACGTAAATTGATGATTGCGGTCCTCAGGGGTCAATCTGTAGAGGAGGATGTGGTTGTTGTCAACCAAAGAAGGCATCCACTTTGAGAGGTCTTGGCGTCACGTGAGTTGGCGACGACGCGATTCCATGGTGCAAAGCTGGGCGACGACGACAATCTTCCACACATCGCATCCCCTTGTCAGTACACGGTATCGCGCATACTCACTTTCACGTCGTTGTCGTTACAACATCGCTATAACCTATACACTCTCCGTCATCAACACGAGGCGGCCGCCGACGCACACCAAGAGACGCGACACTGTCAAGCCTGCCACCAGTAACGCCCAACCGCGAGCGCGCCCCCTTGTCTGCTGTCTGAGTCGAACCCGAACACGTCGCTGCAGTCTTGTTAAGAGTCTGTCGTGTCTGTGGTCCCGTTCCTTGGATCGTTTGCGAGTGTGGCCCCGACCAGTGCAGATACCCGTGGCAGTGCTTGCGCAGAGTTTGTCTTGTGCGCACAGTCGCTGATACAGAAAGAGTCAAGGCTGCTCAATACCACAGAAGCCTGGGTGGGTGGGTTACGCATCTTCGTCCCTTGACAGATGCGGGAGACGAGTATTTCTATCATCCTTAGATGCACTCTTGCTGACCTTCGTAATCGATTCTAGCTGATTCTAGCCGATAATGGCTACACAAGCTGATATAGATGCCGTGACTGACAAACTCAGCACGACTGGGCGTCTGTCATGGGTCATCGCAGACTGTCCCGTTGTCGTCATTTTCAAAAACAATTCCACCGGACATCCGGATTCACTGGGCCAACCTTTAGATCGAAATGGCTGTGGTGACCTGCTCAGACTCTGGGTGGGCATGAACGAGGATACGCACGAGCTGTTCGTGGCCTTGACCATTCGTATTCGGGTGTCGCCAGTCAGAAAGAAGACTCGCCGACAGGGCCGTCTTATGTTCATGATCGTTCCAGCCAACGCCTTGCAGCTGCAAGGTACTGTCGTTGACTACACGCATCTGGACAAGAAGCTTTCACCACACCTCTTCGATATGCCCAGCGATACTCAATCCGCAAAGTGTAAGCTCTTGCGTATGTCTCTTGATCTGGGGTCTTATGCAAGTGATGTTATAATGCCCGAGTACCAGTGCAGACCAAATGTGATGCCACAAGCCATGGTCTTGCTTCGAAAACTCAAGTCACTCTCTGAGGCATCCAGCTTCCACCTATATACCAATCAGGATGAATCCAGGCAGGCAGCTTTTCAGCATGTATCCGAAATACTGCTCGACAAAGACTCAATGATCACTCCTTCGATTGACCTCAAAGGCTTTTATCCTGGAGGCCGCTCAGCATGTAAGAATATGTGGGTGGAGCAAGGATGGCTAGAAGCTGAAGACAAGACTGTTGCAGACGGAGGGAATGGTATTGAGAGGAATCAGAAAAGAATACAAAGCCCGTCCGAACCGCAACCTCCTCCGCCTTACGAGCCAAACACCGTGCCAAGTCCTGTATGTGTGTCTCCAGGCCTAGAGGATGTGCCATGGTTGCCACCTACCATTGCCCCTGTATCTCAACGGGGGCTCCTAGGTTTGCCAGCGACAGCACCTCCGAGCACAGATACATACGTCGACTCGAACGGCCAACAACTCTGCGCGGACAACACTGAATCTGCGTCAATTGTGACAGATCAACCATTCACCCATGTCCACCATCATTCTCCTTCGACACCTGAAGCATCACTCTCTTCCAGCTATACTGCGACATTTCTGTCTGGATTTCCGACTCAATCGCCGTCACATAGAATTCGAGACGCCTTGGCAGCCCAAACCAAAGCAGTCCCGGCTGAGAGCTCTTGCCCATCTTTACAAGTAGCTGCATCTTCCATAGGCGATCGTGCCTTCCACACCGATAATGCTTCGACCCGTGCCAGCACGCCAAGCGCAGTCCTCGACTCTGTTCCCGACTCTGCGACACGTAAAGACTACCTTCGTACTCGCTTGAAGAAGTTGCCAGCAACATCGCCAAAAGACAGGCTGTTGCTCAGCCGAGCGCACAAACCTTGCATCTCAATGGCTTACGAGCGGACTTCTCACCAACGGTTCCTGATACTATATCTTATCATGATGATACGACCCGTGCATCTACGAAAGACGACAGTCTTTCCTCACAAGGAAGCCAGCTCTCGCAATGGCTTTCCCACGCTTGGCACTACTGTCCCACAGCTCACTATCTCTTCATCACGGAACTGCTGAGCTATGGTGCCGCTTTGTCTGGCAATCGCTCTCAAGACGATATAACGACCTGCCACGTCAACTGCACACTTGCTCTTCTTGCTCATTGCACAAATCAAAGACTAGCCGAAGACTTCAACTATGCTAGCACCGATTACGAGGTCGATGCTGAGACGAGAGCCTTGATCAGGTGGTTGTATGTGCTTCGACCTGGTGCTGATATGGAGGTGTTTCCTGCCTTGCTTCGGCTGTCGGTGTCGAGTCAACAAGCACTTCTCGTTTTCCGCGTAGATGTGGAATGCGATGCTCTTGTGGCTAGCTTCAAGCGGCAGAAGGCAGAGTTCGTGAGTCAAGTCTGTATACGATATGGTGCGGACCTGCTGCAGAACGACTCGAACGATCTCGTCTCGATGATGCTGAGAGAAGAAGACTGTGTACACAGCATGTAAAATCTGCTACTTAGAGGTCGATGAGGTCTGGGGTTCCGGCTGAAAGCAAGATGCCCTTGATGGCACTTATCGTCTCAGCACTCACACCCATGACAGCAAACAGCTTCGATGCGCTACCATACTTTGTATCTATCCGCCGACACAGTTCTCGGGCCCAGGTCGACCGATTCTCTCTCCAGCCCGCCTTTTGCAGACGATCCCTCCAATTCACATCATCAGCATCTCCAAGATCTTTGGGCAGTCCATTGGTCATTTGCATATAAGCACGATCCATAGATGAGAACGGAATGTTGAGCATCAAAAGCAGCAAGAACACAATCAGTGTGTTGTCGCGCATGGCTCGATCACCAGAAATCACCAGTGGATACATGTCTTCCTTGAGCAGCACCTCGTTGAACAATCTGCCAATGGTCACTTCTGAGGATACCAGAACTAGGAAAAGACTGGGAGGTTTGTCATGATTATATTGTGATAGTGGGTAGAAAATAATTTCCTTCAGTTCTCGAAGGTCAGGATACGGTTATATCACTAGCGATTCATCCTTTGAATATCAAGTGTACAGACAAGATCAGCGAGAATGCGATATTGACCTGGGTACATTCCCTTATGGATTTTGGGCTCGTGACAAGATCAACTTCAAGATCATCAAATTTAAGGCCGCTTGTGGACAGAGAGAAAATTCGAGAAACTGAGCTAAGTTGGAGATCCCACGGAGCAAAGCACGTCACAGTATCGCTACGGCCGTTAAGTGATATTCATCGTGTGGAATCGGTCTGCACAATTGATGATTTGATGACAATGGAGTCCTGGGGAGAAGGTATTGAACATGGTTTGTAGTTGTTGCTCACTCCTGCATACATGTACAACCTTCTATATACTGCCTTCCTCGCCCCTCCTAGTCTTCCTCCAGCCCTTCACATCCAATGTCGGCTACCTCGTCTACCTCATCTTCTTCAATTTGCTCACCGCCCTCGTCTTCTTCATCTTCCTCATCATCATCATCGTCCCCTGCGGAATGCTCAATCTCGCCAGTTTCAAAGAAGTGAGGATTCGGCTGTATCATCATCCCAGTATTCAGGCTTGCCCATGCCCACATGTCGTGAGCCATATGCATTCCTGGACTTCCAAATGCACTAAAAGCATGCGTGATCCAATACTTCATATATCCACGCTTCGAAGCATTGTCTGCATACAGAGCATGTATACAATCTCGAACGCCCGTAGACAAGATTTCTCTAATTTCATCTTGGTTCAACGATATCTCGGTCCTTCCTTGAACGCGTCAAACATTATGAACTTCAACATTCCTCGGTCCAACCATGCTAACTTGCCCCAAGTCCTTTGCATATCTCTCTTGACCGCATTGGCGAGCACCCATTTCTTGGGTAGAATAGCGTCGTAATCTGGTTCAAGTCCTTGCAACTCGTAGTCCAGGGTCAATTTCTTTGCTTTCGCTATAGCTGACTGGATGATCGCTGTCCATACACCGCCAAGTCTATTATCGTGGTCGTACTTGCGTTTTGAGCTGGCATCATGGGTATAAAGACCTCTGCGGATATCTTTGAAGACGAAATGCACCGCCAAACATTCCCAATGCTCTTCTGGAAAAGACTCGACGATATCGAAGAGGAAGCGTATGTTTGCTGCAGATACTCTAGGAATAGTGGATTCTCCTTCTGGTGCGGTTGCATTGAAGTCCCACATGATGAAGATTTCGAAGCTGACGCCAGTTCGTGTACCGAATCCCCTTTCGAGGTTGAGGTTATGCCGTTCGCGTTGGTTTTTGTAGGCGGCTACTTCTGCTCTGGAGGGTACGGCGTTGCCTTCCGTCTCTCCCTGGTCNNCGTAAGGCTGCACTCCAGTCGCTGCTCTCCACCCCTGCAGCCAGACTTGGAATCCACCATTGTTGATATTGTATACTGGCATATCGTCACCAGGAGCGAAAAAGCGCTCTATGAACAGCGTAGCATTAAAGTTTGCATTTGGCCATTTCCTGTTCGCTTCGGGATCTCTGGGGTCAGTCATTGTGCTTTCTCCTAGGATTATCAAGTCGACCATAGTCCAGTAGAATTCGATCCAGTCATCGCCGCCTTCACGTATAACATCAGGGGTTAAGTGATTGTTGTGGTTGCTGATGTCTAGTGCCTTGCATTCTTCGCCCAGGGAAGGTTTGATCTCGAGTGTCGTCTCAAGACAGTCGAATCCAAGTCGAGTGTGAAGATCTAGCTCGGGGGCCGCAGGTGGTACAAAGAAGAGAGGAGCATCGAGTGGATTCGGGACGTCAGCTTCATCTTCCATAATTGGCGTATACGTGCGTTGACGATGAGGGAACGGAGTCGGGGGTGACATAGTCAATGTACATGAAGCTCGAGTACGTCGTATAAGCCAACCAATATACCTGCGAGGTCGCCGCATCCGGTCGCGGCATTGTTCACTTCACGGACAAAGACCTAGGCATGTCGAGATAAAGCGAAAAGGTTTCCAAGACGTTGTCACAGAGTGGTTGAAATAAATAAAAATGGGATTGTTGAAAGAAGGATTTCTGTTTGGGATGTCATTGGTTTGCTTGGAAGGCGCCCAGTGTCTAGAGCGATTGCATTTGGGGTTTTCGAATTCCCCGATATCATCAGCTCTTCATCCTCTTCCATTGGACCAACGATGCTGGTATTAGATGGTCGTCGGAGGGATCCGTCGCTGATTTCAAATGTTGTCTGTCGGGTTCGGACTTCCACCAAGATAAGGAGGTGGTAGTACTCCCTCAAGCGATGCTTTAATTTGCTGAGCGAGAGTATTCGAATGCCAACGATGTTGCTGAGTGAATCCACCCATGACCCAATAGTTATCGACTTTGGAGTGACGCTTCCACATACCGCGAATCTCGCCTTCCTCGTCAACGCCCCATGTGGCATCAACAGGTAACGGGATTTTCATGATATCGGCGACCGTCTCGCAGGCATCTTTGTCTGCGAAACCTGTACACCAGATCACGGCATCAGCATCAAGAGTCGTGTCGTCTGAGAGATGCAAGCCAAACTTTGTGTATGCTTGAGGCTCGACACCAGCTCGAAAGCCAACTTTGCCTTCTGCCAACAGCTCTGTAGCACCTGTGTCTACATAATGCCCGCCACCACGTTCAATCAAGTTGTGAGCCAGAGAAGCCTCTGGATCCGTGCTGTCGATGACCGGAAAGCCAACATTCCGCAGAGCCGAGTAGCGATCTGGTTCCTGCGAAGCCAATTGCGCGAACAGTCCTTTGGCGAGTTGGCTGTCGACAATCGTCGGCATCATCATGAACAGCCTATCCGCTGCTTCAACGCCGAAGTTATAGGCTCCAAGACCGAGTGGGTTACAAACATATCCGAGTGGTACCAGATACTGAGGTGAACGTACGATCATGGTGACTTGAAGTCCAGCATTGTAACAGTCTTCGAGCACGTCAAAAGCTGTGTTCGCCGAGCCAACGACACAGACACTCTTGGCACCTTGTTCCTTGAGCTTGTCGGCATTCTTATACTGCGATGAATGGATAGCGATGCCATTGTACGCTTGCTGCTCTGGAATTGATGGTGCATGAGGTACTTGTGAGCCGATGCCTGTGGCCTGTACCAAATGTCTGGCAATGGCTGTATACGTACCTTCGGGAGTCTGGAACGCTATTTCCCATCGCCCATCTCCGCTTGTTGTGGTGTTGGTGATTGTGACGGAGTTGACAACATCAAGTCCAAAGCTCTGTACAAACCTCTTAAGGTGTGCTACCAGGTCGTCTTTCTTCAGCACACTTTCCCGGAGCTCCGAAGAATAGTCCATATAGGGCAATTCGCAAAAAGAGGTAGGAACATGGAATTTCAGGGATTCGTAGCGTAAGGCCCAGCTGTCCCCAACGTGTGCGTTTCGATCAGCCATGAGGCTTGATACACCTAGAGCTTTCAAGCGTGCTGCAAGTGCAGCTGCTGCATTGCCACCTCCGACGATAAAGACATCCGTTTCAAATATGCTAGATTCAGCTTTCGATTTTTTAGGAGCGCGAAGTAGGGCTTGATCTTCAGCGTATCCGTCCAGATGATCGAGTTTGGTGCTGAGCATCCAGATCTTCCAAGTCAAACCTTGAATATCTGACTCAGAGTCTGGAGTCTCGATGGGCAGAAGCCATATTCTTCCACTACATGTGGCAGCTGGTGACGCGGTCTGGAAGCTAAATTCGCAGGTGATGAACGACTGTGTTCATCAGACTAATGAACTTGCTGGGTTTAGGTCTGATTAACGATGGAGACTTACTAGGTTAGGTCCGACCTGTACGAAGTCTGCTTCCCCTCTGATCTCGAATAGTCTGGTGAGGTCTCTCTGCTGCTGGACCTCCAGTAGAGCAGAAGTAATCTTGGACGGGGAGATGAATGTCCGCAGATGCCAAGTCAGTGCGAGTTGATCCTTCCAGAATGCTTGCTCAGTGAAAAAGCAATTCTCCAAGGCCTCAGCATTGTTGGTTGCCAGAGCAGCATTGAAGTTCTCCAAAACAGTAAGTGCATGCTGAGTGACTTCTAGGCCATCCTCGAAATCAATGTTCGTTGATCTCGGTGCAAGGACAGGCAAAGCATATTGCTTCATCAGTTTACGCAAGTCACCCTTTAGCGGTTGTTGGACGTGATGGCTTGCGTCAGCCTGAGGGGATTTATCGTGCTTGCCTGAAGTCCATCAGTTTTGTGTACCTGCGACTGTTTTTCTAGAATATACTAAAAGTCATAATCGAGCACAGTAATACGCCGGAAGCACGAGGGAAAGATGCAAGTTGCGAAGCACAAGGCCTGCGGAGGAAGACTCTACTTTGTATCCGCCCTGGAGTTGGGATTGTATGCAATCTGAATCATCTGCGAGAGATTACCTGACCATTGATTGCTGACCTAGTCGTGCCGCTGAACGCCGCAATATAGAACAGCAATGATTCTTACATTGAGGTTCACGAACGAAGTGCCTCCAGGCTTATGTACCTCGTTCTTCGAGTTCGCCGAGTCCTCCGAGCGGAATACATGGGGCTATCCTCATCTTTGGGCGATACAGCTGTAGAGTCTACACCGAGTCTCATAGTCGAATAGTGGGTCTATTCGACTGATCGATTGTGGAAGGGCTGGTATCCTTTTTTGCCAAGGACCCCACTTTTGAGGAGCTGCAGGTACTGCGAGTCTGAAACGGAAGGAGCATTGCAGATCTTCAATCTTCCCGACTTCCACTTCCTGTCTTCCTTATGAATGCGACTACTCTGAACTTGCATATGCTCATACAAGATGGCATGGAGCATTGTCATCATTGTGCGCTACAACGGAGATCGCACGTCGCTGCGGTCAGGAGTCTAGCCTATCAGACGAGAGAATTTGGGCACACCTCAGAGTCTCATCTTGACATATGCCGTTAGATCATCGTCTGCTATAAACATGGTGGACAAATGTAACGTGAGTTCGTGGTGTCATTCAACACTGACACCATCAAAAGACTATACAGTACTTCTCTCCTTTCTGTTCTTTCTCGAGCGGCAATCATCTGCAGCGCTTGCTGCATGATAGCAACTGGTTGTACCGGAGCAGGATGTTCATCATCCCTTGCAGTTCTCTTGGTTGTCCGCTACAAGTAGCTTCAAGACCCTTGATCTCGGACTGTGTTCCTTCGCCCTCGAACAGCGTGTCGTGCCTATCATCGACTGTCCCTCATCTAAACGCCACTACTCTCGCAGCTAAGGTAATAATAACTCACGCACCAGTCCCAGAATAGCATGCTGACACAGGTTCAACATGAGGGCTCCCAAGTCTGGTCCCGAAGACGCTGCGGGATTTATCCCCACAGCGACCATTCCAGAAGCGATTAAGCAACCTGTTCAGAGAATAGAGCAAATAAAAGAAGAGTTCATATCAGCTCTGATCAAACACGAGGTGGCCTTTGTCGGATACAAGTCAGCTCTTGCCAATCAGACAAAGAACAACGCCGAAGCTGTAAGTTACAATAACGCTCTTGCCGTGCGTCATCCCTTGCATGTCTGATTCCAGGACAGCACGAACTCTATCTCGAGTAACGAGAACCAGAATTCAAGCATTCCAATGAGCTGCTCCGCGAGATTGGTGAGATATTCAAAAAAGAGGGAGATGGCCCGCGTATGAAAGATTTATGTCTCAAACTCGACGAATCATCTGACCTTTGGATGGAGCTGAGCAGGAAGGAGATGGCTAGATCGGACCTGGAGAAAAGGAAGGTAGATACTAGCAGAATGAAGCTGAAGGCGGTGCTTGAGATGCCAGCTCTGAAGATAGGGAGACTCCATTGAAAATTTACAGATGGGTAGATGAGCGGTCGCAGCGGCCGAGGGCAGCAACGTGCTCGTTCAGTTCCCAATCTTTCGACGACTCAGGTCAATGCCGCAGTCAGGAGGTTGGCAAGGTTGGGCCTTGTTTCCAAGATGATCGGATATGCTTGCCTCACGTCATCAACTTCAGCGACGAGTTCTGCAGAGTCCCAAGAACGGGTTCTGCGGGAAACTCAATGATGGGAGTGTGTCAACGAGGAGGGGGTGACCAGGTTTCGGCCCTCACTCATCCGAGGTGCATCAGAGCCAAGAGTTGCTCGGGAGGAATCATTCCTATATAAAGCCCCAAACTGCCGTGACCGCTTCCCACCTCTCTCCCCGCACCTTCCTCCCACAACATTGCGCGCCGGGCTCGCCCTGTGTCTCCATCAGAGACCCACAACGACCTCATATCTCGACGTTGAGACCGACAACGAACGCCGACCGAACCTTGCATTTTGTTGGGCGGTCTACTTCGATATACTCAGCGCCTATGATACGACGATGGAACCCGAGACACCTACTCTATAAGCCCATGGACCTTGCGACAGGGTGTGCTTGATCGCCTGTACACAGCAAAAGAGCAGAGTCATCGCCGTAGAAACAGTAGAATGGGTACGAAGGCGCACTGAAGGTAGACACGACCGGCTGCTCCGCCCCGGGTTTGGTATCGGAAGCGACATACGACAACACAACACGCGTCAGGTTCGTTCAACACGCCCGAATGCACGTTGTCTTTCGAGTTCATTCAAGAGCGCCCCGTGGAGTAACTCCATAACTCCAGAATTGTCGCATTACGAATCCACAATTTGCCCTGGTCCGTGGGGTTGAGTCAGGAAATGCAAAAATTTTGGTTGGTCAAAGAGAGGACCCGCAGCTTTCGGAAGTGGGTGAGGAATTCAAAATGCAGATCATTAACCACCTCTGGTCAGAACAGACCATTGCACACCTCTGCACGGTGAACCGGCGCGTTTGACGTCGGATACAGTGAATGATGACGACCCGAGGGCAAGAAGCCCTAGAAGACATGTCAAAAGAACTTTCTCCCTCATCCTCATCTTTGCAATTTCCTCCTCCCAAAACTGCGAATATGGGTGTCCTTGCAAAAATCGAAGATAGACCTACGCCGCCATGCGTTTACAACTGGCGTGTCTATCTTTCGGCCATCGTGGCAGCTTTTTCTTCTTGCATGATTGGCTATACTACTTCGTTCATTGGCACCACGGTTGCTCTTGACTCGTTCCAAGAATACTATGGTCTTGACCAGTTGAGTGACTCGAAGGCCAGCTTCATCTCAGCCAATATCGTGTCTCTCTTCCAGGCCGGTGCATTCTTTGGCTCCATATTTGCTTATACAACGTCGTACTTCCTTGGCAGGAGAGCCAGTATCTGGATCTTTATCAGCATCTTCCTTGTTGGCGCTGGCATCACCTTGAGTCCAAGCCACAGTCTAGGTCCTCTGTATGCTGGACGTGTCATCTCTGGTTTCGGCGTTGGTGGCTGCACCATGGTGGTAAGTCATTTCTCTGTTTGATGTGTCATTTTCGAAGCTCTCGACGTTCTCACCCACTATTGCAACAATATCATCAACAATCACATCTATTCCTTACACTGTGATTAAGTCCAGTTAAAGTGCTACCAGTAACAAACCTAACTAATTGGCTTGCACAGNGTCCCAATTTTCCTCTCCGAAATTGCCCCTCCAGCCATTCGAGGTAGACTTGTCGGACTATACGAACTCGGTTGGCAGACTGGTGGCCTCGTTGGCTTCTGGATCATCTTTGGCGTTTCAGAGGGCTCGGCTCTGACTGGAAGAAATCAATTTTTAATTCCTTTCGCTGTGCAGCTCGTTCCGGCTGGTATGGTCTTGATCGGCAGCATCATGCTCAAAGAAACACCACGTTGGCTCTTCAGCAAAGGTCGCCGCGAGAAGGCCATCCAAAACCTCTGCTGGATCCGTAACCTCGAGCCTACCGATCAGTACATCATCGAAGAAATTGAGATGATGGAGGCTGCGAATGATGAGATACCGAAGGGCTTCTTCCAGCCAATCAAGCTTGCTCTGACTGACAACAAGATTCTGTGGCGTCTGTTTCTCGGTCACATGCTGTTTGTCCTGCAGAACTTCTCAGGCATCAATGCTATCGTAAGTCTGCTTCCTTGGTACCCGCTTTTGCCTAGCGCCCATCCACTAACACATTCGTCTCAGAACTACTACTCTCCGACCATCTTCAGAACCATGGGCATCAACAGCACATACACAGTCGACCTCATGACAGGCATCTTCGGTGTCCTAAAAACTGTGATGACTGTACTCTGGCTTACCGTCCTCGTCGACAAATGGGGCCGCCGCCAACTTCTCGTCTACGGCTCCATAGCCGGCGCCTCATGCATGTACATCATCGGCGCCCTGATCACCTCAAAAGTCAGCAACAGCAGCGGCACAACCACTTCAAACAACCTCTCCTCCCAAGGCATCGCCACAATCGTCATGGTATACCTCTGGACCACCTTCTACATTCCCTCCTGGAACGGCACACCCTGGGTCCTCAATGCCGAAATGTTCACCACCGCCTCCCGCAATGTTGGTCAAGTGTCTGCTTCCATGTCAAATTGGCTGTGGACGTTTATCATTGCCCGCTTTACCCCCGACATGATTTCTAGCATGGGGCCTGATGGCTGCGGCATGTACTTCTTCTTTGCGGGCATGTCGACATTGAGTTTGGGATTTGTGTGGTACTTGCTTCCAGAGACGAAGTCGGTGCCGTTGGATAAAATGGATAGATTGTTTGAGATTAGACCGGTGAGGAGGGCGCAGCCGCAGTTGATGCAAGAGTTGCAAGAGGAGAATTTGGAGATGAGTTTGCAGGCTGGGAAGAGGATGAGTGTCTCTAGTGAGCATCGGGCATAAGCATGGATTGTGTATAGATTAGAAATAGAGTATTCACACATAGATTATAGAATGATTGATCATGCGAAGGGTATTCTAGTAGAACAAGTGTGCGACGAATGTCAATCTTGCAGAACTTTCGGATCTGGAGCTGACAAACATTGGTCTTTTATGCTTGCGATACTGTACCAGTCTGTCTATCCCGCAACCCAACTGCATTAACGTTGGTGGAAGAAGTGCTGAATGCAGAAGTGGGAGATGGCATATTGTGCAGAGAAATGCCGTTCGCTACATCTTGTCCGCCATCAACTTCATGTTCCCTCTGTGCCCATGATCTCCTCTGCTTGATCCAAGGTCTCAGGTTATAGTATCCACCACAAGCAAAGATGCCTAGCCAGAGCACCAATTCAGTGCCATAGACGACTATGCCCAAGATATCCAGATGAGGTTGGAAAAACACCGAGATGAGAGAGGTCAAGTCTCCAAGGGCATCGATGAAGCAAAAGGTAAATGAAATGCCTCTGACGGTGCAATGGGTGTAGATGTCCCAATAGTGCGCACCCACACCACAAGCAAGAAATATCGCAGCAAGCACCGCCATAAGCGTTGCGGGCCACTGGAGTCCCCTTTCGTTTCCCTCTCTGATTGCAGATACTAATCCGAGCTCAATGCCCGCCATGCAGATTGCAATAGGTACCACAACGCAAAGACTGCGAAAGACAGACCACTTTTTCTCATAATAGTAGACTTGAATCCACGTACACAAAGACAGAAACGCAAGGATTTGGGGCTGGATCTGCAGGGCGAGATTGAAGGAAGAGGTTATATTGTAGACGCCCAGAGGCACGCCTGCCCATGCCCAGAACATCATCATTGAAGGCTGAAGACCGGTGGCATTGTGACGACGGTAGTTTATGACGATTTGGGGGATTAGCTGGACGGACCAACATANCCTTTTGTCACATGAGATTAACATGATTCGAGAGGACTAGATGAGATGAGAGGAACATACGGCTCCGAGGGTGCCGAGCACGTTGGCGGCGATGGGAACATCCATTGATTCATCAGAGTATCGTACTTGTCAAAATGGTGTCGATGCAACGAATTCCAGCTATATAGAAGCAGGCGGAATTGTTCACGAGGGGTCGTTGCAAGACAGGGATGTGATTGGCCGAGGGCAGCTGCCTTCTCCGCAAAGCGAAATGAGTCTAAAATTGACCCGTCGTCGAGACTCGAGCACGCACCCGCTACATTTGGTAACGCTGGCTTCTTTCTCCTTTTGCTATTCATCAACACAATGGCCGACCTCGCAACTCCGTCTGCCGCTGCCATGAGCACCTCCGATGCTGGCGCCCAGAAGCCCGCCTTCACCAAGCCTGAGAGACCCGACCAGGCCGACTACGAGAAGACGCTCGCCGAGGCACAAAAGGCCCTCGATGCTGCTGTCGAGAGACAGGCAAGTNNGATCCTTTTACGTATCCATGAGTCTCTGATGACTTCTAACACCTGGCTACAGAAGTCCATCAAGGCCAAGCTCGACTCGCGCCCCAACAACAAGNNGGAGTCCCCCGAGGCCAAGAGACAGCAAGAGCTGCGCGCACGGCTGAACGAGATCCGCGAGGCACAAAAGTCCGGCAAGTCGAGTCGCGCCCAGCAGCTCGGCCAGATCCAGCGTCTCGATGAGCAGCTCAAGTCGCGCATCACAGAGCAAAAGACTGCCCGTAGCCGTGTCGCTTTCCGCTCCGTCGATGACATCCAGAACGAGATCAACCGTCTGCAGGCCCAGGTCGAGACGGGCACCATGAAGATTGTCGACGAGAAGAAGAACCTCGCCGAGATCACCGCCTTGAACAAGCAGAAGAAGGGCTTCGCCGGCTTTGAGCAGGCCCAGAAGCAGATCGACGACATCAAGGCCCAGATCGCCGACATCAAGAAGTCCATGGACGACCCGGCAAGCAAGGCTCTCTCCGAGGAGTACACCAAGATCACCACTGAGCTCGACGAGATCAAGGCCAAGCAGGACGAGGTCTTCAAGAACCTGAACCAGCTCCGTGACGAGCGCACCCGCGCAAACGAGGCCCAGCAGGTCGCCTACACCAACCTGAAGGACATCAAGGACAAGTATTGGCAGGCCAAGCGTGCCTTTGCCGAGTACGAGAAGGANGGCGTACCGCGTGCGCAGAGAGCGCCAGCAGCAAGAGCGCGCTGCCTACGAGGCCGGCAAGCGCAAGCAGGTCGCCGAGGCCAAGCTCGAGGAGGCCAGCGCCCCGCCTATGGTGACGAGATCCAGACCGCCCAGTCCCTTATTCGCTACTTCGACCCTTCATCGCAAGAAGCCAAGGCCGCCGCTGGTCCCGGCAAGTTTGCTGCTCAAGCCAGCCGTACCGTTGAAGCCACCGGCATCAAGGGTACCGCTCTNCCCCGTAAGGGTGAGGCCGAAGAGGACTACATGACCGGCAATGGTGGCAAGAAGGGCAAGAAGAACCGCAAGAACCAGAATGCCTCGCCTGCTCCCGAAGCCCCTGCTGGAAAGTTCAACCTGTCTTTCGGTGTCATCGAGCAACTCGCCAAGATCGACGTCCAGCCGCCATCATCGCAAGCCGCCGTCGCCGGTGTCGTCGAGCAGATCAAGTCCAAGCTCGAGAGCTGGCANAAGGACCAGGTCCGCAAGACCCAGGAGGTGAGATTTTGACCATTTTCAAGACATAGATTTGAGCAAGTGCTAACACAACCCCCANNGAACATTGACAAGGCCAAGAAGGAGATCGAGCGTCTCGAAGCCGAGACCGACAACACTTCCGACGCTACCGCAAAGACCAACGGCAACTCTGCCGACAACGTCGCCGCCGACCTCGAGAAGACCAAGATTGAGGAGACTTCGTAGAACAGCGTGTCCATCATGCTTGTGTCTCTTTAACCAGTTGTTTCTCCAAAAGTTGTGCTTTCGAAAAGGATATGATTCGAAGAAGATTGAGCGAGAGAGACTCTGAAAAGCGAGGATACAAAAAGCGAAGTTGGATGGACTCTTTGGGTGGGTTCACAAAAATATGTTTTTCTTACACCCCTCCTTCTTATTACATTCACATCCCGTTGAGCGTTCAGGGATTTTTTTTGTGTTCGTTTGTTGCATTTCCACTCTTGCCGTTACCACCCTTGAGAGAATTGTCCTTGCATGGCGGAAAGTAGGCGTAGGATTGATTCGCATTAGGAGACCAACCCCTATATCTCAGAGATCTCGGGTCTTGTGCAACTCTCCGGTCGTTTGCTGCTCCATGCTACCAGCCGCTTTCTGTTTCGTCATGGTCAACTGGCAGTGAGTAGTCCCCATGTTTGTTGCTTTGCTCTTGGAGCATGCACATGACACAACAAACAATTTGTTCAATTCGATGTTTGTTGCCCGGAAGCTCGAAAAACTCATCGATGATGATGTTGTGTAGACAGAGCCTCGGTAGGTATACATGTAACAAGGTAGATTGTTCCTTACAGTACCCCGCATCCATTCTACTGATCGACCATCCTTCTCCGCACTCCAACGAAAGCCCACGGATCCGAGGGTGGACTATATCAAACGGGTCTTGCCAGATCTCGACTTGACAATCTACGTATACCCTTCTCTCGCAATCTTCGCACAACTATCCAAGACATCACGACAGGACACAAGAAGGAGAGCCGGTAATTCCAATCCACCCTGTCCAATATCACACTCATAGCGACTCGAGCAAAACGGCAAAACAGAGATATAAAGATTGACAGCAACAATGCCTTTCGAATCCCCTCACCCACCAATAGACATACCGTCCAAAGAATCCATCTGGTCATTCTTCTTCGACTCTGCTTACAGCCCTCTATCCGCCTCTACTGCTTCTACACCACTTGCCGGCTACACAGACGCCAGCACCGGCGCCTTTCTCTCTTACTCTGACGTCAAGGCCAAAGCAACTGCCCTCTCTACCGCTCTTGTCTGCAACCATGGCTTTACACCCGGCGACACGGTGATTTTGTTCTCGCAGAACTCGATTTGGTATCCGGTGGCCATGTTTGGTGTGCTTAGGGCTGGAGGTGTGGTCAGTGGGGCTAGTCCGGCTTATGGGGTTGAGGAGATGGAGTATGCGTTGAGGACATCTGGGGCCAAGTTCTTGATGACACACCCTGAGTCTCTCAGTGTTGCTGTAAAAGCTGCTGAAGCTGTGGGGTTGGGACGAGAGAAGGTGTTTCTGATTGAAGGGGAGAAGGAAGGGTTTTGTGGGTTGCAAGAGTTGATTGAGGAGGTAAAAGGGCAAGAAGAGGTAGAAGCTTGGAGGGGTGTTAGGGCCAAGGGCAATGGGAATGTGTGTGCGTTTTTGAGCTTTAGTTCGGGGACTACTGGGTTGCCCAAGGCTGTAAGTTTGTTCTGTTCTTTGCCGTGCTTTGGGAGAAGGATAAGAAACTGACATCAAAAACAGGTCATGATTTCTCACCAGAACGTTATCGCGCAGTGTTTGCAGATGCTGGTCATCACACCCAAAGATCTGGATCGCGTTCTCGCTGTTCTGCCTCTCTTCCACATTACCGGCCTCGTACACATCCTCCACTTACCCATTCTCCTCAACGCAAACGTCATCATGTTGCCCTCCTTCAGCATGCCAACAATGCTGTCCACAGTCGTCAAGTACAAGATCAAAGAACTGCTCTTGGTGCCACCACTCCTCATCCGTCTTGTCCGCGACCCCATCGTTGCCTCTTACGATCTCTCTCACGTTACAAGGTTTTCCTCCGGCGCTGCTCCGCTCTCACAAGAGATTTTGGATTTGCTGCAAAAGAAGTTTCCGAATACAGGGTTTAAGCAGGGGTATGGGATGACTGAATCCTGCAGTTGCATCACTGGCCATCCACCGTCCTTCTACAACTACAAATATGCGCATGCGGTGGGCCAAATCATGCCTTCTACCTCCGTAAAAATTATCGCTGAAGATGGGACTGAAGCTTCCTTTAACCAGCCTGGCGAGATCCTGGCTAAAGGCCCGCAGATCACCATGGGATACCTGAACAATGAAACCGCTACAAGAGATACTTATGACGACGAGGGATACCTGCATACCGGCGACCAAGGCTTCATCTCCCCCAAAGGCCTCCTCACCATCACCGACCGCATCAAAGAAATGATAAAAGTAAACGGACACGCCGTAGCGCCTGCAGAACTCGAAGACTTGCTGTTAGGCCATGTTGCCATTGAAGATGTAGCCGTGCTGGGTATCCCTCACCCTGTCTCCGGAGAAGCGCCAAAAGCTTTCATAGTCCTGAAACCTGACACCTCTGCAACAAACAGCAGACAAGCGATACAAAAAATGGGAAATGAGCTATTGGAATTTGTCAAGGGAAAAAAGATACGCTATAAATGGCTCGCGGAGATTGAGTTTGTGGAGGTGATCCCGAAATCACCGTCGGGAAAGATATTGAGAAGGGTGTTGAAAGACAGGGCAAAGAAGGGAGAAATTGGGATTGTGGTCAAAGAAGCGACAAAGGCAAAGTTGTAAAAAGAGAGGGCATGTGTCTTGCACTCCTTTTGGTATCTTTGCAGCCGGAGCGCAGATAGCAAAGAAGAAAAAGCAAGAAAGAAAAGACTTTGATTGTTGCAGGATTTGCTTGAGATGAGCATGTTGTTTGGAAAATCGGAGAGACAGACATCCAAGTGCTCGCTCATCGCCAGAACAGAGGTACTTCTGCAGGAATGGGAAAGAGGGGAAAAAGGTTTAGTAAACCGGCAGATTGTTGTGCTATATGTACATAATTTCCTGACTTTTCCTTTTTGCTTGCATCTTCAACGGGAGGTAGCAGAGATAAAGGAAACTGGTCACATCATCACCGTCGTCATTCATCGTGACACCCTCTTGCTGCTCTCTTGCTAGCTGGACATAGCAACCTGCCGTTGCAGATGCTTGCATGCCTGGCGCAGCCTTTCTCACACCACCACTCCCACCACCATCACTTTAAACAAGACCCTGCAAAACAGGGTTGTTCTTGCCCAGGAAGGTGTGCTGAGCTTCTTCACCTTGGATGTCAGTGGCAATGCCAGTGGCAGTGTTCTCAATAGTATTGGTAGTAGGACCGGTGTGGATAGCATCGCGGGTATCATCGTGGGTAGCATCGTGAGAGACACGGTCAACATCACCTCCAGAGCTGCTTGCAACAGTAGACTCACGTCCAGTGCTCATGGGAGCCTGACCAGTACTGTAGTCAGACGAGTCTTGGTAGGGCTCAGTAATGTTGGCAGTCTTCTGATCGTGGCCAGAGGCAAGAGTGTTGCCGCCATGAACGGGAACCACTTCGGGCTTCGCAATGTGCTTTTCATAGTCCTCTTTCTTCAGCCCCAGCAATTTGCCAGCAACGGGGAACCACTCATCCTCCCATCTCCTTCCACACTCTTCCAGAGCACCTTTACGAATCGCTGCCAGCGTTCTCGCTCCCTTTTNGCCGAACAATTCTTCAAGCAAAGTCTCCAAGCCATCAGCCGAAGAAAAGCCAAAGCCGTTAACACCTTCACGGACGAGTTCTTTCCAGGCTTCGAAGCGCGACCAGCCGACTACAGGCAGTCCGGTGCCGAACATATCCACAACCTTCATTGGGAGATCTACACCTGATGATGAAGTATGCAGAGAAACGCCAAGATCTGCAGAAGCCAGCAAAGAAGCATAATCCTCATTACTCAACCATGCGGTCGCGATCTTGACGTTAGCAAGCTTCTTTTCCTTGGTGAGGGTGGAGATCTTGGAGAGGTAGTATTCTTTCAAGGGGCCTTTTCCTGTGATTATGGCAAGAATCTTGGGGTAGGCGTGGTGGGTAGCCATTGACACGGTTGCCGAGTAAGCAACCAGAGCATCCAGGAGTATTGAAAAGTCTTCATCGGCTGTCCACGAGGTGGAAGAGACCAAGAGCTTGTAGCTGCCATGGTCGAGGTGTTTGGCATAGTGTGCGGTCTCTGAGCATCTGTGCAGGAACTCGGAGCGTTGGGTCTGATTCAAGGGCTGGAATTGATCGGCTGGTCGGTCGTGGAGAGGTACCGCTTCTACGCCAAATCGCTGCTTGAGTACTCTGGCCATGGCATTGGTCACACTGAAGTGAGCATCTGCCGCACGTGCGACGTAGCGCTCGTACATCTCGGAGATCCTGACCAGAGGATGCCTGTCTCCAAGTTTGAGAGCCAGGATAGTGTATCCAAAGTTATGCCAGTCAATGATCAGACGTGTGTGGCGGATGAAGCACATGGCCTGTGCGATTGCCAGAGTAGGGATTGAAGGTGGGTTCTGGACCAACATCCATTTTGTGGCTTTTGTGCGGTAGCCACATGCATACCATACAGTAGCAATTTGCCAGAGAACCTTCAAAGGTGCGATGATGGGGAACAGCATTTTATTAGCATTGCGGAGAGCCTCAGGTGGAGGCGCAAGAGGAATAACGGTGACGAAAGGGTTATTTCTGATTTCAGGCAGAAGCTCTGATTCCAGATAGCCGATCAGACTGACACGACCTCGGTATGCAGCTATGCTGGCGACGTGGTATTGCATGCGAGGGCTTCTTCCAATATCGCCCAGAACCAGAACAGTGACTGAAGCATCATCAGGTGCTCCAGATTTTGTTTTCTTGTCGTCTTCTTCCTCAAAGGCGTTCTTCTGTTGAGGGTCATAACGATCGGGCAGGGTGAGGATAAAAGCAGTGACGGCAGTTGATAATATGACAGCAGTAGGAAGGAAGACACTCCAGAGAAGAGTCCAGATTGTAGATAGCCAGGAGCGACCTGGATGCCNCCCACCTTCAATCAATGGCAGATCCTCCATGTTGGGCACCTTTGAGAGTGGAAGGAGCAAAGTCACGACTCGCTCCAAGGTAAGCACGACCAACTTGTCGACGTCACTTCTGCGATAGAGAGCTGGCAGAAGGTGGCTGTGTTTCAGGTGGGTTCCCGCCAAGGACGGTGAGCGGCGGGCGGAGTGCTTGATGATCTGGAGGCGGAACGGCGGCATGATGGGCGGAAACCCTGATTCAGATCAGAGTTTAGACCAGCCCCTGAGCCCGACATTTATGAATGAATGACAAGTGACAACGTCCATGACATGCGAATCGATAAGCGACAAGAGCCGTCAGAGAGTGACAGAACATCTGCTTTATTTGTGTAGTTGCTTGCTCGACATCACATTCTAGTATCCATCATACACACAGAAGCTTGGAGTGTTTATCGCATGTGGACATGACGGTACAATAGCTTCCAAAAGATCGATCCACGTCAGCCACTCAGACAACAGCCAGCATGGCGAACGGTCGGCCGCTCTCGATGAACAATGGGCCATCATGGGCCCTGAACGACAGTCCGTTTGACGACGAGCAGACGACGGCGGTGCAAGCATTCGACAGCGGGCTCGATTTCGAAGAGACGGATCAGTTCAACCCCAATGGCCTGGGTCATGGCGGTCACACTCGCACATACTCGTTCGCTGGACCAAAGTCGCCGATACGCACACCCGTGAAGCCTTCGTTCAAGGGCCACCTCCGCCAGGGCTCTGGCTACGCGCTCTCGCCAGTCTCGGCCGCCTTTCCTGGACACATTCTCGAGCACACGCCTGAATCCACACAGCCCCGCGGCCACAGCCATAGCCAGAGTACGCATAGCACCCACAGCACGTATAGCGCACACAGCGCACATGGCCATTCTCACACCATATCCCACGACCACAGCCACGACCATTCGCACGGCCACTCGCATGGCCATTCACACAACCACTCGAACGGCCATGCGCATGGCCACAGTCATGACCACGCACCGCTCGATGCAATGGTCTCTCAAGGGAAAGGCCCATCCTTGTCCCTAGCCGAAGTCTTGACTGGCATCCTCATACCGCTACCGTACCTCCTCGCATCCGCCGCGTACTCGACCCCCAGCACCAATTTCCCTCCGCTCTCTGCCTATGCGCGCCTGCAGCAGTCCGTACCAGACGGCAAGAACATTGAAGACTACCACAATGCACACCACGCATCGAGTCTGCTACAAGCATGTACTTTGACGTCTGGCACGCTGCTCCTCATTGCCATACTCGCAAACATTCGTGCCTCAGAGAGAGGTCTGGACAAGCGAAAAAGCTCAAATGTCGGCCTAAACCCTCCTGGGCCATTGACAGCAGAGTCAGTACTCACCATGGTCACGAGCACGTTGAGAGTTGGTCTGCCATACTATGCTGCTATACAGATTGGCGGTCTGCGAGTTGGCCTGGTGCTGTTGGTTGCACTTGCCTCGGGGATATCCTGCTTTGAGAGGCATTCCAAGTCCTTCTTTGCATCTTTCTCCGCTCGGCCCCTGACTCTGGCTACAATTGGACTTTGTCTTTTGGCTGACGCTTTTGGATTGACCGTCTATGCTGATATGTACCATCTCGCGACTGGTTATACAGCTCTACTCATGTCTGTCTTCTTACTACACCCGCCTCTGCCAGCAAACGGCTCCTCCACTTCTCCACTCATCGCTACTCCTTCCGACACTACCACTACCCTTTATGCAGGCGCTATCCTCTCCATTCTCACCATCGGCGCATCCATCGTCTTCTCCATCGCCCCATCCGTCACGCCTCTGTCCATCACCTTTTCTACTCTTTCCATGGCCATTGCTGCAGGTCTGGTCCTGTTTGCCCGTCCAGCACATCTCCGGACCCACAAGAAACTTGGGTTGGCTTTGGGTTGTCTTCTGACTGCCGCTGTCTCTTTCCTCTTCTCTCCCAACACCTGGCCTGGCACTTTTTGTAATGGCGCCATCGCCGCTCTATCCTATGTCGGCGTCCTTTACGACACTTCGCACTCCCACACACATTCCCACGATCATTCTCATGCCCACGACACTAGCCACGCCCACGCTCATGCTTCTGCGCATACACACTGCAACCATCATCATGGTCATCAACACCACACTCATGCTCAAACATCCATCTTCACCTCATTTCTCCTCGCCCGCTGCCGACCGGGCTCTCTCTTCCATAGCATCCTTTGCGAACGAGACTCTCGCCGGATTGCCTATTTCACCTGCCTCAACTTTGGGTTCATGCTTGTCCAGGCCTTTTATGGATGGGTCAGTGGCTCGCTCGGCCTCTTGAGTGACACGGTCCATATGTTCTTCGACTGTCTCGCTTTGGTCATTGGTCTTGGCGCCGCCGTCGCCAGCAAGTGGCCCACCAGTCCGGAGATGCCTTTTGGCTGGGGCAAATTGAACGTTCTCGCCGGCTTTGGAAACGGCATCTTCCTCATGCTGGTCAGTGTGGAATTCATCTGGGAAGCTGTCGAGGGCATCATGGAGGGCACTGAGTTACGCCATGTAGAGGAGTTGCTGGTGGTCAGCACCCTCGGCTTTTTGGTTAACATGGTGGGATTGTTTGCTTTTGGACATGCTCACCATGGCCACGATCATGAACACGATCATTCGCATGGCCATGGCAATGAGAACATGCATGGCATCTACCTGCACGTTGCTGCCGATGCCGGTGGCTCGCTTGCCGTGATCCTCAGCACCATACTCACGCTCTGGAAGCCTTGGTACTTGTGGGACCCTTTGGCCACCATCGTCATCGCCATTCTCATTTTCCTTGCTGCGGTGCCGTTGGTGCGCGACTCTGGGCAGAAACTGCTGCTGGTCATTCCTGATGATCTGGAGTATGGGCTCAAGACTGCATTGCAGGAACTCAGTGGCCTTAGAGGGGTGACCGGGTATGCGGTGCCGAGGTTCTGGGTCGAGGACGATGCGGGTGAGGGACATGATCATGACNNCACGACCACGATCACAGCCATGCACACGACCATGAACACCATCATCACGGGCACGATCACCATGGTCACGACCATCACGAGCACGAACACGAAAAGAAGAAAAAAGATCATAGGTGTCATACACGTATTCGCTGCTCGCGCGGCAGACACAGAAGACGTGAGGCAAAGAGTAGAGCAATACTTTGTGCAACTGAACATGCATGTCGTAGTTCAGGTAGAAAGAGAAGGAGAAGGACGATGTTGGTGTGGTGGTGGCGTCAAAACTGGATAGACTACTTTCAATCGTGGTTTTGGCATAGCATAGGTAACATTAGCATAGCGAAAGTACACTCTGGACATCTGCGAAGTATTTCTTTTTGATCAAAATTGGTTGTTGGGCGAGGGGAGATCGTGCGTGGTTCATTGGTCTGACATCCAGTTTCGAGCAAGACGTCCTGGCCCAATCGGCAAGTGATAAGTCACACTTTACACCGCACATTGCTACATTTTGTTACTCTACAAATTATTAGATACATAGCAATGTACACAGTTCATCATGTTTCTCTCGATGCAGAACACCGAGAAGCCCTGTAGCTTCCCATATAATACTCGAGTAGTTGGAATATTCATAGAGAACTGAGCGACCCTGTCAACGAGCTTCCCCACAATCTCCAACCTTCAAAAGTCACGGCGCCACAGACCTTCGTCACTGCTCGCAACACATCAATCGCAAAACCTCATATCTACCACGATTACCCTCATTGCATCTGTCTCGGCTCTAGATCACTACTATCAACTTCTCACACCAAAACACACCTCACAACAACCATGGCCGACCGCAAAGGCGCCTACGGCGGCGCACCCGCCAGCGACACCTCCTTCCGCAAAACCTGGGACCGCGAAGAGTACGCACAGAAGGCCGCCGATCGAGAGCAACGCATCAAAGACGAAGGAAAAGCAAAATACGAAGCGGCCGCCGCAGGAAAAAANTACCACCGTCGAGCATCCACACCACCAGATGCTCGCGACACTGAAGCACGGCGCTCACGTCTCGATGTATCAGCCCAGATAGGAAAAACCATGCTTGTGCCCGCAGGCTCTGCTGTTGGCAAACGCGGTAAAGGCGCTGGGTTTTATTGCGATGCGTGCGACTTGACATTCAAAGACAATTTACAGTTTGTGGAGCATTTGAATTCAAAGCAGCATCTATATGCCACTGGCCAGAGTGGAGAAGTCAAGAGGGCAAGTCTGGAAGATGTAGTGGAAAGATTGGAATGGTTAAAGAGGAAACGGGAAGAGGAGACTGTGAAAGAGACTGTGGATTTGGGGACGAGGTTGGAGGTTGCGAGGGAGNNGAAGAGGAGAAGATTAGGGAAGAGAAGAGGAGGAGGAGGAATGAGAAGAGGAGGAAGAACAAGGGTGGGGATGGAGGGGGGGGAGGTCAAGGTTGAGGTGGAGAATGATGGGGTCATCTGTTGAGAGAGAGGATATGGCAAGGCAGCCTGAAACACATATGATGGCTTGAAGTGGACTGCTGTCTAGCTTTGACATCCGATTCGAAGAAAAAGAGATGCGCCATGTTTACTCCAATGACCATGTCCTTTTTCTCTCGGCTCGACCCAACCCGCATCTTGGACGCTGTACTTGGATCCTTCTAATCTATATTCACGCACCACTCCGTTCACGGCGCTCCTCGACTTCCGAGCAGTGAGATCGATCAAGCTGGGTACAGTCCTTAGATGGAGTCACACTGGTGCAGTCCAGACACGTAGTCCCTCGCAAGATGAGCAAGCTATCTGATAAAGCCTCGATAGTGAAGGACAAGTGAGATGACTCAAGGGCAGAGGGAGAGCGAGAGCATATGGTCGCGAGGAGGCATCGCTCAAGCAATCCGAGCCATGAGGGTTGGCCTACGAGTAGGAGGCGGAGAGGCTCATGTATTCACCGAGGACATCTCACATTCTTTGTTCTCTGCCTAAATGTATCTATTGTCCTCGATGATGAAGACGCGACTTTTCGTGTAATGGACGTGAAAACGATGCCAAGGCCATGGATTTGCAGGGTCGCATGTTTTGTTTACTACGCGCCAAAACAGCTTCGACTTGCACATGCGATTCCTGTCGTCGCCCCTTCGAGTCCTTTCCTTTCTTTTCAAATAACGACTCATACGCCCAGCGACTTGTAACAACCCAGAGTGAAGACTGGATGCTCTAGATGACTGTTGACTGATTACTGTAATTCACCTGCAACATGGACGACTCAATGGCAGAGTCCGACTTTGCCATGGACGCCAGCAGTGATTTTGAGCTGCCCAAGAAGGCTGCTGCTGTAACTATTGTCTCTCATGTTTTTATTCACCATCACTTCTGACAATAATCACAGAAGAAGGCTCCTGCAAAGAAGGCTGCTGCTGCGCCCAAGCCAAAAGCTGCTCCCAAGAAGCAAACCACCCTCAAGACGACCAAGACGACAAAAGCAACCACAAAGAAGCCGCCGACACCGATAAGTGACGACGAGAACTCCGACGCCGACATTCACTTCGACAACGACGGCGACGACAGCCTGCTCGCCGACACTCCTCCCAAGAAGGCCGCACCCAAGAAAGCACCAGCGAAGAAGGCAGCAAAGCCACTACAAGAAATCGACAACGAGAGTTTCGCAGCCGAAGGCGCAGACATGGACGCCGAAGACGACAAGATGGTCCAGCCCAAGCCCAAGAAGGGCAGCGCCACCTCACAATACCAGAAGCTCACCCAGCTCGAGCACATCATCAAGCGCCCCGACACATACATCGGTTCTGTCGAACGCCTCGAGAAACAGATGTGGGTCTACAATTCCGAGAACGAAGCCATCGAGAGCCGCGAGATCAGCTACGTACCCGGTCTGTACAAGATTTTCGACGAGATCCTGGTCAACGCCGCCGACAACAAGCAGCGCGACAAGAGCATGAACGAGATCAAGGTCTGGATCGATCGCGAAAAGGGCGAAATCTCGGTGCGCAACAACGGCCGCGGTATTCCTGTTGAGATGCACGAGAAGGAGGGCATCTACATTCCCGAGATGATCTTTGGTCACCTTCTAACATCCTCCAACTACGACGACGACGAGCAAAAGGTCACTGGTGGAAGAAACGGTTACGGTGCAAAGCTGTGTAACGTTTTCAGCACGAAATTCATCCTCGAGACGGTCGATTCAAAACAAGGNAAAAAGTACTCTCAAACATGGCACGACAACATGACGAGGAAGGACAAGGCCAAGATTACCGCGGCCAAGAGCGACGACTATACCAGAATCACCTTCTACCCTGACTTTTCGAAATTCAACATGGACAAGATGGACGACGATTTCGAAGCCCTGGCTAAACGTCGTGTTTACGACATGGCTGGTACCTGTCCTGGTGTCAAAGTCTTCCTTAACGATACCCGCATCAAGATTACCAAGTTCAAGCAGTACATGGAAATGTACACCAAGGCCATCAAGACCGAAAGCTTGATCAACGAAGGAGTCAACAACCAGGTCATTCTAACTGACAACCCCAACGAGCGATGGGAGGTCGGTTTTGCTGTTTCTGATGGCTCTTTTCAGCAAGTTTCCTTTGTCAACTCGATCGCCACTACTTCAGGAGGTACCCACGTCAACTATGTCGCCGATCAGATTATCAACAAGCTGCTGGAAATCGTCAAGAAAAAGAACAAGGGTGGTGTAGCGCTCAAGCCTGCTCAGATCCGTAACCACATCTTCCTTTTCGTCAACTGCTTGATTGTCAACCCAGCATTCAACTCGCAAACCAAGGAACAGCTCACAACAAAGGCCTCCCAGTTTGGTAGCAAATGTGTACTCGGCGACAAGTTCCTCAAGGATATCGCCAAGACAGAGGCCGTCAACAACATCATGCACTTTGCTCAGCAAAAGGCCGACCAGGTCTTGAAGAAGTCGGATGGCAACCGCCGTACGCGCATGAGCAATACCAAACTCACAGACGCCAACAAGGCTGGTACCAAGGACGGTTACAAGTGTACTCTGATCTTGACAGAAGGTGACTCGGCCGCTATGCTTGCGCTTGCAGGTCGAGCTGTCGTCAACCAAGATCTGTTCGGTGTCTTCCCTCTGCGTGGTAAGATGTTGAACGTTCGTGATGCATCCATCGACCAGATCTCCAAGAACGCCGAAATCCAAAACATCAAGCAGTTTATGGGACTGCAGCATAAGAAGGAGTACACTGACACGAAGAGTCTTCGCTATGGTCATTTGATGATCATGACCGATCAGGATCACGATGGCAGTCATATCAAGGGTCTTTTGATCAACTTCCTCCAAGTCCAGTTCCCCAGCTTGCTCAAGATTCCTGGCTTCCTCTTGGAATTCATCACACCTATCGTCAAGGTCTGGAAGGGCGATCCGAAGTTCCCCAGAGCAAAGAAGGACTTCTTCACAATGCCCGAGTATGAGGCATGGAGACAAGAGCCTGGTCATGACAAGGGTTGGGACCACAAGTACTACAAGGGTTTGGGTACTTCGGATACCAGAGATGCCGAGATCTACTTTAGTGATCTAGACAAGCATCTCAAGGAGTTTCACACCATGCAAGAGCACGAGAAGCAGTTGATCGACCTCGCTTTCAGCAAGAAAAAGGCCGACGACCGCAAGATGTGGCTCCAGAACTTCGTGCCCGGAACTTATCTCGACATGTCTGGCAAGGAGAAGATCAGCTACGACGATTTCATCAACAAGGAGCTCATTCTCTTCAGTATGGCTGACAACTTCCGTTCCATCCCTTCTCTAGTCGATGGTTTCAAGCCTGGTCAGCGCAAGATCTTGTACACAGCTCTCAGGAGAAACCTGAAGAAGGATGTCAAAGTTGTTGAACTTGCTGGTTCAGTCTCAGGTCTGACCGCATACTCTTACGGCGAAACTTCCCTGCAACAGACCATCATTGGTCTCGCTCAGACTTTTGTGGGCTCCAACAATATCAACGTGCTCGAGCCTAGTGGTAACTTTGGTAGTCGTCTCCAAGGTGGTAGCGACGCAGCCAGCGCTCGTTACATCTACACTCGTCTGTCTCCTTTCGCTCGTCGCATCTTCAATGCCCACGATGAGCCCCTTCTCACATACAACACCGATGATGGCAAGACAATCGAGCCAGAGACATACATCCCCGTTGTTCCCATGGTGTTGATCAACGGTGCTGACGGTATCGGTACTGGTTGGTCAACTTCCATCCCCAACTACAACCCTGCAGACGTCATTGAGAATATTAGACTCAGAATGGCTGGTAGCTCAAAGGCAGACATGAAGCCCATGCAGCCTTGGTTCCGTGGCTGGAAGGGTGAGGTTGAGGATATTGGCAACGGTCGATTCAAATTCACTGGTATCATTGAGCACAAGGATGACAACACTGTTGAAGTCACAGAATTACCTGTTCGCTTCTGGACTCAGGACTTCAAGGCCCACCTTGAGGAAATCATCAAGGCTGAGAAGACACCCTCGTTCATCAAGGACTACAGCGAGTACAACACACCTGAAAAGGTTCACTTCATCATTACTCTTGACGACAAGGGCATGAAGGTTGCACTTGACAAAGGCTTGGAAGACCAGTTCAAACTCAGCAGAACCATGGCAACCACAAACTTGGTCGCTTTCGATGGTCAAGGCCGCATTCACAAGTACGAGACTCCTCTTGACATCATGGAAGAGTTCTATCACATCCGTCTTGCATTCTACGAGAAGAGAAAGCAATACCTTCTCAACGAGATGCAGAAGGAACTTGACAAGCTGAGCAACCAGTCTCGTTTCGTCCAAATGATCATCGATGGCAAGCTTACTGTCTCGAAGAAGAAGAAGTCCGTCCTTGTTGCCGAGCTCCACAAGCTCAACTTCAAGCCCATCCCCAAGCTGTCAGATGCCAAGAAGCAGGGCGAGTTTGAAGAAGTTGTTGAAGAAGAGGACGATGCCGAGGACCCTGCACCTGGTGCCAACGACTTCGACTACCTTCTGGGCATGGCCATCTGGTCTTTGACACAAGAGAGAGTTGAGAAGCTCCTCAGGCAGATCGGCGACAAGGAGGCCGAGGTTGACGCTCTTATCAAGCTCTCACCCAAGGACCTCTGGACCAAGGACTTGGACGAGCTTCTCGAGGAATGGCATACTCAGTTGGAAGTTGAGGAGACACGTGCGAAGAAATCGAAGGGCAAGGGCCGTCGCACTTCTCACAAGCTCGGTCTGTTGGGCAACAGCAAGAAGCGCAAGTCGGACGATAGCGACGACGACGACGATGATGACTTCGTTGTTTCTAAGAAACCGAAAACCGCCGCCAGATCGACCGCCGCTTCGAAGACTGCTCCAGCGGCAAGGTCCAAGGTTTCGAAGGGTGCGACGGGGCTGCTTGACAATTTCCTTGTCAAGCCCGCTGCCAGCAAACCAACTGGTGTGTTCCCTGTTGTTGATGGAATCGAGCAGCAGCCTGTTGAAGCGCCCCCGGCAGTCAAGGCAGGTTTGATCGCGCCTTCAGACATTACCAAGCCACTCGTGAAGAGAAAGCCGACCAAGCTTGAGGACTCTGACGATGATATCGAGATGGTCACCAAGCCGGTTGCCAAAGCACCGGTCAGGAGGGTTAAGACTTCTCTCGATACTGACGACGAGGAAGAGGTTGCCAAACCAGCTGTCAAGGCTTCGGCAAAGCCAGCTGCTAAGCCTGCGCTCAAGAAGAAGCCCGTCATGGAGTCTGATTCGGGAGATGAAGATGTCGAGATGTTTGACGCTGCAAAGATGAAGCCCGTTGCTCAACCCGCCACTACATCTCGTACCGGACGTGCCGCGACAAGAAAGCCAGTCAAGTACGCTGCAGACTCTGACGAAGATATGTCTGATGACGACCTCGGCGACATCAGCAAGATGGTCAAGGAGCTCCCCAGCGCCGCTCCAGGCCGCTCTCTCCTCAGCAACTCGACCCACCGCACCGGCGCAAGCCACGGCATCAAATCCTCGCAAGGCAGNAAAGAGAGCGTCGAGCCCGTCGACGACACAGACTGGGCTGAGCTCGCCAAAGGCACACCCGCCAAACCCATTGCCGCTCAAGCCACCACAGTCGCAGCCTTTTCCGACGACGAAGACGCAAACATGGATGACGACAGTATTCTTCTATCTACCCGCAAACCGCAACCGCTAAAGACAATCTCCAAGACTGCTGCAACAAAATCTACTGCGTCTCCTGCCGCAAAGGCGAAGAAACCAGCAGTCGCACCAGTCAAGACGCTATCGCCAGCCGCAAAGGCATACGCAGCCAAGCAATCCAAAGCCGCCGCTGTTGCCAAGGCACCTGCATCACGCAAGAAGACAGCACTAGACAGCGAAGACGAAGACGAGGATCTCGCTAATGATATCTTGAGCGATGATGATGAGGATATGGCATCACCCGCTGTTGCTCCTGCTTCGAGGCCTTCGAGAAGAGCTGCTGCTGCTAAGCCTAAGGCTAAGTACATCGTTGACGATGAAGATGAGGATGAGAGCGAGGAAGATTTCGTGGAGGAAGATGAGGAGGAAGAGACGTTTGAGGAGGATAGCGAGTAAGGCTGCCATGTTTCGCTGTGGCTGAGAATTGGTGGACATCATGCTTTTTCGCGGGTTTTCCGTCTCGAAGGACGTGAACTGCTCTTTGCGGAATTTCGTATTACTCTTTTTTTTTTCTTTTTCTTTCGCTTCTTTTCTGCGGGTTTACATGCATGGGGGTTTTCAAGGTCGAAGGAGTTGCGGAGGATTGTACAAGACTTTTCCCCTTTTGCTCTTTTTCTTCTCTAGCTCAATGAAAAGGGGTTTTCGAATGCCCTTGTTTTGCTTCTTGATCTATTCTGAGGCTGTTGTGACTTTACTCCCTCCTCCTTGTGCTCGTATATGCTTTTGACTCTTTGACATGTATTTTTTCGAACCTTTGCGTCTGTTGTTTTTTCCCTCTCTCTTCTGGCATATGCAAGTCTTCATCACTCTGTTTATGGCATGAATTTTCTTGTCTTCGATTACGAACATTTCTTCTAGAATGAAAAATTTGTGATGCGCACGCATCTTTAGGCTTTGTTCTTTGATTGTTACCGTTTCTTGACTTGAGTTACTTTCTTTACATTTGTCGTCCTCGACTGAGTTGGCTGTTTGCACAATGCGCTTGCTCACTTTGCCCATTCCTAGTCGGGGCAAATGTGGGCGTAAAGGGTGTGTTACTGCGAGAAATCTCTGAGTTGTAGCAAGGAAAAAATCAAAGATTGTGCGTGGTGGAATGCAGAGGCGTTGTTATCCATGTTACATGGGCTTGGCCAACTTGATCATAGCACTCTCAAAGTGTGTCAATTACTTTTGCAGCTGTCTTTTGGATTGACAGTGACGGGTGACGACTAATATCTGTCATATCCACCTCTGCCGCGACCACCGCCGCCTCTTCCTCCGCGGCCACGATATCCGCCTCCATTGTTATCTCTGCCACCGTTATAACCACCTCCATATCCTCCTCCGTTATTATAACTACCGCCATTGTTATTGTAACCTCCACCATATCCACCTTGATGTTGAGAAGGCGGGGCAGCCATCCCAGGCATCCAGCCAGGAGGCGGAGGCGGCGGCGGAAGCCCACCACCCCCGTTTCTGCCAAAGTGTGCAGCAGCCTGTGCGGCGAGTCCCGGAGGTAGGTTTTGGAAACCGCCGGGAGGGGAGGTGCACCGTACCCGTTACCGCCACCGCCGCGACCATAACCATCGTTGTTGCGAGGGTAGTTGCCGTTTCCACCGCCTCCTCTGCCACCTCTGTAGCCACCGCCGTTGCCGCCGTACCCAGTGTTGTTGTAGCCATTGCCGCCGCCAGCGTTATAGTCGATGCGGCCACGACCTCCTTGATCGTAGAGCGGCGCGCCGCCGAATTGTCTGCCTGACTTTTGCGACTTTTGCCTCGTTGACTCAATGTCGCTGTAATCGAGGACGGGGTTGGGAGGTATTAAGCCGGGCAACAACATGCTCTTGTGGACTGTGTTGGTGGGAGGCATAACGTAGTGGACAGTGATACTCTGATCATCGTCAACATCCTGGAATGGTGTGGCGCCAGGAAGCGGGAAAGAGAGCGAGGATGAGGGAAGGTAGTCTTCGTTCTTCTCGACCTTCCCAGCCAGGCCCTCGGAAACTTGAGGGTTCAGGCTGAAGTTCCCGGCACTGGCCTTCTTGGAGTAAAAGTTCGTAGCCACGTCCTCGTACAAAGGGTGCTTTGTGCTGAAAAGCAATGCATCGTGACCGAAGGCGTTGCGCGACTTCTCGTCTTCAGTGAGCAAGGGATATTTCGTGGCCATGGCATCAAGCAAGCGCTTTGCATCGATAAAAGGCAACAGAGCAATACCCTGCCAAGCAAACTTCTTGCCGTTGAGATCTACCACAAAGTCTTCGGGGTAAAAGTCTTTGATATCGGAGTCTTCGTCAGTCATGAGAGGGTGGAATACGGCGGGCAGAACGTGGTTACTGCGAGCTGGCATGACACCCATGAGTTGTTCGTAAGGTCTGAAAGGCTTGCCCTTCTTGAAGTCGAGGTCCATCTTTTCGAGATCCACAAAATCAGCGGCAAAAGGAGCGTAGTGGTGAGGGTAATACCAGGTCCAACTGGCGCATCCCTGGAAGTAGTAGAGCAAGACCCAAGCAAGACCCTCGACGTAATCACGGCCAACCTGATGACGGAAGTCGATGTCGCCAGCTGGGACGTGGAACTTCTGCTCGTAGTAACGGTCTGCGTAACCGGGTTCCCAGAGCATGACAGTGTCCTCGGCAGGAGCATCAGGATCCTTGGCAGGGCCTTTCTGAGCTGGGTCAGGAGAGTTACGGCCTGGAGTACCAGCATCGTTGTCGTCATCTTCGACCTTGCGCTTGCCGAGAACTGAAGCGGGGGATGTCTCTGTTGAAGCACCGACACCGCTCATCAATTGGTCAACAGCATCCTTCTGAGATTCAGCGGGTGCTCCATTCTTCTGAGCCAACAACTTCTCTTTCAAGACGGCTGCAGCACTCTTGTTGGCGACGTTTGCCTTGTTGACAACCATGTCGTGGGTCATGTAGCGAGGATCCGAACCAGTCTGAGCAGAACCAGGGGCAAATGTAGGCAAAGCGTTGATGTCGGGGACCATTTCGCCACGCTTGCGACTGCCCATGAACTGACCTTGAGGAGTCGAAGGAGCAGCATCTCCCATATCAGGACCGCCAGATCTGCGAGCGCGCTTGTTTGCCTGTTGAGCTCTACGTTTGGCGGCAGCATCCTTGCGCTCCTCGACTTCCTTCCTACGCTTGAAGATGGCATCTTCTTGCTTGGCGAGACCCTCGAGAATAAGCTGGGCGCGAGCGAGGTCGACATGACCGTCCTTAGTGACATAACCTCCCATTGTAGGAATGTTGTCTTTCCAGATGGCGATCAGCGTGTCGATACCCTGTTCGCGAATGTCCAGAGAGGGCAGATGGGGCAGGAAATCGTTTCCGACGAAGAAACACATAAAGACCCAGTCGTCCAGGGCACGTTCCAGATCAAATTTAAAGGGCTGGTTGGGGACGCTCATCTCGACAGCCAGATACTCGCGCAAGACGGCAACGTGCAGCCAGATGAAAGGCTTCAAAGGAGCACCGCCCTTCTTCTCACCAAAGTCACCCTCCTTCTTGGCTGGTACACCCTTGCACTCGGCGGCCATGTGTCCAGGCTGGTTGCAGATGCGACAGCATCCGGGCTTGGTGTCGTTGGCGAAGACGTCTTCACGCAGAATGCGGAAATGCGGTTCGTGAGTGGCCAGACCCAGCATGATCAAATCGGCGTCCAGACCGTACATGACGTGGCGAGTGTTGGGGTCGTGCTGGGGCGAGTTTCGCTGAGAGCGCACAAACTGCATGATCTTGTGCTCTCCCTCTCCAGGAACGGTTGCGTCGGAGATGATGACCTTCAGTTTCTCCCAGGCGGGGTCGGTGTTGAGCTTGTATGCGCACCAGTAGCGCAGACTGGCAGCTAGAATGTCCATGAAGGGAGTTCCGGGAGTGATGGCGTTGCTGTCCCAAGTCTTCTTTGGCTTGCCGTCTCCACCCTCGGGCTCCTTGCCTTGGGATCTGAGCATCTTGAAGAATTCCTCCTTTTCCTTGTCCTTCTCGGCAGCTTCCTGGGCAGCGCGAAAACGTCTCGACCGTTGCTGGTTCATCTTTGCTCTGGGGGCGACACCATCGACGGCGATCATGAGAAGCTTACGCGGTCTGACCATGTTGACGACGCGCTCAGTGTACTCGAAGACGGCCAACATCATGTCCTCCTCGGTCTCTGGGGCGGGGCGATCCTCAGGATGCGAACAAGGATGGACGATACCGTTCATGTCGAGGTACAGGTTGTCGAACTCTTCGCCATTGGGGTTCGGCTTACGGGCATCGATGGGGATCTTTTCACCGTCGACATCTATGGGGTGTTCTTCGATGACAGGCGAGATGATCTTGGGATACTTTTGCGACAGCCATCTGAACAAAGCGGGGACACCCATGTTGGCGTCTGGGTCGAGGGAGTTTTCTGGATGGTATTGGCGATCTCTTTAGTCGCTCATCGAGGTGTGCAGATGTGACGATCTGACTGATTTTGATACAAGGGAGCAGGTCGAGTTGACAGATGCGACCGTGATTGTGCGAAAAATAGAGGCGACAGACGTGTGGGAAGGCGCTACAGTGGACAAAGTCTGAACAAGCAGAGACTTGAGCTCATCGACTCGCCGCGACTCTCCACTCTCCGCACGGCCTTCGGAGTTAGAGCAAGCATGACTCGGACTGTGCTGCTCCGTATCGATACACGAGTCACACGACAAGGAATAGGAGCTGTCCTTTTGGGAAAGATGATGGTTGTTGTTGGCGACTTCCGCGTTTGATTGTGACTTTCCCATTCGAACAAATGGCAACATCCGCATAACAATGCTGAAGGCTCCGATCAAGCAAACAGCCGGGGACACGATTGCCACTCTGTCCTCGCGCCTGTCGTCGGCAACTCTTCTCGAAGACAGACGTGCTGCCATCCTCGGCCTCCGCTCCTTCGCCAAACAATATCCCGCTTCGGTCGCCAGTGGCTCTCTTCGCGACTTGATTGCTGTTCTCCGCACCGATGGCCTTGGTCTGACAAAAGATGGAGAGGGCGATGTCGACACGGTGCGTCTGGTCCTTGAGACGCTTCTCATGCTGTTCGAGCCCGACCGCGAGAGCGCCGAGGCCAGCGAAGACATTGCCCTGTGGTTGGCCGACGAGTTCAGTCAGGTAAGCTTCCCTCTACACGTACTACCGCAGCGAGACTGAGCTAAGGCCCAGCGTCAAGACAACATCACTATTCTGCTAGACCTCCTCGATCAGCCCGACTACTACGCTCGCATCTACTCCATCCAGCTCCTTACTGCCATCTCAGCCTCCAGACCCGAGAGAACTCAGGAGTGTATCCTCCAGGCCCCACTTGGAACAGCCAGATTGGTCGGCGTCCTGGATGACGGAAGAGACGCTGTGCGAAATGCTGCCCTCCTGCTTCTGGTCGATCTGACCAACGTGTCGCAAACTGAGCTGCAGAAGCTCATTGCTTTTGAAGACGCTTTCCAACGCACCTTCAACCTCGTCCAGTCTGAAGGCGGCCTGTCAGAAGGAGGCATAGTAGCTCAGGACTGTCTCTCATTGCTTGCCAACCTCATCCGACACAGCCACTCCAACCAGGCCCTGTTCCGCGAATCTGGCTGCATCCCACGTCTGATCGAGTTGGTCAAGCAGGCTTCGACCGTGCCAGAGGAAGAGAATGAGTTCAGCCGCAGCGACCGCGAAAAGAATGCTTGGGGCTTGCTCGCCGTCCTGCGTCTCTTCCTCGAACGAGGAGAGTTGGGCACCAAGCAAAACCAGGATGTCTTCTGGCGTAGTGGCGTACTGCACCTCGTCTTGACTCTAGCTTTTGATGAGAGAGCTGCTCCACACATCCGTATGAGTGCTCTGATGACTTGCGCCGATGCCATCATCTTCAATGCTCCACTGCAAGAAGCCTTTGCTTCATTTCAAGTACCTGTCACTCCGGAAACTCCTGCTCCTGTGAACGGTGTTGCAACAAAATCCCAACCGAAGACCATGTATGTCATTGAAGCTTTGCTCAACCTCGTGCTGTCCGCTTCCGCATCCCGCACATTGGATCTGCGTTCAGCTGGTTGCTCTCTCATCAAGGCCTATTTTCACGGCCACGATCGCATCAAGCTGCACTTCCTACAAAGGGCTATTGCAGGATACACAGAGGGCGAGGAGGAGGACATCAACATCCTCAGCACCCTCCTTAACGGTCCTCAGCTCGGTCCTGCCACTCCTGATCCACCTCGATTCGCCTTCGCTAGCGACATCACATGCCAACTCCTGTTCAACTTGCAAGACGCCAAGTCCATGCTCATGAGCGTGTCTGAAGGTGATGCTGACAAAGGGGAAGATGTCATTACAGCTATCCAAACACTCTCAGGTCACCTTTTGTCCTCTTTGCAAAACGACCTCGATCCACAACTTTCCATATCATACCTGAATCTGCTCGTTACCTTCCTCTTCGACGAACCTGCTGCTGTCAACGACTGCCTGGCAGAAGGCTCCTCTCTCATGGGTGTCTTGATCGATAATGCGCTTCTTACTGCCAACTCGCAAGTTGCCGCGGATCCCATCAAGTCTCTGTTACCTGGTCTCTCTGCAATCTTGCTTGGAACCATCTACGAGTTCAGTACCAAAGATAGTCCCATTCCTCGGCGGACACTACATCCACTGTTGACCTCCAAACTTGGCCGACAAAAGTACTTTGATGCTCTGATGCAGTTCCGTCAAAACCCCATCATCCGCGATTCCGAATTCATCCCACCTGAGATTGAAGGTGCCGCCATCTTGTTTGACAACGAATTCGTGGATTGGTTCAAGGACGAATACGGTCGTCTCAAGCGAGTGATTGATCGCGAACCCGGCATTGAGGTTGTTCGCCCCTCAGATGTCGGTGTGGATCGCGACGTGCTAGACGACTTGCGAGAGAAAATCAAAGCACGAGATGAAAGATTACAGCAAATTGAGCAAGATGATCTGGCCGCTAAGCAAAAGTCAGATCAAGCCGAAGCAGAATACCGCCACCAGTTGCAAAGTCTGCAATCTTCGCAACGATCCATGGAAGCCGAAGTTGAGCGCGTTAAGCGTATCAACGAAGCTCTGCAACGCGATCATGATGTTGAGCTCCAACGAGTTTCTGGAGAATTACGCAGTCAACTCGCGCAATTTCAACTCGAGAGCCGGAACAATCTACAAACGCTCCGCGATCAGCACAAACAGGAGTTAGAACGTTTCAAGGGACAACATGGTGCTACACTAGCAAGCGAGCGTTCTCTATGGGAAGACAAGGCACGCAAGGCTGCTGAACAAGCCACTCGTGATCAACGAGCCGCTATCGACAAGGCCGCAGAAGAGCATCGTAAAGCTACCGAGCAAGCCGCAGAAGAGCAACGGATGCGTACCGACCAAGTCACTTCTGAGCATCGCAAAGCCTTGGACGATCTCAACGCCACTGTTCAACAGAAGGAGAAGACCATCAAGGAGAACGAGACCGCTATCTCAGACCATGCTCGCAGCGAGAAGATCCTCAAGCAAGAACATTCTGCTACAACAGCTACTCTTGAGAAGCTTCGTTCAGAGTTTGACGCAAGCAAGTCTGACAGAGCCAAGCTGGAGAAGGAACTAGAGACAACAAAAACCCTGCAGAAGGATCTGCAACAAGTCAATACCAAAGCTATGGCTCGTGTCAAGACACTCGAGGAAGAAGCCAAGGTTCGAGAAACCAAGATTCAAACCCTTACCTCGGACATTTCTTCCTTGCAATCAGAGCTTAGCGCGAAGCAACAGAAAATCTCCGAGCTTGAGCAAGAGATTTCAGGTCTCAAGCTGGAACTCGAGGGTGAGCGAAAGGGATACAACGACCTGGAAACCGAACTCAACGATTTCAAGACCGTCCACAGCAAACTCGAGACCTCGAACAAGGACCTCGAGAAGCAGATCACCGAATCCAAATCAAAGCCCGCGCCTCCCGACAACTCAGACAAGCTCAAAGCACTGGAAAAGGAACTGGCAGATACCAAGAAGGAACTCAGCACTGCCTCCTCAAACTCCAAGAACAAGAAAACTTCCGATGACACAGCCGCCAAACTTGAGAAACAGTTGGAGGCACAGAAGAAGGAGGTTGAGAAGGAGAAGGAAGAAGCCAGTAAAGCGAGAACAGAACTTGAGGATATGTTGATGGTGCTTGCAGATCTCGAAGATAAAGCCAAGGGGTACAGAGAGAAGTTGAGGAAGCATGGGGAGGAGGTCAGTGAGGACGAAGACGACGACGACGATGAGGACGATGATGAGGACGACGATGACGACGAAGAGGAAGAGTAGTGATGCTCAAAATAGCATTGTTGTTTATGCATCTTCTCCCTGTGAGTTTCTGCTGCATTGATCGTGTCTGTCAACTACGATTGACTGCTCAGCTCAGTCCATGATGATGCGCGGCGGTAGTCCAATTGCCGTGATGTGTGGATATTGTTGCGTCCTTCATTCACCAAGCTCAAAGCCATTGGCCTTGGAGCCATAACCATATCTGCCAATAATGACAACTGGGTAGACTATCATCCTTGTCGAAATCGTGTATGCTGACAGATTTCTGAAGTCTCGAGCAGTCGGTATTGCATGCAAAACGTTTCATCAAGTTACTCCCAGGAATTACGCCAATCTCAGCCAGATGTCTCAAGTATCAAATCATTGTGTCCAGACCTGTTGGGTAAAATCGGTATCAGAGGCAATGTTGAGGGATTGATTAGATGGTCGCTTGGGTCTAGTCTGGGTTTTCTTGTCTCTCTGTGGTCCCTCTCTTGCTGGTTCGATATCACGCCTGACGAGGTGTCTATCTGGTTAATGTTCGTTCTCTCTCGGTATGAATTCTTTTGGAATAGATGAAATTGCCCTGTCCAAACTCGAACCAACGTGATCAGTAGTGTGCTGTCCAATGCGGAGTTTAGACCATAAATCCGAGGCGCATCATTACATCACCGGCAGTTCATGACCATATTAGTTATTCTGCTTCTCCATCTTATTCAAAAAGAGACTGGTCTTCATCTTTTCTCTACTCTTCATAACCAGCGGCTCAATAGTCAACCAAATCAATCGATCATGCAACTCAAACGGGATGCTCAAGATCGCGAGGTCGTTCCTACCATCATCAACAACGTTGAGCAGCCATTCGATGCCGATCGTGTTTTTCCCGTCAAGAACAGTGTTTCGGGCGAACCTGTCCACTACTATGCCAGCGCGGATACAGAAACATGTGGTCGCGCATGTGATGCAGCCTGGAACGCTTTTCAGACCTGGAGAAACGCAACGATAGTAGAGCGCCGAGGGCTCTTATTGAAGGTTGCAAATCTATACAAAGAACGTCTGGACGAGCTTGTACAAGCCCAGATGAAGGAAACCGCTTGCACCGAAGCATGGGCAAAGTTCAATGTGCTTGCTGCCACCAACTACATCAATGAATCCGCGGCATGCGTCAGCAGTGTCAAAGGAACTATTCCTCCCACCGATAAGCCAGACACCATGACTTTTGTCTTCAAAGAGGCGATTGGACCTATTCTTGTCATTCCGCCATGGAATGCTGCTATTGTCTTGTCGACTAGGGCCATTAGTTCTGCAATCGTCACTGGATGCACGGTAGTGCTCAAGTGCTCCGAGATGTCTNNCCCCCTCACACATACAATCCTCGTCGACATCTTTCGAGAAGCTGGTTGNCCCCCTGGTGTTCTCAACAGTCTCCAAGCCTCACGTCAAGACGCGGCAACCGTAACAGAAACTCTCATTGCAAACCAACACATCCGCAAAGTCGAGTTTATTGGCAGTGCCACTGTTGGCCGCATCATCGCCGCCACAGCTGCCAAGTACCTCAAACCAACCATCATGGAATTGGGTGGCAAGTGTCCTGCCATTGTCCTCGATGATGCAAACCTAGTAAGAGCGGCTCGTCTGTGTGCTCAAGGCGCCGTCAAAAATCATGGCCAGATTTGCTTTAGCACCGAACGCATCATTGTGCTGCGCAGTGTGGCAGATGCATTCAACAAACTCTTGGTCAAAGAGATTCAGAGCTTGCCAGCCGAATCCGCGATCTCAGAATCCATTGCGCAAAACGCTGCAGCCATTCTCAAAGACGCTAAAGATCAAGGAGTCAAGTTTCTGTGCGGAGATGGGTTGGTGCAGGATAATTGCTCCATTAACAATACTTTAGTTCTCGTCGACCCCAAGACATCTCCAGATCATCTCCGCATCGTTGACGAGGAGACTTTTGGACCGAGCGCTAGTGTCTATATTGTCGATGACGATGCCCAAGCCATTGAGATAGCAAACCGCAGTGCATATGGCTTGAACGCAGCAATACACACCCAAAACCTCGAGCGAGCAATCAAAATGGGTAGACAGCTTGAATATGGTCAAGTGCATACTAATTCATCTACCGTCTATATTAGTCGTAAGTTTTCTGGGCTTTCGTGTCGTTGATGGATCTTTTACTGACGGACGCANGCAACTGGACCTCAAGGTGGTGTTAAGGGTAGTGGATGGGGTACGCAGAATGCTTCTTGGGGACTTGATCTGTATTATAATACCAAGCAGATCAGTTGGCATGGGGATGATAGTGGGAATTAGAAGACAGCCGTATGTTCTGACGAGCTGCTGCTTCAGAAACTGAGTTTCTGCCATTTGCTCGAATTAAAAGTGTGCAGAAATGGTCTGCGAAGTAAATTGTAACGACAAGGAATTTGATTGTCTTTGAATGCAAGAATACTGTCAAAAACACCTACTAACCTCTAATACTGCATTCACAATGTTTGCATTGCCTATAAGCAGGGCAATTCGGAGTTTAGATCGATATGCCCCACATTTGAGCATGTCGTGGGACCTACAATCGTCATGCCACAACGGCGTCATGGCGATCTTTTGACATTGGGAATACGGAGTACATCACCGACGTTACCTCTCAAACACTAGAACTCAACTCTTACTCAGTCTGCTTCCTCCTTTGCAAACATCTCTGCTCTTCTTTCATCTCGTGTTTTCCAGGGTTCCTCGTAAACATGCCTCAGGATGCTCGTGCGCTGGTTGTGAGGGACCTCGGNGGACCCTTTACCTTTGAAGATGTGCTCGTTGACGATATACAGTCCGATGAGGCTCTAGTCAAGATCGAAGCGTCGGGCATCTGTCGTACAGATTTGCACTGTGCGGCTGGACATCGTCCGGTGCAAGCGCCCGCCGTCTTTGGCCATGAANNGGTTCGTTACCCAGACTTGAACGTCATCCATAAAAGCCAGGTCTAATATAAGACAGGCGCGGGAACAGTCCTCAAAGTAGGCGAACATGTTACAGGAGTCAAACCTGGCGATAAAGTGTTGCTTAGCTATTCCATCTGCGGCAGCTGCAAACAATGCACCTCTGGCCATCGAGCATACTGCGAAAAGATGCTCGCGCTCAATTTCGGCGGCAAGCGCGAGGATGGCTCGAGGGCATTGACGCTAAAGTCCGACGGAAACCCACTGTTTAGCAGTTTCTTTGGGCAAAGCTCATTTTCCAGTGTTGCTGTTGTTCACGGAAGCAGTCTGGTCAAAGTTCCTGAAGATACACCTTTGGGGTTATTTGCATCGCTGGGGTGTAGTATGCAGACGGGCATTGGTGCCATCTTCAATACACTCGATGTGCAGCAAGGGTCCACTGTAGCTGTGTTTGGCACAGGTTCTTTGGGCTTATATGCCATTATGGCATGCAAGCTACGACAAGCAAGAGAGATCATCGCGATTGACATTCTGCCCTCGCGTCTCCATTTAGCGACAGACCTGGGGGCAACGGCCACAATCAACACTTCAGAAGAAGGCGATGTCGCGCAACAAATCCGCGATATCTGTAAGGCAAACGGGGTTGATCGCGCACTCGACTGCTCGGGTGTTGCACCCATTATCGAAACAATGGTTGACTCGCTGGGCACCAGGGGCAAAGCGTGCTCGGTGGGTTCAAATTTGCCCGGCACGCGTGTCAGCATAGATGTGCACAAGCATTTCGTCCTGGGCAGAGAGTATGTCGGCTGTCATCAGGGAGATTCGGATCCGCATGAGGTAAGCATGTAGCAAGAGCACTGTTGTCACAATCCAACGCTAATCGTTTTCCACAGNATGAGTTCGTTGCTTCTGGACGAGCATCGACAAGGAAGACTGCCTTTGCAGAAGGTCACGACTTTTTATGACGTGCATGACTTTCGGCGCGCTTTTGAGGATGTCGAGTCAGGTAAGACTGTCAAGGCTGTTCTGACTTGGTAGTGGGTAGGTGCATTTGACATTGCAGTCTTGCACTTGAAAATAATCAAGTTTCTTTGTCGTTACATCCTCGCTTGTTGACCCATCTGTGCACACTTCTCATTCAAGCAAATTGAATAGCAGGTCCTAGAGCCTCAATAAGGTAATAGCGAGTGGTAGTGGTACAGGAAGAAAAGAAAATATGCAAAGCCATTCTTTGAATTCGGTGTGACAATCGCTCAAGAAAAGAAATGTTGGCGACTGAATACATTACTTTTGTTTGGATTAACTTGAGTGGTTGAAAGCATTTTGCATCGAAACCTAATGGCGTTGGTAAATGGTCCTGAGTCCTTCCTGATCTCCTATCGGGAAGTGGATGCGGTTCCTTTGAGAATAGGCCAAAGCATACCATCGACAATTGATCGTCTGTGTTGTGTCTTGGAAGGACGTGTGAATGATGAGAATCACGGCAGCTCCTTGTGAGCAGAAACCACGAAAATGCCGATGGTAATCATCGATGGAAAAAGGGATCAAATGGCTTTCGCATGAGCCAGGCGTTGGCTAAGAACGAGAGGCCAAGGCTAGTAGTACCTTAGGGAAGATGTTGATTGTCCGAATGTACGGAGAGCTAAATGCAGTTTGTTGTGGTTCGTAGAGATTGCAGAAGTTTCTGGTGTGAGTAAAGCTCTTTGCTTCGTATCAGCACCGAGATCAAGATCGTGTTGCCGTATTCGTGGTTTTCGTTTGGGTGTCAGAGGTGGGCGCTGTAGAATGAAGTCCTGAGCTTGAACCAGGTACGAGATAGAAGCTGGTGTCTTATAGAGAAACCGTTCCGATGAGAAGAAAACTCAATTTGGAAGGCGCAAAGTCCCCCAGTCTCATGCAGGACAATATCTCCATCCTTTCCTGCGGTTCATGTTGAGTCTTGGTCCCGTTTCAGTCTTGCTCTGTGCGACATTACCGAGTACTTCTTATTACGAGGAAAGACTTTGAGGGTAAAGTGCTTGAGCCATTGAGCTTCATCATGGTGGCCGGACCGCTTCAGGAAACTGCGGTCACAGTGGCTACTTTGACACGCTTTTCAAGACTTGTGTAATCTATGCGACGCCGATCAGTGGGGCTATACCGTGCCGCAAACTTCGAACTTCGAGAGGTGCTGGTCACCTTGACTTCTGGTGAGCCCCAGCGAGAGTCCTGAAGGCATGTCACTGCGGGCAGGCATCAGGGACATTGTTACCAAAAACGATGTGCCAAATGCAGCCGTGCGCTCACCTACGGCGAGGTTGCTGTGCTCTACCTTCGCCTCTACGAGCGCGTGTGATGTATTGATACCGACAAGCATATTCGACCGCAGGTAATCATCAGCATCTGAGGGTGTATCGGTATCCATTGGGCTTGAAGGTTGATCCCGCGGACCCCAGACGCCTGCCGTTCACGACCAGGAAAATAGCAGCTGCAAGCGAAAGAACCAGTGCAGTAGTAAACGTTCCTATCTTATCAAGCAGAGCATCTCATGGCATGCTTACGAGAAACTCGTCATCGCCACTAAGCAGCGTCGCCGACTGCGTCAACGTCTCGTTCTATCTGCCAGAAGCAGGGTGCCACGGCGAGCACGGCAAGAACGTCCATCGAGAATCAACGGTGATGGGCGCAGGTTTGGCTTTTCCTGTTGCCGTCTGCCACGACAAGAATCTCGTGTTTCCGTTTGAAATGAACGATGTCGACTAGGTCTGAGGAATCGAACATACACGTCGTAGAACTGTATGTTGACGAGCCCCTTGGCGCATCCCCCGACCGGCTTTGTGTGCTCTCTCCGAAATCTGCTTTGCCAGAGTATCACGTCCTGCCCTATTCATTTCCCAGGTTTCTTTTCTTGGATACGCACGTCCAATACCTTGTGGGTCACATCTCGTTATATCAATAATTTCCAGGAGAGATCTTGCAGTGATGATCAATAGTGTCTCTGGAAGTGCCGAAGCTTGGCTAACAGGGGTGCGTCGAGACTCAGATCTCCACGAAAATGGCGTCGCCGTTCACAAGCCAGGGACCCTCGTTCGACCTCTGTGTCTTTACCAACTCACAACATGACCACGACCCCTTTCTGATTATGCAGCTGTCCCTACTTTTGGAAGCACCAATAAGACAGACTGACTCAGTATGAAATCTAATACATGGCTCTCCGCGGCTGTACACGTGAACGATGGCATTTCCGGCCTGCGACGTTGGCGACGGATAGGACGTTGAAGCCGTACGAGATAGGAGCTTCTTGGAGGTAGCCCCTGGCAACCGCAAAAGACGCCATCGACGACGAGTATAACTGCGATGGGTACCTTGAAGCTGTTCTGGCGCACTCACTCTCCTTTGACGTTGCTACCCGCATTATACCACACACTCTCTTTGAATTACTTCGATTTGGCTGGTCCAGTCGATTATAACACTCTCTTTCACAATGCTGGGCTACAACACTATGTACGAGAAGAAGTACGAGTATGAGCAGCTTCCACAGTCGCCTCGCTGGGCGCAAGAATCAGCATACCATCGTTTACGGAGTTATGGCACCTCAAGAGCCAGAGTAACGCGTTTGCCAGTCCTCGTCGGAACCTTCATCTTCTCTGCGATCTTGTTTGTGTTTTTCACAGGTGTAAGTCTGGCCGAAAGTCTGGTTTGAACGCGTCTTGATGACTGACACCCCTCAGACTGCTCCAACCATATCCCACACATTGGTACCCCAGACAGCCCCAGGCAATGTTCACCTCCTCATACCAGCATCGGGCAAGGACGAGAACTTGTGTAAAGCTATCGTCGGCGCTGCTATCCTCGGCTACCCGTCGCCCAAAGTACTGAATTGGGGCAAGACCTTCCATGACAAACATCTCGTCTCAGGCGGCTCGCATATCGCAAAGATTAGCGGTGTCTCCTCCTATCTCGATAGTCTATCGCCAGAGCAAGACGAAGACTTGATCGTCATGACGGATGGCTACGATACATGGTTCCAGTTGAGACCAGAGACACTCATCCAACGCTACTTTGACATCAACCAACGAGCCAACGAACGCATCCGCCGCGAGCTGGGCGACCACGTCGTCAACGCCAACAAGATTGAGCAAAAGATTGTCTTTTCCGCACAGAAGAGATGCTGGCCCTGGGCTGCGGACGCAGCACCTTGTTACGCCGTCCCAAACTCGACTCTGCCCGAGGACATCTTCGGACCCGATACGGACACGGATGTTGGCGACCGGAACCCATACCTCAAGTTCCGTCCGCGCTACCTCAACTCGGGAGTCGTCGTCGGTACGGCAGGCGCCATGCGTCTGCTCTTTGCCGAGGCTTTGCTCCGCGCAAAGAAAGACCCTAACTTTGGCAGCGACCAGAACATCTTTGGAGCCATCTTTGGCGATCAGGAGGTCTACCGCGAAGTAGTGCGGCAAAGAGATATATCTCTAAACGAACACCAACACAATCTTCGCAGCGAAGATGCACGCAGAGGCTTGATCCGCGAACAGGACCTCGAAGCCGTGAGGAACATGACCCGCAGTATGGAATTCAGCATCGGCCTCGACTACGAAGGCTCAATCTCTCTACCCACCGTCTTCTCCGAGGACGACACCGAGTGGGTGACTCTCGACAACCAACCCTGGCTCGACTTTTTCAACTACAAGCGCAACATTGACAAGGCACACAACAAACTCGTGCTTGCACACGATATTGCGGAGACGGCCGTGCCGCTTTCCAGCAATGGCACTGATGGTGTTGAGTCCAAAGATTGGTCGCAGGTACCTCTGTTCACCAATGTGCCTACTGGATTCGCTCCAGCCATCATCCATCATAATGCCCACCGCGACGGCATGAAAAACTTGCGTCGCACCGTGTGGGATAAGATATGGTTCCAGCCCTATGCTCGCATGCTCATGGACCAGTACATGGATACCCCTCTCTCGGCTCTGGCAGTCGCAGGTGGTAGGGAATGGAGGAGCAGCGATGAATGGAAGGGTGGTGTAAGAGATGATGTTGGCCAATGGTTGCCATACCAAGATGTCTGTGGCGGCACAGAAGACGAAGTTTTCAGGGATGTAAAAGGCCCTTGGATTGCAAGTCGACATGTCTGAGCGACTTTGCTCCCTTTGTTCTTCTCTTTCTCTCGCTTTATATATAGATATATGCAATACAATCTCACGATACCACATGGTTCGACGCCATCACCTACAACCGACTTGATATTGTCAATTACCGATTAGGGACGACCAAAAGTCATACCTATAATTATTCTTATACTCTGTTCTGGATGACCCGTCAGTGCGACCGACGGTCTTCGCTTTCCACAGCGTCAGTTCGATGGTTTGCTGTTTTCGTGCTCACAGACAGAATCCGGAGAGTAACTGTTCGGCAAACTCCCCCACCACCGGGAAACTCTCCACCGTCCGGTTAAAATCCACAGCCAAAAAAAAATATTATGACTTCCGACCTCTCAAATCCCGAGTGATGACTCCTTCTCATTTCCCCGTGATATTAATTTTTCGAAGACAAAAGGGCAGCGGTCAATTTCAGAGTGTTCGATTTGAGTCAATTACCTTGGATTCCTGGATCTTTCGTTGTTCGTCGCATTTGCCCTGTTCAATCTCTCTCGGACTTGGGGGTTTTTGTCACGAAGAGCACGGAAAGGAAACGGAAAAAAGTCAATCATGGGCAAACATCCAGCAGTCGAACTACAGATTCTTGATCTTGGACCTGGAGATGGCAAAACACCAATTCCTTCCGGGCCCTCGACACAGAGGAATTCTGTATCTGGAATTGCGACACCAGCGACCATAGACACGGAAGCAAATTCCGAGGACGAGGAAACACTACCACTGGATGCACCTTCTACCTCGTCAACAACTCTCTCGACGACAAGAGCAATTATCGTAATCACCCAACTCGTCAGTGTTCAACTCTTCTCCTCCTTCTGCAATGGCGTTATTGTGGTTGGCTTGCCGGCCATCGCTGCGTCTCTGAATATGGAAGGCGCATTGCTGCTGTGGCCCACTTCGGTGTTCTACCTTACCGCTGGCGCGTGTCTGATGCTCGCGGGCTCCATTGCCGATGTCCTAGGCACCAGACCCATGATCTTGACTGCCAGCGCCTTGCTAGCCATCAGTGCTGCATGCTGCGGCGTGAGTAGGAATGGTGCTGAATTGATTGCCTGCAGAGGGCTGCAAGGCATCAGTAATGCGATTGCGGTACCTGCCTCTGTGTCCATCATCAGTACCAGAGTCCGCGATGGCCAGCCTAGAAATATTGGCTTTTCGTGCTTGGGCTTTGCGGCGCCGTTGGGCTTTCTGCTGGGTCTGGTGTTGGGAGGTGTGTTTGTGGATGGAGTGGGTTGGAGACCCGCGTTCTATCTTGTTGCGGCGGCGAGTTGTGCTACAGGGCTTGTGGGTGCTTGGGTGTTGCCCAAGGACGAGAAGCCAAAGACTTGGAGGTGTGTCAAGAGGCAGCTGAGGGATGAGATCGATTGGGTGGGAACGATCATCTCGAGTACGGGTTTGGTGACTTTGTCATATGCTTTGGCGTGAGTGGTTCTATTTTGATTGGAAAGACCTAGTAGTTCAGGCGTGACTAACATGCTCGATGATAGGACACTGTCTGCGGACGTCGCCAACATCAAGACTGCGACCACCATCTCGCTGCTAATCATTGGGGTCGCCACTGTTCCGGCTTTCGTTTGCTGGATGAATTTTCAGATCAAACACGATCGTCCAGCGCTCATCCCGAACTCGTTCTGGCGTGACTTTAGCTTCACGAGCATCTGCATCATGATTCTCTTCAACACCGCAGTCACCAATGGCATGGAAGTCTTCGCCAGTCTATTGTAAGTTGGCAAGATACAGGCCAACCTTTTGTTGGTTGTGGCAGAACGTGATTGCTAATATTCGAGGAAACAGNNCTTTCAGCAAGTCCAGGGCTTATCGGCGCTTGGGGCTTCAATTCGGATCCTGCCTTCGCTTGTCACGGCTGTCTTGACCAATGTCTCCACTGGCTACTTTGTCAATCGCATGCCGGTCATGTGGATGGTGTTGATGTCATGCGGTTTATCCGCATTGTCACCTCTGCTCCTGGCAATCATAAACCCACATTGGTCGTACTGGTACATGGCTTTCTTCGCACAGGTGAGCGCAAGCCATAGACCTACAACTTTGAACGTAAATGCTGACTTGAATGACAAAAGNCTCCTCCAAGGCATAAGCATGAATGTCCTGTTTACAGTCGGCCTCCTGATCATCTCGGCAATCTTCCCGCCGCATACGCAAGCTCTGGGCGGTGCCGTCTTCAACACTTGCGCGCAGCTGGGCACTTCAATTGGTCTGACCATCACATCCGTCATCTCCGACTCGCGGACAGCGGCTTCGAGTTACGAGGACAAGACCAGTCCTCAGGCATTGATGACGGGCTATCGAGCAGTGTTTTGGGCATTGTTTGCTTGGATGATCGTGGTGTTGTGTGCAGGCGTCGGCGGATTGAGAAAGGTGGGAAAGATTGGAGTGAAGAGGGATTGAGATGGGCAGGTGTTGCAATGCACTATTCTATATGGAACTGCTGTAACCACAGGGATGGTCTGCCAGCGCATGAGAATGTTTCATGGGTCGATGCCGGATTTGCTCTCGTTGGTAGGCGTAGATGAGGGCGCACGCCGAGTGGCAGCGCCCTGGACCAGTCGCTTGTGAAGCAAGGATGGCACATGAATTCGTCTGTCTTCTTGTCCTGCCACCACAACTTGAGAGATCTCGTATGTTTGCAGCCAATACAGTAATGTAGTGACTTGAAGAGGCGACGTAGCCAGCTACAGAGAGTATGGATGCAGCTTCAAGAGAGTCGGACAAGTGAAGACAACAACAAAGCTGATGTCGCGACGCGCTTGCTCTTCCGAACGCGCCACTGCCGCTCTAGAGGCTTGACAAGCCCAGAGATGAGCTTATTTGGACAAGGCTGAGCACAACACTTCTTTCTGTTCATCTATGGTACTCGTATACCTTGACATTTGTTGTTAACACGGCTAGAGGAGCAGCACTTCAGCTGTCCAGCTCGCAGTCTTGTTGCTGTCGGCCTGTCGTCCAAGACGGAAGCTCCTTGCCGACTCGTAGCCGAAAGTCGGCAGGAAGCATCGGCACGAAAAAGCGAACAGGCACAAAAGTCAAACTTGACCGACGCCAACGGCTTCTGGCTGACAGGCTGACTCGACACTCGCGTGGCCGCATACTGATGCAAAAGGTCTCGAGCATCTCACAGCGATAACAAAATGCGGAGAGCCTGAGGGCGACAGCGCTACAATTGATAATAGACACCACTGGCCGGCGAGAGCTCTTCGGCACTACTTTTCGGAGTGAGCTGACGTTCAGACAAGGTGGTGTGCCTTTTCGGCAACTCGGGGCCAACCGCAAGCAGCTCGGACTTCTCGGCGACGTCATGTTGTCGAAAATTTGCTCGACCAAACCTGCCCAACAACCGCCGCCCTAGAGAAGTCAAAGCCCATCAGCAGTCGACGACCGACCATGGCGCGAGTTCCAGAGTATTTGTTTGTCACGAGAACTCGAGATGGCCAGTCGATATGGTAAGCAAGCTGTTGCTTTTGCGAGCGACAGTCAGCTCTTAGAAACACTCCTTCTCCCTTCCTCTCCTCGCTGTGCACTTTCCTTCTCGTCGTCGCTCTGCGCCTTACAGCACGCCCTAAGCACTACAAGCACGCCCTACTTTCCAGTCCAAGCTTCTGCTTCTAGCTGCTCGATCCAATTTCAGACCTCAACATCTGTCTTGGCTCTTAGTTTTATTCTGTGCGTAAAAGCTGCGTAACAGAAACCCCTCTGGGCCAAACCTGCACACAATCGCATTTGCCAATCCCTCGCTCACGCCGCTGATAGGCTTGTGACCCTCTGCTACTTCAAAAGCGAGCCCATCCCCAGCTCCTCTTCCCCTCAGTCACCCACCCTGTCACACATGTCTCTGCCAGAACACCCCGACGCTGCCCGTTTCGGTCCCTTTGGCGGCAACCTCGCCAACATGCCTCCCCACTACGAGGACAGCATCGCCAAGACTGGCTCTGGCGACAAGGTCGGCGCACCTGAGCTGGAGAAGACGGCCACACTCGAGGAGGGAGAGGCCAAATTCAAGAAGCTGGGATGGAAGCGTCTGACCATCTGTCTGATTGTCGAGGCCATCGCCCTGGGTGCTCTGTCCGTTCCCGCTGCTTTCGCTGCTGTCGGTATGGTGGCTGGTGTTATTCTCTCGGTCGGCATTGGTTGTCTCGCTATCTACACGAGTTACGTCGTCGGACAGGTCAAGATCAAGTTCCCTCATGTCGAGCACTACTCGGACGCCGTTGGTCTCATGTTCGGTCGCATCGGCATGGAAGTCGTCGGTGCCATGTTCACCCTCCATCTGATCCTGCTCTCGGCCTCTCACACTTTGACCGGAACCATCGCCTGGATTCGCATCGTCGATGACCCGACTGTCTGCGCCCTCGTCTGGTCCGTCATCTCGGCCATTCTTCTGTTCCTGTTGGCCATCCCTCCCACCTTTGCCGAGTTCGCCATCTTGGGTTACATTGATTTTGCTTCCATCATTGGTGCCATCGGCATTACTATCATTGCTACCGGTATCCAGTCCAGCGATGCAGTTGGTGGTCTCTCTGCTGTTTCGTGGAGCGCGTGGCCTCCGGAGGACATTACCTTCCAATCTGCTTTCCTCGCAGTCACCAACATCGTCTTTGCCTACTCTTTCGCCATTTGCCAATTCTCCTTCATGGCCGAGCTCCACACCCCCAAGGATTACGTAAAGTCCATCTGGGCTCTCGGTATCATTGAGATCATCATTTACACCGTCACTGGTGCTCTCATCTACGCCTTCGTCGGCACGGATGTTGCCAGTCCCGCTCTTCTCTCTGGCAGTCACATCGTCACCCGTGTCGCTTTTGGTGTCGCGCTTCCCGTCATCTTCATCTCGGGATCCATCAACGCCACAGTAGTCGGCCGCTACCTGATCGGTCGCATGTTCAAGAACTCGCCCATTCGCTACACCAACACCAAGAAAGGTTGGGCCGTCTGGATCCTTGTGCTCGTCGCTCAAATCGTGCTCGCCTGGGTCATTGCCGAAGCCATCCCCTTCTTCAGTGATTTGCTCGGTATCACCTCCGCCCTGTTCATCTCGGGCTTCTCCTTCTACTTCCCCGCCCTCTTCTGGTTCCTGCTCATCAAGGAGGGCAAGTGGAATGCCAGCAAAAAGAACATTGCACTGTCTGCGCTTAATGCGCTGTGCTTTGTTATTGGGCTGACCATTTTGGGATGCGGCACGTACGCCAGTGTCAAGGACATTGCAGATTCTTATGCTTCTGGCAGTGTGAGATCGCCGTTTACTTGCGAACAAGAGGCCTATGCTTGAAAAGGTCTTTTTCTTCTTCTCTTCCTCTTATGAGAGGAGATTCATGTATATATCACTGTGACGTCTTTTTTTATTTTTTTACCACTTACGTCCGAAATGCCAATGAGCAATATTCCAATGCATTTTTCTTGACTCTCTCTCTCCTCGTCTTGATTTTGTATGAGCCGCCAAATCTGGTGATGCGAGCGTTACCACCAGCAACGCATGGCAAGTCATCCATCAGGCATCCCATAGACAACCTCTTGGTCAATCTTCGCTCTCGTCTCCATCACACTAACAGATCAGCCATCGCATCCAGTTTCTCGGACGTGAACTTCTCTGCCTCGCGGGAACTCGGCTGTAGTCTTTGCCTTTTCTATACCCTGGAACCAGAATTCTACATTGTTTCCACGGCTCTAGAACGTCTGTTGTGAGGGAAAGTAGTCGGGCCTACTTTTTTTTCCAAGATCCGAGGGTTTGGAAGTGACAGGAGGCATGAAGATGAAGGTTTTGATGAGGGGGCAGGTGTTCCGAGGGTTTGGGTTGGCCGGACTGGACTGTGCACGCGGTTATGCATGCGTGTGTGTTGTGCAGTGTTGTTGTTTGATGTGATGTGGTGTTGAGAACGCGACATGAAGCGTTTAGGGGAGTGTGATATCGAGACCGCAATCAGTGTATCTTAGATACTCTCGATCTTGGTTATGTATGTTATGACTTTCTCGGATCGCTAGAGACGTCTGGCTCCGGCTGAGAAGTTTGACTATTGTTTTATTGCAAGAACCCATGGTGATGTTAGTGTATAATGCGTCGTTAGTCAACCACTCCAGACTGTAATTACGACAACCCCATCTGATCACACCGTCAAGCTAGATGAGGTCTCCAGATACATACTGTAGCATTCCACAAAATATATAAGTCTCCTTCCATCATCGTTATCCTTCGTCTCAGAGTATAGAGCATGTTGTTGGTACTTTCAACATCGTCGAGAGTTGCAGAGGGTACCACCCTGTCTGTTCTTTGAGGTGGCCAGAAATGTTGACCGAATATCACGCTCTCTTGGTCCACTTTTCGCCCGGAGGTACTTCCTGTTCGGGACATATATCCGCCAGTGGACCATCTCTCTTCAGCGAATGCTCTGGACATATAATCAGTCCTAGCGACGTGTATTCGAGCATGCGGTAGATGTCTTGATATCCTCCTTCACTTTCTGATCTGTATGGTGCCCTGAAAGTCCTGGTTTGTACGGCACCCGTCGTAAGAGACCGCTTGTTCTACGAGGGCAGGATCCATCACCGATCCTTAGCAAGAGAAGAGCTCTATCAAAATTAACCCCCATCACTCAAGGAGAGATCTAAGGACAAGACACAAGATGAGTCATTCATATGGTAATACCTCTTGCAGAGTCCTCCGCAATCCATCAACGCGACAGTCCATCTCTGTTCATGCACCCCAGTGCTCCAGTATCCAGATGTCAACTCTCTTGCGACCATTCGGCCCTTCTGCTTAACGATTCTGGAGATGGGTCGTGAGACATCACGAAGCTGCGGAGGATCAGAGGGGGACGCGAAACAGGATCTGATCAACTGGAGTCCTTGATGGAGCCGAATGAGGAGTTTGGGGGAGTCGCAGGTCGGGGGTTGGTCTCTCCTCGAATTCTCCAGGGCATGTGGGCCTTTTTGATTGCGACCGCGATACCACCGACACTATTTGTCTCCGCAGCAAGGCAGAGATGTTTTGCGGGAACCGGGGTGCTTTTGACGACCCAGAAGGAATTGCGAGGCCTCCCGAGCCTCTCTCGGATAACTTGTGTCAGGAAGTCACCGATATAAACTGCGCCGACTAGTGTTGGAATCTTTTCACGAGCGCCAAGGGTGCAGCGGAAGGCGCGAACAAGACAGACGCCTTGATGCGCCACTTTCGAAGGCTTCCATCGGCTCTTCCACACCTTCTTTTTGAGTCAAAGCCTCATGCGTAGTTCGTTATTTCCGCGCGCCCAACTCAAAACATCTTTTTCACCACGAGAAAGAACGGTCTTCATACAGAGGATCCAACAGGTCGCAGAGCAACAACCCAAACATCGAGTCGCACCCGCAGGATTCGATACGGACCTTTGAGAATTGTGGATGCCCCACGTCTCCACCGACAACCCCCGACAATTCGGCCTTGTGCTCGGTGGTATTCTGCGTTTTCCGTCCTCCATATGGAGTCGTTATGCGGATGGACCATTTCCCGGTCCGATAATATCCAGGAACCGCTACGATGTAACGAGAAACCCTGACCGCACAGGCGCTCGCGTGTCGTGTACCACCGTGGCAGAAACAAATATGACGTCTAGCGTGCCATGGGGCAGCGCATTTGCTTCGAGGCCAAGCCCCGCGATTCGGGTGCCAATCCTCCAGACCTACTCTGGCGAGTTTATGCTCCGCGTTTGGGAGACGTTTTGATGCACACGGCAGTCGATGGGGTTGACTTTCGATCCATGCGCTGGGCGCCAAATTGGAGTGTCGTTCTCAGGAAAGCGTGGCGTGCGTAGGTGGGTGCCGTCCGAGGACCGTTCTTCTATAAGAAGCACGCAACCTGCCACTCCGTTCAGGCCAGTGATCTTCATTTTCAATTCAATCGCCTTGCAACCTCTGCTTCTCCGGGTGGCCTTCTCATACCCCAACCTTCGCCCTCCCGTCCGTGTCTCTCTCTGGACTAGCACACAATCATGGGTTTCCTCTCCCTCAAGAAGCCCGACGATGAAGTCGGTGCAGCATGGCCTTCCATCATGGTCGGTGCCTTTGCTGCCTTTGCTGGTATCCTCTACGGATACGACACTGGTACCATCAGCGGAATTCAAGAAGTAAGAGCATTTGAAGTTAATAATAAAGCTAGAAGAGAAATTAACATGTTTTTTTTTTAANNGATGCCTTACTGGATTGAGCAATTCAACGACCCTGCTGCCCACGGAAAGATCTCCTTGATCGTCTCTATTCTCTCAGTCGGTACCTTTGTCGGTGCCCTGGCTGCTGGTCTCATCGCCGACTGGACTGGCCGCAAGTGGGGTATCATCCTCTGTGCTGCTATCCCTTTCAATCTTGGTGTTATTCTTCAGGTTGCTTCTACTGAGCAGAGCATGTTCATTGCCGGTAGATTCTTCGCTGGTCTCGGCGTCGGTCTCGTCTCTGTCCAGATTCCCATGTACCAAGCCGAGACTCTGCCCAAGTGGATTCGTGGTTTCATCATCGGTTCTTACCAATTGTGTATTACCATCGGTCTGCTTATCGCCTCTCTGGTCAACTACGGTAAGCTCTGCTCCTCGGCATTTGACACATCGGCGTCTAACATCATCCANGGAACCAAGGACCGCAACGACAGCGGCTCTTACCGTATCCCCCTCGCCATCCAGTTCGCCTGGTCAATCATTCTCTGCTCCGGAATGTTCATGCTTCCCGAGACNCCCCGTTTCCTGATCAAGAAGAACAAGCAAGAGAAGGCCAGAAAGTCACTGCACTTCCTCCGTCGTCTTCCCGAGGACCACCCCGCCATCACCGCCGAGCTTGCCGAGATCACCGCCAACTACGAATACGAGATGTCCCTTGGAACTGCTTCATACCTTGAGTGCTTCAGAGGAAACACCGGAAAGCGCACCTTCACCGGTATTGCCCTCCAATCCCTCCAACAGCTTGTCGGTGTCAACTTCATTTTCTACTACGGTACCTCGTACTTCAGCAGAAACGCACCTGCCGACCCTTCCATCCAATGGCTCCCCAGTGCTTTCATCCTCTCGGTCATCACCAACGTCATCAACGTCATCTCCACTTTCCCTGGTCTCTGGGCCATTGACCGCTTCGGTCGTCGCCCTGTCCTTCTTGCCGGTGCGCTCGGCATGGGTATCTCGCAGTACATTGTTGCTGCCGCTGGTGTCGCCACTTCTCCTACCGACTACACTTCTGCTTGCGCTCAGTTCGCCTTTATTTGCATCTACATTTTCTTCTTTGCTTCTACCTTTGGTCCCGCTGCTTGGGTCGTCACTGGCGAAATCTTCCCTCTCAAGGTCCGCGCCAAGTGTCTTTCGATGACCACTGCTGCCAACTGGTTCTTCAACTGGCTGCTTGCTTTCATCACACCCTACCTTACCGAAGTCCAGTACGCCAACCTCGGTCCCAACATCTTCTGGATCTGNGGAGGCTTCTGCTGGATCGCCGTCGTCTTCGTCTGGACCTTCATCTACGAGACCAAGGATCTTTCTCTTGAGGAGGTCAACGAGCTGTACAACACTGTTGGCAAGGCATGGAAGAGCAAGTCTTACCGTCCCATGATCAGCCAGTCCAACGGCGATTGGGATGCTGCTCGCACCAAGGCCGCAGCCGAGGGCAAGACCTCGCATGCACCCAGTGATGAGATGCTCGAGAAGGCATAGATATAAATACTTTCTCCCTTTTTAGACGGAGTCACAGCTGTGTTTTTGGGCTGGCTCGCTTGATGTATATATCATGATATAATATGGCATGTTTGATACTGCCTTTTTACCACACCAAGCTATTGTCTCTTTGTTTGTCTTGGGGTCTGTGAATCTTGGCTTTAGAGAGGGAAGCTTATGACTTGTGTTTGTTGTTCTCTGGGCGCCATCACGACGTTGCTTCAGTTGGTGCGCGTCAAGTTGCCGATCCCCGAACTTCATGAACTTGTCTGCGCTCATATACTCAAGGACAAATCTCCAGTTGCCGAAATTTCAGGTAGAGATTGATCCTGAATAACAGTGCACACCAAGGCAAGAGATACTGTGATCAAAGCGTTTGCCGGGACGTTGACAACACACGGATAGACACTCATGTGGAGATCGCAAAACGGACAGATGTCGAGTTGATGGTCACGCGTTGGCAATAGAGCTGCCGTCCCAGCGGAGTGGAAAGGCTTGGCAGAGGATTTAGCCAGAAGGGCGACAGGCTCCCTGGCCGTTCAGACTCATCAATAACAACAACATCAGGTCATCAAGAACACAACATCTCGTTTTCTGTCTCACTCGCGATGTATATGGTCCTGCGATGTCAGAGTACTGCTGTGTCGGAAGGACAGCCTGCACACCACGCCCAGCACCTGTGCCTACGTCCGAAAGAATCCTACAGAATGTTGATTTCTGGTATAACAGAGCTTGCCGTCGCTTAAATTGTCGTGGGCTTCCACTGACCGCAAGAGATGCGGCTTAGCTAGTGTTCCACGGACCAGCCACCGATCAGCGGTTCGCAGCGTCCGGGGTGCCTGGCTATACTCGTTCGAGGTATAAGCTGGAGCTGGTATAGGCAGTCACGCCCTTGTCTTGACCTTAGCGCGACGCGTCTCGGCCCTGTAGGATGCACTGCTTTGCCCAGTGCAGCAGGGTCTACACATTTCAGGTATGGTATACGAAGTCTGCCAAGCTATAGCGAACATTCGTGTCTTGGCCTTCGGGATGACCGATCGATCCTACAGATGCTTAAATGGAACTGAGGTTGCTCTGTATGGTAGTTCTCTGCCTTGTTCTCCATGCTCATCTTCCAGATCCGACATGAAAGCTACTCTCGCCGTCATTGCTCTGAACCTGTCGCCGGTGCTCGTGAGCGCGGCTTCTTACGGTCTGTTCGACTCATCGACTTGTGTCAACAAGTCTGGCTTCGAGCAATGCTATAACTCTCTGGACGAGGCTTGGGCATCGTGCGTCAGCAACTATTGTGGGAATCCGACTTGTGTTGCGAGCTGCAAGGGCGATAACGCTTGCATCCGCAAAAATTGCCCGAACCTTGGTGTTGATTGCATCAACGCTTGTGATTGTATCCGTAACACCAAGCGTGTCGCTTGCGCGGCAGAAAGCTGTTGGAACNNCAGGTACGATCATAAGCTCTCTGCTGAACATGCGAGTGTCGGGCGGATTAGCTCACACACTGCGCAGGCCTACTCTTGCGAGTATGAGGGAGCAGTCCTCGACGTATTGAACACATGCCTCAACGTAGACGAGGATGCCATTCCTTATTTCTCAACCCCTGACTCGGCGCCAGGATCGTGCAGTTGCAACCAGCTAGAGCTGGTCTCGACGCTGGAAAAGATCGCCGAGCAAGTGACAACATGTGGCAACAATCAAACGAACTTGGACACACTGACGACCGCGGCGGATGCCAGCGATTACGGGTTGGAGTGCCTTTGCTGCNNCAGTATACTTATACTGTATCGTCGTACGTGACCGTCTCTGGCTGAGCCACAACATCAGCTGACTTTTTTCGCCTGTAGCTTCTGGAAAGTCTGTCCAAACATCCAACCAGCGCTTATCGGAGCCGACGATTATGCTTCTCTCTTCCAAAAGCACTACGACGAGTGCTCCAAAACGTTGCCCAACATCGACTGTGAACGCGACCTCGGATTCGGCGCAGCAGTAGGCGATGCCTTGTCTGGCTACTATACTTTCAACAGCCTTCCGGCGAACGGCACCGAAACATTGTACAACAAGGAGGGTGCGCTGGCGTCGCCAACCCAAGCTACCATTCTCTGGACGACGAAATCGGGACAGACACCTATCACGATTGTCGCAGCGCAGGCGACCAAGGATTTCGGCAAGACATCTTCATCTGTGGTAGCAAGCAAGACTGGTAGTGCAGTGGCTTCTGGCGGCCAAGATGCTGCTTCGGCTTCTGCTTCGCCAACGTCCGATGCAGGCTCTAAAGCACAAATCTCGTGGGCCTTTGCGGCAGTCTGCATGATCGCGATGATTGTTTACTGAGTAGATTTGAATCCTTATCCCCTACTTGTTGATTGATAGTGATAATCAGCACGAACAAAGAGTCTAGACCGCTTTCTATAGCCTTATGGAAGGGCCTATCTCAAGACTGATGATCTTTTGGAAGAATCAGATACGGATACATTGACCAAGCCATGTTCATTCAGGTGAAGTGGTGCAAACCAACAAGAAGGGCGATGTTCAACAAGAGAGTGTTTTGCGATAAACATTATATCCTCCGTACTTTGATCTAAATCAACCTCCGAATCAACTGCAGGACCTATAACTTTTTAGGACTACAACAGGAGAACTGGACGTCTCGCATTGTCTTTCCCAGATCATCTCCAGACAAATCGTGCCTAGGCTGAACTTCTGCTCCGAGGCTGAACCACATTTGGCCGACGCTCTTTGCGAACAGCCCAACCTTGGAGAGCAAGCAACATGACCTCCCACGCCATCAACAATCCAACCAGACCCATTGTGACGGTGTACATGAACATCGCATCAACATCGTAGTGGATCATGCCTGTGATAGTGTCATCACTNNCTGAAGAAAAGTCAGCTTTTCGAACATTCCACACATGACTAGTAGATTAATTTACACTGGCCATCAAGATTATACCACCAGAAACCAGGCCGAATGAAGTAAGAAGCTCTGTTGGTATGCGCGACGGAAGCATCGATGTGGGCGGCCTCAGATACATGATCACATATGTCGTGATACGAGCCAGCGATGCACACGAGAGCAGGTTCCCCCATTGTATGTGAAGCATTGTACCCATCATTGTCGCTTGTTGGTGCGAGCTCATGATGATCCCAAGAAGCAGGATCACCAATGCAGGAATAGGGTTCAGGGAGAAATTGCACGCTCTGGGGCTTTGACCTTGCTTGTGCTCCAGGTCCGTAACAGAGCATTCCGAGGCTTGATGGCAGATGTTCGTGTTCAAGAGGTCGCTGATCCATGTCGATTCGACAAGCATACCGAGNNCTACGTTTGAGTCAGTTGTGCCTCTGACGACATGGTGGAGATTGTTTCTACGTACCGCTCCGCCACCGATGAACAAAACCGTGATAGCAATGTGCTCTAGATCACGCTCAGTCCAGCGACCACCCCAACTGCTAATGTGTTCGAGGAAGATGTTGGTACAGCCATAGAAACAGATGAGGGCGCTCTCAACAAACTCGGCTGACGGACGCCATGCTCTACCTTGGTTTGGACAGACATTCCAGGCCCAGCCCATCTTGACGAAGCTGCCACACCAGCGACCGAGAGTGAAGAGGCCTAACCAGAAGAAAACCCCACCTTTGATCCAATGTGCAAGGCCGCCAAACATGGTATGTCCCTCCTGNNATATACTGTCAGCAAACGACCACATGATACACAGGTAGAACTGAATACGCACGAAGAAACGCCCGTAGGCAATGATGCCAGTAGCGAGGGCAACCGAACCAAATGGTAGGATGATATAGTCGATGACTTGAATGGTAACGATGAGAAGCTTCCAGAGGCTTGAGGATGAGAGTCTTGTACTTTGGTAACCGCAGCGGTCTCGCAGGTCTGGCAGCAGGAAAATCGTGTTCTCGAACTCACCGTCCAGGTCGTTAGACTCCTCGCAATGCTCACCACCCAAAAGCTCTCGGAAAGACTCTGTATCGGCTTCTGAGCCAGCTCTACTGTCCTGAGATGTGAGAAATCTGTCTGGAGATTCCTCGCATGGGTTGTGATATTGCGCCTCAGCGGATGTTCTCACATGCTCTTGCTTGCTGTTTCGAGATCTTGCTCTATCTCCTAGCACCCCAGCCACACGATCGAGCAGTCCAATAATGATCTCAGCCGCGGTGATGGAAGTGATGATCCAACCGATCTTGTGATGAGCGTTGTTTGGATACAGATCCGGAGTAAGAGTGTTGTAGCTTAAAGCTAGAGCAACTCCTATTGCGTTTATGACTAGGAATACAAAGTGAACAAAAAGTCTGTACCGTGATCTGGCCAAAGACAACATCACGGCTGTCATGATCAGCGGATGAGCACTGTCTACAACTAGCAAGTAAGGCAATTTCAAACATACCAATGGNNGTAACACAAGGACCCAGGCGATTGCCATGGTAGTGATGTGGGCGTAAATGAGACCAGAGTGTGCCGAGAGGGAGAAATAGGTGTCGGAGTATTTGACAGTTGTATTGTGGCCACTGCCGTGCATGTCGCTGTGCGCTAGTGCTCCAGGTAGGTAGAAGACAGCCATCAAGAAGATGCCGAAGAGGCTTCCCACATCATTGTTAGCCATGAGATGACTGTAGTAGTCCAGGGATATGCTGTATGGGATGTTGGGACAAATTGTTCTTCTGAAAAAGTATCGATTGTACAATTTTCGAGCGAAACGACAATCAGTCGCGTGTAGTTGGATCAGGCAGACTCGACGAGTGAATGATATGGACCGCCGCCATGACTTCTCTGCATCGCTCGTCCCCTTCTTATGGGGCTTGAAAGATGTAGACAGATGGAGTCCTGGACAAGAAATGCTCTAGAGATTAGTAGGAGACGCGCCATGCCACAAACGATTTGTCTTAGGGGTTATACCAAAGATAAATGGACTTGACCGGATTGGGAATTTATTTTGCGAGACAGACAGCGAGTACTGGTAGATCCATGCCTGATAAGTCACGTCGATCTTGGCTATGTGGCTCGGAGGGATGCGGCTCCGCGATGCGCCCCACGTTGATCCTTCGCTTATATATCAGTAAGCTGCTGCCTCTGGCTCTCGCAAAATTATCTCTGGTCTCGGGTTGATAATCATTAATCATCCTGCATGGTCAATCACGGACGGTCTGGAGCTTGCGTCACTTGCAAACGACGACGAGTTAAGTGCGATGAAGCAAAATCAGAGTGTCGACGATGTCAGAATCGCGGCATCCACTGCGAGGGTTACGTCAAGAAACCTGTAGCACTGAAATTCAGAGACCAGAGCCACAAGTTCCCTGCCATAAGAAGTCTTCAGCTACAATACACTCCTGCTGTCAGGAAGACTGGCGAGCATGGGCACAACTTCTTCGACAAGGCTTATGAGGTGCAAGCAGGAAAGAGTCTGGAAGTGCAAGCAGGATTTCTCGACGTTCCTTGCGGATCCATCAATTCTCAGCGCGGAGTACACAAGATTCATCATAAGGAGCTTGTTCAGGCTCGATTTGGAGCCATGGCGTCCATCCCGCGTCCACTCGCCCAGATCGACATAGCCATTCCCTTCTTCCTTACGCATTATGCCAGCCTTGGCCGCGATATGCAGACGGCACGCGGCTACTTCGAGATGCTCATACCAGTCTACGCCAGACAGAAGCAAAACTCAGCACTCTCGCTCGCTCTCTCGGCCGTGGCTTCAGAGATATTGTCTCTATGGCAGCATTCCGCTGATAGCTTCAGGTCCATCCGAGTATCCTACGCACGTGCCGTGGCTCGTGTCCGACGAGCAATACTTGATCCCTCGGAAAGACGTGAGCCAGCGACAGTCTTCGCTGTACTGGCGTTACAGCTCTATGAGAATATTACTGCTGTGTACGGTTTGCGCCCTACTACGAGCATACACCAGGACGGTGCGGCCTCGCTCCTCTCTCTCGCCAACTTGGAGGATATGAACATCACAGTCCGCGAGCATGTTCGAAGATTTATGCTCCATACTGAAGTGGCAGCAGCGCTACGCCAGAAAAGACCATTGCGCAACATAGTGTACTCTTGGATTGGTAGTAAAAACCCAGATGTGTTGCCTGAGAACCCAAGTTCACTACTTGACACCATCGGTTCCTGCATAGCCGGGTTACAAGCCACATGCGTTCGAGTGTTGCCTCACGAGAACGTGAAGACTGTATCCATACGAGTCTTGCGTGAGATAAGGTCTGAAGCGAAGAGACTTGACACACAGTTGTTACTATGGGCAGAAAGTGTGCCGCATCATTGGATACCACAGAGACCGGACATTGTCGATAGGACGATCCCTACATATCGTTTTATCTGCGAGATTTACCTTTCATGCCCTGTCGCCAACACCTGGAACCTGTGGCGTTTCCAGCGCTTGATACTTCTCGAAATTACCTTCAGATCGCTGATCACAATTCTGCGTGTGACTCAGGCTCAGAGTATCGCGAGTACAATGCCAGAAGACGCTGAAGCAGAGCTCTTGCACTGCAGGAAGACTGTTCAAGAGCTTGTGGACAGCGTATGCTATAGCATCCCTTTCTACCTTGGCAATCGGACTCGACCTGTGAGCATAACAGATTTCGCCGATACGGAGATTTTGATTCCCAGCCACCATCCATCGCCATCACGAGCAAATCCTAGTCTTGTAAATCAAGGATTTGACACCAGTACGGAGGGTAGTGATCACCGGCAGCATATTATGTCTCAAGGCCCGTGGCACGCCATGAATCCCCTCAGTCAATTATTGGCGCTCTTCGCGAAGGATCATGATCCGTTATTGGCGAGTTTCATTAGATCTGGACAGCACGAATGGATCCGTGATCAGTTTGGTCGAGTCACAAGATTACTACATCTTCCATCTCCAAAACTTGAAGATTACGAGGAGGTAGGCGGGACGTGGAATTGGTCGGCCGAGAGAAAAGGGATATTCAACGCCCGATAGGACGAAGTTGGCTCCTATCAATGCAGTTGACCAAGTATAGCCTGGCATAAGATTCTTACTAGGACACTGACTGCCAACTTTCAAAGGAGCAATATCGAGCTATCTTCCACTTCGGTTCTTCACTTGCCGTTCAATGAATTTGGTATCTACTCCCTGGCAAACATGGTTGTTTTTCCCTAGACGAATTGCTTTGCACATCGCAAAGCTCCATAGCCGTCTTTCACCTGTGAGATTGCCTGCAGAGGTTCATGAAGCCGAGCTTATAGGCTGTTACCCTGTGATCGCCAGACATCAAATACACACTGCCAACTTGGGAGAACAGTGTCGTGTCTGTCGTCATATGTGATAGCAGATCTTTGGATTGGGAAATCATGG